TAATGTTGATTGTCTTTATAAATTGTTTTTAAGTAAATAAACTACTCTTGCTACAAACGAGAACATCAGCTCAATAGTATAATCACAATGTTATTGTTGGTGATAACTATACATAAGACTGAAAGTGTGTTCGATTTCTTACTATTAAATTGGGTTAATATATATTGATAAATAAAATTCATGAAGGATTGGCGCACAATTATAGAAAGATTTTGAAACTTATACAATTGTATTTGGTATTTCTATCTGTATATTATCTGTGATGGAAAGGTGAAACGACATCCACTTTTCAAGTTTTCGAGAAAAACGCGTTTTAAGTTGATTGTGAGTGCCTAACTAGATTCGGATGAGTTGAGTTTTGAAACTATGATATTTTAAGCTATTTTAGCGCGGCTTTTGGCCTATGTACTTATCAAATTGAAAAGCGCATCATAATGACGATATTAAGTAAAATTATTGACTTGAATCGTTTCGACTTCCCTCGGTTTGCACTTGAGTCCATTTTCGCGGGCACACTTTTCCAATTCGCATTTAAAAAAGACTGAATTACACTAGAAATAATTCCAAGTTCTAAGTATGATCTACTTTTTTTGCACGCCTCAAATGTATAACGATAACCAAACGGAATTCAAGCGCAGATATTGTACGTGGACTGAAAATTGAGAAAATGTGCGCCCTCTCGCATTAAATGTAGAAACAGTTCAAGTTTAAATTGCAAAATTTGAACTTTTGAAATCATCCCAATTGTTTTTAAATCATCAGATCAGACGCTACATCGTGCTCTAGATCTTAAAAAGGTGGACTTGAATCGTTTTGGATTACCTGATTTTCGCGAAATGGACTTAACCCGTTGCACGTTGCTGAAACTAATGATGCAAGCTATACTCGTCAATTCTGACCATTGTGTACCTTCCAAAAAAATTAATTTCCAAAAATATGGATTTGAAGCGTTTTGCCTTTGCACCACATATATATTTTAAACTCTTTTCTCTCGTAACAACTTATTTATTTACTTATTGTAAAAATATTTTATATATTTCTTTATTTTGGTAGCACGCGATTAATTATTATAAAGAATCCGGTCATGTAATGCCGTTAAAAAAAAAAGAATTTTGAAATGTTTTGGTGCATCAAATTGTCTTTTAAAATTCAAATAAATCGGGTGTAATGTATGTCAATGACTAAAACGAGCCTGGAATTTGAGTTTCGAATCTTATGCGCAGAGCAAGAGACTTGAACGTCTCACGTGCCATCATTCGAGTTGCTTCAAGTTGCTTTATTTTAGATTATTTCGTCGAAAGCACGTGTTTTCCATTGACGCATGCTATGCAGTTTGCGATAAGTACAGCTTGTAGATACGTGTACGCATGTGTTAGACTAACGACCAATGAAGAAACTTGGTGCCGAACGCCGAGTAAATAACGCGCGTCTCGTCATCGATTGCGGCGATGATTTTGCAAGCGTTTCATCGATCCAATTGCCGCAAGTCTCGGAGTAAAAGTGTTTCTGCTCTCTCTCTCTCCGAGGCAACGATATTGCACTCATAGTCAAAATTCTTAGCTTTCTCGTTGTCAGTACAATTTACTTACGAATGAGTAAACGAGTACGACTTTTAACGCCCTTTCAATTACACGATCGCTAAGAAAAAAAAAAGTCAAAATGCGCTGTAAAGTGTTGAGTAGTTGTACCAAATAAACAGATGTATTATTTTACGTCGCAGATAAATAAAGCTAATCTTATTCTTATCAGACTGAGAGAGAGGAGTTGGAGTTCAAGCTTCGGTGAGCATCCGCAATCCCCTCAGAGTCAGGACTCTCGATCAATAGATCGAATTAGCCGTTTGCCATCTTACCGTAAACATGTGTTGACGCATCGCTTCTGCTTTTCAGATAAGATACTCTCGCAAAAGCCAGTCTGACTCGAGTATGCGTACGCGCGCGTGCTTACGAGCATCGTATCGATCTCGCGTTGCCAAGTTGATCTCTCGTATATTACACGTGACCTGGCGCTTCGAACAGACCGTCGGCGTTCAATAATTACCGTTGCCTTTTTTGTTTTCTTTCTCGTACTTGAAGTGGAAAGGCCAGAAACACTAGTGCATAAGAAGAGACAATCATGTAGCATTCTTCGAGTCAGCTCATAGTTTTAGCAGTGGTTGTAATTTTGAAAAATCTATCAGGCCAGGCTGTGCGTGTTGAAACGAAAGAAGGAAACAAGCTTCTGCGACGGTAACTCGAGACGATCGTAAGCCAAAGGGAGCAAGGAAATGAACGCTTACTAAATACAGGAGGCTGCACACCTGACATCGATAAGTTGTCATAAGTTGATCACACGTTACGCAACATACTCAACTCAGCGGCGATGGCACTCGCAGGCGGTACGACAACTCGTCACACATCGCTATATATTTTGCGCAAAAGGTCGCGACTTTGACCCGGTTAATCAGTCGAAAGCACGCGTGCCTTATCGAACGCCCGACGCGAAGTTTCGCTCTTGCGTATAGTAACCAACTGCTCTCCGCCGAGTCGCTCTGCATCTGACGCGAAGATTAGGCGCGATCGTTTCCTGTACTCGAGGAGAATAGACACGATTCGTTAACACATGCTTATTTGTAGGGCTGTCCGAGTACCCGAGTTTTTTTCGAGTACTCGCAATATATTTAAGTTTCGAGTAAATAAATGATGAATTAACAGTCTCTAGACCCCCTCCCTTTGTGTGTATATGCTTATGAGTGTGACGAAGTGTGGTACTATTAAATTATTTTCTTCTTCCAATCCAATCCGCTACGAATATCACACTTATAAGCATGTACACACAAAGGGAGGGGATCTAGAGACTGTTAAGTCATCATTTATTTACTCGAAACTTGAATACATTGCGAGTACTCGACTCGAACTGGAGGAAAAAACTCGAACTCGACGAGTCAAGTTTTTTTGAGTACTCGCAGAGCCCTACTCATTTGCTTATATTTTTTATAATTGGAGTATTTTGAGAGATTTATTTCATTTAGATCTTTGTAACTAAATCGATGTATCAGTGTTTATTGGACAATGTTTGATTAAAAAAAATAACTGGAATTATCGCGTTATGATATGGGATTCGTTTTTATAGAGTTTAAGGTGAGAGCATGGGGTAAGAGCATACAGAATACTTGGATTCATCGCATCGAAATTTGCTGTTCGAGGTGCTGCGTGCACAATTGTAGCTATAGATTGGTTGGCACGCGTAAACGCGGACGAGTCACAATAAGGAGATAAGTCCGCGTGGGTCCGAAAAGAAAGGCGAGCGAGGCGCGGGTAAGCCAGAGCCAAATTCAGTCCACGAGCATAATCTTCATGCGACACGCGTCAAGGCAAAAAAGCCAGCAGAAGTCTAGTCGGACCCCTGTAGCTGAGCGCGCAGGGGCTCACTCGGGGCTTTTCTCTGTCTCTGATCTGGCTGAGCGAATACGTGGAGCATGTCAGTTGAGCGAAGGACGACGATCGGCGATGCCGTTATCGCACGTCGGCAAGCTTCGATCACAATGCGAATGTAGCCGCGCTGGTGGCGGCCCACGACGACACCTATGCCAACAAAACATTGCACCTCGTTTCGCAATCGTCTTTGCTACGGGTAATCGGCCACGTACAGTATCGAGCGTCGACGTAGCTGCTTAAATCCCTCGACCCCAGCAGCTCGTCTCTCTCTCTCTCTCTCTCTCTTTCTCTTGCCACTATTTGCCCAGATGAATGGGGTGACTGCCGGTTGGCGGCTGCGCTGGTCCCCCTGTCGCACGCATCCGTTGCTCCCATATGCACACCTTGTCTCATTGTACCATTCTACGGCCTGGTCGTCTGCCTGCGTTTCTCTCGTATAATAAGTCTACTTATGCTCTTACATATACGTATATTCGCGCGTGTGCGCGTACATCTAGATTGTAATAAACGCGCAGACACGCGTGCTGCGATTTTCACTCGGTTTTTAGTCCATCTTTACATTTTATTTCTTCGAATCAGCGACAAAAGTTTCGTTTAAAAACGCCCAAGTGCAGGCGTACGTAAAAGTAAGTCGAGCTTCTTTTGGACGCGAAGAATCGACCGAGGCTAGCTGCTCTCGGCGCGGCGCTCTTTCCGCTCGATCAACGAGCTCGGGACGCGAGGCACTCGGACAGCCTATATGCAATCGCAGCCGGCCGCGTATGCCCGATGCGGATCACGAGGCCCCAAACAAAGCCTTGGACGAAAAAAGTCCGAATAGACGAGGCTGGAGCGAATCGACCGGCGAGATATGAAAGCCAGAGGTTTGTCCCCTGTGCTTTCCGTGCAGCATGCCTGGCGTCGGCCGCGTCCCCCGCGAACTGCGGGAAAAAAGTGACGCGTGTGCGGGACACGCGTCGATGACAATGCCTCGCGCGCACATGCCTACCTAAATACTGCTCGATAGGCCAGCATAGAATGCGACTCGAAAATCCGACCAACCGTCCGAACCAAAGTCCCCCTCGTCGAGCCGCCAGCGTCTAATCGATTCCAAGACCCCCCGCCCGGCAGCGATTCGTTGCTGCCGCTGCTGATTCAACGGGCATGAAAGGAACGCTGACGAGATCCGCCGAGTACGCGAGGGGTTCGCTTCGTGCCTACGATATTTAAACGACAATTTAGCTATTTTCTAATTTATATCTATATATCTATACGGTACACATGTAGCACGACGTACAAACCTGAGCATCCTCGAGTGCAGTATTTTTTTTTTATACCCGACTTTACACGCGCTTATCCGTGTGTATGGTCTGACTAAGAAGCTCGTCTGCCACCCTTATCACATATATCATTTATTGATTTTCTCTTTGAGATTGATTTCGAGACTATATACTCGGCCATTCTGTATAAGCTTTAAAATTTGGTTCACATCCTCGAAGATGGCGGAATCGCGCGTAATATAACTGCTTTTACAAATGAATTGAGAAGAATGAATCGAAAAGAACGAGCTCGAGCTTGCATTGATGAAAGGTGATATTGTTGCAGGGTGCAGCGAAGACGAGGCATGCGCCGATTCAGAAGTAGGGGCAAGTGCAGATAAAGCCGGCTTAGCCTTCAAGGGGAAAAGCACGAGCGAAGACGACGTCGAGGATAGCACGACGAGCAGCAGCAACAACGGCGCAAAGCTGAACGGCGACCGGTGCCCGCACTGCAGCTTGTTATGCCGTAACTCGCACGTCCTCCAGATACACATCGAGGACCAACATAAGACCTTCCCTCCAACCTACCAATTGGACAAGCACGATCTGCAGGCACAATTTTCCCAGGTCGTAAGTATCCGCTTGATTTGATGCTATATAAGACTCGACCGTGAGCAATTATTGCAAACTCTTCTTCGCCCTTTCAATGTTTCAGTCGTGTAAGGTTTGCAGAAAAACATTCGCCAACGTTTACAGATTGCAAAGACACATGATCAGCCACGACGAAAGCGCGGTATTGCGCAAATTCAAATGTCCTCATTGCGAGAAGGCCTTCAAATTCAAGCATCATCTTAAGGTAGGCGATAACTTCGATCGTTCGATCCATCGATCATTTTCTTTTTATTGATTCATTTTATTCTCGTTCGATCACATCCAGGAGCACTTACGGATACACAGTGGCGAAAAACCCTTCCAATGCGTTAATTGCAGCAAGAGATTTTCGCACTCGGGATCTTATTCGTCGCACATGACCTCGAAAAAATGCCTCGTGGTGACCAAAAAGGCCCGCTTGACGACCGCCGGCCAGTCTCAAATTTCAGCGAACGGGCCCGAGCATCCCGACAAAAAAACTTCGCTGTCAACTACGAACCAAGCACAGCTGGTGCGCGAGCAGCACCGATCGTCGGCTCAAAGCCAACATCGCCAAGTACAACAGACGGTACGAGATATCGAGATCAACAGCAATAATATCAGCCCCGTCCTTGCGAAGGCGTCGCATGCGGATTACCGAGAGCTACAGCGCGAAGCTGCAGGTAAATAATTTATTTGCATTTACCTTTTTAAACGATTCTCGATTAATTCTTCTATCTCGACGATCTCGAAATGATTTTTAGTAGCTGGCATCTTCGACGTGCCCACGCTTCTGCCCAACATGATGGGCCTGAGCGGTTACTTTCTCCACTCGTCTATCGGCAAAATGTTGAGTCAGATGCAGCACACGACCCAAGAGCAGAGCGAAAATCAGAGGCCCGAGGAATTCGATGCCCTGAGTCAGCAGAGCGAAGCGGTCCCGAGTCCCGCTACTACCGCCCCGGACTCCGAAGGCACGACTTGCGAAGGGCCAGAGGCTGGCCGGGATTCGCCGCAGCGACGACTGAGCGGTGCTTTTGACGCGGTGCGCCGACTGCTCGACTCGGTAAATGCGTCTGTGACGAAGCAGCTGCTCGAGGCCAATGTACGCAAGCTCGCGGCCTCGCCGTTCTGCGCCAAGAACGAGCTCGACGACGACTATCAAGACAGTGAATTATCGAGCGAAGTGGCGGCGCACTGTCCAAGCGACTGGGCCTCCATTCCCGAGTCCGCCGAGCCTCGAGCGGCTGGCCACAAACTCGAACGCGAGCTTGACCAACACAGTGCCTCGTCTCCGCCTGCACGACTCACGGGCCTTCGATCGAAGCTCGAAAACGGCACGTCGGAGCTCACGTCGGAAATCGACAGCGACGATGAACAACACTCGGACTCTTTGCATCAGCAACGACAAGATCAAGTCAACAACGCAAGTGCTACATCGCGCCGAGTTAGAGCACGCTCCCTTATCGATGAGGAACAATTGGCTCTGCTCAAACGCTTCTACAGCATTAATCCTCGACCGAAAAAGGAAGAGATTTGCCAAATTGCTAATTTCGTCAACTTTCCACCTCGTGTCGTTCAAGTTTGGTTCCAAAACTCGCGAGCCAGAGATCGTAGGGAGGCCAAAATACCAGCTCTCGTGCCACTATCGAGTCTTAGTAATTATTCTTTAAACAGTGATCAGAACCAGCCCCTTGATCTCTCTACTAAAATTTCAACAACGGCCTCGGCAGCTACAGAAACGGACACTGACTCCTCTCATGTGCCAATCAGTAAAATTACCTCGCCACATTCGTTGAAAAATGAGGCTAAATTGTCTGCCAACAATAACATTGAGTGCATTGATGACGTTGAAGAATCACCCTTGCTTATTGATGAGGAAACCACGACCGATTCGGTCGAAACTAAGCCGCCTCCTTCTTTGAGAATGGCTTCTCGAGTACCTTACGATCAAGCTGCTTTCAAAGTATGTTCATTTTATTTTTATAATTTCCGCTTTCAACTAATACTTATCATTAATATTTACATTTTGTTTCCAGCACATTCAATCACCTGTTTTACCCGCCAAAAGTGATATAGAAACTATTGACAATACTGAGCCTCCAGCTCAAGAAACTGATCAAGAGGGCGTGTATTTTTGTAACCAGTGTGATAAAACATTTTCAAAACAGAGTTCGTTAGCTAGGCACAAATACGAACATTCAGGTAATTTTTTTAATGCCTGTTATTGATGCAGATAATGATGATGATTATAATATTATTCTTTTTTTCTATAGGTCAGAGGCCTTATAAGTGTCAAGAATGTCCAAAAGCATTTAAGCATAAACATCATCTAACGGAACACAAGCGACTACACAGCGGAGAAAAACCCTTTCAGTGCGTCAAGTGCCTGAAGCGCTTTTCACATTCTGGATCTTACAGCCAACACATGAACCATAGATTTTCGTATTGTAAGCCTTATAGAGAATAGATTGATAATTAGTCTCTCATTATATTGGCTTGATCTAACCAACGAACTACAGGTACCATAAGAAATACTGCGTGTTCTATAACGTCAGCTGACGTAAAGAAATATGTGACGAAAAAAATTACGATGATGTATATGTTCGTTATGTAGATTTTTAATAGATTGAAAAGAGAGATCTTAGTTGACTAAAACTCTTGTTAAAAACAATCCTGATTGGTTAAAGTGTGCTCAAAGCATCAGTTTACCAAAAAAAAAAAAAGAAAAAGGTTCAAGTATAATAAACATAAGTACACTTAAGGATTGCGGTAAAACAAAGCGGTAGTGCTTTTGTGAAAAAAAAATAAAATACTAACCAAAAGACAGAACGGTACCAAAAAGCATAATGCAATAATTTATTATATGCATACGACATAGCGTATATAATATTTTATTATTTTTACTAACGAGATAATATATTTACCCATGACAATAATAATAAAAAATAATTAATGTACAAATTTGTTAGAAAAACAGTTGCGCTCAAAAAAGATTTTAAGTGAGGCAAACGTAGTTTTAATTGTACGTTTAACGTTTAATTATGAACTCATAGGTAGTTATAGCCTATGTAAAAGATATTATATACATTTCGCATTGTATATATAGAAAATATGCGCGAGTATAATCATAGGAAAATTTTTTTACTTTTGAAAAATCGACAAGCCTATTTCAGGGATTAATCTCAAATATCTCGAATAAATTGTATCTCTTTGACACATGGCATTCCATAATTAAAAATTTATAATTATCTTGCATATTCTAAAGTTTTAATTCTCTAAGATAAATTGTAAGGATATCAAAGATTTATTTTATTTATACAAGTTTTATGTTTTGTACAATAATCGTTTGAAAAAAATTCTTTAGAACTGTAAGTAATAATACTGCTACATTTTTACTTGCTGAATTAGATATGTGTCAAATAGATATTTGTGCTCATCAGTTTCTTTTATCCCAAAGAAACTGTAACTTTGCTCATTCCATTAAAATCGAGAATTTTGAGTAAACCCTACTTGGAGTGAGCTTAATTGAAATAATGTATTGATGGAAGTGTACGCTATGACAATACAAAAATGTGCTAGACACTTTTTACATGCATAATTACGAATTTTTCATTATTTATTCTTTATGAAAGTTTGATAAATTAAGCTACGTTCATTTTAAGTCGAATACAAAGTTCTTATATATGTATATTTATTTATTTTTTCACTTGGAATTTTACCCATCAGAGAAATATTATTTAAAAGTAACAATTTTGTTAGAATGACTGTCTGGTTAGTTGATTTTGGACTTATATTAATTTTTATCCGGTAGTGAATGTGTTTTTATAATTTAAAGTGAAATTTAATTAGAGTTGATAAGAGTAAGATGTGTTTTACTTATCTTTGTAACACGTTTTACAAAATTTTAATTTTTGTTGCATAAGGAACATAACTAAAGAAATAATGGCAGAAAATTTCTTACCTACTAACTAGAAAAGACAATAATTTTCGAATATTAAAATAAAAAAGCATTATGAAGTAACAACATACAAAATTATACATGAAAATACGTTGCTAACTGAGAAAGTGTGCCAAAGATAATGTTAATTATGCAATATTAAGTAAAATATTTCCAAAAATGAAGAATAAAAGGGCCTTGTAGATGGGTGAGCGATGTCATCTGTATACGTAACGAACCTTTTTCGTGAAAACAATACTTCTTTCAATGGCTCTATGTACTTGTGAAGAAAAATTATAATTCAAAGTAGATATAAACTTTTGAGTGACTGTAAGTAATGCAGTATCATCGCTAAAGATGCATTTGACTATTATATTTTATGTATACAATTAATTGTACTTACAGTTTTTTATGTGTTAGGTTTTTTTTACTGAATTTTAATCAATACACATTCCGCATAATTTATAAAAAATACGAGATAATTTTGTGAATAATCAATTTAGATTATCCTATAATTTTACTTTTGTAGTTCATTTTAAATAGCATTGAGTCTTGATATTATATGTTATGATTATGATTTATTGTTGCGCATTTTTAATGTCTTATAAACAGCGAATTATTTTATCGCCATCTCGAGGTCCGATTTTTCTTTATTACGCAATTTCAGAAATTGCATAAAAAATTTCAAGCTTCCAAACGCTATACTATTTATGGTTGCGAGACAAACAAGAAATTAAACGAATGTATAATATTTAGATAAGATTGATTGTTAGCATATATCTTTAATAAGAGTTATAGTAAAAAAATCGAACATGAATGATGATACTCGAAATGTATTTTATAAGAGTTTTTTTTCTACATATACGTCAAGTGATAAGTGATATTATTAATATTGCTAGTACTATATACATTGCACGCGCATGACAAATAATATACGATATTATTATATCTATAATAGCTGTTAACAAAAAAGTACGAAATGTGTCATGTGGTCATGATATTAAGAAGCATTTAAAAAAAGATAATTTGATGAAAAGTAATCAACACGTTCACCAATGTTTTGGTAAATAGCATTTAGTTGCCTCAGTGCGATTTGATTCATATTGATTGATGTTATTCTTATATAACTGCGGAGTTTTTATTCCAACAGCAACACAAATATTTTTATAAAACAAAAAATGATTAAGATTGTTGAAATGAGTCAAAGTTGAAAATGATTGAAAATGAATTTGTAAGACTTATGAATTTCTCATGATCTACCTAGATGGATTGAAAGTCAGTTTAGAAACAATCCGATGTGTACCTTATACTTCAAGATAGATTATGACCAGAAAAATTAAGGTAATTTATGTACTTCCTCAATTAGAAGCTTCGGTTATCCGCGACAGGCATCGTGTTAAAATGCAAATAGTAATATTAATTAAAAATAAAGTTCATTGAAAAAGGCTAGTATTGGGATGCTTAAATACTCATTTATAATAGAATTGTTAATAATTAAAAAATATATTTTTGTATCACTAGAAAAATAATAAACGTAAACAATATAATGGTCGAAGAATTAACAAAACATGGTATACTGGACAACACAATACTTGATCAAATTTCATTTCATTAAAGTCGTGAATCATAAATTAATACTTGTCACTAATTGCATAATTTAGAATGATTTAATAGAAACTGATGAAAACTTCATACATAAATCAATAAAAATTAGATAAATAAAATTGAATTATTGGGGCATGCAATACGATATATGAACTTTTTGACAATAAACAACATTGTTTTGAGCGTAAAATTCGACAAGTAGAATTAACTTTCTTGTTAGTTAAGTTGGTAAATTTCTCTTGTAAAATATTTCAAATACCCTTTTCATTTATATTCTTAAAATTACTATAAACTTTTCACTTCATTAACTATTGTCCTTAGCAATTTTTCATTGCTCATATTTATTATAAATTTTCAACTGAGCATAGTAGTAACAAAAAATAGATTCAGTGTGCGATGAATTTGAAAACTTTCACGTAAAATTAACAATTAAGTATAAGTATTTAATTTGAAAAAAACACGAGCAAAAAATATTATTTTTCTTCGATTACTTTGATAAATCTCTTGATAAATCTCACCTATATGAATAAATAAGCTAAAGATGATAAGACAAATGAAATCAATGCATAAATCATCAAAAAACTCGTAGAAATTAAATATATAGAAAAAATATAATGTAAGTTCAAAAAAGTATATAAGCAAGCCTATGTAATTATTTTGTTTGAAAAAAAAAACATGAATTGTTATTTGACTGTTGATGCAACGACTTGAAAAAAAGCGCCATACGATGCCTTCCGTGAACGACCGAGCTTGGCTAGCTGCCAAAATGTGTTGTCAAACTAACAAAAAAAGAGAAATGAATACTAAATTGAGCTGATAGTTACTGTCCAAAGCCTCGTTGTATTAATTACATTGCATGTATTCATCGAATCTTCCTCAAAGCTTATCATATGTATGTGTACAGCGTTCTATTTGAAAGTAATAATGTATGAATTTATAAATATTTTTTAAGCATTTACAAAAATGATATTCGACAATAAAGACTTACGGAATCCAATAAAATCTCCTTTACGCTTCTACGTCAAAATTGAAAATGAATTTATAAAACGTTAATCAGCATTTAATTAAGAAAACTGAGTGTACGCTTTTGCGTACATGAATTGCAGTTATTAATTCGCTTTACAACAATTCAATTTACTATCGTTTAAAGACAATAATATATTAAACTATTTTTGTATATGTACAAGCCATTGTGCAATATATTTCATAAATTGTAAGCATATAGAATAATTTTGATTGCAATGCATTTTTAAACTTTTGCTCTCATAATTAAGCAGTGTGATCTTTCATGACGAGGTTTTTGTCAGACTCAAAATGGATAATAATTTTTGAAATATTGAATGTTTAAAAAAAATACCGGGAACTAAATTGAAAAAATATTCATACACGTATGCGAAGGTGGACAGAACACTTTCAGATATCCACGCATAATATGCATACAAATTTCAATATAGCAGACAATAAATTGCCGTTTTGCGATAAATAGAATATATAAATATATATATATATATATATATACATATATATAATAGAGTTACACACGTACTAACACATTCTTAAAAGATTATGTGTAGCATTCTCGTAGATACAAAACATAATAGATAATTATACATAACAGTATATGATATATTGAACATGTATATATATTAATAAATAAAAATATTATGTATGCAAGATTGCATTTGGTTTCGTCAAAAACGAATACTAGAAACTGACATAATAATGGTGACTATAATGCGGATCTTAATGCAATAAGTACACAAAGCGATCAAAAAATTAAATAAAATATAAAATAATAATAAAACAATATATATGTACAGAGGGAGTGAGAAAAAAGGGCGTGGAGTTATAGCAATTCAACCATGAAAATATAAAAATGTACTATCTTAATTTCTATGCATAAGAGTATAAAAATCATGTCATTGTTATATTTTTGTATTCGAAACCAATAATGGATCAAATTCTAAAAGCAAAATTTCACATAAAAATGTAAACTTTTGCTCGTCCTTTTTTCTCGAGGTATTTCAGCGATCCTCGCAACTTGTTTGTTACAGTAAACGTTACGAATAGTAAAGGCCATAATTACATAAATAAGAAGATAAAAAGAAGAATATTATATTGTGAAAGATCCATCCATAAACGAATAAAATATTTACAGTTGGGCCGACTTTTCCGCCAGTTCGTGCCTTTTTTTCGGCCGTAAGAGCTTGCGCAAATATGCGCGTTTTCAAGTTCAACAGAGCAACGTTTTCATAATAACTAACATTAATTGAACTTGGTAGTTTATGAAAAGAACTTTTTTAAGAATCTCCTTACATTATTTTTACATTCAAGGTGAACAAGTAATAATTTGCACTTTATATAGGTAACATTTTTATTGTAAAATATTTTCTGGTGATAAAATTTAATATTTAATTTACATAAGATCTGATAGTTTTGATATTTTATTTTAATTATTGTATGATTGTATTTAAGTATAGTGTATAATAAAACAATTAATAATATAAAAAAATCGTTCATTGATTACCTGTTCCAAATTCATCAAAAACTGGAGCTTTAATTATGAAGAACATTAAATATTGTTTATATTTAATACTTAATAAATAAAATTTAACTTTATGTAAACTTTTTAAAGCTTTTTTAAAAAAAGTTCAACAATAACATGTTGTAGCAATGTCATTGATAATTTTGTTTTACTTGATTATTCATATGAAATTATAATTTTAAAGTCTTTCGAAGAAGATAACTTTAAGAAATAAAGTATTTCGTTTCAACAGGATCTTACTAATTTATTGTAATAATTTAATTTATTTTTTACATGCACCCAATAATAGTTTGAAAATTAATTTTTTTTGAAAATATAACTAATATTTTAAAACTAATGTATACTTTTAAACAATAGTAAGCTTAAAGCACTAAAGATGATAATAATTTTTATTATAATATTTATTATATGTCATTAAATTTGCACCACTAAATCTGTTCCATAATATTTTGGTAAGTTAAGTTGATATTCTTTTTCAAGCTTGTTTGGTACAAATCTTCCACCTAAATAATGGTATTTTCCTGAAAAGTTTCTTGCACAAAGTTTGGGAGCTGTTAATGAAATCAACATTTCTGGATTAATGCTACCAATTTCTGGTTTACCCTTTTCAACATCCCATCCTGAAGGAATATCAATACTACAAATAGGGACAGTAGTTTCTTTTAAATAGTCCATTATTGATATGAAATCTGATCTAACAGGTGGTTTGAAACTGAATCCAAATAAGGCATCAACAATTAACAAATAGTTATTCTTTTTTTGTAAATCTGTGATGTTTTCTATAAGAACAATATCATTTTCTAAACACTGGTGAAGTAAATTTTGGTACAAATCATTTTTAGTTCTCTTTGGATAATACAGTTCTGGAGCATATCCAAAAAGTTTCAAATGTCTTGCACAAACTAAACCATCGCCACCATTATTGCCTGGACCACAGCATATCAAAATATTATTAGCATTATCATGACTGGAGAGTGGATAACTATGAGCAATAGCAATAGCACAACTTTGGCCAGCCAATTCCATTAACTGATCAACACTGAATTTGTACTTTTTAAATAAATCTTGATCCACGTTTATTGCTTCTGATTGAGTCAAGTACTTAACCATTTTTTTTACGCTAGAAGTTAAATTACATTGAATAACTCCGAAACAACTAACTCTATTAATTATTCCAGTATGTATAGAAGAGATGTTAGGTGTCAAGCGAAGAAATTGTTTATTCATTTATTCAATCAACAGATGATAGCTCAAAATTTGATAACGAATCGACTATTTTACGTGCTTATACTTGAGATGAGGCTTACAAGTATCTGATTTGTTTAAGTTGTTTGAAAATTAAGTTTGCAACAAAAAATAACTATATGATTTTATATCTTTACCGTCTAGCATGTCACTTAATACGGTGCAATTAACAAACTTTGCATGTCTATGTCAAGTCATTAGTGTATATAACGTTGCACTATTAATTCGTATATGAGCGCATGAGTAATGTGGTGGTCTGCCGTCAGAACGTATTCAAATTTTATTTTTGTCGTCTGCGAGTCAGCGGTTTTAGTTCAACAGAACCGCTATGATTCTAAATTTTAATTTTGGCGTTAACATTGTTATTTTGATATTTGCAAAGTTGGCATAATAATAATATCTAAGTTGCGAGTTTTAAAAAAAATTTAATGTATTAAATGAAAGTTTTTGATTTTAGCTTTCACCTTAAAATTAATCTTTAATCTTTCTTATTTTTTTTAATGAAAATGAATGTTATTATGAGAGTAAAAAAATTGTTATATTCAAGATCCCATATCTTTATTATACTTTGGGGCTTTGTCATGCATATTATTCTATTATATGGAGTACTTGATGCAAATTTTCATTCGCCAATAATATCAGAATTACCCTCAGTTCCGATGCCAAAGGGTCCCCCAGCTAAAAGAGTATTGATTTTTGTTGCTGATGGTCTTCGATTTAGAACTTTCAAAAATCACATACCTCCGTATTTAAAGTAAGTTACAAAAATTTGCATTCATACTTTTATCAGTAAAACATTCTTTTCTATTATAGTTCTGTTATTGAACATCAAGGTGTGTGGGGTATATCTCATACTCGGATGCCTACAGAGTCAAGGCCTGGTAATATTGCAATTGTTGCTGGATTGTATGAAGATCCAAGTGCAGTATTCAAAGGGTGGAAAGAAAACCCTGTTGATTTTGATTCAGTTTTTAATCAAAGTTACGCATCATGGCTTTGGGGAAGTCCTGATATTATTTCACTTTTTACAAAAGGTATATGACTTATACAAAGAAAAATACAAAATTATTAATATGATTTTATAATTAGGTTCTCAAAATAATATACATGGGGCTAGTTATCCTGCAAGTTGGCAGGATTTTAACAATAATTTCGATTCTTTCAAAAGACTGGATGATTGGGTATTTAATGAATACTGGAAGTGGTTGACGAATGAAGCTTATAATTATAAGGCTCAAGATAAGATTATACTATTTTTCCATTTGCTTGGCTGTGATACAACTGGTCATTCTGCAAAACCACAATCCAAGTATTCATTCAATCATATAAACTATAACTATAATTTATTAATCATCAGTTGTAAAGCTTACTTATTTTATCATCAGAGATTATGTGGAAATAATGATGGCCTTAGATCGTAACATAAAGAATGTAGTTCAAGAAACAGAAGAGTACTTTGGATATGGCACCACGTCATATATATTTACATCAGATCATGGAATGACAGACTGGGGTTCTCATGGTAGTGGTTCAACAGATGAGACTGAAACTCCCTTTGTTGCCTGGGGTGCTGGTATTAAAAAAAAAGCTCAGTTCTATAATATTGAGCAGGCTGATATTACTCCACTTATTTCAACTCTTGTTGGAATACCATATCCTCGTAATAATGAAGTAAGGATATGAAAAATTATTCAAGAACAATTTTTAACAGTTTTTTTTGCAGGGAATATTACCTATTGAGATATTAGATGATAATTATCAGAAATATATAGCCAATGCATTTTTTACAAATGCAAAACAACTTGCAGAACAGGTTAAAGCTAATAGAGAATTAATGGTTGGAAGAAGCTTGGCAAATATTTATAATAAAGATAAAGAACTCAGTCAAAAACTCTTTACTACTGAACAATTTTTACAAGAAGGAAAAATAGTTCAAGCTATAAAGGATACAAATTTGAGCACAAAATTAGCTAAACAAGCACTTACCTATTACCGCAATTATCTATCACAACGATTTTTATGTTGTATGTTAATTATGTGGATTAGTTGGATCATTATTTTATTTTTAGATTTATCCAGCGTTCCAAAAGAATTTATTGAACCCATATGGAATTATGTAATTATTATAGGTTTAATAGGGATAACAGTTCCATTAGTTTTAGAATATGCTGGTAAATATTATATTAATGTTTAATAGATAATACTACTCAGGATAAAAGATAGGATATGATAGAAATAATTATGATTTTTTATTTTTCATAGTTGCAGGTTGTAAAGATGGGAGATTATTGGGATATGGTCTTATATGCAACTTTTCAGTATGGATTGCAATCAAAAAAATTATAAGTAATGAAATATCTTTTGATATGACTTCTAAAAAACCCTTAAGGGAATTTGTTAGCATCCTAGGTATAACTATTATGATGATAGTTGGACTATATTATAGATGGACATTTAGTATTAGTATGATAATAGTAGTTTTTCTACTAAGAACAATTTTTGAAAAAAGTACAAATCACCGTTTAACAATAACTGGAGTGGCACTTTCAGTTTTTCCTTTATTCCCAGTTGTCGGACCAGTTCCAAGAGTATATTTAGTGTAAGCAATGCTATTTAATGGACTAAATACTAATTAAATTAACATACCTTAATAATAGAAATACATTTTCAGATTAGTCGCAATATTTATTGGGATGGTAGTTGTTATGAAACAAAAAAGATTAAACAAATGCATTAAAGTAATTGAAATCATACGCTTATGTTTGACATCTGTGCTGACATTAAATATTATTGATGGAAAATCATGTTTGTCCTGGTTTTTACTATTTACGACACCATTAGTGATCTGTCTTCATCCAAGAGAATGGGATAGAAGAATTATTGGAATAACCATGGCTTTACTGAGCCCTTTAGCTCTCCTATCTGCATCTCATGAACCAATGTTTTTTTTAATTTTATCAGCCCACTTACAGCAGTGGCCAATTCATGTTAATGCAGAAAGATGCTCATCAAATTCGAAGAGAATGAATTTAAGTAATTTTAGTGTCGCATCGATTCTGGTATCCTTTTAACGATTTGGTCACTAAACATAATGCACAAAGAACTATTATAATTGAATATTTGATTCTACAAAACTTTTCTAATGTTATGTATTATCCTTAATGTTCTTATTCAGATGATGTACACATTAATTTGTTTTTTTGGAACCGGAAATATGGCCAGTTTAAGTTCATTTGACCCAACTTGGACAAGGCATTTTTTAACAATTTTTTCGCCATTTACTATGACTACTCTGATTTTAATAAAAATAATGATTCCGCTAATCCTAGTTGGATGTCTGATTCAAGCTATGGCTCGAGAAACAACAATTTTTTCATCTGTTCTTCTTCTTGGCGACTTCCTAGCTATACCACTGATGTTTGGAATCACTAATCAAGGAAGTTGGCTAGACATAGGTAGTAGCATCAGCAGATTTGTTATTGCGATTTCACTGCCATGTCTATTAGTGATTGTGTACTATTTAAGCAAACCATTAACAGCATTCTCTCTTATAAACTGTGGTAGGCATTACAGTATAAGCAATCAGAGATTAAAAATATAACGAAATGAATGTTTATGAATTCTATGAGAACAAGTTAAAAAGAATGTTGATTAAGCAGAGACAATTGTGTATATCTGTAAAACTTAGAATATTTTAGAAGTGAAATTAATATATTTCAAGTCAATGAATGCAAAGCAAATGAAGTATTGAAATAATGTGAAGTTTAAATTATTATTTACATAGATAAAAAAACTATTTACATAGAGTTTAACATTGTTCATAATAAATAATAAGTAATTTAAAATTTGAATTCCTTGTATTTTTTTGATTTCGACGACTCTTGTTGCGTTTGTTGACGTTTTCTTTTTGACTGAAAAAGTAAAATGAATAAAAGTACATACTATGGTCATTAGTATTCAAATTAAGGTAAGTTAAAAAAGTTGCATTTAATAATATTACCTTGGAACGCTGAACGTGATCTTGCAACATATCTGAAAGATCTTCGTTTTTTAATGCTTGACGGCTTCTCATAGTTTCTTCATAACGCGTAGCCATAGCTTCGGAATCCATATCGAGTTCACTGGGATCCAGCGCTACTTCAACAGCCCCTTCTTTTTCTGTTGCACGAGAATCTGTAGTTGACGTTGCCCCACGTCGAGCGGCGATAACCGAAGGTGGAGCCTGTCCACCGGCACCCGTCATATCATAAACATGAGTACTTCCCATCATACTATTGCCAAGACCTTCGGTTCGTTTCTCATGCAAGACAGTATAAAGAGCTGGAGTATCGCCACCCTCCATTTCGCTTTCAATCTTTCTCTTTCTGAGTTCTATTGTCTCTGGTGTCTCTAATCCTGCGGGAATGGATGTAATGCCGCTTGGAGTTACAAGTCCTTCTGCGCCTGGAGTAACCAAACCAGTTGTGTCTTCTTTATCTGAAAAGAAAAAATTTAATTTGAATAATAATATTTAAAATAAATATTTAATTTTTTGAGTAGTCTTATTATATAAAGTAATTTTACAATTAAAAAAATATATAAATAAATGTACCTTCTTCTTCATTATCTTCATCCTCATCATCTTCATCCTCTTCTCCCGAAGATTCTGATTCAGGTTCTCCCCATTGTGTTTTATCAATCTCTTCATCCATTGCATCACCGTTGGCATTCTTCGTTATGCCAAATACATCTCCATACAAAGGTCTACCAGTTTCATCAACAGGAGGTTTGCCCCAACCACCAGCATGGTATCCAAATGCGCAACCCTCTGGAATAGGAGCATTTAATCCTGGGATTTTGAGATTAGGATAACTGGGTGGAGGTCCATAACGCTGCATAGCAATCAACCATGGAGGGGGTATTTTCTGACAACTAGGTCCTATAGGCATGCCAAGCGCTGTCCGTAATTCATCTGTCAATTCGCCGGGCTTTTTCTCTCTTAATCTTGTTTCATACTCTTTTCCTTCATAATAAAGATCACCATGAATGGACATTCTTGGTTTGGTTTGCCATTTGAAAAATGCATCATGGAGTTTCTGATAATCAATGTCAATTTTACCCAATTTTGGCCTAGCACGCTCTCTCATTTTGGCTTTTAAGGTTTTACCTTCGTCTTTTTCTTGCAAGCTAGCTCGCATTTCTGTGATACCAGTTCGTTTTATAAATGCTGGTAGGTCGAAAGGTGGTTTTTCAATACCTCTTTTACCCTGCAAATATTTTCTTTTGAAACACCAATGTCTAGGTACAGGCACTGTATTTCGATGAGCTTTTAGCTGCACAAGAAGTTTAGGATCCCTGGCTGTGACATCGTGCATTTCAACGACATCAGGTCTTGCTACCAATTGTTTGAGCTCTGCGACACTAAGCCTGGTAAGCTTTTTAAGCTTCCTCTTAGAAAGCTTCGGTAGACCATCTTCACCAATGCCCTGTTGGTTTTGTTGCGTTTGAATTTCTACGTCGTATTCATCTCTCAAATTTGTAGTAAGTTTCTGAGCAATAGCTCCAGCAGCCGCTGTCGCAGCTGTCAATGAGTCTTGAGGAGTAGTTTTTCCATCGTTTTTATCTGGTCCACACAATTTAAATGCTTCAAACACTTTGGCGAATTGCCTATACATAGGCTCAAGATCTTGAATTGTTGGAATCTCTTGAATATATTCAACTTCAGGTTCTGGTTCTCCATTTTGAACTTCGGTAACATTTTCATCGTTAGTTTTCTCTTGAACTAGTTGCCTTTGTTTCTTCTTTTTCTTCTTTTTCTTCTTTTTAGATTGACTGGTTTTATCCACGGATTCATTGATAACTTTTTCACTTGTATACACATCATTTTGTTTAAGGAACGGATTTTCCAAACCCGGAGGAATTACTACTTCCATAATTGATAGCACTCTGAGAATCTAATGAAAAGAATATTTAATCAAATAAGTACGATGATATATAAGTATTTACTGAGGCCGGACGAAGTATACACAATTGACAAAAAAAGTCTCACTTATGTAGCTACCGCCTGCTCCTAAACAGTAAACACTGCAAAGTTACAAACTGAAGGTTAGAATGACATGACGCTCGCTCATGCTGAGAACTGAGGAGAGTTCGGCGCGTGTGGACATACATTATAATACTTCGTAGAGGACGTAGACTTGACCGGTCATTGTCAAATATTATTTGTAAACATGACGGGAATATGTCGGACATGTAACGAATGAACAATATTTTTATAATTTGAATATCAATCATATTAATTTTCGTCACACAATAAAAGTTAAGTTCCTGCCAAACACTATAAATTAGGAAAATATCCGACAATTTTTTTTTGTTGATTTTTAGATATTTTTTGTTTTACAAACGCAACGATAGATAGTAATCATACAACTGATCGCAAAGGTAGGGTACAAAAGTGCTATTTACCGACTATCCCGAATTATCGTACCATTAATAATACACTAATAAAAAAGTTTGACAAGAAATCGGCGTAAGGCTTCATTCTGTTAATAAATCAGCATGAGCGAGCGTCATGTCATTCTAACCTTCAGTTTGTAACTTNTTTATTTATATATTTTTTTAATTGTAAAATTACTTTATATAATAAGACTACTCAAAAAATTAAATATTTATTTTAAATATTATTATTCAAATTAAATTTTTTCTTTTCAGATAAAGAAGACACAACTGGTTTGGTTACTCCAGGCGCAGAAGGACTTGTAACTCCAAGCGGCATTACATCTATTCCCGCAGGATTAGAGACACCAGAGACAATAGAACTCAGAAAGAGAAAGATTGAAAGCGAAATGGAGGGTGGCGATACTCCAGCTCTTTATACTGTCTTGCATGAGAAACGAACCGAAGGTCTTGGCAATAGTATGATGGGAAGTACTCATGTTTATGATATGACGGGTGCCGGTGGACAGGCTCCACCTTCGGTTATCGCCGCTCGACGTGGGGCAACGTCAACTACAGATTCTCGTGCAACAGAAAAAGAAGGGGCTGTTGAAGTAGCGCTGGATCCCAGTGAACTCGATATGGATTCCGAAGCTATGGCTACGCGTTATGAAGAAACTATGAGAAGCCGTCAAGCATTAAAAAACGAAGATCTTTCAGATATGTTGCAAGATCACGTTCAGCGTTCCAAGGTAATATTATTAAATGCAACTTTTTTAACTTACCTTAATTTGAATACTAATGACCATAGTATGTACTTTTATTCATTTTACTTTTTCAGTCAAAAAGAAAACGTCAACAAACGCAACAAGAGTCGTCGAAATCAAAAAAATACAAGGAATTCAAATTTTAAATTACTTATTATTTATTATGAACAATGTTAAACTCTATGTAAATAGTTTTTTTATCTATGTAAATAATAATTTAAACTTCACATTATTTCAATACTTCATTTGCTTTGCATTCATGACTTGAAATATATTAATTTCACTTCTAAAATATTCTAAGTTTTACATTACCTCAAGAATTAGAGATCTTCACACTATCTGTTATTTTTTCTTCAAAATTTTATTACAGAACTTAATTTTGTTTCAGTCGATACATATTGATACAACTTCTTAATAATATAATTTATTCATCCTTGTAATTTGATGAAAAATAAAAAAATAAGTTGGGAATTTTCTTATTGGTTTAACCAGAAGCGATTTGCCCTCTGCATTTTTTATGTATCGACACTGATGGTTTTAATATTATATTATTATTAACTTGTTTTGTTTTGTTGAAAAAGTCTTGGATTACATATCATAAATTATGTAAGTATCTTGAAAATGTTATAGTTTGTCGAATTTTATATCAAATTTATTAAAACCCTCTTAAAATTATCCAATTTACATTTTTTGATTATAAGCAATTTTCACATGAATATCGTTTTAAATAATATTTATTAGCATTGCTGACTGCAGATAATAATTATCTCGATCTTACATTTTCAGCAAAGAAATAAGTTATCTTGTATCTGATATGGTATTCATTGTAGGTATTTTAAAAATTTTTTTAAAATTTTTTGCACGAAAACATGAGATCCAAATGATTTCTATGTGAAAACTCGAAAATAAATCAAAATTTTCTTGTATAATCACTTTTTTTTTTAATGAGGTAAGTTTTGATCTACTCATTGTTTCGATAATCTAAGGTCATATTTGAAAATATCATCAAATTTTACGTTGAAAATAGTTGTAAAGATTCCATTTTCATTGAAAATAGAGTGTCCGGAAGTGGCGAAAAAACGGCCTCTTGAGACTTGATGGATAAAATGCAAATGGTTAATCAAGTAGTAATTCTTGAATAAACTTAAAATTTTAGTTAACAAGTTTTTTACAATTTAATTAATTTCCCTATAAAATTGTAAAAAAAAGACTAGTATAAACAATTATTTAACTATGGGCAGTCATACATTGTCATATAGGACACTTTTAAAATGAATACGTTTATAATCTTTGTATAAGTATCACAGTTATTATTTCCATTTACCATGGGAACTTTTATACTTGGTTGGATTTTCTCTTTCATCTTGGTAGGCCAGCTCCTCGTCAATCAGCAATTCAAAGTTGCCCATAGCTTCTTGACTTGGGCATTTGTTCCATCGAACACTGCTCAATTATGAATAAAAATATAAATTATTCGTTAATACCAAAATTTAATTCATACGGGTTACGAAGAAAAAAGGAAAAAATTAAAGATGATAAGTAGTACGTACTCGGGCACGCCATCGGATGGAAGTACAAGCGAGACAATATTATCGATAAGCTTATACTTGAGGATGCGGTCGTTGACAGTGGTCGAGGTGAGGGACGGTGAGGCATTCACCTCGATCAACCAAGGCTTGAGCTTGTTGTCGATGATGATGTCGTAGCCGTAGCACTCGAAACAGTGCCGGTCGTTGGCCATTACCGGCGCGACAGCCTTTAGCGAGTGCACAATACACCAGGATATGTTGGCAAAGAGCTTCTCGGTCACCGCTTTGCCTCGCGTGCTCTCCAAATACAGCCGCAGATTTTGAACGCTCAATTTGCCGCCGTGCAGGCTGTTGTATTCTTCCTGTCGTTATTTCACGAGCTTAACTTTGTTTCTACCGTGGTATTATCGTAAAGATCGCTAAAAATCGACTCACTCCGTGTTTCTGCACTGAAACATTGGTCAAGTGTACGTACATATTGTCAAGTTCCTGGATGCTAGTATCGTATTTCACGGTGCAAAATCGGCAAAAGCCCAGTTTGAACAGGTATGCCTTCAGAGGTCTAAACGACGTAATGAGCACGTACAGACGTAAATCAAATTTTTTCCCACCTATCAGCAGTGGATTGTCTATGTACCTGTATTATGAAGCTACTTTTTCATGAATTGCGGATGTAATAATTTGTACGAATATTTAAAATACTAACTCACCTTGATATAACGTAAGACTCTTTGGTAAGATTGGGATTGAAGGGGTTGCGCGCTTCTCTCGACCATTTTTTCAGTTTGCTCAATTTATTGATAAGAAAAATGCCAGCACCTTGCGACTTGCCACAAGGTTTCATAATCCACGTGCTTTGTGGCGATTTTCTATATTCTTCCACGAACATATTGTAATCTGAGTCAATATCAGCAGTTGATCAATTCGTATGTGACGAGTTTGAAAAATTAATATAAAATTTAATTCATCGTTCTTATTAATATCAACAGCTTACATATATTGTACGACTTTACCAGCAGGTAAAACAAATGTCACTGGAATAAAATCCAAGTGAAGATATTTTCCAGGCCCTTCTCCTCGTTCAGCCAATGGATTTCCTTCTCTCTCTAAATCTTTGCGATAACGCTTGATATTTTTAACTAGTAAATCTTTTCTTGTCAGTTCATAATGGTTGGGAAAATGATTGATTGTTCTGAAAAGGCGAATAAAATTTAGATTTTTATTTAAATCGAAATCGGTGTGCGAGCCTGCTTAGAGTATTACTGATTATCACCCATACGATAACCGGTCTCGATACTAAAAATGTTTCTGCATGATTGCGTGACAGCCCTGAAAAAACAATTACATTACTAGTCAATACAATTCGTTTTTTTAATCTTAAGTATAACGATATAAATAGTTCAAAACCAATAGAAATTCCAATCGTCTTCAGGTGTCACTTGAGCCCAGCCTCGCTTCTCAAAATTGTATACAATCACAGATTTGTCCATATCCGTGCAAAATGTTACCTTCGTTTTATCAGGTCCAACAGTCGGGACTCTGTGTACAAGAATCGAAAATTTTGATATTTACTCATCGACCATTTGAGCTTAGAGAATATTCATTGCTCAATTTCTACATTGTGATTTGAATCAAATACATATGTAAAAAAATAGTGATCTTTAATTCAAATCCAAGACCGTTGTTAAAAATAAAAAAGTCATGAAGGACACATAAAAATATTCACTCAAATCTCTCATTAATAGTTTGATTCATCAACTTGTTTATTTTTGAGGTGTTTTATCTTATGAATTACCTTCCGTAAATGGAGGACGAATGTTGATTAAAATTTCTTTTATTTTCCTGATTGGACATTTTTAATTTGTTTTTTTTTTAATAAACTTTAATTCAAACTAGATGAACGTTATAAACAACTTATCCATAAAACCACTAGGATGGTACAGGTCGACTAATCAACATCCGCGTTTACTAGAATTTAATCGATAAAATGTAAAGCTGTTTGGGTCTATATGGCAACGCTCGGATACACCTTTGTTGTCAAGTATGAAAAGCATTCTCTACAATTATAAGATTGCACTTATCAAAATTATAAAGAAACAAATATAGATCAATGTGTCATTAACTAACTATGAAATATTTACAATTATATATTGATGATAAGAAGGACAGGGTCAAAAAATAGGCAGGAGAATGATTTGGCGGGCTTTGCACTATCAGACTGCTGCGGCATATGCGAATTCTTGGAAATCAAGGCCTCACGAGAAGTACACAGAATCTTTTGTTTTCAAACAACTTTCGTCTCGGTCAACTTATTCACCGGCTTTTCATAATATCATCACAGTCAAACTTTGAATAGGGCTCTTAGTAGTTCACTTTCAGCGCTTACTGCACGATCGTATAGGTCAATCCAAGAAGTATTAGTTTCTTTTGTAAACAAAAAATATTTTTGTTTTTTCATCATATTTAGTTTTGTTAATGTAAAACTTCCTCACTATTTTAATAGTACTAAGTACATGCTTTTTTCTTAAACAAACTTCTTAAGCTTTAACAATTTTTTAAATATTTTAAAAATGGGTCCGTCTCCCGCAAGAGGTCCGGAAGGTTAGTTGCGTCAATATTCATTTAGATCACATTTCGTATACAGTATTATATAAAAATAATTAATATTAATATTACTAACTAGTAATACTTGGCTATGATTGCGCTGCCTAAAATTTTATGGCACTTTTATGACTATGATATGAACTATGATATTAACTTGATATTAAAATTCGTTTTATAACTCATAAATAAATATGACATTGATTTTGATTTGTACAGTTGATGAGAATTTATCAAAATCTGTGGAGTCCTTTCAAGGGGCCATAAGAGGAAGGGGTATAGCAAATTTTACAGTTCCTTCTAAAAATTGTCTTTGTGAAAGACGGTACAAGAACATCATTTGCTTAAACTGTGGTCATTTGATGTTTGGCAGAGTTCGCTATCAGTGTCCAAAACACAAAATGGTTTGTTCTCCATCTACTTTAACATTTATTATTTTAATAAGCTATCTTAACTTGATCAATTCAACTTACTGCAGATAACTTTCCTCATTGACATAACAAATTGTCCAAAATGCAAATGTTTTGAATTCATGCTCAATGAGTTCGAAGTTGGAAACGAAGAAAAGTAAAGTTGCAATTCTAAATTTTTTATTAATACTTTACAAAATTATACTTAAATAATGCTGGTACTTGTAGTAAGATATGTGCTTACTAATAATAAAAAAAGTGTCATATTATTTACATAATATGCTAAGCTTTATTGCTATAAGTTTTTTGTAATGAAAATATCTCTTGTAATATGTATAAAATACATGACCGAATTTTGTTTATTTAACTCATGTAAGAGATACTGCATTAAAATATTTCACAAAATAAAGTAACTTTGACTCGTTATTGAAAGGTAAGAAATATTTATTTCAAGTCCAAAAATCCCAAAAAAGAAAATCAATCAATGTTTTTCCAAGAAGTAATAAATAAAAATTTCAAAATTTTGAATAATATTTAGATTAATGATAGCATTAAAGTTGAACTAGCTAATAATATTTTCCCATGACTTCTTTTTTTGAAAATTTTCTTGAACTTAACGAGACATTTCGTCTACATGAAAGAATGATTAAAGCAAAGTAAAAAAAATGTTGAAAAAAAAATTAATTTAATTATATAATATTTTAAAAAATAAATTGTTTCTAAACCTACTGCTAAATTTTGACTCAAAGGATTGAAAAAAATTATGAAATAATTAATCCCGTTTTCTGCTTGCAAATTAACATGTTACTTTTTCTTTAATATGATGATTCTGCAATGGTATGAGTTTGAATTCAGTACACATAGACATCTATAAGTAAATACAACGAAAAACTGCACAGCCTAAAAATCGTTGTTGACATACTTTTTGTGAATTCTGCATTAATTACAAAAGTGCTCTGATTAATTTTCATCAAATATTGTGAATATAAAAAAAAATGGTTTTCACAGAAAAATCAATATCGTATATAACCTTTGAAAATTAATTTTTTGTTAAGAAAGTATTATTTAAACTTTAATTAGCGTTTTTAAATAATTCTAAAAGTAAATTAAAAGTTTTCAAAATGATGCAACAATACATGAAAGAACTTGAACAAGTAGGTTTATAATCGCAGAAAATACATGTTTTGATTAACCAGTTAGGAATGAACACATATATGTAATATCACTTGAGCAATATAATTGTTTTAGGAACCCTTTGATCCAGATGAATTTGTGGAAAGATTAGCTTGGAGAACTGTTAATGATACTACAAAAGATAGAATTAAGGGAGTTTTTGATCCTGTACTCGTTCATGAAACTTTCCTGCAAGCCATAAAAGACTTGCAGGTACTAGAAGAACGTCAACAAAAAAAATGTGACAAGTTAGAAGTAGTACTAAAAGAAGAAGAAACAAGGCATTCTTTGGAAATAGGTGATCTTCAAGAAAGAAATAAAAAGTCTATAGAAGTATTTCATCAGTTAGATGAAAGAATAAATTTGGTTGCAACCAAAGTTCTTCATTTAGGAGAGCAATTAGAAAGTGTAAATACACCAAGATCAAGAGCTGTAGAAGCTCAAAAACTTATGAGACATTTTGCTGAATTTTTAGCCCCTGGACCTTTAATGGATCCTATTTTCACAGATACAACATCAGTAAGAAAATTTATTTGATATTATTTAGTAAAATTATATATTAAAAATTATAAAATTACGTTTTAGTTGAATGAAGCTGCTGATGTTATTCAAAAACTCCATGTGATTGCTCAAGAACTTCCTATTGAAAAATTTGATAATGCAACAAAAAAGATTGCATCAAAATATGACGAAATTGAAAGGAATCTGATAGAAGAATTTGTAAGAGCACAGAGTGCAGAAGATGTTGCAAATATGAAAAAGTTAGCTTTAATATTATCTCACTTTAAAGGATATTCTCAATGTATAAATGCCTTCATAGAACAAAGCCAAATTAGTTCTTTTGGTGGAAAAGATGTTTTTCAAGAAGTTATACCCATGTGTACAAAAAATTATAAACTTATTCAACAAGTTTTTGCAAACCCTGAACAAGTAATGGCAAAATTTGTTTTGAATATTTATCATCTAAGGTTGCAAAAATATGCTGTAGCTAAATTAGCAGATAAAACAGATACTGAAAAATATTTAAAAAATTTATATGAGCTTTATTTAAAAACTGTAAAGCTATCAGGAGATTTGAAAAAATTTGAAATGGGCACAGATGACACATATTTACCAAAATTGACGAGAAATATTTTTCAAAAACATTTAGACGCTTATATTACGTACGAAGCTTTTTGTAAATATTAAATTTAATTTTAAAAGGTATGTTAATAAAAGACAAAATACTTTTTTACAGGGTAGAAATAAAGTCGTTACGAGAACAATCTGCAGCATTGTTAATTCAATATTACGAGTCAAAAAATCATCAGAAAAAGCAGCTCCAAAGCGGTGGTTTTCAAGATTTGAAGCGTGATCTTCAAGCAGTGCTTAGTACACGTACAAATATCAATATTGCCCAAATAGAAAATTATGGTGGTGAAACTTTCTTATCTGAAGAATTAGCTATTAATCTCTTACAACTTAGTAAAAATTCATTACAAAGAGTTGCACTGTTATCTCAAACATCTGAGTTAGCAGCCAATGCAACTCAAATACTTGAAACTACATTACAGTATCTTATCAATGAACATGTTGACTATGCCCTTGAATTAGGAATACAATGTGTACCAATACCTGAAAGTCGAACTCAACCAGAGGTTCATTTTTTTACTGTTGTTCGTCAATGTAATGTTATCATCAAATTACTTGAGGAGCAATTTAGTGGAGAACTTTTACCACTTATATTGTAAGTAATATACATGACATTTTTATATCAATTTAATAAATTAATATCATTAATATTTTTTTGACAGATCTACTTCAAGGCATGCAGACTGTTTAACGAAAAAAAAAGTAGCATTAGAACAAATAGAAAATAAAATTGACACAGGCTTGGATCGTAGTATCAATGCTATTGTTGGCTGGGTAAAAGTATACTTACAAAATGAACAACGTAAGACTGATTTCAAGCCAGAAACAGAGATGGTAGATACGTTAAATACTCCAGCATGTCTTACTGTTTGCCAATATGTGTCTGGTCAAATCAAACACATAAGGGATAGACTTGATGGAAAAAATCTTGAAAACATATTAACTGAAATAGGAGTTCGTTTTCACAGGGTTGTGTATGAGCATCTCCAACAGTTCCAATTTAATTCAGCAGGGGCTATGTGTGCCATATGCGATATGAATGAGTACAGGAAATGTGTCAAAGAACTTGGAATTCCTGTAGTGACTAGCCTTTTTGATACGTTACATGCTCTTTGTAATTTATTGCTCGTAAAACCTGAAAATTTAAAACAGGTTTGCTCCGGAGACCAACTAGTGAGTTTTTTTCTTGATTTTTGTTTTCCCTTTTAGAAATGTTCTTACTTTAATAATTGCTTTTTGTTTTGCAGGCTATATTAGACAGAGGAATTCTTTCAACATTCATACAGTTAAGAACCGACTATAAAACCCAAAAATTGGCAAATTCTTTGAAAGGGCTAACAACTTAATATTTTTCACATTTTGTACTGTAGAAAGAATGTTAGTGTTGGTTTGTAATGAAAAGCAAAGCATTAAAAAGAATATACTAAAAAAAGACTGTATGAAATAAAATCATTGATGATTATATTTCATACAGTGCAGTTAGTTTACAAAGAATCAGAATTGTAATCAGAGCCATATTTAAATTATGCATTTTAAAAAGTTGAATATTTGATCAAACGACTATTTTCCCAAAAAAATTAATTTATTTTAAGGTTTGTGTGGGTCACCTAGATTATGTATATTCATTGGTTTTCAACTACGATTATTAATCATGAAATTTAAATTCAAATAATAAACACATAATGGATATGAAGTAAACAACAATTAAATTTGGTTATTTAAAAATCATATTATTCAAATCATGATCAGCACAAAAATTCAAACCAGAGGTCATTGAAAATATTTTTACAGTAATTTAGATGTATCATTATTGTTTTTTTAAACATTATATGTTACATATTAATAATAAAAACTCATTTAATTACATATTTGGATCATTATGTTATAACTGAACATACAAATCATAATAAAATTTTTTTACAAAATGTATTCAAAATTGGCAAAAAATATTATGTACTATTTAATTATTTATAATTTGTAAGAATAAAAAAATTATTTGTCATCTGAGTCAGCAGTAATGATGACCAGCAACAAGTGCTAAATGATAACAAACATGGGTGAACTCAAAACTTGCTATTTAACGTAATATAATTTAATTTAATTTAGTCAATTATTAATCGTTTGTGACTTTAATTACAAAACAATTACTTATTCATAATTGTAAAATTGAAGATTTATGCAGTCACGTAGTATTTCATATTTTAAAAATGTACTATGTAATTATTGTGGTCTTGACCATTATTTTTTAAAATATCAGCGCATACGGTAGTGATTTGACTCATGTACCTGACCAAGTTCACCTTTAAAGTCTATTTCAATTGTAAAGTCAAGATCTCTATAATTCCGTGCATTGGGCTCCATAGAGAAAGTACCATAGATTTCTTCTCCTTTTTTCACAGTCATGTATTCATCAAAATAGAATACTGTTTGTTTCCAATGCGTATATTGAGCTTCTGGAGCTGTGCTAAAACCGATCCTCTTATGACACTTAGTAAATTCAATGTTGAAGAATGTGACAAGAGCTTGAACATAGTCATTCCTACGCACTTGAAGCATGAACTGAGATGAAAAAGTTAGGTCAGCTTTGGTAACTGTGTACAAGTCAACTTCTTTTATGAGACAGGAATTTGTAACAACCTAAAATGAATAATGAGAAAATTGAATTAATTATGCAAAGAAAAATTAAATTGAATTTATAAATGTCATTATTCTCTAACCTGTTTTGGATCAACAACATCAACTAGAGGTTCACTAATGGCAACTTGTCGAATGCTACTCATATCAAAACCATAAACATCATCCCACCAATTTATTTTTTCATCTTTGTATTGTCGATCTTCAATTCCACAAATATATAAACAAGCTTTATCTGGGAATAACATACCATCTTCTCGTAGCCACTTATCTCGAGCAAAAAGCACAGTGTCAAGCATAGATTCATAAAATAAGCAATAGCCCATCCACTCAGATATAATGATGTCAACTTTTTCTATGCCGTCAGGTAAAACAACTTCTTCTACTTTTCCTTTAAGAATGGTAACAACATCGGATAAATGATTAGCTTCAACAATTTTTTTAGCATACTCTACAATATTAGAGCATTCAATTCCAATTACACGAGCTGCACCAGCTTTGGCAGCAAACATTGATAAAATGCCTGTTCCACAGCCAATATCAAGAACAATTTTTCCTTTGAATAAATGTTTGTTATGATACATTGAGTTGCGATAAGTTACTGTTCGAACTTCATCTTTCAACATTTCTTCATGAATGCCATAATGGGCATAAGAATCAAAATAATAGTCTCTAGAAGTCATATCTTCAACAGCAATATTATTTTCTTTGCCATTTGAGGAAGTGGCATCTTTATTAGTAACTTCGGTATTCACTGACTCAGCAACGTCCATGCTTTCCATTTTCGATTGTGTCTGGGAACAAAAATTTCATTGTTAACCAGATGCATGTTTTGAAAATAAAAAATAATCAATCAAGTGAAATTGATAAATTTCAAACTTAGTTATTTTAGTAGTTAACTTTTTTAAGCATCATTTCAAACGAAATTCCCATGTTAATTGGAATGAATTAATCATTTTAAGGATTGAAAATAAAATGAAATGTTACAATCATACTAAATGTAAAGTAAAAACATATCAATAAATAGATTGAATAAGTTTAAATATGAATATTTTGATAATTTAGCTAGCAAAATTATGTACATAAATACATGTGCATCAATAGTAAGGTTAAACGCGAGGTCGCACGAAACCGAATGACGAAAAAAAGTGTAAGTAGAAAATTGTAATTAATTTTAAAAGTGTCAACTTAATTAACTGTTTCGGAACTTGAATTTCATTAAATATTTAAAGGCATATAAGATTCTTAGACAGAGATGTGAAATTAGAAAATATCTACCACGCGTTGTATAGTATAACCTGAAAATGTTACATCAATAGTGAACCGGGACAATAAATGAATATTTCGTTAAGTGACATTAGTTTAAAATTTTCAGACATGTAAAAGAAAAATTAAAAATGAGTTACAGAAGTAAATTACAAGATGTCTTACCAAATTATCGGCTTTTAAGTTCTGAATGTCGTTGATGCTTGATACCGGCACTTGCTCGGCAGTCGCCATTTTGAGAATTTTGTGAAATATTATTATATATATATTTAATCTGTGAACTCAAGTTGCCGTACTGTGCAGCAGTGTGTACTGTACTACTGTTACTGTGTATGTGTGGGGCAGTTGCCAGTTAGTACAGTACTACTACAGCGTCGTATTGCCTACTGCGTGCAACGTCGTAGTGGAAATATGTGTAACTATATATGTATAAGCTATACCTACCTATTTTATAAATGCGTTGACCTGGCTGCTGACTGCGGTTTGCCTGACGCTGTACATACACCAATCGGGAATTACGAAATGGAAACTGCAGTTTTGGAACGAGATTTGAAAAACGTACACCGATTCAAGTTTAATTTCTGCACCAGTGAGAAAACGTAACGAAGTAGGGGAGCGCACGTGTGTATAAGGTATGCTTATAACGATAGTTAGCAGGCTAACAGGCAGAGCCTCTACTTAGCTACGTTTTCATTTCATTTCTTAAGATATTATTGTTCCAGAGAACATTTTTAGCTGTACTTACAATGAAAATTCAGCTATTTGTTAAGTAGTCCATGTTCTTAAAGTTTTCAATCATTTTTCAATAATCGTAAATCATTTTAATTTAAAGCTCAAGATTTTTTTCGATTTCAAGAATTAAAACAGGTTCCTAATACGTTTCAAGACTCGCATGTTCTGCATTTTGTTTGTTTCATTAGAACTTTGAATATTATACAAATTAAATTAGGCATTTTAAAATACATAGCCAGATTCAGTTGTTGATGGAAAATTTCTGCAATGAATCTATATTTAATAAATAATGACTCTTTATTTAGTTTTTATTTTGCTTTTTTTAGCATTTCGTCTATCTTGACAGTATGATAACGATCTATTGAAATAAAAATTGGAAAGTCTATCCAGTTTTTTCATTTTCTCTGCGTGAAGATAAGATCTTATGTTTAGTATTATTGAGTTTAGATCGGAAAGTTCTGATGTCAAGTACGAGACTAAATAAAAGGCTCAGAAAATTATTTTTTGTGCTACTCCAACCTAAAGTAACATTTTACTCCATCTGAGCAAAACCAAAATGTTACTTTAGGCTGGGGGATTCACAAAAAATTGTATTTGCACCTATGTAGCGAAAAAAAAGTCTCAGAGCATGTGATGGCTCGGCTTCGTCTCGGATGATAAATTACACGTGCTCTGAGACTTTCCAGTTTTTCATTCCCTAGGTGCAAAATATACTATTGTTTAGTTAGCGATATATAATTTATCTCTAGCCTCTATGAATATAAAATAAATTAAAATACTCATCGCACAAAGACAATAGGGAGAAAAAAGTCAACATATGACAAAAAGAGAATCGGAAAAAGTGCTCATTTTGTCTGTGGTAAAATAGATCGTTAAAAAGTACATTAATTTGTAGCATCTTTTAAAAATCCACCAATTTCATATGATAAATAGGGAAATGAAGGGGTAACACCATTCTAGGATTTTGGAAAAAAATGCCAAAATTTGGGAGTTTTTTGCTAATGATAGATTTTTTTATTTGAGATACTGAGGGCTAACAATGGCTATTGACATGCTAACAAATCTTTTTATTGCTTCATTATACTAAATGGCGAAGATATCTCAAATGTTTAAAAAAGCTTCTTGTATCTATCGTTGTCAGCAATCGTGCACACAATGTGCGCAAAAACCACGTTTGAGCATTTGTTGCATAAATAACTATTAATTGTTTTAAAAGTTACAGTTTTTTACCTTTTGTCGCATCAAATGCAATGAGTAATTGTCGTGAAAAAGTGAATACACTACTATTTTATGCAAAACGTTTAATTGTAAGTGTACAGAATGATGTCCGTTTTTCTCACTTATAATGTAGCTAGAGAGCATTTTAACATCACCGCAGGCGTACCGAGAAGTACTGAGTTGACTGAATTTGGTTAATATACATATCCTTCATAGAAGTTTTTTCATTTATTCATAAAAATGAATAGAAAAATTTTCACGACACACACTTGCTGCGGTCAATGCAGTCTCATGCGAATAGAATATGTAAAAACGTTTGAAAAAATTGAGTTCAATAGCTGTCCGAAATCGTTATTAATTTTATATTTTTTATGTTTTATTACGCTTTATAATTTCATATGATAGTTTGAGCTTATATTTTTACTCTTGTAAGTTTTATTTTCGCCGGGAAACGCATCTTAAAATTATTTTTTTCTATAAAACCACTAGGGAATTATTGCTAATAACCGAATAAAGTGGCTTTACACTTAAATGTATTTTATTTTTCCTGTTAGTTAACAGTCAGATATTTAAAAATCAATCAGTCTCATACAATTTAGTTTTATTCAGTACTCAAATCGAAACCATTGAGTCTTCAGAGAGTCATATCTCTTCAGAGAATCAAACTTGCGGATCGAGCTGAGATAATCTAAGTTAATAGAAGAAAGCTAAGTAGAAAGTTAAGTAAACAATAGTAAAAAATAAGTATGTATTGTATGTATAGCGAAGCGATGCTGTGTCTGCTCTGATACACAATTGCGATCCCATTGTGACACCTACAACAATCTTATGAAAAATAAAGTATTTTTGTTATTTAATCTTTTCATATGTGTAACTCAATAGAAGAGCTACATGCACACCTATTGAAAATTTGAGTGATGGAACTCGAGAGACTCTCGAACTGCATCGGCTGTAGCAAGTTGTCGAGAATATCTCTTGAAATCGGGGAGCGGCGTCCGCGTTGTAGTACATACGCTCGTATATAAGTATAATGTACGACAACACGACGAATGGAAAAAAAGGTAAAAAAAAAAGCAAAAGAAAAAAAAGGAAAAGCGCGCACTCGAGCGCCCACGTACTATCGACTCCGATCGGCCTATTCTGCTCGTGCATACAGCTGCCTTGTCATGCATCAGGCTGCAGCCCAAGTTATATACCTAAGATTCGGTTCGACGACGAGCAAAGAATAAAAGCGAATAAGACGGAGTCTGCGGAGAAACGGAAGCACCCGGATTACACGTACTAGCCCACATAGCACGGCGCACTCGAGCCTTGGCCGTATACTTGGCTACTCCGTTCAGCGCTGAGCTCCACATGCATGCACATTCATGCATTAACGCACATAAATATTTATCAACCTCACGGTTAAGCTCTGCCAGTCTGCAGCTCTCTTATAGTGGTTAGCGCTTCCTCTGCACATACCTACTGCACTCGCTCGCTCTCTCTTTCTCTCTCATTTACTCTATGAATATTATACCTCTATCTACATAAGCACATTTGCTGTCTCTTTTCTTCTTCCTTGGATCCTTGTGCACGGACGCACATATATATACATGCAGATGTACGAGTTAATGCACGTCTGTGCCGTGTGCGTGCGTGCAATGTGAGCGAGTATGTGTTCGCTCAAACACATACATAGCAATACAGTTTGTGTGTATATGAAAACGCAGTCCTAGCCCAATGCCCATAGGCTTACCCGTCGCGTACTGCGGCTGCATTGCGAGTAGCTACAGTCCGACAGCCAGGTAAGCCGTAAAAGCTGCAACTTAAGCGATTCTTCGTGACTACGAAAGTACGAGCTCCTATGTTATATATGCACAACTAAGAGCGACCGCTCACTGCTGTTGCTCCTACCGAGTGTTATTTTGTGCGCGCATATCGACTTGGCCAAGTCCCTTGACTGTTGAGATCAAGTTCAACCGCACGACTCATCGTTCGGTGCAGCGACGATCTCAGCCGATCTGATAACACCTGCTATGAATCTGGCAGCAGCCGGCTCCTCTTGCTTCTCCTGGACGTCGAGCAATCATGTTTGCTCGAACTCGTGAAGGTCATTCAAACGCCGTGACTGATACAGAGCCCAGCTGCCGCCTACGATGCGACTGCTCGTACTGCCATTGCCGCAACTCCTAGTTCTTCGCCCCGGTAAACTTGCGACGCAGATATTTGTACTCGCACACGTGATGCGTAATCCAGTCTGTTTGCTGCAATAGAGTATCATGTCACTCTGAAGCTTACGGACAAACTGATAACCCAATAATGAGGCTACAGCTGCCTGCTAGGCCAGTGTTGAAAGTGCTCATTTTTCTGTGTATCTCAATTCAGTGATTTGACTTTAGGCTAGGAACAAACGCCTTTTGCATCCACTTGTTATGCCTGCTTTTTACAAGTTCAATGCATTCATGCACTATCAACATTTTCATTTAGACAACAGTCAATTACTTCAAGTCTGCTTACATGAGCTTGAATGAGGTACATGCTTTATTTTCATTCAAATCCTGTACATTTACCTTTGGACTAATCTTTTAATCAATTTAATATTGATTTTGGCTCAAGTGTAATTTCATTTTCTTACTTGTTAAATTTATAACAAAACCATTGGAATTAATATAAAATATATGTCTAATTTACATGATTTTGTTAATAATTTTTATTTTTGACAAATTTTCTTATTAATTTTTTTATTGCAATTTATAAAAATTCAAGATTAATAAAATATTTTTATTTTTTAAATAGGTAAATTAATCTAGAATGGCTAATAATCAATTAGGCTATGTACAGCAGTATTTGCTATTTGCATATGGAAAAAATCTGAGGATGCACAGATGAAAACTATGACAGATATGTGCTCCCGCGAGCCAGCACCAAGTGTGCTTCAGCACCATCATTCAGTTCTTGGTAAAAGCAACGGCAAAAATTCTTCAAACTCTAGCCATCAGCAAATAACGCAATCCACTCAGATTAATCTTCAACATCAAGGTCACTCTCAACCTAGACCAAGTTCATCAGATAGTAAAATTCATGGCAATAATGGTCATGATGATGACAGTGGACATATTAATGGAGCAAATATCAATAATACTCCCACTCCTGGAGGCAGGCTCAAGTTTTTTAAGGATGGCAAGTTTATCCTTGAATTATCTCACCGCCGGGATGGAGAAAGAACAACATGGTTTCCAGTTCCAAAAAAGACTTTCTGGCCTCCTGCTAGTGTTACACCTAACAGGCAAGAAAGTTCTGCATCACTGAGTGGTAAGTTTCTAAAAATTATTATTAATTTATATACAGTTTATAATGTGTTGTTGTATTCTAGCTATTTAATAATCTTAGAATCAGTGCACTAATTATGTACATGAAGAATTCTCAGATAACTCTAAATTTGATTAATTTAATGGTTACTCACTTTAGAATTTGTACATAAAAATACCTCAAATAAATATTTTGTATTATGTATGTTTCAGTATCTGATGATAATTCATCTATTCAATCAAGTCCATGGCAGCGCGACCATTGCTGGAAACAAAGCAGCCCTAGAAGAAATATTTCGACTGAGTTCACATTTTACTACAGACGATATCCTAAAACACAAGTTAGTGTTCACCCGAGACTGATAGCCCGTAAAAGAAGACAGCCTTTTGACTCCAGTTCCTCAATTACGCAACTTAAAGAGTCAATTGCTGTTAATCAACAAAAAGCAGTCATTATTTCTGCTCCTTCAAAACCATCGGTTAAACTAAATCAAGTTCGAAAGTTAAATGGAGCACCAGCAAATAAAAGTCTTAATATTATCATTGATAAGCTTGCAAGACTTTTGGATCCTAATGTAGTGTCACCTCGTAAGCGCATTTTACGCGAACTAGAGAGAGTTAGCTTAGAAGATCAAGCTTCAAAAAGAAGAGCTACTCCACCACATACTTCCAATAATAGCATGGTTCTGAACGTTGTAAGATAATAAATATTTTTATTTTCATTATGAATATGATTTCGCCTTTATTGTTCATTGAAATATTTATTGATTGGGAATTTCAGGTAAACGAACCAACAGTCTCATCAAATAGAATGCCAACAGTATCAATAGCAATGGCAGCAACAACATCAGTACCAGCAACAAAACAGTTATCATCTTATAGTATAACAAGTATCTTAGGAGAAGATAAACCAAGTGTTGAGGGTGAACCAGGGTTCTTACGTAATCTTCTGAAACCACAAATACAACAGCCGCAAATACATCGTTCTCCTCAACCTCATTGTTCCCCACAGCCCCATCGTTCCCCTCAACCTCACCAATCGCCTCAACCTCATCATTCTCCGCAACATCAGCCAGTATATGGACGCTCATCTCGGATTGACCCTGGCATGGCGTATCTTAATTCATCGAATGTTTCAATGCAACCACAACATCCGCCTATTTATGGGTTACCGTTGCTTCCACCCGCAGCTTATCGAACATCACCTTTTTGTTGGATGCATTACTCTCAACCAATGCATTATCCACCACCAATGCTATATACAACCCCACCACAACCCCAGAATCATTCTTCCTCTCCCTCACCTCCTGCTCATCGCTTCAAAGACTACAGGGAACAGACATTAACACCACCCTCAGGTAAATTATGCTAATAAATTTTTTATTTTAATCGGCTTTGAGATAGCAAAAAATTTGTGATTATTTTTGAATTCTTAGAATGTAATATGAAATATTTCATCTCTATAATTATATTATTTTTTACAGATGTGCCTCTAAATTTATCGAAGCATGCAGGGTGAATTTTGTAATCCTGAATACTGGTGCCTTATTTTTGGATAAATTTTCAACCAGAATAAGTAAATTTTAATTAAGTTAGTAATATACCTAAACACTGCCTAAGCAACGACAATGCGATAGAGTATAGTAAATTAGTATTTTTCTACCTTAGAGGTAAATTAGTGAATATGTCAATAGTTGGTTTAATACCATTGTTTCCAACACAACTTCGAGTTTCTTGCTCTAATTTTTCAATTATTGTTCTGCTCAAATTGGTATATTCCCGTGTATAGTTTATTTAAAAGTTACTACATCTTAAGTATATCTAAAAAAATGACTAAGGAAGTGGATGACACTTGTGCTTTAATAAAATCAATGAATTCGTAGTAAATATATGCTTTGAATTTGAATATAATTTACTCATTATGAGAAAAAAGGCAACATAAATGTAAAAAATTAATATCATTCTGCGTATCATCGCAAATGACTCACGTGTTTTTATTGTACTCTAAAATATTTGCTGTAAAAAATAATTTAAAACATTCAAACATTTAATGTTGCAAAGATTTGTGCATTCAATTCAGTATTTAAAAAATATATTAAAATTACTCTATAAATTTTATAATGTTCAGTATTTTCAATAATTATTTCGTGAATCTAAATTGTTTCAACCTGAAATTAAAATAAGTCGAGAGAAAAACTAATTTCTAATGTTAAAAATATTCCAAAAAATTTTATATACCAAATTGTTTGTATCAAATCTATAGAAAAAGAGATTTACTCAGAGTTTACACATAAATGTGATATTTATCAATATATATAAAATTCAAATGAAATTAATTTTGCGATTGCTCTACAATTATTTACATGGATTCACAGTTGTTTTGTAATACTTAACATCAAAGTCGTTGGTTTTGAAGAAAGTGATTCATACAAATTAAATGATTATCATTCAGATTTCATAAAAAGTCAGTATTTAAAAAAAAAGCAGTGAATCAAGATTCAAAAGCGGTAGTTGGCAGAGTACATTCTCTGTTTTTTACCAAGATATTTATCATAGTGAAGTTGGATACTTGAACAAAAAAATATTTACTAGGAAAAATACCAAGAGGTCCTTTTTGCCAATTTTTTGAAATGGCATTTTTATATAAATAATATTGTTAGTTAATAAAAAAAATTATCAGAACAACGCATATCTGAAATATTTTTATAAATGCAACTTATGTTAATTAAATACCAAGCAATTTAAATGGTTTTAATTGGTTGGTTGATAACAAAAGTTACTGACAAAATTGTTATTCGAATTAGTTTATTATCAATACAAGCTATACTTGATAACTAGTAGTGATTACTTTTAAAACAAATGTAAATACCGATACTTCAATAATTCAGGACTTTTTGTTACCCAAACTAAGTATAGAATCTAAAAATCTAATTTTTACAACATTTTTGATAAAGTAGTAATTTTATGAAGAAATCTTGACAACTTGAAAAATTATTATTTTTTTTTTTTACAAAAAATCACTCAATGTTTTCAAAATGAAAAAGTTGACTTAAAAACATTGAGTACATATTAATATTGCCAAAATTCTGTCAAACAATAATTTTACATAATTAAGATTGAAGTATTATAACATTTTTCATTTTTGGTACATTATAATTTTATAATTATGAATTAATACTCACAGTCATTTGAGCAGAAGCATGTAAATATCAAAGTTGCAAGAACTTTTTTGGCAAATGCTTGTCTATTAAAAACCTTGTACATATAAAAAAACAAATTCAATAGAGACTTTCCTTCTAACTGCTGCTGAATAATTCTTTTGAAAAACTTTCTGAAAATTTTATAAGTCTATGATTGAGAACTAATTATGCACATTAATTTTATTTAAATTGAAAGTTAAAGCGGTATGTTTTAGCTAGAAGTATTACTTAAGTAAGTATTACACAAGCATGATGGGAAGTCAATTTGCAATATTTTGTATATTATTATTGATGTTATCATTATTTCTTTCACTATTGTCATGATTATTATTCATTATTATTATGATTATTATTACTATAATATTAACAAATATCTCAAACATCCATAACCGTTTTTGGAGTTTATTATCAATTTATTATAAAGGCGTCTTAACAAAGTCCAGTTTTCTTTTATTTTCTTAAACATAAACATGAATCGTGAACTATAATACTTTGATATTTTATAGCATTTCAAAGTATTTTTATTCAGTAGATATATGGAAAAACTTACTACTACTGTCTCGTAACTGACCAGCGTGACGTGTTATTTAAATAAATAATAATTAAAATGAAATTTTGATGCACTGACAATTTTTCATGTCTTTAAATATTATTTTTCCAGAGAAATTTTATAGCTGTTTTCATATAATATCAAATCTTATTGTCGTAAGATAAATAACTCTATAATGATCCGAGACGGAGCTAATCGTTTAAATAGTTTCCAATTATCTGCAATAAATCTGAATAATTTCCATGCAAATACTCAATTTTAAAAACAAAAATGAGTTTCTCATAAATTTTAGGACACGTAGGTTCATTTGTATATATGGATTTCAGAACCCAAAATAAAATTATAGCTCAGTAGAATGGTTTGTATTTTTAAGCTTTATATCTGTCTATATGTATATTCCTGTAAGGAAGAAAGTTATTTTTCAACTGTTATTAGGCCTCATTTTTCACTCAATACTCCTCATTTTTGAAAAAATGGTATTTTCCCGGATTTTTTTGCCTTTTAAGTGTTGCTTTTACGTCTTTTTTGAACCTCATAATTTCTCCTTATTTCGTACTCCTCCTACGTCTCTTTTGTTTCTCCTCTCGTTCCTCTTTTTGATCCTCCTCCCACGCTCGAGTGTGCTCCTCCCTGTCCTCATCTACTCCTCAAATTGTTTATTTACTCGAAATTTAACACAAACCTTTGAACAAATGGTTTGTATCGTATACACTTCTTCCCGTCGTATTTTACTCCAAAAATTGTTTGTGTTCAAAATTTACAGCAAAAGAATTGCGTCATTAATAGGGCTGTGTGAGTACTCGAGCTTTTTCGAGTACTCGCCATGTATTGGAGATGTAAGTGAATAAATAACGAATTAACAGTCTCTAGACCCCTCCCTTTGTGTGCACATGCTGACAAGTGCGATATTCGCAGCTGATTGGATTGAAAGAAAAAAATAATTTTATAGTACCACATTTCATCACACTTATCAGCACGTTAACACAAAAGAAGGGGTCTAGAGATTAGCGGTATGCGAGTACTCGATTTTTTGAGTTTTACTCGACTCGAACTCGGCATGGGCTCGACGAGTCGAATCGGAAAAATGCAAGTACTCAAAAAACCTCGAGTACTCGAATATTTTCGAGTTTTAGCTAAATAAATGATACATTAACAAAACTATGAATGTCCACGTTGCATGTGCATTCTCCGAAATGTTATGTTCTCGCAACGGTTGTATTGTGAAAATACCAATGCTTCAAGTAACTAACACCTAAGAGCACGCACATGCAACGGGAACATTCATTGGTTTATTAATGCACCATTTACTTAGTTCAAACTCGACAACATGACGAGTACTTGAAAAAAAAAACTGGACTCGATCGAGTCGAGCTTTTTCGAGTACTCACAGACCCCTACTAAAGATTATTAATTTATCATAAATTCATTTAAAACTCAAATTCATGGCAAGTACTCAGAAAAACTCGACTCGCCGAGTATTTTCCTCGAGGTCGAGTCGAAAAATCGAGTACTCGTTTTTTTCGAGTACTTGAGCTTTTTCGGGTTCTCGAGTTTTTCTGAGTACTCGCACATCTCTACAATCTACTATTAAATTTATTGCATCAACTGTGTAAAAAGATAAATTTGTCCAAATTGCTTGAGCAGCAATGTTATTTAACATTTGTTCAATGCTATATATAATGGAAAAAAATCTAGAATTTTAGGGAGAAACCAGAATTTTGCAAAAAAATATTTCATTTTCCGTTGAATAAATACGATATAGAAAATTCGCTAAAATAGACAATCTCAATGAAAATTAAAAAAAAAAATTGTATGTGGGATTTTACAAAAATTTGTAGCGTTACTTAACATACACTTAAGAGAACCCATACACCTTAAACTCAACATTTTTTTAAATGGATTTTTGAGGAGTTATCCTCCCCTTTTGATTTCATTTTTCGAAATTCCAAAATTTTGATTTTGCACTGAGATACAACTGTTTCCGTGAGCTTCATATTCTTATACTCTACGTGTAAATTTTTTTATACTTCTGCGTTTTCTGGAAAGTAGTATTTTTGGTAAGGCTGTGCGAGTACCCGAGTTTTCGAGTTCGAGTTGATTTAGAAAAATTCGAGTACTCCACTTTTTTCGAGTACTCGAGTTTTTTCCAGTACTCGCAATATATTTATTTACTTAAAACTTGAATACATTGCGAGTACTCGAAAAAAACGCGAGTACTCGACTCGAACTGGAGGAAAAAACTCGAACTCGACGAGTCGAGTTTTTTCGAGTTCTCGCACAGCTCTAGTTTTTGGTGATCTATCGTAACTTTCAGAGAGTAATGATTGAGCTTCAGCACCAGGGTCGAGCATACTTTTTCAGAACATCGATCGTTACGGTCACTACCTCGGATGAGACAATCGAACCAATAGGTCACTCTCAAACAGAACTTTTATGACTTAAATTTCGGCAATAACGAAAAATGAAAAAAAAAGATGCTTAACTGTTCATGATTTTACTAAAATGGTGTGAACAGCGAATAATTAAAGGTTTAATTTAATGTAATAAGTATATGAAATTGTGAAATAAGCAAAGAAGGATTTCTTATGTATGCGTATATCTTTTCTAAATTTCTTTAAATTTTTATTTTGCTTGTTTTTAATTTTTATCTATATTGGTTCAAATGGAGGGTTGGCGAGCGGAGCGAGCAGGTGGGCGGAGCCCCCCTTTAGTATCTTATAGTGTTATATGTAATTTTTATAAGTAATGAACAAAGTAAAAAATTTTTTTTTAAGAGGGATACCCATCCTAGTTTTATCAAAAGTTCTTTTTCAAGAATTAATTACTCAATTACATTTTATTTTTCCATGACATTTCACCTAAACTAAGAGTCTTCACTGCTTTTTAAAATGATATTGTACTCAATTAAGTATTATTTTTGCTCAAGAGCATTCGGGTACAAAAGGTCTTGAATGGTGATGACAAAACCTAAATTTGAACTTGAAATATCTAAACAAATAAGCATGTGTTATATTCTGTTCAAAAGGGTAATATTTAAACACTAAGCAAAAATTAATTACTTTTTTATCGTTTCATTATCCCTTGACCTCGTTATGTCGTTTAACTTGAAATGGTTCGAGTTTTTTTAGAATATAAAATTTTGAAACTGAGTTTTTAATTAAACAATTATAAGTTACCTTAAGCTATAGGGTAGTTTGAATTACGAATTAACCACTTCCAATTTATTGGCAGAGTTTCCTCATAAAAATGATCGATCCTATTTTATTTAAAAATGCTAACAAAGCAATTTTTCAAACTTTGACTGCGAAAAAATAAAGATAAAAACAATTTTTTACTTTACGATGTAACTTTTGAAATAATCGATAAATCCTAATGTTTTTGATCTTCTTAAATTAAAGCTTGGCTGCTCATCTTCGAAACAAATTAACCCTAAAAAAAGCCAGGAAAAGAATTTAAAAAAGAAACATGAATAATCTTAATAACTTTGAAAATATTAAACAGATTGAAATAAAACTTTTCGGGATTCATCCTTAACATAATCGACGGTAAATGCAATATTATATGCAATATATATACAGACATCAGTCACCAATTCTGTCTAGTTTACGAATATGTAGTCGGAATATACCAGTCCCAAAAACTATCGTAGCGAGTTCTATTTTTTTTAAATACTCTTTGAAAAGAGTACTTTAAATTACTGTAGTCCATGAACACGTTTAAACCAACAATTTTTTTCAGTAACTTTGAGTGTTGCGCTCAAATACTACTGCTAATTCAATATTGACTCGAACCCATACACATTATTATATCACATTATTAAAAAAGACAAAATGTCCAAGGAATCGAAACAAAAAATTCGTCCTGATACAACAAAAATAGACCAAAATGGAAGCCCTTGAAAATTGACAACATTTCGATGAAATTTTTTGTTGCGATAATTTTGTTGAGTAGTATATTTTCCATTTGCTGAAATTCAATGCGAATGATTTTTCAATTGGTTTAAAAACTCTACTACTTTGTACAAAACGTTGGCGAAGAACTGTCGGGTGAATCGGTGGTATACATGTATTTTGTAAAATATGATTCCTCAATTCAATTGGGAAATAGACGCAGCGACGTTTTAAAATGCGATCAGTGCTAAAAGCCGTAACATTAGGCATTAAATTTGTCAACTGTCGATAGAACAGAAACAGAGCTTAATTGTTATAAATCATGAATTGGGGTTATATGAGGAGCGACATTGACGTTGCGGCTTTTTTAAGAACTTTGTTGGCGATGAGAGTGAGAGCAGCGGAGACTGCGGACCAGCGGATATAGCGGACTGCAGAGACGTGAGCAGTGCAACTGCCGCTGCGGTTAACTTGCGCATATAAATAAGCGACCTACATGTATATAGTTTCATGGATCACAGTGAGAATGTGTTAGTCAGTATAGTATAGTGCCGAGCCGCGAGCGTCGAACGACAGTACTCTCCTTGTAAATCCATGTGTACGTTTAAAACGTGCGTACATTAACGGAGCCCGAGCCATCAACTCTTTAGTAAGTACTGCTGCTTCCAAGTGCCACCGTAGCCCGTGCAGGCAAACGCCGAGAGCGTTTGCTTCTATTGGCGCAAACGGACACATAGCTACATCAGCCGGTGAGGTTTAATTATCATTTATCAGTCGACGCTCGGCGGCAGTCAATTGCGCGACCTGAAACATAAACATTCTCCGAGTTCGAATCAAAATATCCAAGTGTGTTTTATACATTCTCGATAGTTGGCCTTCTAATAGTTATCCTAACAACTCCGGCCACTGTTGCTGCAGATGCAGTAGTTGCATACGTGTACGGAAACCACCAAAAAGTTTAAGAGTGTTAATTTATCAAAATATTAGTGACAAAATCTTCAGTAGTAATTGTTGTTTCGAGGCATAATCGAACGCAAAAAGCGCGATTAGCATTCATCACACAACAAAGATAGCATCGAGGAAGTTCCCGTTGCACGTCCAAGAGGTTAGTTTATTGTGGAGTTATTTAGTGCGCGCGCATCTCCGAATCTAGAGTCTAGGGAGAAACGCAATTTCGGGACCCCAGTTTTTCACGAATCGGGAAGGTGTATAGTACTTGAGTCGTATACATGTCTAGATGCCAAGTTTCAGTCTCTATAGTCAATTCGGTCGGACGCACTCGACCGACCACCGATCAGTCCGCGACTCCACTCGTTCGTCTGTCCTAATAAGTGTAACGTATAAATATAGCTTTCTAGTAAAATAGTGCGCGTGTGCACGGAAAAATATTGATACTCTGCAAAACTTTTCGTTGCTTTTAAGTGGCGGCTACTTTTACTATCCGAAGCACCGGAATGTTTATTTGCCAACGCTTCAGTGTGCAGTAATCCATTTAAAGGTCCACAGCAGTGTATCTAGCTCGTGCGCGATAATCATATCGAGCTTCGTCGACCAAGTCAGACTGAAAGAATTCGAGTCGCGAAATGTATGTGTAGTCTGTATAGCCGTAGCTGCGTTACGCTTGTTGCATCGGACGCGTAGACGCTGTTGCACTTTCGGACTTGGCTCGTCGCCGCACTTAGTATACGAAAATGGCGGTGTCGATGCGCGCCGCCGCAGCCGACAACGCCGCTATTGCTGCTGCTGCTGCTGCTGCTGCTGCTGCTGCTACTATTGCATACGGCGCTAGTAGCTGAACATTTTCGTCTTTCATCCAAGTTTATCGGCCAACGCAAATACGTGTAAGATCATTTTCACTCGCGAGAATGACCATCGTGTAGGCTAGACCACGTGTATCTGTTGACGCTGCCGCTCTGTTCGAAAAACTCCAGAAAAACGTTTGTCCTGCTTCTCATTGAATTTTGCTTGTTACTGCTACAATTACTTTTTTCGAGACACTTGCTACTGGTACGTGTTTCACTATTCTTTGCCTATTTCTCGTTCTTTGCTTCATGGAATTTGCAAGATTATAAAAAAATCGCTTTGAATTCGTCTACGTGTTTACGTATTTCAGTGTACATAAAAATGTGCTCTGTTACCAAATACTCCACTCAGAAAACTCTTACTACAAAGATTTTTAATATTTTTAAACGACAATCACTTTAGTATTGAAAAAAAAAGTTATATATGCATGTATAAATATATTTATTACTGGTTAAATATATCTGCTATTGAAACGATAGTAATAGCTTTTGAGCTTGAACAAGTTTTGGTGAAATACTAATTGATCAATTTATTATTTTTCAGGATTGCCCATGCAGTTGTAATAAATATTACGAGTAAAGCGGTTTCATTCGTTCAACTACTTGTTCTTCATTGCTGAAAATCAAAACACGAGACGATGTCTCTCAATATCACAAAAGAAACAAGAAACAGTTAACCGTGCTATGTGATAAACAGTTCGTTACAGAAGTCATTATTGTGTACTGTGTACATGTGAAACAGTTTAAAAAGCGTTAATAATAATACGCCGATGCCGGCCGAATATCACGAATTACACGGTAACCACGAGAACGCAAATCTTGCTCTCGGGGGCTTACAAGATTCGAACAACATGACAGCCAACATGTACAGAGTTGGAGGTAAGTTTAATTTATTAAGCTGTTATTTTATTATTTTATGCTCTTTTTTTGTTTCATCTTAAATTTTGATGGAGATTATATTGTTGAGTGTAAGAAAAATGCAATTGGATGTAATAATTTACGTACAGTTAATACTAAAAATTCCTTGATATTCGTTCATTGTATTGTTAAGACTACAAATTTTTTAAATCACTATCATGTCAATGACTACTGAAGATAAATGAAAGAAAAAGTCATGAGTATTTTTCATTCATTTGCAGTGCGCATGGAATTGATTTAAAACATTATCATAAGCATCTTTGAAAAAAGTAATAAAATGAAGTTTCTATGATTTCATCTCATATAGTACTGGAGATTAAAGTTTTTTAAAAAATGAAAATTAAGTAAAGAAAGAGTATCGTCACATACATGCAGTGCTCGTAGACTAGAGTGTCGGTCGGTCTCGTTCTCCCCTTCCATTTCCATTAGCCGGGTTTACTCTCTTTCTCGCTCTCTGGTACCTACTCTTGTATCTCGCATATTCCCTCCTTTTCATCTGTCTCTCTCTCTCACTCTCTCACTCTCTCTCTATCTATATAGTAGAGAGAAGCAACTAGAGAGAGAGAGAGAGAGAGAGAGAGAGAGAGAGAGAGAGAGAGAGACAGAGAAATATAGAGAGAGAGAGAGAGAGAGAGAGAGAGAGAGAGAGAGAGAGAGAGACAGAGAAAGAAAGAGGACGAGAGAGAAAGAGAGAGATACCTTCAACGACAGTCGGCAACTCTCCCCTTAGAGCGTTAACTCTTCGATGCGTTGGGGAACCTATACTGACTACTCCCCCTTCCCCGAAAGAGAGAGCAATCCCCCCATCTTCAGTCGCCCACCCCTCTTACTTTTGGACAAACTATATACATGTATGTATATGTGCGTACGCGTACCTATGTATATATAGTAATGAAACAACCGTCCACCGCTCTCTTTTCACATTTCAAAGGCATATTCATTTAAAACATTATATTTCCGATGATTGCGTTCTGCCTACTATACGTACTCTTTTATTTCATCCACGGCTGTTTTGATTTTCAAAAATTTAATATATACACTGACAACATAATTTATGATTTATACCATATAAATCATTCGTTCAATTGAAAAATTGTTTGAATGTAAAAATGAATTTTTTTAGTTTTAATGAACATTTTATCGTTGCTGCAAATTTTTTTTTCCACGTCAAGCGTAACATGCCAACATATTTATTTCAAACTAAATTTACTTTTATAAAGTTCATTGAAAAATAAGACTTAAAGGGTTACATTTTTAGAAAATATCATATTTAAATGTATTCTATAAAAGTAAATAGTAAGATTCAACTTTATTTTTCGGCGTGTCACGTTGACGTGGCTTTGTCTATACGCATTTTATTATTTCATTCTATAAATAATCATATTTAGTATGTTGTTCAATTCTGTCAAACATTCAAGATTTTTTCAACGATACTCAACTAATAAAATTAACGCATTTTAATAATGTCAACAATAACCACTAAGCTAAAATACAAAAGATTCTGAATTTTATCTTGATATTCATTTTAATGAATCTATGAATGCAAGCCGATATTATTTATTTGGGCTAACACATCCCTGCTATGCGGTGTTCGTGTCGTCACGAACTGAAGGTAACATCTGCATGTAAAGGGAGATGTTTTCTTACAAGGCCTGCACCTGCACTCCGGGTTATGAATTAGCTCCAAAATTTATTTGGGGTCTCCTGGTACATAATAATGAAGCTCCCTATACTTAGTTTGATGATATTTTTTAGAGAATTTTCAAAAAATCTTTGCTATTTTCTATCTCAAGATAGAAGCACTACGAGAGCGATAGAAGCAAAACGAAAGCTGCTAAGAAAAAAAAAATTTTGAAATTTTTTGAAGAATCTGTCTGAATTTTTTCAGAATTTTCGAAATCTTCTATTACCCTGTTTTAAAGGTCTCAAAAACCCCTCGGAAAAACATCATTTTTTTCAATAACCTGTAAAATCCTCTAAAAAATTGGCCCTGAGGCCCATGATATTAAACTAAGCAGAGTGAGCTTCATTATCGGATACCAGAAGATCCCAACAAAATTTTGGTGCTCATCTATGAGCTTGAATTTAGCTTGTCTCCTTGCTAATCAAGATTCGTGAAATTAATCACCACAAAATTAGTACAATTACAGCCATAATGTAACTAAATACAGTAAATTAGATATACAGATAATATTTTTTTATATTTCAATTTTTCTTGTTGATAATTTTGAAACTTTTATAAAATGAGTTTATTTCATTGAAAGTTTTTATAATGATAATATTTAAAAACAACTTTATTAAATTTTATAGAGTTTATTTTAGATATTCTAATTTTCTGATTAACTATTTGCAAGATACTCTCTCTTTATTTCTTTTTCACATATGTATCAGTAATCATCATAAATTAAATCTCATATAATTTTCAGACTATGTCTATTTTGAGACATCCTCGGGATCTCCATACCAAATTCGGAGGATAGAGGAACTGAATAAGGTAAATGGTTATTAATTAAACAATAAAATTAAAAAATCGTCAATGTTAAAGTGGTTCTAAACTGAAGGAAAATTTCGAAAAATGTATTCAATTCTGAGATATTAATATTTCTATTTATTCACTTTAATTAATGCTTTGCTTTTGTTTCTTTCCAAATATAACTATCACAGCACTTTTTTATGCAAGCGCTCATTAAAAATTGTATAAAATTCCAAAGTTTTTCCAATCTATTATAAGCAATTTACTACAACTCATGTAAAATTATATATTTAAATGCTGGTCTATACATAAAATGTACAACATTTAATGTACAGTATGGCTACTGGTATTAATGTTCAATATTACCAAAATATTATTATAATTTTTTTTAAATTTATTCATGAATTAATTAATTTACAGACACCCAATGGGAACGTTGAAGCAAAAGTCATGTGCTTTTTCAGAAGAAGAGATTTGCCACAAACTTTGATTATGCTTGCTGATAAACATCAATGTAAGTGAAAATGATATGAATCGAAATAAACTTATTTAAACTAAAATTATATGATAGATCATAAAATTAATCATTAAATGGTTTGGTATGACCTTGCCCGCTAATATGAAAAAAAGTATTTGAGTTAGCAAAAGTAGAAAAATTTTTATTATTAATTAAATTGAATTCGACATTGAAACACCCAGAAAAGTTTTAATTCTTTAGTCTCAGGTATCATGACTATTGCATGATCAATTTCTATAAAAATTTTTAAATTTACCATTCGATAAAAAAAAATTTCATAAGAACAGCAAACAAATTTGAATCATTTTAAATATTTCTTTAAAGTTCATTTATTTATTTTTTCTTAAACACAACAGTAACAGTACCTATTTGCAAGGAAAAAAACAAGCGAAAAAAAGAGAATGAGCATAAAAGAGAGAGAAAAAAACTCGTGACTCTATGAATGCGTATACATATACATACCGTAGGGGAACGCAATGCGCGACTCGGGAAATGCCGGATCTTATCGATTTTCCCAGAGTCGCGCGTGGCTAGCTGCAAAAGAGTACAGCAGTGACTAGCGACCGAAATCAAAGAGATGGCTGTATGCAACAAATAATATATATTTTTATTAATTTAGAAACGAAAAGTTATCGTTTAATTTTAATAGTTTATTCAAGTATAAGTAAATATAAATGAAAATATTTGGAGTTGTTTTACCGGTAAATAAATTAGGATAGCATGAAAAAAATAATTAATAATTTGCATTAGTCGTCGTAGTCAATACTTATTGAGATTATTAAAAAAATTAAATCTAAATTTTTGAATCATATGCATAGTATTTAAATTATAAGTACAAATGTTTGGAAACTGAATTATATTAGATTATTTTTTTTTGGCGTTGAATACGACCGTAAAGCAAGATTTTTTTTGTAAAAAAAGGCGAGTGAAAATGTTTTATTTTAAACAATTTTTATTTTTTATTGCTTACAAGGAAGATAAGGTTGAATGTAACAAAAGAAGTGCAAAAATTATGTTGTCTAATGACAGGTGCCACAAATACTAAATTTGGGCGAGAAAAAAAGCGAAAAAGGAACAGAAAACCCGGGCAAAGAGACTGGAGGTAGCTTTTGCGATAACATCGGGGATGGCGAACGGGAGGTAGCCGCGGCAAGTGGGAATATATAATAAGTAGAGTTACAGTAGAGTGAGAAAGGGAGAGAGATTGTATGGGTGGTAAATAGAGAAAGAGGGAGAGGGGGGAAGGGAAGAAGGGAGGTTAAAAGGGAGGCTGTAGCAAGAAGAAGAGGAGGATGCGGGGGTTTTGTATCGATCTGCCGAGGGGTGGCTGCTGCCGGTTTTGCCGGTACTACTCTCTGATGTCGACCGAGCTGTGTGTGTGCACTCTCATTCTCTGTCTATCCCCCACATTTACACACATGTATATAGGCGGACAGAGACAGTAGTGTTGCCTGAGGGTGGGTACCACCCCATGGAACCTCCCAACTAAATGAATGACACGAGGGGGCAAGTACCGGCTATGTGTGCATGTTTCTCTCTCTCTCTCTCTCTCTCTCGTTCTCTTTCGTTCGCTCATTCGTTCCTATGGTGCGTATCTGTACATTTGAATGTACAGCTTAATACGCTCTGTACCAAAAATATTACAGAGACTTGAAATTAATCTAAAAATTTTGATGAATAGTTTATAACATTTATTTCATATTGCTTGCATCAAAGTTGTAAAAATATACTATATCATTGTTCAAGGTTGTTGATTTTTTATTAAAAAACATTACATATGTATTAAAGTATTTGAATTCTGACTCATTTAAGGTTAATTAATTTGGAAATGATTTAGTCTGAATGAGTCCATACGTTTATGATATGTGCTTTTCCTTTTTTATCTACCTATATAACGCCATAACAATGTTATGTACTGAATTGAATTTAAAACAGCAAAGTTGTAGACTTCGCATAAAAAGAAGGATGTAGTAGTCTATTTTATAGGTATCCAAAGCCAAGAAAAAATGCTGAATTTCAGAAACGCTTTTCGAAATTAGTATGTTTATCTATTTCGAAAATATGTATTTTCTAAAAGACTCGTTGAATACTTTTATTATATTTTTTTATACATCTATTTCCAAAAGAATATTCAGTAAAGATCTTGCATTTTTAGCCTAACTTCAGAATTTCCTTGAGAATGTGGTTATAAAGTTTATATGACTACTTTAATATTTTTCAAACGATTGTTTTGATAAATTTACGCGATAAAATACATAATTTTTCAAGTATTAGAGTTACATATCTAGTAAACACAGCCAATGATGAGAAAAAGGCTTCCGATTAATCGCTTGGATACGAACTCTCTGATCCAAAAAAATTAAAAATCTTTGTAATCTTGGTGAATGTCGTGAGAATTAGACAGATCGCTGTAAGGCCAAAGAGACAATAAATCATTCGCTATTTTAAGAAGGGTAAAAAGTGTATTTAATAAACAAGTTAAGGAGCTCGGTCTTGTCTTCAGTTTGACAGTTAGAGACCCTTTACTTTGTGCACTTCCTTCAAGCGACTGTACATTCCCCTCAACAATTCATAATTTGCTCTCTGTATCCCTCTATTTCCTTTTCGCTCTTCCTCTCTCATTTTTCTATTTTTCAGTTAATTTTTCTTCCGCCTACCTTTTACTTCCCGAGAGTTCTGTCATTATGCGTGACGATACTTTAGTAATCTGAGGCTTAGTTTTACATGTGTGAATTTCATCCAAAAACATACATCTTACGATATAAATCAGTATATATATTTTTAGTTTTCTTTAATTTTATATCTATTCTCTTTCAGCAGGGATGGACGAAAGTTTAAGCAGTAACAATGGGTCAGCGTCTAGTGCTGGAGCGGCGAGCAACGGGAGCAGCATTGGAAACAACGGTAGCACCAGCACCGGTTTTGGTGAACTTACTGCCAAGCAGCGTCATCAAATGAAGCATCGAGAGCTTTTCCTGTCACGCCAAGTCGAAACTATGCCTGCTACTCACATTCGTGGCAAATGCTGTGTCACTCTCCTCAACGAAACCGAGTCATTTCTTAGTTATTTAAACAAAGATGATACTTTTTTCTATTGCCTCGTATTCGATCCAGCACAACGTACCTTACTCGCTGATAAAGGTCAATTTATTAACCTTCTTGATCTTAAAAAAAAGTGTTAAGATAAATGAGAATAACTTTTTTTGTTCTAATATTTTACAGGAGAGATTAGAGTAGGCAGCAGATACCAAGCAGACAATATAAGTTCAGCGCCGTTGACATTAGCTGAAAGGGAAACAGATAGGCAAGATTCTAAAGAACTCGAAACCCTGATCTGGACTCCTCGACATTCTTTAACTGATCGACAAATCGATACGTTCCTTGTCATAAGCAGATCCGTTGGCACCTTTGCTCGAGCTCTTGATTGTTCTTCATCTGTTAAACAACCTTCTTTGCATATGTCTGCTGCTGCTGCTTCCAGAGATATTACTCTTGTAAGTGAATCTATTCATCGATTTAAATCCATGTACTGCTTTAGAAAAATAGCTTATGAATTAATTTTTTGCAGTATAACGCCATGGATACGTTACATCGACTTAATTATGATATAGCAGAAGCTATGAACTCGCTTGTGCCGAACTCTGGTCCGGTTCTTTGTCGCGATGAAATGGAAGAATGGAGTGCCTCGGAAGCAAATTTGTTTGAGGAAGCTCTCGAAAAGTACGGCAAAGAATTCTCTGATATTCGTAATGATTTTCTACCTTGGAAGTCTTTGAAAAATGTGATAGAATACTATTACATGTGGAAAACTACAGATCGTTACGTGCAGCAAAAACGTGTGAAAGCCGTTGAAGCTGAAAGTAAACTAAAACAAGTTTATATTCCTAATTATAACAACAAAGCTGGAGCTTCGGTTCAACCAACTAGCGGCGGTGGAATCATCGGACAATCTACTATTATACCTATTCCCAATACCAACAATCCTGCCAACGGCAAACAAACTTCTGTTAGTATCATTAATGGCAGCAGTAATGGAGACTCCGCTCTATTACTAGGAGGCAATAACGGTAAAACATGCGAAGGTTGCCAGACCAGTCAGAGCCCTCAGTGGTATGCCTGGTCAACCACAGCACAAGTACAGTGTCGTTTATGTCAGACCTGTTGGTCATACTGGAAGAAATACGGTGGTCTTAAAGTTCCCTCGCGCATGGATGAGATTGATGCATGTGAGCGTAATCGAGCCACTACTGGTCCTGGCTCTGACGACGAAGGCAAATCACCTGGATCTGGTGGACCTCAACGACCACATCGCTGCTCTGTATCTACTTGTGGTAAAGAGTTTAAATTAAAAGCTCACCTCAGCCGACATTACGCCAGTGCTCATGGTATGGACTTTCGCGCAGGCAATACTGTTGCCACCGCTTCCGGAGGACAGTCCGCCGGCATCGGCAGTCATAGTGCTGGCATAGGTACAGAGTTAGAACTATTGAAAAGAAACCCCGAGCTAACTATTATTCCATGTAAGGCAAACCCAGCGCGATGAAAAAATCCGCCGGATTTATTTTATTTTATTTTTTTATAATCATTGCATATAAACATTAAAACATATTAACGATTTCATCTTGAAAATTACTCTTTTGCTCTTCAGTCTCAATAACCGAATTAACCTCTAATTTAAACTTACATGAAAAGCAATTCTTCATATTTCTTGAATGGAATTGCTTTTTTTAGAGACACTTTAATTTGCTCCAAAATTTTCGCTATTCAGGGAATTATTACTTCGTACTAATGTAAAAAATTATACCATATTTAATTACCATACCATTCACGAATTATTGATTTTTCATTGTGTTAAAAAATAAATGAATATTAATTAATTTTTTTCAATTTTTTTAGGTAATGTAAATGCAGGCTCCCCGAGACCAGTGATGAAAACTCGCTCTGCGTTTTATTTGCGCACATCGGCTTTAGCTAGAGCCGCTAGAAGAATTTGCGCAAATCAGATTCGTAGTCGTCACGCAGCACGTGCACCGCATCAGCCTATAAACGCGGCGCCCTTACGACATATTTGTAGCTCACCTGAATTTGCCAGACAAAGTTCATCAGAATTGCGTGTCTTAGCTCGCGCCACACGTCCTCGTATAAGGCCTCGCGTCGCTGATATTGCTAGCCGTTTAGGTAACCATCCGCAGCCAAGCCACCCTGGTGAATGGGATTGGCTTCAGCTTACAGCACCAGGTCAACGTAAACAGCCTGAGCACGTATCATTTCCTAGACCACCTAAAGCTCCTGGTTAGTAAACTTTTTTTATTATTTGCAATGACTCATTTAAAAAATAATGTACAGATTATGATAGAAACATTGTTTATTATAGACGGCAGTTTGCTTTATGAAAGAGTTCCAAATAAATCTGATATCGATGGGATTAACGTTACACCACCGATACCGCCTACGCTACAAGTACAGCCCAACTTAAAAAGACCAAGACCACAATTTGATGAATTGAATGGAACAGACGGTAAGGATTCATATTTTTTAAATACTTATGCGTTAAATTATCTGTACTTTTCATTTATTTCAAAATGCAAAAAATTCATTTTTTTAATATGTAATGTTTTACACAATCATATCGATTAATTCTTTTATAGGTATAATGCCGATAACACTACCATTGAGTGGTCCACCTCCAAGTAAACGTCCGCACCACACAACCTCTCGAGATGTATTGCCATCGCCTTCGGGAAGTGTAGTAAATAACTCTACTGGACCATCGCATTCTATGCCTTTAAATGGTAGGCCACATGCTTTACAGAATGTACCCATGTCACGAAGCAATGCCCGTAAGCAAGTCATGTCGTGGATGGATGCTCCTGATGATCTCTATTTCCGTGCAACTGATCAAACAAAGTAAGATAAATCGTTAGCATTTATAATATTTGAACTTGATATCATATTTTTTGAAAATTATTCGTTTTAAAATTGTTAACGTCAAAAATATTTTATTTGAAATATTATTAATGAATCTGTATAAATATATAATTATGAAAATTATTTTTTAATATTTTAAAATCCAGGAAGGCCAGACGAAATTTATCCTTGATAGAACTTAGAAGAGCCGCTCGTAAACCTTGGCGTAAATTGGCTAACCCACAACGAACCGCTCGACCGGATGACATGGTTGTCATACTTGACTGAATAGCACATCATTTTTCATAATTTGAAAATGAATGCAACAAAATTTTTTTAAATTTCTAAAGCATATAGATATACAGTATGAGTTAACGTGAAAACTGAGGGCAACAACAATATCTTCAATTTCGGAGAACTTTTTTGATTGCTTAAAGTGTGTGAAAAAAGTGAAAATGAGTGAACAATAATAGAAAGCATTAGTTGTAGCATAAGTCCAAGAAAAATTATGACAAATTTTTTTTCTATTGAACACAAGTGTCGAATCTTTCAACTGTATGTCAATAATACCAGACATGTTGATGAACGAAGGATTTTTGATTCGTATCACTAAAATTGTTATTAATAATAATAATTATTATTAATTTAATGTAAATAAATGTATTAGCGCTATATGAACATACACACTTATATAGACAAACTATGCGAGAGAAAATTAAAGCATAAATTATATGAAGAGCAGGGCTAGGTATTAATTACAAAACAAAACAAGATTTTTATTGTTAGTTCTATGAATCTTAACTGAATACTTATCTTGATTTTAAATTAAGATGAAAATTACCTGCTCTTTACAACACTAATTCTTGAATCATACAGAAAAGAACATTTGATCCCAAATTAATTATCATAAATGTACTATATCTTATTTATTATTCAAAATAATAAATGTAAAGTAACATTTTAAAAAGGATTAAATAAGAAGTTGGATATTTTCAAAATTATAACTCGAATTGTTTAGTTTTATACTTATTTTGAACAAGTACCTAGTTCTGTATATATTGAATTACATAAAACTTAGTTGAAAATTGAAAAAAATCCGACAATGAAACCAATTACTATACAACTTTTACAAAAACATCCTTATTCCCTTAAAAAAATCATTTATAATTGTATCAATCTCGTTGGTTTATGTTTAATCTAAACGAATAACACAACCAAGGAGTACCGTTCATATTGTGAAAGAATGTAAGAAAGTAAAGTAAATCTACCTGTGAATATTTTTATTAAATTTCAAGTTTGATGACTTCCGTCGTAACATTTAATAAATAAACTACGTAAAAATAAATAATATTGTTTTGTTGATTTACATAACTTTCTTTGTATGCGGGTACTTTGCTCAATCCATTCCAATTTTTTTTTCAGATTTCAAGATAGATATATTAAAGAAAGAATAGATTGATGATTAATAAAAAAAATTTTTATATGGTAAATATTATTTCCAATTAAATAAATTATTAGAAAATGATGTTAATGAGAGTATTTTTTTATATGGAGTATATTTTTGCTTTTATAATCATGAAACATGTCTATAAAGTTAAAAATACTTGGTATGTATATTTACCTATAATGAGCTTCAAACTATTCAAAACATTTTGAAACTTTGTTCATGAAAATATATATAGTTTGGTAAGTTTTATCGAACATTCAAAAGATGGTTGTGCTTAAAGGTAAGACAGCTGCTTTCATGGATAAGATATTGTGAATAAAAACGTTATCCCCTACATATACAATAATGCTTTTGACACTTTTGTAGTTAAAAGTATAAATTTTAGGTCGTAATTGAATAATTAAAACCAAAGTTTTTTATTTCTATAGCTGCAACATTTTGACAACGTGTAGGTGATTTTCATACAATATCAAAATAGATAATGATAATTGCAAATGATAATTCCAGAGCTGAGGTCTTCAAATTTATCATTTTTAATTAAAAAATATTAAAGTTGATGAACATAATACATCTTATGTAAAATGATGCATATCTCTAAAAAGTTAGAAAATTACAACCTCGTTTAAAATAGTCTACAATTTATTTGGCATGCAAAATTCTTACGCAAGCGTGTTCTGCAGGCATAATTTAAAGGAACCTTATCTGACACCAATGCTATGCAAGTTGTTGCGGAACGGGAGCATAAAAACATGTCATCTGTCGGAATGTAAATCATCATTCAGGGGTTTTAAGTGCATCAAGTAAGGGAAACTACATGTTCTACCTTTTTTTTTTATTAAAAAAAATATCAACTATAGTGATCTACCATACTCTTATAACTAAACAAGCACCCTAATTAGTGATGAAATTTTCTAAATAAATTATTACCCCTATCATTCTTGTAGTTTTTTAACGTTAGGTGTTCATGATTCTTTAAGAGAGAATCGGAAATGTACAAAATATAATAATAAAATAGAAACCATAGTAGTTATATTTACTGTTTACAGAAGTGAAACTAATGACTAATAATTTGTATTTATATAATTTCAAAGTGAAAAAATTCAATTTCTATACGAATTATCCCAAAAAATGTTTTTTGGAATTTTTCGTGCAACGAAAAATTGCGTTACGTTCCATAGATTCTTATTATTTTATTTTCGTCCCATTGTCAGGGACAAAATTTATTGGAACCTCTGATACGTCAATGAAAGCAATCGTGTAACGTCAATATTTTGCATTATTTCAAGAAATAAGGTACTTGGATATTGAAGCCATTATTTGACAGTGATTATTTGTTGCATCGTTAATGAAAGAGGCAAGCCGCAAGAGTCGCGAGGTTCAGAAATACGTCTGCTTGACCTTCTCGCTAGAAATAACAAGTTAAATTTTTTTTTTTCAAATCTTACTTTTGAAACAGTAATACTGATGAGTTACTCAAGTTTTTCTATTAATTCTTGAATTACGATTAAATTAAAAAATACCCGTTCAAGATTTATCATGTAGCTTTAATAATTTATAATTTTAACAGGTTATACCTTTACCTTCAACACTATAGCTTATAAATAGTTTGTAAATTGTTGTTGTTAAAGATTTGAATCAACATTATTGAAATATACAATTTCAACAAAAGACTCTGTACAGGTGTTCATTCTAATAACTTGATAAATTTATCTTTTCTTAACAGATTTATTAGAGTAGGCACTGTGCAAAACATCTAAGCATTGGATTTTTGATGATCAATAGTCCTTACACAAAGAACAATAAAAATGGTTGTTGGGGTCTTTCCTGCACTAAAACTAGGAGTACTTCTTTTCAAACAAATTAGTAAACCACTTGCTCAAGTCATTGTTAATAGAGCCAAAAATCATCCAGTTTTTAGGACTTATTTTATTATACCACCTGCTCAATGTAAGTATATTATTTATTCTACATTACTTCATCTATTTTATTCCATTGTAAAAATGTTTATGAATTGTCTTGTAGTTTACCATTGGGCAGAAGTAAAATGTAAAATGTACCTTATGAATTTGGGCAAACCTACTAAAGTAGCCAAACTCAATGAACAAATGGCCATTGAACTCGGTGCAAGTTTGATGGGTGAAGTTATAATTTTTAGTGTTGCTGGAGGTTGTCTAATGTTTGAATATAACAGACAAGTGGCCAAAGAAGCCAAAAAAGAAGAATTAAGACAGATGCAAATACAAAAATTTGTTGATGACATACAAGCTTTATATGAAACAACTGTACAACAAGATGCTGAACTTAAGTATCTTCAAATGTCATTAGAAGAGCTTGCTAAAAAATCAAAGTTTAAACTCCCAGAAAAAAACATTAAAACAGATAATGATAAAAATAATAATAAAATATCTAATAAAAGTACTATCACTAATACAAAAGATCAAGACAAAAACGAAACACAAAGCTAATTAGTATAAATAATGAAAAATGAATTATTTAAAAAAGAAGTGAATTAAAGTTTAGAATTTATATATAAAAGAGCAGTATAAAATTGTTACTGCTTCATAGATCTTATAAGTTTTAATAATAATAATAATAATAATAATCAATATTTACAGTGATTAATTCTTATCAAATTATACCTTAGCAATTCTTTTGTACATAAAAATTGATATAATGTAAAAAATAGAGCAAAAGTGTATATATATGACAACTTGAATATTTATTAAAAACCACTCATTTTTCTAAGTAGTTAAACTTTTATGATTTTGAAAATAATTTTAAACATTGTTTTTAAATCTAATTTATTGACCCCAAACATGTATAATAAATATTAATTTCTCTATTGATTTATATCTATTTATTCTTAATGTATGATATTTTTTATTAAATTATAAATAATGGTTAAATAGAGGAAACACTCATAAAAATGATATTGTTACATTCATTAAAATAATTTACTACGATTAAATTGATAAGAAAAATTTTTTTAGATTTTTACTTCTTGGAATTTTCAAAATTTTGATAAAAATAATTCAATAAAAATTTATTTCCAATAAAATTTTCAATGTTATTTATTGATTTATGGAATGGAGATTATAAAATTATTTTTTATTGTTTGAAGTTATCAACTACTTTTAATTGTTCATAATAATTTTGACATCCGTTTTTGGATTAAAAAGTAAATCCGCGAGTATACCCATTTTTTATGCTTATAAATGAAACGATGGTGGAAGGGGTAGACGTCAGTGACTTCCACATTCACGCTCAACTCGATAGACATATAATGTAAAAAAGCTCGTCAACATGCAGCAGGGTCACTTGGATTGTCTGCGCTTCACATCAAGTATAGTTTTGATGTGATGTGACTCAGACGATATTTGTATTTTCTATGAATACGAGCAGTTATTGACAAATATGTATATTATTTATACCTTTCTTTAAATGCTCAAAAAATTATCCCAGCAATATGTGGTCGTTTTTTTCACGCGATCCAACCAAGGATTTTCCCTACGAAATCGGGGAGCCCGTTGGTGTACTTGACGATAAGAACATCTGGAGTCTGCACAAAGCCAAACGCAAAGTAAAATAGTTGATTTTTTGAGTCTCAATTTTTTCATGAACATATTTTTAAATCACATATATTCGTGCTTTTTTAACTTTGGTTATGTTTTTTTGTGTTTGATTGACATAAACATAGTAACTACTATTGATACAAAAGTTAAAAAATTTTTTTATTAGGGATCTACTACTTCAATTGGTGAAGATGTTTCTGTATTTGTCTTCCAAGTGAAAAACGGTGCAGAACATCAGTTAGAAATAGCTCGAGCAGCAGTAAAAAGATTGAAAACACTTAGACATCCAAGTATTTTAGCGTACTTAGATAGTTTGGATGTAAGTACACTATAATTTCATATTGTTTTCTAAACTTATTTTTACCATCATTCAATTAATTAAATTACTTTATATAGACAGATAAAGCAATTTATTTAGCAACTGAAAGGGTCGAACCACTTCATAATCGTCTTTCCAGAGTAGCTGATATAGGAGAAGGAAATAAGCATGAGCTTTACTTATCCTGGGGAATATTTCAAATAACAGTTAGTAAAAATCATTGAAATTAATTTGCATTTATTATTACTAAAATTAATCTATATGAACCAAATGTATTTTTAGAGGGCATTAAGTTTTCTAAATAATGATGGCAACTTGCGACACAATAATGTTAACTTGTGGTCAGTTTTTGTTAATGAAGAAACTGGAGAATGGAAACTTGGTAGTGTTGAATATATGACAGCTGTTGACGCTGTCTATTCTTCACTACCTCAAGTACTACAAGTGTATAGACCACCTGAAGCCAAAGAAAATTCAAAACCTATTACAAAATGGTAGATTTTCAACCATAAAACTGCTCTTTTTATTTCTATTGCTATTGAAAAATTAATTAAATATTTTAAATAGTTAACCATATTTAAAATAAAAAACTTTTTTAGTTGTGTAGATATGTGGGGTTTGGGATGTCTTATTTGGGAAGCTTTTAATGGACCACTTACCGCTGCAGGAAATTTAGATGCTACAGACAGAGTAAGATAACTGTATCATTATTTGATAATTTCAACTTTTTCATGACCCTTACACAAATAAATTTCATTACAATAAATTATGTGCATATTAATTATGCAGCTTCCAAAAGCTTTGTTAATGGTGTATGAAGAAATTGTAAGTTGTAAAGCTGAAAGTCGCCCTAATCCAGCTGATATGATAGTACGCTGTCGTAGTAATGGAGGATTTTTCAAGAATGACCTTATTGATGCACTTTTATTTCTTGAAGAAATTCAAGTGAAAGAAAAAAACGAAAAGAATCGTTTTTTTGCACAACTATCGACGCAACTTGATAGTTTTCCTGAGGGAGTTGGTCGCTTTAAAATACTGCCACAACTTATAGCGGCTTTTGAGTACGGCGATGCTGGCAGTGCTGTTCTTCCTCCTTTGCTACAATTGGGATGTACTCTTCCTGATGCTGAGTATCAAAAACGTGTTGTTCCATGTGTTGTCAAGCTGTTTGCTTCAAATGATAGAGCTACTAGACTTAGATTATTACAGCAGCTTGACAGATTTGTCAACCATTTATTACCTGCTACAGTAAATGATGCCATTTTTCCTCAGGTTAGTATTTATATTGTAGTTTAAAAAATTATTTTGCATAACAAATACAATTTAGCATAACAAATTATTTATTTTGCAAAATAATCGGTTGCCCAAAAACTAATATGATACTTACAGGTTGCTCGGGGATTTTTAGATACTAACCCAGCTGTAAGAGAACAAACAATAAAATCTATAGTTTATTTGGCTCCAAAATTAGATTATAATAATCTCAATGTGGAAGTTTTGAGACACTTTGCAAAGTTACAATCTAAAGATGAACACGGTGGTATACGTACAAACACAACTGTTTGCCTAGGAAAAATTGCCCAGCATTTGCATCCACAAATAAGACAAAAAGTATATTTTACTATCATTTAGTGCGTGTTAAAAATACTTAATACAACTAAAAAACATATGATACAATATTAAACAGGTTTTAATTGGTGCATTTATTCGAGGAACTCGTGATCCTTTTCCACCTGCTCGAAGTGCTAGTGTTTTAGCACTTGCAGCAACACAGCAATACTTTTTACTTCAAGAAGTTGCAAATCGAATATTGCCTGCTTTATGTCCTCTGACAACGGATCCTGATAAAGGTGTGAGAGATAATGCTTTTCGTACATTGAGAGGATTTTTATCAAAACTAGAAAAGGTATCAGAAGATCCAGGACTTCGAGAATCAATGGGTAAGAATTTACTTTCAGTTAAAAAAAAATATATATTGGACTGATGTTGCAAAAATAATTCATTGCAGAGGCTGATGTTAATACTGCCACTCCAAGCTTAAGTAATGCTGCTGCTACATGGGCTGGTTGGGCTGTTACCGCTGTAACAGCTAAATTTTATCGTAGCCAATCTGATAATCCAAAATCATCTGCTCCTCATGGAACTTCACGAATTTTGTTTAATAAACCAGCTTCATTGGGTAAGAATCTAAATATTAATAAAATCTATTGTTTATGCTTACATTCTTATGAAGCTAATAGTAAACAAATAATAAGCTGTAAATGAACATATAAATAGTTCACTTTTCTTTTATTGTGATTTTATAAACGTAGTCCATATGCCAGGTATAAAATATAAATTAAAGTAAATTTAAATTCATTAAATAAGTAATTATCCATTTTGGAATTGATGAGGATAAGTGAATAAGTCAAAATTGGATATTGAATAGACTTTTCATTCTGTACTTTTATTATATTTTGGCCAACGTTCCTAGCTATGTTTATAAACACTCTATGAAATTGTTATGCAGTTGGTCATTATCTCACAACTGTTCGAGTAAGACTGTGATTTATTCACTTGTACTCATTAATATCAAAATAGAAAATTTCTTACACTATTAAACATAGCACGCAAAATAGATAAATTTATAAAAAAAATTAAATTCAGCTGTAATTATCAATTTTTTTTAGAACATGCTTGCAGTTCTCAAAGTAGTACTAGTACCACTGCAACAACAAGTAGTGCTGCTAGTGTGACTTCTCTGGATCATGATCAGGAACATGATACTGCTGCTAACACAGCAAATACAAATTCTGATTGTGACTGGGATTGGGATACTGGCGACTGGGGTGACATGGAACCCCAAACTCAATCTGTTTCTAATTCTATTACACCGTCTCTTATCACCAAGTCTCATCATCATACGAATGAACAATGGACTAGTCTTGAAGAGAAACCAGTAAATTATTTGTTGATCAAATGCATTTTAGTTAATAAACTAAAATCAGCAAGGTTATATTAATTCAATGTAATATATTTTTTATAGGAAGAAGAAGCTGCAGAAGATCAAGATAAAAATAAACTTCAAGAGTCTGGATGGGATGACGATGAATTCCTGCCTCTAGATGATGTACCATCCAGTAACCCAGGTAAAATTATAATTATCAACTAATCATTATTTATTATTCAGAATAATATGAATAATGAAATACTTTATATACAGAGACTAATGAATCAAATAAATTAGAAGTACAAAAGAAAAGAGAGGAAAAACGATTAGAAAGACAAAGAAAGATGGAAGCCAAAAGAGCAGCAAAATTGATCAACAGTCCTCTAGGGAAAAAAATTTAAACAATGTAATTATGTCACATGTTTTATCGTGTAAAATTATGAATGAAAAATCGTATTTGTTCATTGTTGTAGTTTTTTTTTGTTACTCTTTCTTGAATTGTACAAAAATGTTTTTTAAAAGCTAAAAAAATAATAAAGCACCTTGCGATAATTTTTTGAAATTCTTAACATCAATATTCAGATGCACTTTAATGCTAACATTTATCTGCCTTGAAATACTTTTTTTTAATTTTTTTTTTAAAGAACAATTTTAATCAATATAAGAGAAAGAAAATTTACTATAAAATAATGATTGAGATTTTTATTATAGAATTTTCATTTCCTAACAATTTTTTCATAAAACATACAAAATACTTTATAAAATAGTTGCTCTAATTATTTATGATTTCCAGTCAAATAACATTTTAAAATCGAATGTTCATGGAATTGCCATTACCAGGCTCTTTTCGAAATCCCGACTTTTCGTAGAAGGATATAAGACGATCTTTACATTCCAAAGTGAGCTTGTAGCACTGCAATTGTTTGGCTAAATGTTTTATAATGGATACCATTAACCTTCCTATCTGCTGATCTCTATATTCAGTTTTAACTACAACATCTTCTAAATGTCCACGCTGTGATATATAAAAAAAAAATATACGTGTAAATTTTAAAAAGATTTATGAAGAATATGTTATTTTCCAATGTTATAGTGACGCTTATATTTTTTTTCTTTAATAACTTATTGAAATACAGAATTATTTTATTTGATATAGTATATACATGTATATTGTGTTAATATAGATAAAAAAAATTGTGGAAATGAAAGCAGCTCTTAATTGAAGTGTAAAGAATTATGTAATTACCAATGCGCAATTATGAATAAACTTCTGTTCCGTAACAAGTGTAGCACTGGCTATAATTGTATTTTTATCTTCTGCAACAATAACATAGTGACCTCCAGCGTTTTTCATTTCATGAAAACGACCTGAAATATCATATAACGATGCATGATTAATGAATAAGTTAACAAGACAATGTGTAACGAGAAGAAAACATTAACTTTACTAACTCAAAAATTGGTTCTTATCGACATTTCCCACTTCTGTTAATTGACTTAAGAGTTGTAAAAAATCTAAAAAATTATTCAAAATAAAGAATAAATAGATCATGAACTAAACTGTCTGGTAGATATATTTATTTACCTTTATCATAGTCATTGCTATTGAGTGGTCTAAAACGAATGGAGCCATAGCTTGCAATATCACTCTCATTTTGTATTTTTTCCAACAAAACACCGTCAAAGAGATCAATACCTTCTATTTTAGGCGATGAACCAATCTAGGACAATACAATCTTAAATGTAACAATTTATTATTTGAAAAATTGAATATTGAAATTAAGAAAAATTTTTTAAAAAATATTCAGTTCTGCACGAAAAATATTATTTACAAATCCGTCCTTCGAGATTCCATAAGTAATTTTATACTGGCTTCGGTGTTTTCTTTAATGTTTCAAAATTTTATCAGTGCTTTTAAAACTCGAATATTGATGAATACAATTAGATAAATTTGATCATAAACTTATTTTCTGAATCGAAATCTACAGTTTAAATCGTAAATTCAATTTGATAATTTTGGTGATTGTTATTGGTAGAATTCAAATGGCAATTCCCAATCTAAAATTGGGCATCACAAATGAAGTGAATTTTGGTGAATAAGACGACAAAATGATAACAGTCTTACCTATATATTTCAATTAATAGCCAATAGCTAAATCTGTGTTCAGTGAAAGATTCAAAATTTTTATTTTTGTTCCTTATGAAACATTTGAAAGTGCCGCGAAATAGTGCATTACCCTCTTACAAGATTTTGATAACTGTTCCCAGTTACGTTTTGTCTTTATTATCATAGAGTTTCGAAATCGATTTTAAAACTTTATTTTGAAAGTTGGTGCATGAAACTAGGTTTCAATGACATTGTTTTATTTAATTTCATTGTCCGAAAGTGAAATTTCATTGATTGTTTCATTCGTTGTTTCATTCATTGCAAATTAAAAAAAAAATTAAAATAAAAAATGAAAAGTATTTATTACGTTTAATTAAGAAGCAAATACTGCGTAAAATTTTTTTAAAAGTGAAAACGATTGTTTAAAATACTTTTCATTAGTTTCAATAATAAAATAATAAATAAATGGAGGGGGGTCCTTGCCCCGACATGTTGACTCCAGGTCTATTGTTTTACTTACTACTTGTAAGTCCAGTTGTAAATACTAAAATTTTGTTTATAAATTCCTAGCCGATTTTTTCACGATGCTATAAAAATAGTTGGCCGAAATAGTAATTTACTAATGAATAAGGTTAGAAAGTATATTATTTTGGAGAAAAAAAACAAAGACAAATTTGTATAGATTCTAGGTATGATTTTAGAATTGGATTTTATAAAATATTTACATTGTGTAAGTAATTAATGTTGTTTTAAGAAATACTTAAATTCAAATCAGACGATGAATATTTATTAAAAAGTATCTAGTCTGGTATTAAGGAACATGAAGATAAGAAAAATGTTAATAAAAACCATATTGCACGGACCTGAGAATCCACGTTGTTCATCTTCTGTTGCTCGAAAGTTTCGATTTTCGATGATGATATTACACAGCAGGTTGCTTGACGTGAAATGGATACACGGTTGGAGATTCGAACTGGTTTTTCTCATTCTGTTTTGGACCTCTCACCCGCTCTACAGCCACAAGCACTGTTACTACAAAATATAGTAGTAGCAGTGTTTTGTGCTTATATAGTCAATACTGTTGTACACATACATAAATGTGCATCGTGTAAAATGTGATATAATTGCCATTCTAATATTAGGATTCGTTTATAGCATTACCCATTATCATATTTAATACCTATCCTCCGTTAAGTGTAATTCAAAATAAGTTTAATTTCCATGTAAATTTGAAAATAATTATATTATCAAGTCAAAGCGTTCTAGGCTTGTTGATGTATCACCACCCTTTTTTTTTTGAAAAATGAAAAATAGTTTTCAATGACTAATATTTTTTTACTTTTTTTGATCATTTGTCTCTATTTTCTCATTTCTAGATTTATATGGTCTCGTCTTCGGCCGTTGGTACTTTCTTCGCTTTAGTCGATCCGTTATAACTCTTTATGTCATAGAAATGTAATTAATTAAAAATATAAATAATATAAATTTCAAAAAATAGAGAAAAATGATTAACATACAAATTATTGACTGGAAAAAGTTTGTACGTTAAAATTGAAGTCGATCTAAAAAGGGGTAATATAAATCCCAAAAATATCGATTTCGAAATAAAATAGATTGTAAGATTTCAAAAATTTAATTTTTAATGAGATTTTCAAGTTAACTTTAAATATTTTATTCATACTGTATCTATAACAAAATCTCATACTAGTGCAAAACCATACAATTTTGCTCAAATTCTAAATTAGTCTTAATTCATTGTTAACATTTACAAAAGATAAGCATGCGACTATTTAACAATTATGATAATACTTTTATTTTATTAAAAATTTATAACTAATTTTTAAACTTTTCATCAAATCTTCAAATACGTTTAATTTTTTTCGGATGTAATATACATTAAATGCAATCAATCAATATAAGATAAAGAAGAAAGTACCGGCATTAGTCTCTCTATGGAAACAGCGTTTTGAACATAGTAGATATAAAATATGCCTGGTTCTTGTTTCTCCCAATAATTATATTCGATTCATTTTTGCATACATTTTGTCTTTTGTAAACACGATTTCTGACTTTTGAGTACGTTTCGGTGATTCATAAATTGTAAACGAACCCACAAGTACACGTATGAGTTTTTAAAATAAAAACATAGTAGAATAGTGGTATATGTTAAAGTACGATGACACTTCGAATTTAACCTCAAATAGTGGTTATTTTGAGTAGGAACAATATTGTAACAGCACGCGATTGATGAATGGTTTTTTGTAACTTTAATATTGTTTTAACAAGTTTGAAAAACAAGAAAAAATGGTTTCCGTAATTAATACAATTGACACTGGCCATGAAGACATGATCCACGATGCTGAAATGGATTTTTATGGGCTCAGATTAGCTACCTGTTCCAGTGACAATTCTGTCAAGATTTTCGATTTGAAAAATGGATCACAAACTTTAGTAGCAGATTTGAAAGGTCACGTTGGTCCGGTTTGGCAAGTTGCTTGGGCTCATCCCAAATTTGGAAATATAGTTGCATCATGCGGTTATGATAGGTAATGCATTATTTAGTTCTAATTCAATAATAATGTACATTTTATTCATTAATGATTTTTTATTTATGTCCCTATAATAGAAAGGTTGTGATTTGGAAAGAGATGAATGAATGGATTAAACTATATGAGCATACGGTTCATGACTCTTCAGTCAATTCAATTGGGTGGGCACCTCATGAATTTGGCCTAATACTAGCTTGTGGTAGTTCTGATGGTTCTATTTCCATTTTGACTAACAATGGTAATAATTGGGATACTCATAAAATTTCCAATGCTCATACAATTGGTTGTAACTCAGTCTCATGGTGCCCTGATGTTGAATCTTCATTTGATTCTGTATTAAATCAAAAAAATAATATTAAAAGATTAGCTAGTGCTGGGTGCGATAATACTATCAAAATATGGAAACAAGAAGGAGATCAATGGATTGAAGAAACCAAATTAGAAGCGCACAGTGACTGGGTAAAAATTTCATTTGAATTAATGTGCAATAATAACAATTTTTCTTTAAATCCCTTAATTCTTTCCAAAATGTTACCATGTAGGTCAGAGATATTGCCTGGGCTCCAGCTATAGGACCTCCAAGAGCAGCTTTGGCATCTTGCTCTCAAGATAGACGCTTGATTGTTTGGACTTCTAACGATTATATCAGTTGGATACCAAATATCTTGAATGTATTCGATGACGTTGTTTGGAATGTTAGTTGGTCGCTGACTGGAGGAATATTGGCTGTCAGTGATGGCAATAACAAAGTGTCATTGTGGAAAGAAAATTCTGAAGGACAATGGATGTGCATATCTGAATTGAATAAAGGCCAGGGTAGTATTAATAATCCTGATCAACGTATTATGTAAAAAATTATAAAATGAAAATTAGTTTTAAAAGTTTAACTGTTTTGTATATTCATTTGTTATTCAAATAATTCAATTAAAAATAATTTTGTCATAACATTTTCAATCAAACAATTTATTTAAATTATTTTATTACAACTTAAGCTCAATCTTGTATATACAGAGATGCAGTAAACACAATATCCCTTTTTATTTTTGTCGATGCTTCTTCCATTTTTTCTTTAAGTGCAGGATGTCCAATGATTATTGCAGCATTCCGAACATCTTGTAATTTTTCATTAAGTTGCTGAATACATCGTACAATTATACCCTCTTGGATGTCTGTGAGCTCCATAATTTTTGCAAACGATTTCGCGCGAGCCCATTCATAAACCACTCTAACTAACTGAAAGCTAGGTTGTGGAATTGGTTCTAAATAATGTTTTCTTTCTATTTCAACCAATCTTTTGTATACTTTATCAATTTCTTTTTTCAGCTGAAACAAAGAATTTAATAAAAAATTATAAATTATTTTGTTTTACAATTATCAAATGAGAATGTAATTTTAACTAACTTCATTCAGTCTGGGGATATCTTCATCTTTATCTTCTTCAAAACTTTTATTAAAGACCAATGAAGATAGCATTGAAGCAATTTCTTCAGGCTCCCAATTAGTTATAATATTATCTAGTACGAGTTCAGTAATAAGTATTTCATATGTCCCCATTTCCAAAGCAACGCGACCTTTCAATGTTACTAAAAATTTTCATATAATCACATTAATCGTTGCAAAAATATATAGTATTATGTACAATGTACATAGCTTTATTTTACTTACCTCTGTCTTCATGATCTATGTATTTTAATTCTCTAAGAACCTGAACTCTGCTTACATATTCTGGGTAATTACTCAAATATTCATCACTGAGTTTCTTCAACAGATCAATTTTTTTTAGTTGCAATTCTTTGTGTTTAAAAACCTTATCAAACTCTTCTTCAAAGTTATTTATCTTAGAAATTGAATTTCTTAATTCAAATAACTGTTGGATAAATGAACCCATTAATATATTCCTTGTTTGGATTTCGAAATTGTAATTATTACTTAATCGTAAGTCTAAAAATGGTTGTAGAAGATTAGGATTATGTTGTACTTCATGAGATAATTTCTTTAATTCTTCAGCTGCTGTTTGACAAGATGGTCCAGGAGGAGCATCTCTAAAAAATGGTAAATTGAATAAAATTAAATCATAATTATGAAAATGATAAATTTAACAAAAAGTCATACTTGAATCTAGGAATTTGTCTTTTTTCCCAATCTGATAAGATGAGTTTAACATTAACGTTGATAGTGTGATTGGTCACTTCAATGATTGAGGAAGCAGGAACAGTCAAAATTTCATGAATTGAATTATCTTTTGGTTGGTAGTACATTGTTTTTGATAAATACATAATATTGTGCCACTTGTCAGACTTTTGATCAACTATTGCATCTTGCTCTTCATCAACACTGGTTAAAACAAGTACACTATACAACGTTACTTTAGTCTTTTTTTGAAATCCTAGAAATATGCCAAGTTTATTGTAATGGTGTTTATGAGCAATAATTAATATGCGACCTTCAACTAAAGCTTTTACTGCTTTTGTTGATTCTAGCATGTAGGGCCTTAAATCAGACCACTCTTGTAAGAAATTTATGGCTACTTCATAGAAATTTTCCAACATTTTTTGGTTTTCCGCAAGAGGAGGCACATCTTCAATCAGTTGAATTATTTTATCTAGTTCAGCTTTATTTTTTTCTTGACTAGACAAAGTACGTACTTCTTTAAAAGATCTTCGCATCATATCTCCGATAGAAATTGCTTCACTCAGACGTTTTAAATGTAAAACCATAGAATAAGTTACTTTGAATTTAGAAATTAAATTTTGAGGAGCTCCGAGAGTCATGTCTCTCAAATCCTTTTCATAAGGTACTTTTTTCTTGCAAAGAATTATGACAGTTCCTGTATCATCGTGACCACGACGGCCAGCACGCCCAGCCATTTGTATGTACTCAGTAGGAAGTAAATTTCGAAAAGAATTTCCGTCATATTTTTCAGTTGATTCAAAAACTACTGTTTTAGCTGGCATATTAACACCCATTGCAAATGTTTCAGTAGCAAATAAAACCTTGTGATTTATAGATTAAAATTATTAAATAACTTGAAAAAATGTTATCAGTTTAAGTATAATAAATAACAAATACCTTGACAATGCCTTTTTGAAAAAGCATTTCAACTATTTCTTTAAGAATTGGTAATATACCACTGTGATGGACACCGATTCCTAATTTTAGAAGTTTGTGCATCTTTATTACCTGGGGTAGTTGTGAATCTGTACCTTTTAAATGTTTAGTCGATTTTTTGAAAAATTCCTTTACATACATTTGATCTTGATGTGAAAGTAAACTCTCTGTAAAGGCATCAACAGTTTTATCACACTTATTTCTTGAAAGAGTGAAAACTACTACAGGTAATTTATCCTGTGAACATATATGTAAATGACATTTAATTTTATAAAACAGATTTGTAAAATTAAAAAAAAAGGTGTTCATTGAATAATTCCATTTACATTAGTTTGAAGATGTTCAAGTAATGCTATCCAGATTTTTTTTTCTTTAGCTGTAATAGCATTAGCTCGAACTTTATCTTCTAGTTGCTCTTCTTCTTCTTTTGCAGCATTGACAGCACTTAAAGTTTCTTCGGTACTAGCATTTTTTAATACTGTGGTGGATGGTTTCATTACTAATGATGGCTTATACTTAGCATACTGATTTTTTGTTTGTTGCAACTTGATTTGTTTCTGCAGAGCCTCTTGCTTAGCTTCTTCAGCAGCTTTAATGCTAGAAATAAGTAAAAAAAGTATTTTAAATAAAAATTTATTTAAAAAATGAAAATGTACTCTGCTGCTCTTTACCTATTTCTATGAAATCCTCCATCTTTATCAACTAATAGAAAAATTTGATCTTTTGACTTTTTGTCATGACCAGTATAAAGATAATGCTGTAAAGGAACTGGTCTTTTTACTGTACTTATGACATACATTTTTCTTTTTTTTATTTGTCCAACCCAATGAGCAAATTCTAGAGGATTAGGGACAGTAGCTGATAACATTACTATATTTATGCTTGGAGGTAAAAGAATAATAACTTCTTCCCAAACATGACCACGCTTGAAACAAATAATTTTACTTGATCACATAAAGCAAATTATATCCATTTATATTAGTGTTACTTACCTCTTCGTTGTTTATGTAATGAACTTCATCAAATACAACATACTCAACATCTCTCAAAACTTCAGCAGCACAGTATAGCATGGATTGTAAAATTTCTGTAGTCATTATGAGACAAGAAGCAGTTGGATTTATTTGTAAATCTCCAGTTATTAAGCCTACATTTTCGAATTTTTCTTTAAACTCTCTGAATTTTTGATTGGATAAGGCTTTTATTGGGGATGTATATATCGTTCTGCAAAAATTTATTATTACTAAAAGAAAATATTGAATCATAAGACTAAATAATAATTAAATGAAACCTTGTCATGTGTTTTTGACTCATTGCTATTGCATATTCCGCAATAGTTGTTTTTCCAGCTGACGTATGAGCTGCAACAAATACATCTCGTTGTTCTTCTAATTTTAAAATAGCTTGTTTTTGGAATGTATCAAGTTCATATGGAAATATCAGGGCAGGATTTGTTATTTTTTTGTCAAAATCTGTTACTGGTATAGTAACATCAATTTGTTCTGCCCACTTCGTTTTCTTATTAGCAATTTTATGTGGAGTATCAGATATTCTAAGTATTGGTATTTCAGTTTGTTTTATTGGTTCAATATATGCATCTATATTTGGCATTTCAATTTCCAATTTATTTTCATCTTTATTAAAATTTTTCTTGCTTTCATCATCATGACTGGGATGGGACCAGAAATCTAAATATTTTTTTTCTTTGTCAATTTCTGGCAAAAGATTGATATTATCAATGTGATACTGTAATTTTTGTTTTTGAATTTCATTTGTTTCATGAGTTTTAGGAGTAATATTATCAGACATAAATTCTATTCCTCCGCTAAAACCTTTAGCTGATATCTTTAAATTATTTTCAAAATCAACATTAACTTTTTTCTCTACTGTTTGTAATTTTTCAAATCCACCAGGCCAAAACAAATAATTACTAGCATTACCTGTAAAATTTCAATCATTAAAACTTTTTAACTAGAGGAAGTATAATGTGATTATTTCTTAAAAATATAGTAGACACCTTTAACATTCTCAATTACTGGACCAGGAGCTCGAGACATTGACATAGAATTTCGAACCGTCTCTCCAATATTTTGAATAGTCACTTCTTGAATTTGACCAATGGAACCTGTGAATGGATCTCTTTCATATTTTAATGTGGTACCAATAGGTGCTAAATCTGATTTTAAAAGTGTACTGATATTGGGAGTCCTGTTCCAGTATTGCTGAACTTTATCTAGTTGATGGATGGGAAGCTTTTCTGGATGTACTATGTACTCTTTCAGTTCTTCTTTGATACCAATCAATATTGGTGGAGGTCCAAAAGGCATCTGATGCATTAAAAGAGAATGTTTAAATTTAAAAAAATACAAAAGCATTGAGGAAAAATTTATAAAATAATAAATTACCTCCAATTCAATGGGATAATCTAAATCACTCATGTTTTAAGAAGTGAAGTTTTAAAAATTCTGATATATTTACTGACTTCTCACTGTTTTAAAGCAAATTAATTCCTTTGCTTTGCAAAAATATATGCAACTAGCTACTCAAATATTTTTCCATGAAAAATTACAATATTTTATAATTATTGGCGTAAGCCTCAAAATGAAAATAATCATTAAAAGACTCTCAACTTGAGATGAAGGTTGGTTTTACATTATAGGCATATTTTACTTTCATCAACGATAAGATTTAAATAAGCAATGTTTTGTGTTGATATCGAAAGCGCAGGTTGTGTACTCGCAGTAGTCGAAGAACTAATTCTATTGAATATGCCGAGGAGTTGTATCACAATTGATAAAGTGTACACCATACACAGTGCATAATACGGAGATTGTTACAAAGACTACAAGGAAGAGGACAACAAGCTGGGTTTTACACTTTGCAGTGTGCGAATTCCAAAAGGCGGCGGTTTTAAATTGTAGACATCAAGCAATTGTATGCGAAATTTACAAGTTAAATTTTTCGAAATTGCACGAAAAATTTTAAAGCGTTTTAAAAATTTAGTCAATCTTTTTTAGCAAACATTCCACCAGATTTTATTTTTAAAATTTGATTCTACTCTTAAAAATAATTTAACTAATAAGTTGTGTTATTGCAATGGTTTATTGTTTCCAGAGATATAAATTTAATTTGACGTTTAAATTTTTAAGTTGATTTTCAACAACTGAGATAATGCGACTTTTTGGTACTCCTTTTTACCTTTCAAGTATAATTATTATTATTATTTAATAAATCAACGAATTCTTTTGCTTTCGATTATTAAACTAGAGTAAAACACGTAATTTTTTGTTGAAACGATTTTTTTATTTCATATCTCACGAAGGCATTTGATATAGTTTCGAAACTTTTGAGCCAGATTAAAATCTTTTGAGTTTTAAAAATACCTGAAAATGTTAATTTACTTAGTACTGAAAAAATCTTGCATGAGCTTTATACAAACACAAATAAGTAAGTTGCATTTGCAACTTTCATTTCAACTGCGTTTGAACTGTGCATGCTATTTTCATCGTTGGCATATTGATGATCTATCGATGCGAGCGAGACAGTAATTAAACGTCTACAGCAGTCAGCACTCGGCAGTCGGCGGCAGCACGCGACTCCGCGAGACGTTGAGTCCGAGTTCCGACACACTCTTTGATTTCCACTCGCCTGCAGTTTCCCCAATATAATAATTAATAAAATCGAATAAAAAAGCGTCGTCTGCTTCGCAAATGACATCGCATCTTCACGTTTAATCATTTCATTTAGATGTTTTACGGTGATCTTCAAAAATATCATATGTAGAGTAATATTTATCTAACATCACATGTGCTATTCACGTTTCTTTGTTATATGTACACTTAGATAATGCTTCATTATAACAAATTTTTCATTTATACGTCACAGTTCATTCGGCAGTAATCGTCATCAATCTAAACGTGGCTAGAGTATTTACATTTATGTAATTTAAAGTGTACAATGCTCTATACATCGTGAATCATACTCATAAGAAAATCGGACAATTCTTATTTGTTATATTTTAATTAAATTTATTGTAATAATTATTTAAGAAGTGCTTGTGTGTTCTGAAAACTTGAAAATGACAGAAATTGACTGGCCTTGGCAGTATAGTTTTCCTCCATTTTTCACGTAAGTCAGCATTACAAATGTAAAACCCCATTAAGTAATTTTCAAATAATTCATTGTTGAAAAATATAAATTATTAGCAATTTATTTATTTAATTCTTCAAATTATTCAACAAATTTTCTGAAAAGAATTAACGTAAATTAAATGTTACTTGTCACACTGTTATCTGACTATTATTAATAATTCTAATGTTATATTAAGTGTATATAGTAATTTTATTATTTCCAGATTACAACCTCATGCTGAAACTAAAGTAAAACAAATTGAAGCATGGAAACATTTAGTAATAAATTACTTTCATAATACCAATCAATTTATTTTGGATGTTCGAGAAGTACACAATGGCCCGCTATTTTATAATTCAGCGATTGATAGTATCCTTTGAAAATATATTTTTCCTATGCAAAATATTTTATGAGATCCTTAACTATTTATCAGGAAAATTATCTCCAGAAATTGTATTAATAATATTGGAAGAATTAGCCAAATCTGGTCATGCTATACCATTAGACAAAATTAAACAACGCTGGATTGTATCCTGGCATACATTGGAAGAATGGAGTGATATAATATATTCATGGGCACAGTCAAATGGATTTATTGGTTCTGTCTGCACATTTTATGAATTAAGAGAAGGAGATAATACTACTGATCAAGGTATGTATTTAAGAATGAATAATTGAGTGAAAGATAAAAATAAAGCAAAAATGCTAAATATTAACTATTATTTTTTAGAATTCCATGGCATTGATAATGATTTGCTAGTTAGAGCTTTAAAGATACTTGAAAATTCAAACCGAGCAGAGCTGATAATTTTTGATGATAATGAAGGTGTAAAATTTTTTTAAGTTCTTTTTGTTAATAAATTTTTATTTTAAAAATCAATATGTTTTAATTTCATTTTCTATGATGAAAAATATCGTTTCAATGTTATACTTTTATATTTATACACAAACACAAATTATCATTGATACTTATTTTGGCATTTATGAAACTCATGACACATGCAAACGTTTCAAATTGAGTACATGAATAAATTTGAAGTTATTGTATTTTTACAATTAAAAAATATAATCTAAAATTCCATGTTAATAATATACTTTTATTGTTAAGGTTGATATCTGTAAAATTCAGAAATAAAACAGAAAAATTGAATAGATACGATAATTAGTAAACTTGAAGCTTAATTTAATCTTCTAGTTTTTGCATTCGAGTAAGTTCAGTTGCCTCTGCTAAATCTTCATATACAGGAGAATCCATAGATTTCAGTTCATCTTTACTCATTTTTTCAATGATTATAGCTGCTAAAGCGTCGCACATGACATTAACAGTAGTTCTAAATCGATCTCTGAAAAAAGTATTTTTGTCTAATAAAATGCCACATAGGTATCGAATAAAATGCCATATAGATCAGATACGCACAATAGCCAGTCTACCGCAAGGATGAGAGTAACGTCTTTATCGGGAAGGCCAACAGTGTTGAGCACCATAACCATAGTGACTAGACCGGCTTGAGGTATGCCAGCGGCGCCAATGCTCGCCGCTGTGGCGGTGATGCTGATGCCTATGATCTTACTAAAACTCATCGGTACTCGTCGTACTTGAGCTATGAAGATCGCGGCAACAGCTTCGTAGAGAGCAGTACCATCCATGTTAATGGTCGCCCCAATCGGCACGACAAAGCGGGATATTCTCGGGTCAACTCCCATGTCGTCCATGCACTGGAGGGTGATTGGTAGCGTTGCCGAACTACCAAATATGTATCAGTAATGATTGCTTAATCTTTAGCATTTCTCTGGATAAAAACTTAACGAGGCTAAAATCACGAACCTGGAAGCTGTTCCAAAAGCGGTCACCATGACCTGACTCATTTTGCCGATTGCCTTGAAGGGTAGCTGTCGAGTACACACAAAGTATATGAGAGATAAAGTGCCGAATCCGTGGAGGATCAGTCCCAATAAAACCGTGATAAAATACATTCCAAGTGATTCAACGATACTTCGAAAATCTTGAACTTGAAGAATCTGTGATGCTACGAGAAATGTCACTCCAACTGGTGATAACCTGCGTTATATAAAACATTCAAGCACTTGGTATTTTATTTTGGACATATGGACCCACGTATGATTTTTATTGACTTTGAAAAGCTCACCAAATTACCCAGCTTGTAATGAACATCATAGATTCAGAAAGACAATTAAAGAAGTCCAGCAGAGGTTTACCCCGATCACCCAATCGGCCAATCGCTATGCCCATAACTATACCGAAAATGACTAGACCTAAAGTATTGGTTCCATCCCCGTACGAAGACGATATTTCCCACTCGTATTTATTGTTTGTAACTGATAAGAAAATCAACATTCAATAAATTTTTAATTCTTAAGTTTTAAATACATTTTTTGCATGTAAAGTAATTGAAAAGCTCACCATTTGACTTGTTAACTGGTGGTATCAACTCAGTCCGATACTACAATTCAAGTAATTATAGTATGTAATTGTGCAATTAAATGTGTTTTAAGTTTAATTGATTATTTCGGCATGTGGAAAGCAGATTTTTCGATAGCTATGATTCACCGAATAGGTATGAAAAACGATATAATCTTACCTGTGACAGACATGCTTGAACCAAGTTTGGGGGAAAAATATTCCTGAAATTATTATGGTGAGTGTTAAGGTTGAACGAATCACGAACAGAAAATATCCGATCAAGCTCAAATACCTTATCAAATCCAAAATCGTGTCGGTAGTAGTGACAATTCGTTGTGGAGTTTGACTGTCATCAGTGTTATAATCTTCTTCTTTTCCGTAAGTACCAGGTTGAATAACTGTTACCAAAATTATCCCGAGGATAACAGCAGAAATTGTCGTTGTTGCATAGTAATAAATAGAACGTCTTCCAATTTTACCTGCATCAAAAATGTTCAATCAACTGTTATTTTCAATAAATATAATATTTGAAACGAGTAAGAAACTACTATTATTTGCTGACCTGAGAGACTAAGGTCTAAACTGCCAATAGCACTAATAATGCTTGATAATATCAATGGCAAAATTAAAGACTTGAGCATTCTCAAAAATAAATCACCAGGAAATTGAATGTACATGATTTCTCGTTTGGTCCAGCCTTTAGTATCATCTTTTCCACTATATTTTAGGATAAAACCCAAGCCTACGCCAACAATGACAGCACCTACTGTCAATAGCATCAGGCGGTTCTCTGCTACACAGCTCTTCCATTTTCTTGTCTTTGACATCAATTAGACTTTATATTTCCTAAAACTGACCCGGAACATTTTTATTTATAAATTCAAAGAGGTATGAATTATTTGTTAAATGCTGTGAAAATCAATTGATTTTTTCCACGAGTGACGACGGTGAATCGAAAACCGATTAGGTTTGTGAAAAAAGTCACTTATGTTATCTATAATAAACTCGATATATTCTATAATTGAGAAATCGTTATTAATTAATGAGAGAGATAATTTTTCTTCTTTCTTTTTATTCTTTGATTTCATTTATTGAAATTGGTAAATAACTTATAGACTAAAATTGATACCATTTTTTTCATTGAATTATTTGAATAAAATTTCTTTAAAAATTCTTATATCACAATTTAAAAATAAAATTAATTTTTGTTTTACTAGATTTTAGAGAATTTTCGCACTGACGATATGTTTATTAATCATGAAAAAATATTAATGGCATGAATGAGTGAAAGGAGTTGTCGTGTTTTTAATTTGTATCACCAATGAGAATACAGAATATACTCATCTGAATAATCTAGTACCATCTGGTTGAAACTAGTTTCTTTCTCATTGAACGTTTCTCATGGTTTTGCTTATGAATAAATATGAATTCAACGATAGATAGAAGTAAGTCATAATTTTTGTTAATTAATGTTTAAATTATGGTTATTCATTGTCATGCATTCATTTGCACATATGTGCAGGGGTACAAAATAATTCAATCAAATATTACAAGGTAAGATTAATAATGAAAAAGTATTTTTTGGTAAAAACTCGATTTACTTTTCATTATTTACATTGGAAATAATCGTTACATAGTTATCGGTTACTTTATTTTTATTTAACCAAGAAAGTGAAACCTTTTGAAAGAACCGTCAAAATTATGAAAAAATTGAAATTTTTCAACTAAAAACCACGGACAATTACTGACGGAAAAAAATGTTTGTACTTTAGTTTAGCCCATGAACGTGATAAATATGAAAGAAATAACTATAATATTGTGTGCGATTTACACACCATTCACGGAGTAACATCCTTTTTTTGATAAAACAAAAACAGTAGATAAGCGCTCAAAAGATTCAAAAAGGAAAAAAATTCATTATTAAAGAATTAGTTTTTAAGGGCAATGAAAATGAAATTATAATTTTTTGTTGTTAAAGGCCATACAAATAATTCAATATATGTCACTTAGATAATTGCTGTTATTTCTTGATTGCTTGATTCTATGTAGGATTATACTACTACATTTATACTCATGAATGATCAATCAATTACTCAGTATCAATATGATGTCAAAATTTTTATGCATAAATTATTTAGAGGGTCTTGAAAAAATTAGTAAATAAGGATAATTTAACGACAATTGGAATTAGCAAGGGGTTGAAACTGTGCCAACCTGTTGTAGACAAAAGAAAACGGCAGGCGCAGTTATATCTCGATCGAACTATGATCTGGTTGTCAATCTAAGCGTAGCTGTTATTTACAACGAAACAGTTTCAATTTACCAAGCAAAAGTCGATGGAAAGCGCGCGTGCGATCGTTGCGAATGTCGGCTGAAGACTAATTCGACGCTGTTGCTATTGCAAACTGAAATGCAGAATAACAATCACTTGTACAATCGAGATGTATGAGTAATAAGAACTCCCAAAATTGACTCACCATAATCTGTGGTTCCACATGAAAGGTCGATTGTCATGCCTTTATGTTTATTTTTAACAATTAAAGCTTGCAAAATCTTTGTCAATATTGATTCGTAAGTTATATATTTTTACATCCATTTTGATTTATTAAAATAAAACCGTTGGTGCAAGTTTAAAACTTAAAAAAAAATAAAACTTTGATAAAGAAAAGTCTTTAAAAAAATTGACGAATTGGAAAAATGTTTCGTTTGTAAAAGTTATTATTTTTTTGGATAAAAATAATTGAGTATCAAAAATTATTTCCTGCGCGATCTTATTGGCCCATATTTCACTGCAGTGGAATTAGAAAAATAATTGATGACTCATTTCTTTCAACCTTTATTAGAGATTAATTTACTGAATAATAAATATTACATAAAATAAATACTTAACATTACAAGTATTTTACAATTTTTAATTTAAATTAGAGATCTTATGCATTTATCAGCAAATAAAACTGACTTGTAAAATCCACTTCTAATTGGATTCTGCATTGATAATGATTTATGTATGACAATACTTTTTTCGCTGTAGCATACAATTGCGACATCAAACATTTCAACATATATGATCTATATTATCATACATTTTAAATATATGTTGTGAGGGTAAGATTAGGTAAAAATGAGTCATATACACTGCTCAACAAAGTTATCGCAACACAAAACTTCATCGAAATTTTGTCAATTTTCGAGTGCTTCTATCTTGGTCTATATTCATCGTATTTAGACGATTTTTTTTTCGATTTCTGGAAAATGTTGTCCTCTTTGAATATATTATGTAAGGGTTCGAGTCAATATTGAGTTAGCAGTAGTATTTGAGCGCAAAACTAAAAGTTACTGAAAAAATTTGATTGTTTAAAATTCTTCATAGATTATAGTAATTTGTTTATCAAAATCTAACATATACCATCACAAAGTACTCTTTTTAACGAGTAATTAAAAAATAGAGAGAGTTCTTAAAGATTTTTTTTGCTCCATACAGTCCGTTTTGAATTAAATACGTAAAATCCCTCGTTTTGCTGAAATCGACTCGATTTTTTGGGCATTTTGCGTACAAACAGGGCGCAAAAATAATCCTAGCGAGCTCTATTTTTTTAAATTACTCGTTGAAAAGAGTACTTTGCGATGGTGTATATGAGGTTTTGATAAACAAATTACTGTAGTCCATAAAAACGTTTAAACAATCAATTTTTCTCATTAACTTTTAGTGTTGCGCTCAAATACTAACTCCATTGTGCCTCGAACCCATACGTAATATATATGGCGTTAAAAAAGAAAACATTTCCAAGAAATCAACAAAAAATTTGTTCCAATACAACAAAAATAGACCAAGATAAAAACATTTCAAAATTGACAACATTTCGATGAAATTTTTTGTTGCGATAATTTTGTTGAGTTGAGTTAAGTAGTGTATAATTACATTCATTGAGTTAAATTACAATTTAAAATGTTATAAGAAAAATTTATTCCAATACCGCGATTGATTTGAATCGAGTTTTAAAATTGAATTAATTTTAAAATTAAGATGAACTAAAATTTTTCACGGTTAAAAGCAAAGGACTACGTTTCTAGCGATTATCACTGTTAAAATGGCGCGACAACAATATTCTTGCTCACAACCGACATTGAAACCAGTCGTTATAAATAAATTTCAATAATACGTTTAATTGTATGCTTAAAAAATTATTCAATGGATAAATTTGAATGTTTACCTTTCCCAAATTACGTTAAATGTTTATCCAAAAAGGGTTGTTTTGTTCAAAAATACAGATTGGGTACATACAAGCATAAGAATAATATCAACAAACATTTTAATTGATGATCGCTAATTCACCTATAAACATTTTTTTCTAGGTCTTATTTTCTTGCAAGAATATAAATCGATAATAGCCTTCATCTTAAGTGCGAACTGAACGTTAGATTCAGTGAAAAGTCAAAAAGCCATTGTAATTAATTTTTTTTTTAATTTGTAAATGCTTATTTTGTCACGTTTCGTTTTTTCTTACGTCTTCATAATCAATGAGTAAGAAGAAATTTAATAGGCTCTTGAAAGATTGAAAATATTTGTTTTTAAAAATTTTCACCAACCTGACAACTGGACTGACATTTCTGACTAGTCTCAATTTCTCCAGCCGCAATTTCTTCCGCGCACCGCTTCTTGCCGACTTGTAAGTTGTAATAGTAACATCAACGGTCGCGACAATTTGCAAAGCTCGCAAATACGAGAGAACCACGCAGTCGCACACTCGCACCGACATCATTCGATTGTTCTACTCCCAACTATCAAGTCCCAGGGTCTGCAAACATTTCGCGCCAAGAAAACGGTCGCCGGCGTTTTTCATTTTTCATTGCTGTAATAAGGTAACTGTTCTTCTAAATTATTCATTTAACTTGTACGTGTAGTTTTTGTCAGCGAATTTAAACAACTTTATTATAAATTATTTGCTCATATGCATCAAATTTAATCTTCCAGTAACTTTTATAACGTTTTTTTTATAACCTTCAAATGACAATTTTTTCTTATTGATCCTTTAATGTGCTTAATTTTTACATTTGAAGGATTTCTAGATGATAATTGTCGATTTAAATTGTAAATGTCTTGATTTTAATGGAATTAACGCATATATTCTTTCAAAAAATGTATAGATTTTGAACTGTTTTAATTTCAGAAATAAATATGACCAAATCTGCTCGACGCAAGAATCTCGAAAAGAGAGCGATGAATAACCGAAAAGGAAGAAAAGACGTAAAACTGGATGCCAAAACTGAATCTGATAGTGAAAGTCTCGATGAATCTATGGAGGTAGAGACAGAAAAAAAAGGAGTCAAAATGTTTAAAGGTTTGCAAGAAGAGGAAGATGCCGAAAACGACCTTGCTCAGAATAGTAGTTGCGAAGATGAGGATGTCGATAATGATGATGAAGACGACGATGATGATAATGATAATGATGAGGACGATGATGAAGACGATGATGATGAAGATGATGATGATGAAGATGATGAAGATAAAAATGAATGCTCTGAAGATGAACCTGGAAGTCCAATGAATCAAAATTCATCAGAAAATAATTCTGAAAAGGATAATGACGATTCAAGCGATGATGATGAAGGTGGTAATATTTCTCTAAAATCTAACTTTACTTTAAGTAAATTGTTAGGTGAAAGCTTAGCTGAAGATGACGATGATGATGATTTTAATCCTGATGGTGAAGATCAATCAATGTCTGAAGATGAAGTTTCTAAATCTGCTGTTGCTGAAGAATTAAAGGCCAATGAATCTACTGATGAGGATGAAGATGAGGATGAGGACGAAGATGAGGATGATGATGATGATAAAGATGAGGATGAAGATAGGCCTGGCTTGCAAGCGCTGTTAGGGGAAAGTTTGGCAGATGAGGATGATGACGAGGACTTTGATGTTAACGATGAAGATGACTCAAAGTCTGAAGATGAAGTTTCAAGATCTGCTGTGGAAAAAGAATTACAGGACAACTTATCTTGCAGCGAAAATGAAGATGATGATGAAAGTGATGATGATGAAGATGATGAAGACGGGCCTGGTTTAAAAGCACTGTTAGGTGAGAGCTTAGTAGACGATGATGACGATGAAGATTTTAATGAAGATGGTGAAGATGACGAAGATGAAGATATTAGTGATGACAGTATTGATGAAAAAGATTTAAGAATTAACGATACAGAATCAAATGAAAAAAATAAAAAAAAACATGATAAACCTGTCAAATTATCACCAGAAGAACAAGCTGCGAAAGAAGCAAGAACAATCTACATTGGTAATGTTCCTAAGGAAGTAACAACCAAAGATATCAAAAAACTGTTTAGACCTTTTGGTATCATAGAAAATATTCGTGTTAGAGGAGTGGTAGCAGAGGATGATAAAACTTCAGCCAAAGTAGCCAGTATTACCAAAAAACTCCATCCTAAAGTAAAAACTGTTTACAATTATGTTTGTTTTAAAGATCAAGAATCTGCCACAAAAGCTCTTAAACTAAACGGATACAAACTTCTAGATCATACTTTGCGAGTTGATCTTTGTAATTCAAAAAAGGAACATGACCAGAAAAAAGCAGTGTTTTTAGGAAATTTACCATTTGGTAAGGATATAATGATTTTTAATATTATTTTTTTATCTTGTCTTCGTAGATTTTATTTATACCCCTTCTAACTTTTTATTACAGAACTTACAGACGAAGATGTTCATTCCCACTTTGCCTCTTGTGGTAAAATTGAATCTGTACGTATAGTTAAAGACCGCAAAACTGGTTTAAGTAGAGGAGTTGGATATATCAATTTTGTAGAAGAAGATTCAGTTACTTTAGCTCTTGAGTTGAATGATACAAAAATGAAAAATCGTCAAATTAGAGTCAAAAAGTGCAGTACAGTTACAGGAAAGAAAAAGAGGAAACACAATAATTCAAATCAAGGGAATGTTTCAAAGAAAAAATTCAAAAATAATCACGGAAATGCTTCCAAAATCATGACAGAAAAAAAAGTAAGAAAAAGCATATAAACAACTTTTTTCTAAGTTTCCGCATTAATCATTGATAACATAATTTAATTTTTTACAGAATGCTGGAAAACAAGAACAAAAAAAGAATTCGCCTAAAAAAAAGAATGGAGGAAAATTTAAAAATGGAAAAAAATCGACTTAATAACAATAATAACTTGAGTTTTTTGATATTTATTTTACAAAATGTTTACTATTAAGATAATATTAATTTTAGGAACACAAATGTAAAATACTTGAACTTATTCATGGTAGAATTAATTTTTATTGGTCTGAAAAATGTTTTGAATTCATTTAATTATTGTACATTAAATTAAGTAAAATATTTTTTAAATTCATTCTAATTCATACCCTTTATTTATTATTAAGTTGTTTAATTTTATCATTTAACTTTGATGGAAAGCAGTGGGAATTTTTTATTGCACAAGACTTACAGAATCGTTTATAATAATATATACTACATTCCATGCAACATGAACATTTACAAATGCTACAATTTGCTCCCAAAACTAACACTTCACATTTGTTAGATATGCTAAAAGGATCTTTTATAATGTAACAATCTTCTAACATTTTCAAATGTTTTGCAAATGGAGGTTTCATTCCTTTGTAATCATAATATTCTTCTAAATTACAATATTTACATTTCCATATACCACCAGATGCACATTCAGTGTCCACTTGCAAATCTTCCTTTTTACCAGCACTTACAAGTAACTGTTTGTCAGGAAAAGTTTCATCCATTTTGATTATAAAACTGAAAAATTTTGAAGTTTTTAAAAGATTTTTTAAAATCATGTATTTGTATAAGTTAAAAAAAGATATTATTTTGACTAATTCTATATTGTTTGGACTATGAAAATTACTAGGATTGAGGATATTTGTTTTTACTAAAATTCAAATGAATACAGTAGATCAGTTTTTATTTTTTAATGATGATTCAATTTTTGGTTTATCTTGTGGCCACCATTGAGGCTTCATGAGTTTCATAGTACAGTTACTTATATTTATGATTGAAGAAGCTGAGGCTTCAGATATTCGCATTAAACCAAGGCCATAATTTCCTTCGTGATCAATGATTTTACCAATAATTTGACCAGATTCATTAGTAATATTTTCATAACTTTGAAATTTTTCTGTGCATCCATTATCTAATATCAAAGGCATGATTCTTTTTCTTACAACACCTGTGTGGTATGTTCGGGCTGTCAATTCTTGTCCTATATAACATCCTTTTTGAAAACTTACTCCATGTAAGTAATCACAATTTGACTCCAAAGGAAATGATACTCCAATTGGGAAATTTCGTACTCCTTCAGGCACACCCAGTTTATATCGAAAAGATATATAATCAATTATCTCATGAAGTTTGATGTTCAAATCTAGATATTTATTTATATCATCAGAATCAACTACTGATTTTGTTAAAACTCTGTATCCTAATTCAAATAATCTAGGATCTTGATACACAGCTATGTTGTCTATTATTCCATTAGTATTATTACTTATTGAACATGCTGAAATGTTTTCTTCTGATATTTTTGGATTATCAATATTGTTATATGAAACTTGGTCATCAACTTTATTTTCATAAATGCACCACACTTTCATATCATTATTCATAGGTAGTATATTGACTTTTCTTTTCAGTTTATACATTTTTAAATGTTTTATAAAATTATTAAAAAGTGTAGAATCACATTCAATGTAAAAAGCATCCTTTTCTTGACACTTGTATATAATACTATCAAACAATATTCTACCCTTGATATTAAGAAATAATGAATATATGCTTTTTGATCCATCTTCTAAATGTCTAATATCATTAGTCATTAATCCTTGCAGAAAATCTGAGGCATCAGGCCCTGATATATGTAACAGTTTTCTTTGTTTCAAGTGAACAATACTTTTACTAAAAAAATCTGAGGATTTTAATCTTGAAAAACTTTGTCCAACAAATTGTTTTTTATTCCTTTGCATGAAAGTTCTTGTAAATTGCATCATTTTCATAAACCCTGAATCAATAATTGTTTAAAATAAAAACTGACGTCAAGTATTTCTATTCATTTACGCTTAAAAGTATGACTTGCACTGATAGCGCCTTTTGTTAAGATTTGGAGAAAATAATTTATTAAGTAGCAAGATCATATATTACATAAATAATATCTAACCTTTTGGCACTTCTGATTAACTAGTTTTAAAAAAGGATTCACAGTTATTCTCGAGGGAATTTTTTAATAAATTTGATTAAAAAAACTAAAGAAATATCACTTCGATTTAATATTAAATGATTATGAGATAAGTTTATTACTGCATAATAATTTTCAAACATTAGGCTTTGATATCAGCTTGAGGGTGAATTCACATTGCAAAAAAAGAAAATGAAGAAAGCGCTGATTGTAAATGAACTGACACACACCGCACACGTGACACGAATTAACATTTTTAAACGCACTTTCCAAATTTTTCAATTAAAATCTAATTAATATTTTTCTAGACTTTAAAAAAGTTATTTAAGAATTTTTCAGAAAAATATTAACAAGACTTTGAGAAGATCTTACAACAAAATACAATATTTCGTTATTACCATCATTCGTTATTACCTAATTTTCAACTTTCAACCATCTAAGTTGTAATTTTTGTGTAAATAATTATAATATAAATTTGTTTATTGGTCAAAATGATTATGTTCAATTGAAATATGGTAATACAACTTCAAGTCTGGTATTTTCAAAGTATAATACTTATATTTGATTGAGTTTTAATTAGTACATAATTTTTAATAATATAATAATATAATAATTTAATATTATAATAATTTAATATTATAATATTTAATAATATAATAATTTAATAATATGCCATAAGACGGCAATTTTTTTCTAAAACTCAAGTCGGGTTTAGTTGAATTGTTAGGGAAAAATTTTGCAGAAGAAGATAATGATGATAATGAAGATAAATTAAAGTCCAACTATGAAGTTTCAAGGTCTCAGATGTTGCCGAAGAATTAATGAATTGAAGATGGTGAAGTTGATGATGAATATCGGTGATGACAGTAAAAACGTAACAGTCAAAGACATTAAAAACTTTTTGAGAGATTTTGGTATCATATGCATGTTTGAGTAGCGAAGTTTTAAACTCAGAGTCAATATAAATCAAAGAAATGTTTTAAGAAGCAATACAAAAATTAGGTAACTTACGAAAAAGTGTTTCCAATTTTACAATAATACTAATTATTTTTAAAACATTCAAAGAGCATCAGTCAAGTTAATAAAAATCGTGGGTGAGGCAAAGCGGTAGTTTTCACCCCTTTAGAAGGGTGAATTTTAGATTTTCGATTTTTTCAATCTCAGATTTGAATTCAGAATATTTTTGAAAAAATATTTTAAGAAATATTTTTGAAAAAATATTCCATCAACAATATTTTATTGCATTTGAAACTTTTTACACGGTTTATTCCCTTCCGGACCGGGAAGCCAATGTATTGGTGCACCCACGGATCGACACTTAGCCTATAGGATCGAACAATGATTTGAGATGCCGGTTTTCTATGGATGATATATGACCTCTGAAATCCCAATCCTCTGGAGGTTAATGATAAATTTAACGTTCATTGGTCTAGAACATGATAGAACAAGTCATTTAATGATTGAATAATAAGTGGGAAATAATATTTTTTATTTTAATTAAAATTATACTCAAGTCTCTCATTTATCACAAACATTTTAGGATCTCGTTTATCTTTGTAAATTGGTTTCGGGTACCTGTTGAAAATAACTATAATATATTGACTCAAACGCATATTACCGATTTTCTGTAATTATTCTTGCGTACCTCAAATGAGAAGCGAGATACGCGAATGTAAATAAACACTAGCAATGGCTGTAATAAAGATAATTATTGAGTATGGCTATTTTAGCCGATAATTAATGATCTTTATACTACTCAAAAATGAGTACATCAACTTAGAAAAACGTGACTTGGCATTTTCTATTGCTCATCGCAGAGAATTGCATTTTTCCGGTCTTATTCTTATCAGCAGTGTCGTTGTATATGGCGTAAACACGTTGCTGGGCAGTGCTAGAGCTTGGATCGATTAACGTTTCCTAAATGCAGTCAGCCTTATGGTTGGCGTAGATACACGCAAACTGATACACACGTGCCTGCCTATATTATCTCTGTGTATAATGCAATTTTTATGTCTGTATGCTTTTTAGCTTCCCACGTTACACGTACAACTATACTATCGTAGTGAACGCTCGTTACTATACCAGTACGCAACGGTAATCGCTGATAATCGTCGTTTATGTACATACATGATCAGCTGTCTATGATTTTTGGTGGTGTGCATTTTGCTCAATCGATTGGTATTATAGTGCGCGATGCTCTGCAACTTTCATCGTTCTCTCTATGAATTGGAACATTTTGGTAAATTTCATTATTATATAATAAATCTGATAAATAGTTCTCCCATCGAATAATTCAATTAATTATTAACTGCAGCATTTGCAATTTTCATATATTAAAATATCTGTTAATTACGAATCGGTACAATCTTGAATCATTACAACTCGGATTTGTAGCTATATTGCTTTCTGAACACGTTTTTCTTTCAATTTTGGTTTTGTTCGCGAACTTGTTATGAATATTATGAAAATCTATTAAAATGCTTTATTTATGAAATTACCATGAAAATACTTCATGATAAATCACTCATTCTTAGTTTAATATGCGTTTTATGCTAGTTCTCTGTTATTTATGTTTGGTTTGTCTGTTTATATTTCTTAAATTTTGAATTTATAGTTTTTTGATATTTTTTACATTTGAAATGGAAAATGTTTACACTTCGCACTTTTTCAGAATATTTATTTGAAAACAACTGTTATGTTATCATAATAAATGACATAGATCATTTTTCTGAACTTTCAAAATACTTTTATCGAAATTAGAAGAAAGTTACACAATTCGTATCATTGCTGAATTCATTTGTAAATATTCGAATTTATATTTTCTAATATGTGCAGTTAGTAATGCTAATTTTTAATAGTCAGGTATACTTCTACCTATTAAGTATAATAATAGGCATGGACATTTTTATAATATAAAATATGACGGAACATTCGTGAGATAGGTACACTTGATGTAATTTTTTCTATAATAATTTAAGATTATTTAGATTATGCGCAAACTTCAACTCGCTAATTTTATTTACATTGTAGTTTACATAAGTCTGCAAAGATAATGCGATTTTAAGCATTACTAAATTCTTCGATTTTAAATGTTTGTGTTCCGTATAGTGTACAGATTTAATAAAATCTTTCTTAGAGTAAATTAATTAAAATATAATATCATGGATTAATTTCACTGAACAATTTATTGTGGTTGAATTGAGTGTTTCTTGAGTATTTCTAGAAAATATCGACTTTAATTGATTTTTCTGTTTTTTTAAGTAAGTATACATATCGTTCAATTATTAACTTTAGGTTAAGTTGATTGTTTTTTTCTGACCAGACGATTATTACTTACTCAGTAATTAACGATTCTTGCAAATATATATCGTGAAATAGATGTTTGTTCTGGATTCTCACATCAATATTTTATTTTTTTGATCCAATGTTTGAAATAACTAACGGCTTTGTGAAATATCAGAATAATAATGATAAAGTACTTATACTATTTTTTGATAATATGTAAGATGTTGTAAAGTAAATACAAAAAAAAACGTTATTCAGTAGCTTAATTATGGTACTGTAGGCGTAGTTAACAATTAATAACCGGAAAACAGCATGTGAAAAATATTAAAACGTGTTCATTTTTATGTTATTTTCATTTTATTGTACATTATTTAAAAAATCGATAAAAATAATTTTTGAATGTAAATTCATTTTTTCACACTTTGCAATAAAAAAATGTAATTAATAATATATGTTTGTTTTACAAAGGTTATTGTTGGCCTCGTGATTTATATGAATAAATAAATAAAAAAAAATATATAATTTTATATTTTTAGAAGTACAACAATCAAGAGAGAAAAAATTGTTAAAAAGTCTGTGTATCGTTGATGAGATAAATCAAGCAAGGGATTCAATTCTGCGGATGCGTCGGTCATTTCATACACCTGATTGTGCATCGGTTGATGAATCATCTCGAAGTACTGCCGGAGATTGTACAAATTTGCGTGACGCATTTTTTTGAAATATGAAGTACAGCTCGCCATCGAGTACCTTGAATGGCTCATCTAAAATATTTACAAACATTCGATCCACATTGTTAAATTCAATTATTGAGGTGAGCTTAACATTTTATATAGTTTTGAAATATTTGTTTGAATTATATGCGTACAAATATAATACATACAATTAGGTAATTGTTGCAATAATGCACGTTCTATTTTCGATGTTTGAATCATATTTATTGACGATTTTATATTTCATACTTTTGAACTTTATCAAGGCCTATATTCAAATGGAGGTAAAATTCAGAAAATAAAATTCTTAAAATGTGTAGATGAAATATTTCAATTTCAAAATAACTGTTTCAATTGCTGGTGTGCTAATATGATGCATAGTGTATTAATTCGTTCGATTCAGTAAAATGAAAAGCGCACTTATTTTGATTAAAACGAGGTCGAGTGAATAATAAATGAGAGAGATCCGTAATCCGTACGAATTGGTCAGACATTGTAAGCAAATAACGGATTCGAATTCATAGTCGAAGAAATGAATGTCTGCAATAAGCAAATAGCGTTGTTTGCTCGTGCTCTATAAGTTAGAAAATGAGTAATATCGAGAGAGAAATGAAAATGGAGGATTCGCAGGCGAGGCAAGGGACGGCGGCGAGGCCGGTCGAGCAGGACCGATCTCCGTGTCCGGTCTGCACAGCTGGCCGCAAGCATGCGAAGGAAGAGGCCGCGTACAAGGAGTCGCAACGAAGCCACGAGCATGCACGCGACAAAATACGCAGAAGAAGCTGGCCATCGTCGTCAGCGCCGCGATCGACTCGAGGACGACGACTCGTCCGAGTCAGGCTCCGAGCCCGAGACTAGACCCGCCACTGCCTGCCTCGAAGCACCTCGGGTACTCGATCGCCGGCTCGTCGATCAACTGGACATGTCGCTTCTTAATAAGGTCTGTATCTCAATCAATTCTACCACGCTAAAAGTCCGTCAGCGAGGCATCGCGGTTAACCCGACACTGGCGTCACATTTTATGCGTACAGGACTCGCTCGAGGCCTCTCTCATCCTCATCAGACAGAATTTGGCCAAGTCGATGCAACTGCAAAAAGCGTCGGAGCCACGCGATCCTTCGCGAGAGACTTTGCCAACGGAGCCGACGGGCCAACGAGCCTGCAGTCCGAATAGTAAAGTCGCTTCTCGTCGCTACCCTCCATCGGACGACATTAACAACAACAACAACAACAGCAGCAGCAGTAGCAGCAGCAGCACCTCTAGCAGCCACAGTAACGGCAGCAAGAGATCCAAGTTCGAGGAGTCGATCGATCTTGCACGGAACAAGCTAAGCGAGAAGCCAGCCAAATCGACAAAATTGACATCGACGGGGCAGCTCTCGCCGCTGCGATTCACTCGCGCCTCGATGCGCTCGGACAACTCCAGCGAGATAAGCTTGATCGCGGCATCGTCACCGAGCACCGGAAGACGGCAAAACAGCAAATGGCCGACTCCCAGAGCAGCGAGGCCAGTCAACGAGGCCAGCTGCAAAAGCTGCCTCGGATCGGCTCATCAGCCCGAGCGATTTCACAGCCACTCACGACCTCGCAGTCCGGAGCAGGCGAAACATCCGAAAGGCTCGCGCTCCAGCGTCTCGATAATACCCGTGCGCAGCTCGCTGGCCAAAGCCGAATGCCGGCGCAAAACTTCGGCCAAATCCGGCGGCATCGGGTCGCCTAGTCCCGTCGACTCCTTTGGTAAGAGCGCTCTCGAGATGCGACACGACCAAGGCATTACAATGAGCCTCTATCCTTGTATAACAGGAGCTAGAGCGGCGCCGCAGGAGAGGCAGAAAAAATGTCCCGATACAGCGAGTGCGGTCGAAGCTGCGAGGCCAGCTTGCCCCCAGCTCAAGGCCAGCAGCGATGACTCCAGCAAAACTAACACGAGTAAGAAAAGACCCAGGAGCGTCACCTGCTACATTTGCGGACGCGAATTCGGCTCGGCTAGCTTCCCCATTCACGAGCCCAAATGCTTAGAGGTAATTCATTTTCATGGCATGCTTTGCGATCACCATAATTTTCATACTAAACATACGGCACTTGGCGTTGTCTTACTCGCTTCTATACGATAGAGGTGGCATCGCGAGAACAAATCACTGCCGAGCTCGCAGAGGCGCAACGAGCCGCAACGACCCAACTTTCCCATCGATCACGAAGAATGGAACACCGCGGCTTGGGAGCAAAGTCAGGTAAGAGACTTACGCAGCTCGTGTACCAATGCAACCTACGGGATCAATTATTACATTTTTTAATTTTGAAATGTTTAGGCTTTACTCATTCCGTGTTCCAAGTGCAAAAGGACTTTTCTGCCGGATCGCTTGGGCATTCACGAGAGAAATTGCCGAAACAGCAAGGTATTTTATTAAATTCATATAGGAGAATCACATTTTGATAGGATTGTTTTTTTACTTGTCGTCTCTTATCTAAATATATGGAATGATTTGCATACGGGGTAAAGGCAATCTTAATAATGCAATAATATTACAAAAATTGATAAATTCCACCGGAATACAGTAAAACCTTGCTTCAACGGACACTAACGAGACCGAAAAATTTCGATGCTATTGAGAACTTTCCACTTTTGGTAGATGGACAAAAAACCAACACAAAACTGATTATGTAAAATGAAAAATACTATTATTACACATTCATTACTTCATAATTAATAATGTATAAAATTTCAGATACTTTTTTTTTTTCAAAATTTTTGGATAATTTTCTTAATATTCTATCAAATAGTGTTTGTTAAAATTATTGAAATGTACGAAAAATGTGTCCGTTAAAAGAATTGTTGGTCAAGGAGAGTTTTACTGTATTAACTTCATAAGTTTGCGCATTTTCTCCTCAAGTATTGCGATATTTGGTTTTGTGATATGTATTCTCACATGTGATAATATTCTCCAATTTCGCATTATTTTAACATTAACTTTTATCAAATATATTATAACGCGTGTACGTGTAAATATGCAAAGGGAAGAATTGTAGTTGTAAGATTATTTGAAATTTTATTTTTGCAAGCTCATTAATCGAATCAAATACAAGTGTAAATAAACTGGCAATCGCTGGATAAAAGTGATCCAAGTAGTCTTATATACCTTAATAATGACGATATTAAAAAAATGGATGAATACCGGATCATTTAGGGACACCATCAAAGCACCAACATCGCCCGTTTGATCGCCCGAAATTCTTCCCAGACGAGTAAACTATTACGATCTGTTGCCCAAACGAAAATGCGTCAATGTTATGCAACGAATCTAAGTCAGAATTTTACGGCAACAGCTTCGGGTAAAGGGAAAATCGGACTGATATCTGGCTTACCAGTCAGATGCTCGATCGGCGGAAATTTATCGAGCAAGACTACGACACATGCTGCCGGTGCGAGGAACAAATCCTAACATCACGCTAAGCAACGGGTTTGATTTATAAAATTTTTCATCAATTTTATTGTTACACTCATGTTCGCTTATTTCTCGTAATCGGTATTTCAAGCCTCGTCAGACGTTTTGAGTGCTATATCAAGTGTTCAAATTTGAATATGTCACATTGAGGGGATATGAATATGTTCTTACTTTAAATATTTACGAGTGAATTTTGAAAAAATAATTTTTGAACAAACACGAAAAGTAAATGTAGTCGCGGCTCACAGTGTTTTAACGTTATAACATTGTAATATTATTAGTCACGAAAATAAATAACTTGTGTTGAATGAATCAGGAACAACAAAATATCGTTATTTTACTATAATTTAGTAGATATTGAATACGCAGTAAAATTCAAGCAATAAGGTGCCAAGTTACTGGGCTTTTTACATTTGGAAATTAATCAATATTTAACAAAATAATAAACCAACTACAATTCGACTATCATGTAAGGAGGTACCTCCACTATTCTTTACATGTTCTGTGATTTTTTGATTTTTCATCTGTCATATATATTTTAATTTCAATCAAATATTTAATGTTAGTTCAGCCAATGGCTAATTTAAATTATGTTCGCAGGCAATTATTTTTTGAATGGCTACACTTGAAAGTAACTTATGTATTTTTTCCGCCACAAAGCGTATTATTATTGCTGTAATGTAATATACAAATACATATAAAAATAAAATGGATTATATTGATAATATTTAAATTGAAGTGTTCAATCAAGTAATTGCTTTCTTTTTTTTGCTTACTTTGGTTTCCAGGATTTACATTTTTACCAAAGTCCAAAGATCATTGGCTATATTTCAACGTAAGAAACTAGTAATTATAAAAAAAAAAAATTGAACATTTTAGTTTCTTATAATGTAAGATTTGAATAAAATATCGAGATGAATATTTAAAAAAATATTACCATTGTTTTATTTGCCTATGATTTTATAATTTTTTAGAAACAATCATTATTTTATGATTTAATTGAATGAAAAATTGAGGAATTTAGTAAAAAACTTGGCAACGATAAAATTTGATCGGCATTTCTGTTTTTTCAAAACCGCCAAGTTTCAAATCTTTGCATACCTTTTAAAGCTTTAAAATTGTGCAAATATAATCAGCCTTCTGTGTATGTTTATGCATATGTGAATAATAATTTAATCAAGCAGCAATTTGCTATTAGCAAAATAATCAAATTAATTTTCAAGCTATGCAATTGACTGATAAATATGTACCAAAAAGATCCAGACAGCTCCGTCGGTTTTCAGATTATTACGTACGTATTCGTACACTTATATTTTAAAGTGTAAGGAAATTTTCTGCTAACTTGCAGAACTTTTCGTCTGCTGCTGATGGAAAAGTGGAAATTTAAATTGCGCGGAATATGTTTGCGTAGCAAGGAGCACGTAGCTGTCCGCTACGTTGCATTTACAGTTGCCACATCGTTGCTCAGAAACAGCGTACATGGATTTGTGAAACTAGTAGTGGTATGAGCCGGCCGCCGCTTGCGTGGCACATGTCTGTCTTCTTCTTATGCATGGAGCAACGTCCCATTTCGGTCAACTATATAGCCTGTAGGTGCCGCCAACGTGAGCGGCGGTTATACTCAGCGTTCTGTGAGTCTCTCTCGCCCCCGTTGGCCTGTTAGACTCTCGTCTCTTTCACTCGAACCTCACACAAGGCAGGACCGAGCTAGCGGTCCGACATAAGAATCTTTCTTTCTCAGGGAGTCCGCCATTGTTGGCGCACGCACGTATAATTTTCAACAGACTGCCGTAATCCAAAAACATCCAAAATGGTAAGTATTATTTTTGCTTTTTTATTTTCTTAAATTATTTATCGAAGCATTATTTAATGGCATTTGATTGCATTTTTTATCTTTCTCCCGGCTTACCATTAAAAGTTATAAAAATAGTCATGCGTTACCGTGAATTGCGCAACTTTCGTTTTTACCATTTTTTATACTATTTCTTTCCGTACCTAAATCATTGATCCTAACAGGACTGTGATCTGTAATTTTTGCATAAATGTAACTAAAAATTATTGTTTCTTACGTTGACCTTACATGCGTGTAACCTTACGTTCGATGCAATTTTGTCAGCTGTGAGGGGTTATGTTGGAATCTAGCGCGTCCATGTTGTCTCAAGAATGTATGCCACGATATAATTCAGTGAAACTATCTTTTTTTATAACATTTACATTCCTTTCTCATCATTAGCTCCACTGTAATTTATCATTATCAATATACTTGTAAAAGTTATGCTACGTTCCTCGTGCACGTGCTAAGTTCATGTCCCTGACCGTGCCTCGTGCACGATAACCGTTATTCGGCGTGAAAGCTGTTACCTCCTGTGTATCAGTTTGTACCATAATTGTTTTTCCATAATGAAACTTGTACAAGGTACTAGATATTTTTTTACGTATCCCGTCCATTAGTAAATATAAACAATTTTTGTTCCTCATAGATTTCAAAAAGCAAAAAAATTATAATATACTTTTTTTCTTCAGGTGAACTTCACCGTAGACGAGATCCGTCTTATGATGGACAAGAAGGAGAATATCAGAAACATGTCCGTCATTGCTCACGTCGATCACGGAAAGTCAACTTTGACTGACTCCCTTGTGTCTAAGGCTGGTATTATTGCTGGTTCTAAAGCTGGAGAAACACGTTTTACTGATACCAGAAAAGATGAGCAGGAACGTTGCATTACCATCAAATCAACGTGAGTTCATTAGTTTTCACCATCATTACATGTACTTTTTCTTTCAGATAACTAACTTTTAATTTTCATTTTAGGGCAATTTCGATGTACTTCGAACTCGACCAGAAGGATTGTATCTTCATTACCAGCCCTGACCAACGCAGAAAGGATGAGAAAGGTTTCTTGATCAACCTTATCGATTCCCCCGGGCACGTTGATTTCTCTAGTGAAGTAACAGCTGCTCTTCGTGTAACTGATGGAGCCCTTGTTGTTGTTGATTGTGTTTCTGGTAAGATTTTACTTTTAGATTGTTATCACACATTTTTTTAATTGGAAACTTAATATGAACATGACATTATTACAGGTGTATGTGTACAGACTGAAACCGTATTGCGTCAAGCTATTGCTGAGCGCATTAAGCCTGTTTTGTTCATGAACAAAATGGACCGTGCTCTGCTTGAATTGCAACTGGATAGTGAAGATTTGTATCAAACTTTCCAACGTATTGTTGAAAACGTTAATGTTATTATTGCTACATACTCTGATGATGATGGTCCTATGGGAGAAGTTCGCGTAAGTATCCGATTAAAATTTTCAGAAACTATTATTCCATACACATGATGATTGTTCTCACAGACCTGTTCTGAAAATTATTGAAAGACACAAGAACGGCCAACTGACATTAAATTAAACTTGATGTATTTAAATTTTTTTTATCCCATAGAATTATAATTAAATAATATATCTCAATGCAATAGGTTGATCCAAGCAAAGGTTCTGTTGGTTTTGGTTCTGGACTTCATGGATGGGCTTTCACTTTGAAACAATTTTCCGAAATGTATGCTGAGAAATTCGGTATTGATGTCGTGAAACTAATGAACAGATTGTGGGGAGAATCTTTCTTCAACCCTAAAACCAAGAAGTGGAGCAAACAAAAAGAAGCTGACAACAAGCGCTCTTTCTGCATGTATGTTTTGGACCCCATCTACAAAGTAAGAATTTAATCAGTTTTTTATTGTATAATCTTCTGGCACATAAGCGTCTCTCTGCAGTGTTGAGGCGGTTTACCAAATCATGCACAATGATAGTGAAGACAGTGCATTAACAGAAGAAGAGAAAAATGTAATTATGCCCAGCGATCTCACTGAGCCTCTATCCTTATGCTCGGAAGTGACGATTTACAGCATGAGTGCACATATCTTATACTCATGTATAAAAAAGTACATATATATTTTAGAATAAATGAAATTGACTCTATGCCTCTGTTTGTTTTAGGTATTTGACTGCATCATGAACTACAAAAAAGACGAATGCGAAGGTCTTCTTAAAAAGTTAGGAATCGTTTTGAAGCCTGAAGATAAAGATAAGGATGGAAAAGCTCTCCTTAAGGTAATAATTTATCAGTATAAGGTTCATAGATAATTAAAATAATACATCAGAGGATGAATGTTCTAAAATATTTCTGACACCTCTTCTGATTAATAGTGAGAGAAACTGTGAACTTGACTGAATTTTACAATTTCCAATTACAAAATTTATCTTTAAATTTAATATTATATTAAATTTGAATAATTTATTCTACAGGTTGTAATGCGTACCTGGCTGCCAGCTGGAGAAGCTTTACTTCAGATGATAGCCATTCATTTGCCATCTCCAGTAACAGCTCAGAAGTACAGAATGGAAATGCTCTACGAAGGACCTCATGATGATGAAGCTGCTGTTGCGATTAAGGTAATTTTTGTTAAAATAAAATTTCTTACTATTTGTTAGTGATCATGCATATGATGATTGTTCTTTCACAGACCTGTTCTGAATATATTTTTTTGAATGACAAAAGAACGGCCAACTGAATATTCATTATAACAGACGTCACGCCTTAATGTTGAAGTTGTAGTCCTAATAAATGTTTTTAATTGCAGAACTGCGATCCTAATGGACCACTCATGATGTACGTATCTAAAATGGTACCGACATCTGATAAGGGTCGTTTCTATGCCTTTGGACGAGTTTTCTCTGGAAAAGTGTCAACTGGCATGAAAGCCCGTATCATGGGCCCTAATTACCAACCAGGCAAGAAGGAAGATCTTTATGAGAAAGCCATCCAACGTACCATCCTTATGATGGGTCGTTATGTCGAAGCTATTGAGGATGTTCCTTCAGGTAAATTGTATATTCATATCATACAATATCAAAATACCTTCTTTAATTTTTTATTCTATCTTATTTTCTTTATGATGATTGTTCTTTCACAGACCTGTTCTGATTTCATTTGAATGACATAAGAACGGCCAACTGATTTTTCCGCTGACTATCATATATGCTTTTTAATTTTTTGAGAAATGTCTTTGTAACAGTCTGTATTTTATAATTAAACAGGTAATATCTGCGGTCTGGTCGGAGTTGATCAATTTTTGGTCAAAACTGGAACCATCACTACGTTCAAAGAAGCTCACAACATGAAAGTCATGAAATTCTCTGTCTCGCCTGTTGTGCGAGTTGCTGTTGAACCTAAAAATCCTGCTGATCTGCCTAAACTTGTAGAAGGTTTGAAACGCTTAGCCAAGTCAGATCCTATGGTACAATGTATCATTGAAGAATCTGGAGAACACATCATTGCCGGCGCTGGTGAACTCCATCTTGAAATCTGTCTGAAAGATCTTGAAGAAGATCACGCTTGTATTCCAATTAAGAAGTCGGATCCAGTTGTATCATACAGAGAAACTGTTTCTGAAGAATCAGATCAAATGTGTTTGTCCAAGTCACCTAATAAGCACAACCGTTTGTTCATGAAGGCTCAACCAATGCCTGATGGTCTTGCTGAAGACATCGACAAGGTAAATTTAAAAATCTTTAATGCGCTATAAATACTCTAAAATATAACATGATGAATGTTCTAAAATTTCTGACACCTCTTCTGAACATTATTGATAGAAAAAATGAACAATGACTGATAAATAACTAATCTTGATTTTTCATTTAAATTCAACTTTGTCAAAACAGTTAATTTATGATTAATTAACTTTTTCTAGGGTGATGTAAATCCTCGAGATGACTTTAAGGTTCGTGCTCGTTATCTGAGCGAAAAATACGATTATGATGTAACAGAAGCCAGGAAAATCTGGTGCTTTGGCCCTGATGGAACTGGACCTAACATCCTTGTCGATTGCACCAAGGGAGTGCAATATCTTAATGAAATCAAAGATTCAGTCGTCGCTGGATTCCAATGGGCTGCTAAAGAAGGTGTGCTCTCCGAAGAAAATCTTCGTGGCGTGCGATTTAACATTTATGATGTTACGTTACACGCTGACGCTATCCATAGAGGTGGTGGACAGATTATCCCCACAACAAGACGTTGTCTCTATGCTTGCCTTCTTACTGCTTCACCGAGGCTCATGGAACCCGTCTACCTTTGCGAAATTCAGGTATAATTTTATTTTCAAGTAGTCAAGATGATTTTAGTTTAGTAAAATAAAATTATATGATGAGATTTTTACCCGAGCACTGGGTTATGAAACACCATGATTTTCGTTGACAACCTGACAATTTTCACATTCGAAAATTGTCTAATTTTATTTTTGAGTAACAAACAAATAATTGTGAATATCAATTTTAGTGCCCTGAGGTTGCCGTTGGTGGTATCTATGGTGTCCTCAATCGTAGACGTGGTCACGTTTTTGAAGAACAACAGGTGGCTGGTACGCCTATGTTCGTCGTAAGAGCATACTTGCCCGTAAACGAGTCGTTCGGCTTTACAGCTGACTTGCGTTCCAACACTGGCGGTCAAGCCTTCCCACAGTGCGTGTTCGACCATTGGCAAATCCTTCCAGGAGATCCAAAAGAACCTGGAACTCGCCCATACCAAGTTGTACAGGTAATGTATCTAATGTGTACACTTTTATTTTGTCCACGATCATAACTGATGGTATTGCATTAATTGGCTTTATCATTTTTAAATTCGTGGTAAAGGAAATTGTTTTTTAAGTTTCAGCTTTCTAGTCCTAATCTAGCTAGCTTGAATAGGGAAACACACAATTATATTTTCAGATAATATGATTTTATAACGATTTTGAACTATTGGATTATATTTGGTTATTTTACTTGGTTTTATTTTATTTCAGGATACACGTAAGAGGAAAGGACTGAAGGACGGTCTTCCAGACTTGGCTTCATATTTGGATAAATTGTAAACAGAGATGCTCATGAATGTTAAAATATTTATTTTGTAATTGTTTTATATTAATTTGCCGACTCTTCTGGACTTCTTTGGCAGAACACCTTCCAAAATATATTCTAATGAAAAGATTCCAGATATTAATGAATTGTATAAACTTTTTTTTACAAAAAAGAAGTTTAATAATAAAATTCAACACCAAAACATATTTTTAAATCAATTATTTTCTTCTTTATTTACCTAATTAAAAACAAAGTTATAATTTCTCATTAAATATTTTTATCTTTTTGATCCTTTCTAAATTCTAGAATTTTACTTGTATTCTGAACCTAAAAATAGCAATTACGTTCTTTATTTTAGACTCCTATTCGATTCATGATTATCATCGTAACTACTATTTTATCTGAAAAAAGACCGTCGAGCTCAATTGAGAATTTTCGTTGCCAGAGCTGGAAGTTCCGAAATATTAGTAGAAACATTTTTAATAACTGGACACCGTTTAAAACTCTACGACTTAATCTCTCGTACTTATTGATATTGAGTGTTCGCTTTTGGGTATTAACGAAATAATAGAAAAAAATCTGCTTTGATAATTTGAGAAGTAAACTATGGTATTGATATATGTTTGCAGTTTTGTCAATTGTTGCCAACAATTTGTTGGTAAAGTCTATCATGTGGTATAAACAAATGAAAAATTCACACGAGAAACATTTTTTTAATTAACTGTAAATAGAAATTGTTGAATTAATTTATTTCGAGAAAGACCGGAATAATAAAATACATTTTATAGATTTAACTTCAATATTAAAAAATAATTCATCTACTTTTCAACTTTTCTTAAACTAAAATTTATTTATTTCAATAATATATGTACTAAGAACTATAAAATTCATACATAACAGTAATGGATAAATTAAATATATTTTAAAAGAAAATCGAGTGTTTAATCATATTGTTCACTCTCAATGCCACAACATTTTTAATGCATAGTAATAAATTATTAAATTTACTTTTCCATCGCCTGATTTTAAAAATTAATAAATACTGTTAAACTTTTTTTTCGAAATTTAAAACTTTCAATACTTAACATTTGAGTAAAACTTTACAATTTATCGTCTAATACATAGATTATTTACAGTAAATCAAGTTTTTTCGTACATTATTTGTCCTGCTGATTATTAATATGAAAAAATATTTCATAATTTTGTTTTCAGTTGAAAAATAGGTATGTTAAATTTCGAGGTTCCAATTCATGAATAGTTTTCAAGCTTCAGCATTCTCTATTACAGTCTAAGATAAAATTGTATAACACAAATATATCTTTAATAATATTTATTTACTAAATGGGATTAATTGTATTTTTGTAAATTCCTGCAAGAGACTGAGCTGCCAAAAATATAAGCTCTTTTCTTGAAACTCCAGTTAATGCATGATGCCACTCAGTATGAGAAACCTAAAATGAAAGCATATTTCATTCAATAATATAATTTTTTTAATTATATGAAAATCGTGCCAATCAATGTTTTTATTTATTTATGACGACTTTTTCAAGTATGAACCATAAAGCAATTCACCTGCAAATTAACACCCATGAGATTTCCAACTGTGACAGAAAATCCATCTTTAGAATAATTTTCAGGTGTAGATTCTTGTGCTGTTTCGACGATTTGACTAGGCACAGGTGTCATTTGAGTAAATATTTGTAAATTAATATTTTGTTTTGGATCATCAAGAAGAATTACTCCTAAATCAAACCATTTATCTTGTGCAACCTCTAACAAAAAATTTTCAATAGAAATTAATGGAATATCTGCTGTTACTAATGAATTTTTCCGTGCACAGATTATTCTTTCATGTGCAGCTTTGACACCTGATGAAAATCCTACAGGTTGAGCAGCTTCAAATGTTGTCTCAACATTAATTCCTCTATAGGGCAAAAAATGCATTCAAAAGAATTATTCTACACATTTTGTTTAAATATCAAAAATATATGTAAGCTTACGTTACTGTAGCATTGCCAAAAATATTCTGAAAAGCTTCTCGAATTGGAGCTACCTTATCTTCTTTTTCAGAGAGAACAATTATTTCGATATCACCTCCAGAATCTGCAAATTATTATAATTTAACGACATTTTTTAACGCTAATTTTTTTTAAACAGTTTAAATTAATAAATTGCATAAATTGTTATTTTGGGTATGCCAGTGATGTAATAATGAAATATTGATAATGACCATAATGATGAATCTATTTTAGATTCAAAAGTGTAAAATAAAATTACTTACAAATGAATTCACGCATTTGAGGATCCAGTGTTGTTATCATTGAATTCACGCTACTTTTGGCTTTTTCAGCTACTTTGCTTAGCACATTACTGTTCGCTACTGTATCTTTTACCCAATTGAATAAATTTCCAGCAGAAACCACACTGTCTCTGATAGGACTGTCTGGTGCTATTAATATTTGCGGTCCCTTATCCGATTGTGGATTTTGAACATTTTTTTCTGGAATTTGATTTTTAGGCAAAGATTTATCATTTTGTACAATTTCTTTTGCTTGTTTATCCTCTGCAGGTACTAAATTAGAAATGAAACTAGGCAAAGCTCTTGGAGGTGCTATGTTAGATAAAATACTTCCACCAGCCGTGGGTGAAGTGACAGATGTCATCATAGTGTTAGAGGCAGTAGAGCTGTAGATAGCATCTAAAAAATATTATGTATGGATTTCAGGCTTAAAAACATGATCAATTACATACTCAAATTAAATCCAACCTGTATTACTTGATGCAGCTGTAGAAAAAGACGGATTACTTTCAAATTCCTCAGATTTTTTCTCGACGAACTCAAAGCCTGAGTCACTGCTTAACTCGTCGGTCATGTTGTTAAAGAATATTAAGCTCAATCAGGCGTTGGAATTTCACAAAAGTTCTTATAAATATTTCACTGTTTTATAAAAATGACGATAGATCAATGTAACAATAAGAGGTAAGAAAACACAGCTGTTACAATCAATAGAACATCGAATTACATCAAGTAATTCGAGACAAGTTGAGAATGTAAATATAATAAAAAAGAAATGTTTTTTACAGTACGAGTATTTTTATCAGTTCATTTACGCTGAAATTTGTTCAAGGAGTGATTGGGCATACACAGAAAAAGAAAAAAAATTAATTAATCAACAATTAAATGTCAAGTAGGGCTTAATAAATATATACATATGACATTTACTGGAGCAATAAGCAGTTCTCTGATTGCAAAGTGTTGATTGCAGAATGCAGTCTACAGTCTATAATGTATACACTTGTCTGCGCATGCGAGGGCTGCGATCAACATACGTGTGTGTAATGTGTATAGTGTGATGGAGTTAACAACTGGTTGTTTATTAAGTTGAAACTACCTATTTTCAAGGAGCTTAGGTTTTGGTTCGTGCGAAACTCAACAGAATTGTAGAATAGCTGTGCGTCATACTCTCATAGCAGTGCGAATAAAACAATTATCAACAGATGGTTATTAAACTATATTGAGGTTGACTTTTTATAAATGAATATTTTTAAAGGATATAAACGCATGTTTCATCGATTAATTTTTATTTCTATTGAAAATATTTACCTTAAAATTTAAGAGGAACAAAATAGATTTAAAATTTTTTCTAATTTGCTATCTTTAATATTTTTACTCAATGTGTATGAAATCCCAGAAGAATATGTTATATGCGGCCCCGCCTATTACTTATTACCGAAAAGTCAGCATTCATGTGTCATCATCTACAACTCAAAATCCATCTGTGTGATTCATTAGTATGTTACATACAAAATAAATATACTTGTATGTATAGTGTGTGTTGATAAATAGTGTGGACTTCGAACTCTTCGAAGTCTCCCGATTCGAGAGGCATAGACGCATGGGCTGTGGTCGTGGATGTGTTGTTGCATGCGAGCTATAAGTGTCCGCTTTGATTTGATAACAAGTTAATCGTCATTTTCTGCGGATGACTCGTATTATCAATTATCAGTTGTAGCTCACCAGGAAGCATCAATTGATTCGGTTAAAGCTGTGAAAAGCTATTGTAGTGAGTAGAGAAAATCGAAAGAACAGCAGTTACTTTTCTGGGGTGGAAAGAAGATAAAATAAAGAAACCCAAGAAAGTTATAAACAAGGAGCTTAGCTTGACAGATTGATAAAAATGGCTGACAATAAGGAACTTCCGCCTCTTTTCGACAACGAAGAGCTAAAAAATGACATGGATTTCGACGATGACGACGATAGCGATATATTTGCCTCTGCTATTTCTACTTCTATCCGAACCTCTTCTGCACAGGTAATACGAGAAGATTTACTTATTTTCATTATTCGTCTTTATTAATTGTACTTGTTTGATTATTAATAATTAAACAATCTTTTTGCGGCTAGATATGCTGCAGTTTTAGAGATTAACTTATAAATTTTTTGATATTTTAAACTGTAGATCCGCCCCCTTGTACCATATAAAAATATCGTATTTTGATTGAAGTTATAAAAATAATTATTTTTAACTTAATATTAATTATTATTAAGTAATTATAATTATTTAGAAATTAAATTTAATTTTCAATATTTTCATTTATATTATCTTTAGAATTTAAAGGAAAAAAAATAAATTAAAAATTATGATAACATCTTTTAGGATCACAATATACCTGAGACTTCTTCCCCATTTAATGGACAATCTAGCACACCAGAAGATTTGCCCAAATTATCATTAAAAGATACCACTAGAGATACATCAATTTCTACTCTCTCAAGCCCAGTTGCACCATCTGGACCTCTCAGCCCACCTTTAGATCCAACTAACACTGATATTGATGATTTACATGATGTTCCAATTAATGATGACCATGAAGATCATTCTTTTAATGTGGCTCAATCTCAATCAATTGGAGAAGTATGTATAATGAATATTTTTCAAATTATTGTGAAGAAATTTTATTTTTAATTAAATTAAAAAACTTTTTATCAGGAACCAACTGAGTCATCAGATCAATATTTAAAAATTACTGTGACTTCTCCTCAAAAAATGGGTGATGGAATGGGATCTTATGTTGCATATAAAGTTGAAACAAAAACAAATATACAATTATACAGGAACAAAGTCTTTAGTGTAAATAGACGTTTCAGTGACTTTCTTGGTTTGCATGATAAACTGACTGAAAAGTTTTTACGCAGTGGCAGAATCATTCCTCCTGCTCCTGAAAAAAGTGTCATTGGTAAAATAATTGTATTTTTCTTATAGTATATTACCAATCTAGGTCACAAAGAGCAGAAAAATCTTAGGTAAACGTGGCCACTACACTACTTTCTATTTTTGCTACCTAGGCTGGTATACTAATTATTGTACTCCCATACCTCAAAAATAACTTTTTTGTTTAACACAGTAATCAGAAAGTACTATTTTTGGGCAGCTGGTATGAATAATTAATTTTCAAATTAAACTCTTTTGAAGGTACTACTAAGATTAAAATGTCTGGAGAAAAATCTCAAGAACAAAACTCAGGTTCATCAGAATTCCTGGAACGTCGTCGAGCCGCATTAGAGAGATTTTTGAATAGACTAGCAAGTCATCCCCTTTTTTGCATAGATCCAGATGTTCGAGAGTTTCTTGAAGCAGGTTTGACTTAAATAAGACTTTTTTGTTTGAAATTAAAAAATTGTCTTTTTCATTAATATTGAAAATATGTACATAAATTAATGATTCAGTTTAATTGTTTGTGATTAAAAATAGCTTTTCAAAGCAACCAATGAATAATAATTTTATTTCAGATATGGAATTACCAAAAGCTACAAATACATCTGCACTCAGTGGAGCTGGTGTTATGCGTTTATTCAATAAAGTTGGAGAAACAGTAAATAAAATAACATATAAAATGGATGAAAATGACTCTGTGAGAAATAATTTACAAAAATATTTCAAAGTATAAAATAAATTATATGTTAATCATAATTCTTATGTATTTTCAGTGGTTTGAAGAAACAATTACACACATAGATTGTTTAGATAGCCAATTACGAAGTTTAAATGGGGCTGTTGAATCTTTAACAAATCAGAGAAAAGAATTAGCATCGTGCACAGGTGCAACTGCACGATCAATTGCAGTACTTGGACATGGAGAACCCAGTGCTTCTCTTGGAAGAGCTCTAGCTCAGTTGGCAGAAACTTTGGAAAAAGTTGAGGTCGTTCGCAAAGCCCAAGCCAATAGTGATCTTTATCAGTTTGGTGAAATGATTCGTGACTATGTTGCGTTGATTGGTGCAATCAAGGTGAGTTGAGAATGTTTTTTAATTTAAACTATACTTTGATATAAATTTCAATTATCTATCATTTAATATTTTATTCCAATAATAATCAAACTTTATACTCTCAATGCAGGATGTGTTCCATGAGAGAGTGAAAGTTTTCCAGAATTGGCAACATGCTCAAATAATGTTGAATAAGAAGCGCGAACAGAAAGCACGAATGGAGCAAACAGGACGTTCAGATAAGACGAATCAAGCTGCAACAGAAGTCATAGAATGGGAAGCTAAGGTAGAACGTGGCCAGGAAGAATTTGATAAAATATCTACAATGATAAGAAAGGAAGTTGAGCGTTTTGAAACTGTTCGAGTACACGAATTCAAAAAGCAACTCATTCAATATCTTGAAGCTATGCTGCAACATCAAAATCAGCTCATTAAACACTGGGAGAGTTTTCTGCCTGAAGCTAAGGCTGTTGCGTGAGTCAAGGATCTTATCGAATCAAGCACTACGGTTTTAACGCGTGATAGTGAAATCGAGTTGTTTTGTTACGATGAAAAAATTGATGAAGATGTTAATTAAAAATTGTTATTTATTGCACCGCATAATTCGAAAATGGTGTCGCCAAAATTAAAAAAGCTTTCAATTTCATTTATTTAAATTAAGAAAAATGTTTGACTATGAAAAGTTGTATTTTTACAAGTTTTTTGAAATGCAGCAATTGAATGTGATAGATTAATTTTTTTCCATCAATAATTATTTTTTTGATACTTCAAGAACTTTTATGAAAACTGTACTACTGTACATTTCTACATTTCTAAATAAATATATTTGCCGAGACATTCCCTTTTATGGCATAAAATATTTTAACAGTAATGATAGTTTGTTACTAAATATCATTGCAGTTGATTTAAACGTATTTTACAATCGTGAACAATGTTACAAATATCATTAATAAATCATAACTTTCAACAATTTATGTAACTAATTATTAATTGAATCCCATTTATTATAAAATGTATCGTTTTATTGGAATTTTTTCCTCAATAAATATGTATGTCCCTGTATAATTTTTTTCGTAAGAATTCGCTATGTTCCGTTTTTAATTACAATAAAAAGATAGATTTTGGACTGCCTCAATGCATAAATGCTTAACACCTCGCAAAGATGAATAAAATAGACTGAAAGAGGTATTCTTGCCAAAAAAATTGTTTTAATTGATCACTATAGGGTAGTCAGACCAATCAATGACCGGGTACCAGTGAATGACCATTTTGGAAAATATCATATGAAAAACAATTAAAAATATATTTGTATGGACGTAATTCAATTCTTTAGTGAACGATGCATCTTGTTTTCTATGTTCGATCATAATTTAACAAGGAAAAACGATAAGTATTGCACGTCCAAAATTAGTCATATTTACTGGTCGAAAGCGGTCAATCACTGGTATAAGTACCCTATATTGAAAAGATATCTCGCACGAGCGTCATATTTAAAATCTTTTGGACGCCGTCATATTTTATAAAAGTTGAAAAGCTGCCCTCGTAAAAATGTCGTTGTGAACAAGGGTAAACTAATTGATGCCAACAGATTAATCATATACTTATTAGTTAATTTACTTCGACAATTTTTAAAGGAATCATCGAAATGTTTCATAAATATACTTTATAATAATAATGATAATCCCATGAAAAATTGTACCCTGAAAAAACCTATTTTCAATCAACTAATTTATCTAATAAATAAATTGCATGCAATAGTTTCTGTTTCACCTTAAGTTTTTAAGGTGAAAAACCAAATATCTTTGGAAGATGTTTTTGTTGTTCTTAAATAATGCTCAAATGATATTTCTTAGTAATCGAGACTATAAGTCAAATTGCATAGTGAAGCTCAGTTACGTAAATTACTCGATTTTCTATGAAATGAACGTGATACAGCAAATGCTATTAATTTGCACTGTGGATTTTTTAATTTCCGCTCTTGCAGTCACAAACGTGATGCTTCATATTTTGAGCTCTGAATGGTTGCGATACATTCAAGATAGCTAATACTTTGCATTTTGAGATAACTAGTGCAGTGTACTATCCATCTCTTCCAGTAGCTAAGAAATATCAAATTATTTGTGAGTATGTCTGCAGAATTGAATATTAATAAAAGTTGCGGACTATAGGAGAATTTTCAATTATTTACGATATTGTCATGATGAATTTAAAATTTCGTTGTACGCCTCCAATGATTCATAACTCGAATCATTTCGTCCGATTGCAGGAAGAATTACCGAAATGACAGCATTGCAAAGTTTGCCGATTGAGGAGGAATTCGAAAGAAATCCAGAATTGAAGAAAGAAGACTTACAATATTTGAGAGATTGGTGTTCGAAACAAGAACATTTGCCGAAAATTTCTGATAATCAACTGATTTTATTTTTGCACAGTAACTACTTCCGTTTAGAAGCGTGCAAAATAAGCATAGAAAATTATTATACTTGCAGAACTCATGTACCAGAATTTTTTTCCAATCGAGACCCAATTGGCTCCAAAGAAATAAGATCCGCTATGAACACTTTGTAAGCAACAATAATCTCACTATACGGATATAATCTAACTAAACTTAGTATAAAAGAAAACAATGTTATTTTGAACTATCAGATCTGTTGTTTATTTTTAAATGAAATGCAGATAGTACTTGAAAACTTTTCATTTTACGTCGGAAAATTCATGGCAATAACAAATTTCTTCGTACTTGTTTGTTTCGTTAGAGCGAAAGTGGAGTTTTGTTTTGTACTCTTGTTGCTTGATGAAAAATAAGCTTAAAAAAAGAAAATATTTTGAGCTAGAAGTTGGTTTAGGTTTGAGTAACAGACATGCTGGGTCGTTTCTAGGCTTGTGATACCATTGGAGGGCAAGACTAAGGAAGGCTATCACGTGACTTTTGGCCGCTTAATCGATACCGATCCCGAGCGCTTTATATACAATGACGGCATGCGCTACTGGAACATGATTGCCGATCTGTGGCTGCACATCAACGGCACCAGTCCTGGTCACGTTCTTGTCGCCGACATAACCGGAGTTCAAATGGTTCACGCCCTCAAAATAAGCCCCGTCGGGGTGAAAAAGTATCTGTACTACTTGCAGGAAGCTATGCCCGTACGTATTAAGGGTTTGCATTTTCTCAACACTACACCGGTCATGGATTTCATTCTTGGACTCATGAAGCCTTTCATGAAAAAAGAGCTCATGGATGTGGTGGGTTTTATTTAAAAAATTGATTCATAAATTAGCCGAGAACTTACAACAGTATGTTACAATCCCCTACAACTGTTACACAATATTTGTTTTAGTTGTACTTACACAAAAATACCGAAAGCTTGGCTCAACACTTACCGTTGGATATATTGCCCGTTGAAGCCGGAGGAAAAGCTGCTCCAATGAAGGAATGTTACTCAAAAGTTACAAAATTCGTCGAGGAAAATCGTAATTATTTCCTAGATGAAGAGAATACGATGCGGGTGGATGAATCTCGACGTCTTGGTAAAGCTAAATCGGCCACTGATCTCTTTGGTATAGAGGGGAGCTTTAAAAAACTTGATATTGATTGATTCATTCATATTTCTCTCTTTCTCTCTTTTTTATCAAGTTATTTCTCAACTTTTTATTTTTCAAGTAAGTCGTATATTTCCGGCCTCTTTGTCGATGCTTTATAGTATCTATATCAAAAGGTTTTCAAATGAAATACCTGAATGATTGAGTATAAAAATTTCTCAATCTCTTTTGATGATATCGAAGATTGCTAGTGCAAAAGATAATACAAACAAATGCGTCAATCATTAGACACATGATATGAGATACTGACGTAGGTATGCAACCATATTATTAATTATTACAAAACAATTTTCATTGCACAAATATAATGGATATTTTCGGAAAAATATTACATTATGAATTGTAATAAAGTTGGGTCAGGTAAAAATATGTCCGTTTAAACTTCTGTTGTAAATAAAGTAACATTGTTTGGTTAAAATAGTAGTTTTTCTTATTGCGCTGACAGTATTCATGATTAATACAGTACGATTTATAGGCACCAGTTTCATACAAAAATTAAAAACAAGCTAATTCTTGCATTTGAATTAAAGAACTAATACTTTTTAAGTACATACATTACCGATGTACTTTGAAAACTTCGAATACATAAAACAAGTTAGAAGTTTTAGTACCATTCACACACAGAGTTTTCTTCTCTAACAATTTAAGTTTATTGAGCATATCTTACTTTTAGTGTATATTCACATCAGTGTATTTACGCACAATCGTGTAAAACACAAAAAAGACAAATTTTCATTTTTTTAGGTTGTCTGCAGTTTTAAGATTAAACTTCAAAGCATAGTAAAAATTACGCTTACACTATCAAGCTTACAAAAGATACAAAATACATCGCTTTTAAGAATAAATTGTTATTCTTTTTATTTTTGTATCAAAGTTTTGTTCCGTTTTCTTAAACTTTATTTAAAACTTGTTTAAGTTTTTTTCAAACTATTTTTATTGATTTTTTTATCAAAAATTTTCTGAAATCATTAAATGTAAATCGACTAAAATTTTATGAACATTTTCTTTCGCACATCAATCCTGTTACTATAATCATAGTATTCTGGTATATTTAAGTTTCATAAGGAAGAGATTTTTATATTGAATATAGTTTATTTCAATGTATATGATCTACGTATGTATTCGTCATTTTAAATAATAAACATTACTTCATAACATCACAGATACTATTATTTATATACAATAATTAAAATTAAGAAATTCAGAGAAATTCATTCCCAATAAGAAGCATAATCAGGAATTTAGCATTCTTACTGTAGTTCGAATTGCAATTCAATGACGTTTATTGATTATTTTCAAGATCATTATTGAATTTCTAGTTTTTAATTCTGGAAGATGGATCCTTGACTCGATGTTTTAACTATGATATACACATTGGATTTAAAAATGATAGATCGCTCTAGCGAAATCCATGTCAGTGCATTTTATTAAAGGTTTCTCGTTATCAAATTTACTTTCAATGCAATATTAGCTTCAAAAGGTAAATATTAAAGAGCTTAAGTAGCGTGTCGTGTTTCACAGAATGTTTGATTCCTTCCTTTTTAATAAATCATTTATTAGAACACATTTATCCAAATATTAATTTTTACTTAAGCAGAATTTTTAGTTTATATCAATGGATTTAGTTGGAACTAATCATTTTTAATTATTTTTTGTAAAAATCAAAAGGTTGAAAATGCATATGGATTTTTTGGTATAAGCAACGTTAAAAATTGAAAAAAAGCAAAAAACTTCCAAAAAATCAGTTTTCTAACCTTCGTTATACTTATTTTCTAAAATTTGAAAATAACGTAATATTCAAGTGTTGACCCAATTAAATCTGGACGGAGAAAAATACGTTCTGCATGAAAATTTATTTTAAAATTCGAATCATTGAAAAAAAATGACATGTTCCTAAAATCAAGAAAACTATTTTTCAACTATTTAACTAATGTATCAAATAATTTGTTGATCTATAAAAAAATATTCAAATAATATCCTGATTGATTATTCAAATTGATATTTTCATAAACGAGTTTTGTAATGATTGTGAATAATCTCAAAAATGCTATCTATCTAATCCTTTTTATATTCAAATAGTATAAAACAACTTTAAATATCAACACCACTTGTGACTATGAATTCATATTTAGTTTGTTTGTTTGTTCATAAGTAAAATGCTGTCTTTCATCTCTCTCGTTTTAAATATTAAATTGCCGATGACGCACTGGTTTTTTCTCACAATTATATATATATATATATATATATATATATATGTATATGTATTAAAAGTTATCTTCAGCTGAAGAAAGTTTATCAAAAACGTATATTTTTTGTTGTGTATCGTGTCTTTGCGTAACCACATTAAAATCTGGCTTAACAGTTTGAGAAGCGCAAGGAGGTTCGCCAGATCGAGGTAATAAGCTTCGATTTAGTTCAGGCATCGAAGCAGTTGGATCCTTCAAGGGTACTGTAACTTCACGAAGTGAATTAGTTGGAGAAGGTGGTAAAACAATCTTTTCTGGAGCATTTTGAATAAATATAACCCTGAATACATAAAATAGTTAATCAAAAAATTGTCAAAATATATCATTAAAATGTAACTTGTGCTTTTTACCTATTAAATGCTCTCCATCTTCTACATAGCAAAATATAAGTTCTACATTGAATATACATAAAAACTAGTCCTCCAGTTGAACCTATCACAACAATGATCAGCTTCATCCAAAAACCCCAGTCGACAAATCCTCTACGAGCCTCTTCAACAGTTCGTTCCACTAAGACATATAATGACCAGGCAACACAAAGAGCAGCTACTGCATGAAAAGCTACTGCACACCATAATTTACGTACTTCTGGGGCAGACATTTCTAGTTTTTCCCACTATAAATAATTTCAAGAGAAATTAGATAATTCCAATTATTGAAAAATTTGAATTATTGTCTATATCGTTGCCTCAGCTGCAGAGAAGTATGGTAGAAGCGAAAGCGTACCTTAGTCTTATGTTGTAAGATATGATTATGGTACGTTTTTGCCTATCACTTTTACTTTTCTGCGCTATGAAAGTTGGTTATTTTCTATTTCTATTAATATAATAAAACTTTTTATTTTTTCAAACTTTTATTTACCTCTGAAAATGGCTTTGTCTTTGCATGCATTATAAAAGTGAATTTACATAGTTCACAAGCACGGGTATCAGAGGCCTTTATCCATTGTTGAAGACACGTTTGATGAACATAACGTAGACTTCCACTGCAATAACAGGGTGCTAAAAGAGGAGCACCAGGTTCACCTTCACAATGACAAATCCTGAAAAAATATGCATTCTGTTAATAGTAAATTATTAAATTCATTATAAATAGTTATAGTGATCATAAAAATCAATAAAATATTTCATTATTATTAATTAAATAAAAATTATTTAATTCCAAAAATAAAACATAAATAGTTCAACATTGTGTATATAATAGATAATATTTACCTGCATATATCGTGGCTACTAGATGACAATGTGCTAACTGATGAACGACAATGATCTGGAATTACTGTTACTACTGGAACATATGGCGGTTCCTAAAATAAATAACAAAATGTAGATAAAAATATAATTAAAATTTTGAAATCACTTAAGATTATGTTAAATTTCATTGGAAATTAAATGTAGCATTAAATTTGTACTTGAATCTGAATTATAAATTGTGGCAGAATGCCAGTTTTCATTCAGCAAAAATACATCATTTTAAATATATATATTAAAATAATAAGTACTGTAAAATTGTTGGACATTGTGATAATCAGTATTGGATTACTAAGTTTTTACAGTTATTATAAGTGGAATAAAAGTATTTGCTATGACAAAATCTTTTGACCTTTGGATATAAGCCATGTGTTTTTAGTGCAGTTATCACTTCAAGCAGTTTCAGTCATGAACAATGTCTGAAGTGATAAACTTGGGATTCTTTTGATGTTAATTAATTTTTCAAGTGAGCAACAGTATATTGATTCACACAGGTATATCTAATACACAAAGTTATTTTTATACCACCTACCAAAGGTCAAAAAAGATCATTTGATAATTTTATTTCCATCATACTCTTGATAATAGTTTTTTTAATAAAAAGGGGGCTTAAAAATTAATTTGAATAAGTATATGTAAAATTAATTTAATTGTGGAAGTTGAACCCTATAGAAGTTGAAAATATTTTTAATTATTACAAAGCAACAAAACAAATTATAAATCTTGAAATACTTCAAAATTAACAAAAAGAAAGGAAAGGATACCTGTGGTGTCCATTCAGGTGGTTGCTCATCTAATCCAGAACTGCTAGTGCGAACAGCACCCACTGATTGTGTAGCATGCCAATCAGGTGGATTGACACTGATTTGGTGAACAGGCATAATTTTTTTATCACTGGTGTACATGGAGACGTATTACTTTATTGTTGTTGAGAACAAGTTAAAACTGCAACTCTGTATGCAATTCTTGACATGTTTTGCAGCACAAACGATGATAAGTTCAACTCATGTCAGTGAAAACTGATCTTGCATGAGTTCTATAGCACAAAATGAGAAGTCGTGGACTCTAGGAACAGAATTGCAATTCAAATTTTGTGGCGACGGGTCTTAGTCATCGTCGCATATGCAGATAGAACAGAGTTGAGCGCATTGATTGAAAGTGTGCAGTGTTGCAACGAATGAACGAACGAAAACTGACGAAAAAACAAAGTAGGTACAATAGGATAGACACAAGTATTTAAGAATAAAAAATTTGTTTGTTTAAATGTTGTTTTATGCAACTGAGTATAATGTGCGAAAAGAGATGGAGGACTAGGTGAAGTGTCAAGTTGACTTATACAAGTACAAACATGTGTCAGTTGTTGAAGTATTGAAATGCGTATAGAAATCTCAACTCTGGGCTAACTGGGTAAGAGAGTTAAAATAGTCTCGAGTCTCGAGCTGATAAACGACGTCTCGGACTTGCGAGGTCAGCTATGAATACTTGTCTTTGTATATATCGCGCACAGCGTATTAACTACCGTCCAGTGCAGCCAGGAAGAATGACTGCAGTTAGCGATGGAAGTTGAGAAACTCGACAATGTACTGCGAAAAATGCGTTAGACTAGTACAGCCATTATCAAAATAAGCGAGAACGAAGTTTAACGCGTGTACGAGGATGAACCTGCGTACTTGCAGCTAGCAGCTAACAGCGACGTGCTTTCTCTGCCTTAGCTGTCTGAATAGATTTCAATTTTCAGTGCGGTGTCTATTTTTTTACCGTAATTATTGTTTATTGTACAAGTAAAATTGAGGTGTGGAGTAAACTGTAATAAAGTCAGACAACGGCTGCTGGCCGAGTCTGTCAGCCGACTGCTGCGAGCACAAAGAAGTGTCAATTGTCGAGGCTCGCCGCGAGTGCCGACTGCTGCAGATCGAGGCACTCACACGCACATATCACACGACACGTATACACCACTGACAGAAAAGCAAAACTCTGGAGTTCTCGTCGCGATTGGAGTTTTGACTGCTTGGACAATAAGCGAAAAAGCGTGAACCGATGCTGCATATGCAATTGCAACTTGGCCGGCGTAGCACTGTCTCTCAACGTATGAGATAATTGAAATGGACGAATAATAAAAGCTGCGATAGCTGTAGTAAATGTGAGAGCTGGAGACGAGCTTCTTTGTCCACACATACGAGCGGTTGCCTCGATAGCACTTACGCTTACAAGTGTGCATGTATCACATACACATAAGAAACTTCATATATGATACCTCTCTATGTATTAATATCTTTTAATCTGCACGTACAAAACAAAGCCATGCACAGCGTACAGTAGAGCACGATGACATTTTTTTATGTGATAGCTCAATGGGGCCTTGTCACTTAAATACATTTAGAACAAAGAATAAAGGATAACTCAAATTTTTTTTAAATCTAACGGAAAATTATAATTGTTTACTTATCAATATAGACCGCTTGTCTTGATTAAACCGCTGATATTTATACCGAAAAATAAAAATAAATATTTAATTACCTGTCAACCTTTTTTTTATGTTTAATTCCACTATTGATTTTTTTTCAGTAGATCGTCACCATAAACTCGATATCTATGTTAAATCTAAACACTTACTTAAGTTGTTTAAGATGCAACATTTTTAGTACAACATTTATTGAATGAATTTAAAAAAAATGATGACTCGAATTTCAACTTTTTTTTTTAATTACAATTTTGTTTATATTGTTTACAGTAAACTTATTCTAAATGCTAAAATAATTGTCGATTTGTGCCCCTATTTTCCAATGCATATCACAATATATAATGCTGGCTCATATATTATTATTGTATGATAATAATACTTTAAAAGTAACTTTAAAATAAAACTGTCTTTGTTAGTGTTTATTAAATTAAAAGTAACTTTTATGGATTTCTACAATACAAGCCTCTGAAAATATTTTTTTGGAAAACAAGTTTTTTATTACAAAAATAATATTTATATTCCTACAAAGTATGAGCTATTTCAAAAATTTTTGAATAATCAATTTATATTAGTTTCAACAAGAAAACCATCTGGATTTAAATAAATTTTTAGAAATGTCACCTTACAAACAATAACATAAATAGTACACTGAATTTATCATTTTCATTTTTCACAGAGTACACAAATTTCATTTTTACATCAAAATTTTTCATATGTTTAAAAGTTCAAATGTATATAAAATAACCTATTGAATGTATTTAATATAATTTTTAGAATTTTAAATATGAAGCCTAATACATTTGGAGAATGTTATTTTTCTCTGGCAAAGTGAGCATTTTTTGTTTGTCTCTGTTACAGCTTTTAAACATTCCATACAATAAACATGTCCACAAGGCGTAGACATTGTTTTTATGTTCTCATTAGTAAGATCTTCTAAACAAACAGGGCAGGTGAGATGTTGTTTATTGCTATCAACATCGGTGGATGCCTTTAGCTCGTTATCAGAACTGAGGTCTGATAATGAATCCGTGAGGCAAATTGTCTTCTCCAGACCAGAGTTTTTAGTTTTACTTTGAAAATAAAGTTGATAATTATTACATGAAAATTATGTACATAATTTAATCACTCATTAAATTTGAAAACTCACGAATAGAAAGGATTTCTGCAAGTTGCATTTGCCGTGTCATCAACCACCATTATCACATCGTCATTACTAAGAGTTTCAGTACTGTCCCTGTTGGAGATTCTTACAGTTGAATTAATTCTACACGGAGAATCTTGAGTTAGATCAATAAAATCGATAGGATCTGCCAATTTTTGCTTTTTCGCTTTTCTAGGCATGGTTATATCTTAAAATCAAATAAGACAGTGAAAATTTATAATAAAATATAGACATTGTTCTTATTGTGCAAATAGAAACTGAATTATTAAATGTTAAATTTGTATTCAACAGAGTGTATGTTAATATTCATGTTGATACAATGAAATTGATACTAACCTATAAATCAAATTGCACACCACCGCAGATAAATGAAGTAATGAGTCCGTGGTAGAGTCAATTATATTTAACTAATGTTTTTCGTAAATTATAAGAATTCTTTGATGTTAAAAAGATATAAATAAAGTTTCAGTTCCTAATTGAAAAGTATTATGAACGTGCATGCCGGCGCTCGAAAGTCAAGTTTTTTGAAGATATAAGGTTTTAAAGTTCCGATACACGTTGCTGTGTGTAATGAGTAATGACAGTTGTCAGATTCGGCGGACTTATTGGCCGTTGGTTGCAAGGAACACTTCGCAGAACTTGGTAAGCGTGACTCGTATGCCTTACACGCATGTGCGTATTTAAAGATATGAGTTATAAATTATAACCAGTTACAACAATTATAGCTGCATCGACAATTTACGATTTGCATTCTTCAGTTTGTAAAAGATTTTGGCAATCATGAAGCAATTTTAAAAATGTTCCATACCAACGGTCTGAAAGTAGCATGTCCCAGCCTCTTCGCTAAACAGTAGTATAGGTATTTTCGGGCCACGGGGTATAAAAAATATCATACCGGCTTGGACCGGGATAAAGAAACCTCGAGCGCAAGTGTTTATCAGCCTCGGCTGCCAAATACACATGCCCTGGATCTTTTTTGGTTTTCCTGGCCTGAGGAAATAAAATAAAATTTCGACTGCACTATTAAAATTTTTTTTCAAAAAAACTCCTCAAGCTAAAGTAAAAAAGAAAATTATCTGTTACATTTCTAATTCAGGAATAAACCGTAATTGAAAATTGAAGGTAATTTCCTCTAAACTCATCCAGAAATCTCAGAATTTGTTTTTCGAAATATGTCTAATGAAAATCATATTCTAATATTTTAGTGAATGATTTTTACAATTTTTATTATTTGTAATTTTTTTCTTCTCCATAATTTACATCTTTCACACATTTTTTTTCATTCGCCGATGTCACAATCTTTCAAAAAGTATAGAACGATGTTTAGAAGAATTTATAAATAATTTTCATCAAAAATATATAGAAGACGCAACATAAAATGTAAAATAAATATGAGGGTATAAATAAAAATAGACCGACCGTACCCATTCAAAAAAGGTATGTGATCTGATAACAAATAATAAAGAACAGCAACTAAAAATTTTTAACGAACCACGGTAATAACTTTGGACTTGTAGAGGCCTTTAAGACATTTCGTAGGATAGCAATTTTTGACATTGCTTACATTCAGCGTGGTGCTGAATTTTGGCGTTGCACCTTATGCATAGGTACTGCTTACAGGGCAGTTGCACCAAGGCTTTGGCAGTTTTACAGTTATAACAAAATATGTCTTCGTCGCTGCTGCATGAAGAATCATTTGGATATTTATGATTATTACTTGGGTAGACTTCTTGTTCAAATTCACGGTCAAGTTTTTTACGGCTGTGCGAGTGCATATTCAATGGTTTTTTCTACCAAACATAAACATAAAAAAATCTCAATAAAAAATTGCCTGCACTTCAGTGTATGTTTTCGGAGAATGTATTGCGCCTTACCTCGATTGGGCTAGAATTTCTTTGGCTGGCGTCCAAATAGTTTGACGGACCCGAACCATAACTGCCCTTTTGAGGAGTAAAATAACGAAATTTTTCATCCGGCGAGTACTGACGGTCTAAAAGTAATAATCGATTGTGTTGTTACGGCATTGCTCTGTCAAGAACTGAAAATAGTCGGGAGCTAGAGAGGCTCGATTACCTTGATAACGGGAGGATTTTTCGGCCGATTTGCTGCCTGAAATGGAAGAGCTTGTAGGACCTCGTGTACCTATCTCCAAAAGCTCTTTAAGCTCGAGTGCGGGTTTCACAACTTGCATAACGCCATATATATGCTCCTCGAGCTCGTCGTAGACGGTTGGTTTCCTTGACAATCGCTTGGCTGAGTTATTTCTTTTCTCCGAACCGTCTGATTGATTTTGGGATCGGAACCAATGACTCATGAAACCGGACGAATTCAAAACTTGCAAACCGTCACCGATCAGTTTGACTGTCGACGTTGAACAGAAGTTTGCCATTTTCAATGCTCAGAATACTACCGTCTTTGTGAGCAATTTTAAATCGATCCTATTTCTTGCTTTTTCAACTTTTTAAATATTTTATTCTTACTTCAAAAGTATACTTTCAACTCAAATGAAATTTCTCAAATTATAATATTTAAACGAAATACTCTTTCAGAATGAGCCTGTTCAACGATAACATTGAAATAATTTTGATTGATCTTTCAGATAATATAAACAAACCCCTCTGTCCCTACAATAATAAAGGCTCTTAGGAAAACTAATGTTCTAAATAATGTCCAAACTTGATTGAAATTAAATTTACCATTAAATATTTTGTAACTAATTAAAGATCGAACCGTCTTATTTGAATCAAAGGTAGATGATAAATTAATAGCTTATGTCGCTTGAAATAAAAATTCTAGACGTTCGTTGACGTAAAACTATTTAATACTGATGTTATTGCTTTGATTTCGTAGGCCTTCATATGGTACTTCTAAAATTAGTAGTAGGGAATTTCGTCGTTGAAAATCTATGTGCGCATTAATTTTTTATTTAACACTGTATACCACATATTGATGATTTCGAAAAAGTTTCAGAAAATAAAGAAAAACGAATTTTTTTTATGAATTATTGTACATCAATCATCATTAATGGACAATTAATTTATATTGTTTCGGCTTAAGACTCGTTAAATTATTTACATCGAAATGGATAGAATGAGATAAAAACTATATGTAAATGTTATAAAATACATTTTAATAAATACAATGGACATTGTCGTTAATGTGTTCTACGCTTATAAATTATAAAAAATACTTAAAATTCAGTTTTGTACTATAAGTATTTACTAATATTTTCATTAAGTTAAATTTCTACACATTGACCCTGCAGATAAATTTAAGTTCTAATTTTTAAAAATAATAATACTATTTTGTTTGATTTTTACAATGAAATATCTAAGGATAAAAACTTTTTTTAATTTATTCGATAGTTAAAGTTTGAAATCACACTTTTCTAAAGTTGAAAATTTTTATTTCAATAGTTTTATCAACTATTCGATTTTTAAAAGTGTATCATATGTGATTAGTATTAAAAAGAAGTTCTGCAATATTGTTTTTTTTATCAAGTCATAATAAAATTATATTGCAACGGTAGTGCCTACTATTCAGCACGTGATACATATAGTTATTTAAAATATTTACAACGTTTGAACTTGGATGGCACTATCAGAGTCCAAATTTTTACAAGTGTTTTATACTTTCAGTGGAGGCACATAATGGACGGTTAAATTTAACTTCATATAGCAAACACAAGTAGTGCAGCGCGTTGGCATGCAATAAATTTTGTGCCAAGATTGGCAGAAAAAATGATAGATTTACTTTGTATGTAAAAGTGATTTTAAGGCACTAATTCGAATTTCTTTTTTTTTTAGAGCAAAAATTTGGTCAATTCGGCTAAATTTTATTCCTTTGGCTTTTTAAAATATAAATGAATAACGAAAATGATTGAAAATTGCTTAGAACGATTGCGTTCTTATAAAATAAAATAAAATGAACTATGCAAGAGTTCACTTGAAGCAGTTTTAATTTTGGCTATTTTTACTTCCTCGATGGCGTAATATAGAAGCATCTGCCAGTGAATAAGTTCCAGGCTCAAAAATTGGAGGATACTGAAGACCTGGATAATCAGGTGGAGGAGAAGTTGGCGGTGGTATATAAGGCAATGTTGGTGGCGTTGATGGATGGCGAGGATTTTGTCTTATTTGGCACAGAGCAACCCCAGCTACCATACACTGAAATGTTGATTATTGAGAAATGAAAATATTATCTAATGATTGTGTCTCTGCAATAGAGTTGATTTTACTCAACGAACCTTGGGAGGTTGATTTGTCGGCGCTTCGGATAACCATTCACCATGTGAATTTACGTCGCTGACATTCAGATTAGGATTTCGACAAAAATTGTAATTTTCATATGTTCCGGGGCTTTGATTCACGTATGCATCTCCATGGCTTTGATTTCCCGAAAAACTGTTTTGACGCTGACGAGCATTTTTGTCCCCAAATATTGCTCGGTGAAGTCTCGGCGAACCTGATAATTTTTTTAATCAAAATTTTAATTATTGTTGCCAATATTTACATTGATATCTTTATGTTTAAGTCTGAGTATAATTGTAAAAATAAATCGACTCTCTCCACGAAGAGTAACACGTTCCCATTGAAATTAACACAAAAACGTGTTACTCTTCGTGGGGAACATCAAAATACAAAGCGAGCACAAAATGAAATCATGAAAATCGATTTAAAAAACTGCAACTAAGAAAATAATATCCAAGTTCTTATTGATTGCATGCGTACCAAGTAATGTTTTTTGCTGATCATGAGGCATATCAAAGGAGCTGGACTTTTGAGAATTCTTGTTACCGAAAAGGTTTCTGAGGCTTTTATTGCCTTTTCTTTCCAAACTTTTATTTTGATGCTCTACATTATGTTTCAAACCCTCCTGCTCGAAAGGCAGAATTGAACAAGCAGTTGGTTGGCACTTGAAGGATTTTTTATCCGACGCCTTCAGTGACTCGGTCCAGTTTCTTTCTGGATGCACATGATCACGATGTCGTCGATCAGCTAAATTAAAGCTACCGTTACGGGCAATTGGTGATTCTCGTTTCACTCGGTGTAACGATTCAGTACATGTTTGATAAGCGAGATTACCACTTGAACTTGTCATGTGAGCTGAGAAATTAAATATTGACATTATTATCAAATAGATTAATTATAACATTAAGTAGTTAAATAATTTCTTTAGTTTGTCAATACCTTTATTTCTGAATACTTGTCTAGGATCATGTTGAAAATTGGGATCAACTGAATTAGAATCAGGTGCTCTGAGCCAGGCTTGTGGCTTTAATCGTTCACCATAATCTAGAGTAGAAAAATTAATTTCATTGCCATTAATTGCGTTGGATTGTTGGGCTTGTCTGTGCTGTACATCTTGTTCTTGATTTGTACGATTTTGCAATAGTTTTTGTTGCTGTAGGTCTTTGTCGTTGGGTCTTCCGGGTTGAGAGGAGTTTAATTCATTGGATTGCCTGGGAGTTCTTGGTCCTATCACCTCGTTTGCTCGATGGCTATTGTTTCTACTTTCGCTGTCAAAAGAACGATTTGAAGAATGATGCTCAATGGTAGATGAAGTAGGTACCGATGGCATTCCATTAATTACGTTACGTGGTGAGCCGTATATCATGCCATTATTTTGAACGACATTTGCACTATCAGCGATGTTACGGTGTTGAAAGTGTACATGATCATTATTCAGAGGTGTGAAATGGTTAGACTCGCTTGAATTGTTACTGTTGATATTATTTGCTACTCGCTGACATTCCTCTTCTTGACGAGCAAGCATAAATGCTTCCAATGTTATAAAACCTTGCAGTTCGTCAGGTCGTCGATTTCTATTGCTTCGTACTCTGAAATTGATCATAATTGGATTAATTTACTTTTAACATCAAACATTAAATAATGGAGAATTAATTAATACCGTTCTGTTGTTCTTCTGTAGTCTCCCATGTCTTGCGACGAAGCAGGTACATCAGTTGTACTCTGAGAGGAATTCAAACCATAAAAAGTACTTCCAGCTATGGTCATTTGTAAATCCGGCGAGCTGTATTTCTCTACTGGTTTGGTTGGTGCTGCGGGTGAATTTGGCAGAACTCTACGATAACTTCGGAACTGGGCAGTCGGTACAGGTACGTTTTGAGATTTACCACCCAAAAACTTCAAGTATTTCCTGTCTAAGCTTGCGCCACCGACATCTTGTTCCTTACTACTTGTATCCTTTTTACCAAACTTTTTGAGCGATCCAAATGTTTTTTCCGCAAAAGCTTTCGCGTCTGATGTGCTTTTTGGTTTGCTTTTATGCTCACTGTCACTTTCATCGGTTTCAGTAAATATACCACTGGTTCTCTCGGTGCCTAATGTAGCACGCTTTATTGCATCTAGCCATGCATTCAAACTGTCCTCGGTATCGGCGGCAAAATAGAACATGGTGCCAGTATAATAAACCTTGAAGGCATATTTTCGCGACTTGATTTCGGCAGCTTGGGCTGAGGTGAAACCAGCCAAAGCAATGAGACAGTCCGCTTTGGTACTATTTTGAGCTTTGAATCTATAAAATAATATATATATTATAAATACTAACATGTGAATGTGTTGATAACAATAAAGTTTAAAAGAAGTGCCTTACGAACCTGTATAAAGAAGAACCTTTCAAAATAAACCAGGCACGAGCCCATGCTCCACCAGCACCTCTACTTCGATAAGTCAACCAATCTTCCAACTCACCAGGCGAAACATCTTTGGCTGCTACATTTCTTTGTTCTAATGATCAAAATGTGTTGTTGTTACTATGGCGTTAATTTATAGGCATATTTGCATTTAATTTTACGTAAGATCAAGATGATTATAAACTCACTGGCAAGCGGAGTAGTTCGCTTCCTACTGCTCCGCGGACTGTTGGAAAATTTCGAAGAATTACCGTGCAAACCAATGCTCCTGGCAACCATCATAGCTTTGTTTACAACGCTTCTCTCCTTATCTGGACTGCGCAGCTCATTATCTTGAGCCGAAGTGCTACTGCTCTGTCGCGAGTGACATGCCCCGTCAGCCGTATCGGCGCTTGTAGAGCTGTGCTCTCGTTTGTGCTGAAGTTGTCGATTGAGCGAGCTGCTTTGACTGCTCGGTGGTGGTGCGTGATGGTGCCGCATCGCACTGTCGGAAGGACTGAACTCGGGAATTTGCATGTAAGCGTGCGGCTCGTCGAAAGGCGACGATGGCAGATATGAGCAATTTGTTTCTTCTGAAGCATCGCGTGATTTATCCACGAAAGTCGGGCTTGAAGTTTCGAAGCACTCTCCCATGACCCTCGATGCGAGCGTGCCTTTTTCGTCTCGGGGATAGACCTCACAAGGTGGATTGATTTTCTTCAAATCTCTCCGAACGCTCGGTCTTTCTGGTACCCTTGGCTTCTCCATGAAATGTGGACCTACTTGAGGATCTCTAGGTTTGAAGCTGCTCACAACATGTAACGGGGATGGTGGACTATTATTAGTATTTGAATGGGTGGCTGGCTTGATATTGATGAATTTCCGAGGTGGTGGTTCCGGTGGTGTAAGTCTAGGTCTCACTTCAGGTCTCGTAGTCACTTCTCTTTTTGGAGTTTCTGGTCGGCCTAGCGGAAGAAAAGAAGTAGACGAGATTGAGCAATTTTTGTCAATACTTTCAGTACCGATCGTTTTGTTGAACTCAGCGTCTACTCGAACGTTTTCAATCGTTACTTTCGATACATTCCATTGATTTGGGCACTTATCTAATGGCTTATCATTGACTTTTGATTCAATCTCGACTACTTTTTCTTCATTTGTATTGGCACAGTCCATATTTTCCATTTCTTGGGATGTGCCATCATTACAGGAGTATTGAATATCAAAAGTCTTTTCGATGTCAATCGATGATCGGTTTTGGTTCATTTGACTGGTATCGAGGCTACGGTCAACACTTTTGCTGCCACTGCGAGATTTACCTACCAGTTTTGACTGATATGTGTCCTCATCACTTTCTAAGTCAGATGTAATATTTCCGGAATCATCGCAGGGTTCATCCAAATCGTCGTTCAAGTCGGCGTCATTAATTTTTATATCGATGTTTGTTTTTGACAGTTCCGAAACCACATTAGGTTTTTCAGATGATTTGCAATTAGAGACTTTTTCGGGGCTGAAAAATTTGTTCACGCTCAGAAACAGTTTTAATTAAAAAATATTTATGATAGAGAAAAATCTTCCACTATTATTTGTCTTACCTTTTGTCATGAATAATATTTTGTAAATTTTTTTCAATGTCTATAATTTTCCGAGCGACGTTACCAACGCCGCGAGTCTTGATGCTATGCTCGAGTTGCTCTTTGGCCGGCGACGGCGATATAACTTTATCAAATTCCTCCAAATCGTCGGTTGAATCAAAAACGCGCGAATCGGACTTGTTGAAGCTACTCGCGTGACTACTGGGGGAGCTGTCGTTCCTCGAGCGCTGCTGAAGTTGCTGTTTGTGGTGCTCGTCAAGAGCTGCCTCGAACTTGCGCTCGAGAAAGTCGTCGTCGGATTCCGTGAGGTCGTAGGCCGGCGTACTGTGGCTTTTGTCGAGTCTGCCGCGCTCTTTGCTGCTCGAGTTCGGAGCAGAGGAGGTGGCGGCTGGAGAGGCTCGTCGCCGATCGTCGCTTCCGTCCTCCATGCGTCCGCTCTCCTTCTCCGAAAGGACGATGTCATCTCTCGGCTCGGGGCTCTCGTCGTTGGAAGCGGCGGCGAGCTCGAGGTTCACCGATTGCGATTGCGAAATGCCACTGGCGGCGAGCACTGAAAGAGCGATGCAAACGTTGGCGTGAGTCTAGCGAACGAATCGATCGATCGACTGCTCAGGGATGAGGGAGCGGAGCGGACTTACCGGGATCGGTGGCGTGCTGCTTCTTGAACGAGGCTGGACGAGGCTTGAGGCGCTGTTGGCCCTCTTGGAATTGAACCTTCCTCGGGGCGTCGTGCAAGAGCCTAGCCACGGACTTGTCGCTGGCGGCGCGCTGCTCGATCCCGAGGCAGGTCTGCGGTCTAGCGAGGGCCATCGCGGCCGACACGCTGTCGAGGTCCTGCGCGCAAGAGGCAGCTTTGTTACGGAACTGAAAGGACGTGCTGTGCTCGCGCTTCAGCTCCTTCCAGAACTCCTCGATCTCGGCGCTGCTCTTGACCGTGGGCAGGGCGCCCGCGAAAGTGGCCCGCCTCTGCACCGGGTTGCGCGGCTTCGTCGAGTACAGTCGGACCGACGTTGGGGTCGCCTCGCTCTCGCTGCTCTCGTCGCTGCTCTCGTCCGTCGTCATCGTGTCCAGTATCGAGACTGGCTTCGGCGCTGCTGCTGCTTTTGGCACGGCTCTGCAAAACGATTGCCGTATATTCTTTCAAGCTCCACCGATTTTTCATTATTATTGTTGTAGCGTTGCCAATCGTTAAGATTGAGCGTCCAACTGTTTCCGAGCGAATAAAACAGCGCTCGAATGTAGGTACTAAAGGTGAGCTTACCGCTGTAAAGGGAGGGTGAAATCGGGTATCGTCAAGAGTTCTGGCCTCGGGGACGGTAGATTGTTTTGCCACCTGGCGGCGTAAGGTGCCTTCTTGTTGCTGGGCAATCTGTACGGCTTTATGTAAATCTGCCCGTACACCTTGGTGTGCTTAGGTCTCCTTTTCAACGTCAATATGACGTCCGAGGGACTCTCGCGAAACTGATCGAGCACGTTCTTCCGTTCCCAGCCAACCACCGTTTGATAGTTAACCTGCCAGAAGATGAATCATCGATCGATCATAAGTCACAATGGATTGGATCACGCGACGATGACCGAGTATAAGATATATCGTTCAAGCTTCACGATGTTTACAATGCCAGAAGAATGAACGAAACGATGGGCATTCTTCTACAAAGACTCGAGACGGCCTCGAACGAGCTCGAGCTCCATTTGTACATTCGACCGGATTATTTTTCGTCTTGTTCGGATGAAACGGGAAACAAGTTTTCTTAGAGCAGTCAAAGAGACATCATTTACCTGTACAATTTCGTCGCCTTCCTCCATTTTCGCGCATTGATGGGCAGCCGAGCCAAACTTGATTTCAGCAATCTGATGAGCACCGTGAAAGGAAGGGATTATGCTGAAGCCCTGGAAAAGTAGTCTTGATTATTGATCATGTTTTCGAGGTTTTAAAAAATAGAGCCCCAGCCCAATGAAGCTAATATTTATCGTCGAAGAAATTAAAATGCGGATTCAACAGCTAACAAAGCTCATTCTTGGAAATGATTTTGCGTTCCGATCGACGCGCTACTACCGCACTGCTGATATTTAAATGATTCACGAGCGTGAACGTGTGCGCATTATATCCAAGCACACGCGGATGGATTCACGAATCTTAAATGTTTAATTTTTTCAACGGATGAAAAATCCACTCACCAAATCATCGCCCGGTCTCTTCTTGAGGGTGGCCAAATCCAAGCTCGAAGGTTGAAGAATCATCGGGTCGGCGACGTCCTGAATTATGTAATCGGCCAGCTTGGCCATTTGGCCGCAGGTGGTCCTTATCTCCTCGATGGGCTTCTCGGCGAATCTGTCGCGCTGGGCGCAGGTAGCCATCTCGAGGGACAGCTTGAGCAGCTCGTGCTTCTTGTCGTTGTAATCGAGCTGGCCACTGAAGGGCGGCCTGTCGAGCCACCTGATGAGCGGCTTCACGGTCACGATGATGGCCACGACGTCCGACAGGGTCTGCGTGCTGACGGGCTCGTTCGAGTCCGACAGTGGAGCGAGCTCGTTGTAGAGGCTGTGCGCCGTGCACGACAACCGCATCGCCAGCAGCTGCAGGTTCTCCCGGTCGAGCTCATAATGGAAATTACGCAGGTATTCGACTGCCTCGAGGATGATTTCTTGGTGGCCAATCTTGAACACGCCCAACTGCTCCAAGTCCTCCGTTCGTAGATTTAACAACTGCTGTCCATTGACTTTGTTGTTCATAAAACTATGCACGTACGGTAATACGGAGCTCTCCAGCCCTAATAAACATTTCGTTCTCATTAGCAAGCTTCAGCGGATGAACGGTTATTGTGATTAATTGTTCGACGCCGTGCGAAACGGCAAAAGCTCATATCGGCCCACGGGATATGGAAAATAGTACACAGGCCTGAGCCATAAAAATAATAAAGACCCAGGCCACGTGTTTATCGTATACATATAATGTTTGTAATGGCACGTGCCCTATGGGACTTTTCTGTTTTTCGAGGCTTAGGTTTAGTAGTATATGCTATAACAATTGTAAGAAAGTTATCATAAAAATATAATTGAACTAATTGAACAAATCAAAGAATTAATTATAACTAATTTGTGTATGATTTTATCATTTGTTACAAAATTATATTATCTGAGTCGTACATACATTACATAATAAAATTAAACTTGGCGGGTTTTATCTTAGAAAATGAACCAGTTAATGTTTTCTACTACATTTCAGGTGGATTATCGTGTGGACCAATCAAAGCAAAGTCGCACTGATTTACCAATTTTTAGTTTACTTTGTACCAATGCTGATAATCTGTAACCATAACTTGAGATTTGGAACTTTTGGTAAAAAGTTGCCATAACAATGACGTATTTCATTGATAGCGTTAATCAGTGAACGAGAGGAGTTACAAAAAATAAATGAATAAAGAATAAAAATGGTGAGTAATTTTTGATAAGCTACTTATTTGGACACCCTCTTTTGAAATACCAAAGGCTCATGAGATTTAGAATTTTCATACTTTTTTTACGTAGAAATAATGTAAATTTTAAGTTGGAAAATATTATAAATATGTTGTAAAAAAATTGTTTCGGTACGAAAAAAAGTTGCTTCGAATCGCTTGAACGCGGAAAAAAGTCGAGTGTGCAATATTTGACGATGATAAAACGTAAAATATGCAAACGGGCGGTTATAGGATATAAAGGTCTGCACAAGAGCAGGATAGTTCTTGTTGAAGTGTATATAAACGCTCGGTCGTACGAGGGAGGGATTCATAGTAAGAGAAAGAGAGAGGGAGAGAGAGTAGAGACGAGATGAAATTACTTTTCCCTCGGACTCGCAAGTTTTCTCGGCAGCTCTTTTGTTCCTATGTACACTGTGCAGTCGCTGTGAGCGACTATCGGACGCTCGAGTGTACAGAGCGAATTAATTTCCTTGCTCAGACGGCCCCGCAGTACACACGAGCTGCAAAACAAGTCGCATCGAGTCCGTACATGCCGATATAAATCAGCGACGCACATACGTACGCGTGCACACAGGCATCGGGCGATCGGCTGGCCTTTTTTTTCGTCGCATTATACTGGCGCGTCGGCATGCGGCGCAGACAGGCCTGACGCCAGCGAGGCGATAGGCTGTTTACGCGCGGCGAGACGTGCAACGATTTTACGAAACGCATCGAAATGGGCCAGTCGTACTCGTGTGTACGTAAGCGCTGCTCGTTAGGCTCGCGATCGCGATCGGGTTATCGAGAGCAGCGCACACGATTCGCGATCATCGTGACTGATGCTGACTCGACGACTGGCCTGTTTACGTTATGTGGATGGATGCATTCGAGGCGCGACACGTCACTCGACAGCAACGCCAAGGCTATATACATGTAGGTACGTGCGCTGCTCTCGCGCGGCACACATCTCTTCGTCGCGGCTCGCATACGCGTATAAGTAAGCTGCTGCAGAGTGCTCATCGCAAAAATTCGAGCGAAAGGCGAAGAGATGCAGTCGCGGCGGTGGCCCGTTATGCGCTCGCCGCAGATATCGTAGTATAGCGGCGAAAGGCCAAAGCGGACATCGCAAGAGATGCTTTCAAGAGCTGCACATGTGTATATGTTGCTTGGCATTTTTGTTTATACGTCGCGTGCGCCGTGCATTATATACCTACATCTATGTGCGCGCGCCATCCTAAAAATACACCGACGTACAAATAGAAGCGAGGAAGGTTTATACTTAGAAGCAACTAGCGGACAAATTTCCGCGCGCCGTGACGAACGTACAGAGCAAAACTGTTTTTTAGCGCAGCAAAAATTAGTACGAGCAAGTGCGAATCCGCTCGTAGTCGTGACTGACTTCCTCCGAGTATCCGCTAGCTACCGCAATTTCAAATAAATACATACCGACCTACACGTGTTCTCGATATTTCCGGGCCTTTTCAATATTTTTCCTTCCATTTTATTTTCATCTTTACAGTATGAGGAACGTGAGATTAAAACTTGGAATGATTAATCACTGCCTATTTTCGAGTTTACTTTGATTTTCAAGAGAATGTTTAGCCGACGATTCTTCGGCGTATAAAGTACATTTTAATTACGATTGTGCGTTCCTGTACTCGCCATCGAAATAGATATACGCATCGTATGAGTTTTGGAAAAAGCCTTGAAAATGATTGAATCGCACCCGACAGCCATGTCCGGCCCAAAGAGTTGTGTAAATGTAGCATAAAAATGAACAAAGTTCGAGAGAGAGCTAATAAGACTTTATAGTATAAGGTATAAGTAGACAAACATAGGAGCGCGTTCGGTTTTCAAACGAGTATATATATAATATGCGTGACAAGTGATGTTGCTTTGCTGCCGCGGCATTGATCAGAGCGGCAGAGAAGAAGGAACTTTTTCATGAATGACGCCACGCAGAGCCAAGATATATTTACGAACGTGCTGGAATCATGCTCTCACGCGGCTTTAAATTGAAATTCGAGCCTCGTTTGGAATTCTGTATCGTTGACAAAGCAGCATGAAAATCCAAACATTCGCGAGCCAAAATAATTTTCAGCAAACAATTTCACGAATTATACAAGGAGCCTCGGAAAACCAACGGCTCGATTTGCCATGGTTGGCCTGTACAATTGGTCCAAAGATCACTCGATACTCGCAGTAGCGCACATTGCTATTATGCAGACTACTTACGAGTACATTGCACACACGACTCGATCGAGTTGACTGCTAGCTTGTACTTGTATGCTACACAACACAAACATGCACGCACATAATATATAGCCACAGTTCATCTACACATGTATAGGTATAATGCGCGCGCGTGCGTCAGTGTGTGTGCGTGTGTGTGTGTGTGTGTGTGCGTGCGTGCGTGCGTGAGAACGGGGGAGACTCGTCGTTCGGACGACTGCAAAGCGCTGTATTACGGCGCAGGCAGACGAACCGAGTTCGGAGCGAAACAACACACGAGCCGACACTGCCACTCACGCGACTTGGGTAAAAACGTATAAAATGCAATAATGATTTGTCGCACCTTTGAGCCACTCGCACACTTCGATGTTCTTCCACTCGGCTACATTAACATACGCCATCGCTTGCCATGGCCCGCGGAGCCTCGCGCGAACTCCAGTGAGACTTGTGAGGCCCTCTCAAACGTCGAAAGGGATCGAGTGCTGTGCACCGCCTGTATAACGGGCCGCAGCAGCAGCAGCGAGATTATCGTGACTGTGTACACAGCTGCGAGGCTGACGTATCGTCTCGCGTAATGGACGCACTGACTGATGCTGCCGCCGACTGACTACTCGCCGACTGTCTATTCCGTGATCGTCGAGGCTACTCCAAATGACGATGCGGCGCGCCGTCGGCGGCATTCCCTCCTCCTCTTCCTCGTGCAGTGCTGCTTTCGCAATTTCGATTCGAGTTAGAGTAGACCGTGCTGTAGTGTGGTATAGTGTCTTGGAAGGAGCGCTGGGAGCGCAGCGCTCGCAGCTCTACGGGCTGTTCGCTTCAAAATAGTAGGCCGTTCTCAGCCCCTGTACAACTGCAAGACGCTACTACACGAGTCCGGTCCAAGCTCTCGCGAGTTCGACTCGAGTACTACTTTACAGCTTTTGCACCGACCATGTCCATTTTGCAAACAAATTGACGACAATTTTTGTTACTTTTTCATGAGATATCGAGTTGGCCGCCCTCTGCACTTTTTGAATCGCGGTTCTAATTTTGAAAAACAGTCATCATAAGCAGACAGTCATCATTCATACCTAAAAATTCATTCACAAAAGATGTTCATTCATGAGAAAAACATATATATTTGGGCGTGCACGCACGCTCGATCGGTAAAGTAAATGTCGGCCAGTTTAATCATTTTGCAGTCGATTGCGCAGAACTTTAATTTCTTTTTACAGATCATTGTAACGTATTACATACACAAAAATTTCTAAAGGCACAATTGTTTTCGTAATTAAAGCAAACAATTTATTTTCTTAGCGATCGATTCATTTTGTTGAGTCTTTTTACATTAAAGAAATTATTTTTTTTTTAAGAATGAACTTGAAATTTTTCCTGACGATGTACACTTAATGCGTGCTTTTTTTCTACGTACAGTTTAGAAATAGATTTATATTTTAATCACTTTTCGAATTACGTAAAATTTTACTATTTGAGTAGGTTCAGCTGTAACAATTAGTAAGAGTACACTAAAAGGTGAACATTCATTATATTATATGTAATTTAATTTATTGCAATTAAAAAACATTTTATTTTGTGTGTTTCATAAGTTTTTGATAAATAAAAAATGTTCTCGAATAATGTTTTCACTTAAAATACTAATTAAATTGATCTAATCGGCCGTGGGTATAATTTAAAAAATGATTTTACTTTATACTAAATATCTTTCTCCTAAGTATTTTTTATTTAAAAAAAGGATAGATTTTAGGGGAAAAATACCAAGAAGAAAAATGTCTTGAAATCAATCTCGAAAAAGCTAAAAGAACCCAGACGTGTTCTTTGAATCTAAGACTTTTATGTAATGAAAATTTTTCCCCCTAAGTCGATCCTTTTCGAAATAAAAATTCTCAAAGACTTTTAGTAGAAAAGAAAATGATTCGTCAAAATTATCGCGATTAAATTAAACTAAGCACAGGGAGTTCATTATTGACTTGAAAATCAATTTGGCAAGGATCCATTAGTCGAATATAAAATGGTCTCCTAGTCAGGTAAACATATTAAAATTTCACATTTACAATAATAAAATGGGATTTTTGATTTTAGCAAAAGAAGTGAAAAAAGCAGCTTTACTTTTGATCAAGTGAGCGCGTGAGCCCTAAGCTATATACTTGTAATGTACGCTAGGGCCGTTATCGCCATTCAGTGTTAATAGTAGAAGTGCACGAGATAGCGCGTAGGTATTATATAGCGAAGTTAGCTCGAACGAGTGAAAACCGGTGCGACGATCGTTGGGTTACTTCTGGCGGTGGCGGTGGCGGCGGCGGCGCCCCCTCGCAAGAAAAGCGACGAGGAAAACGACGAGAGAGGAGAGATAGCGAGGAGAGAGAGAGAGAGCGAGAGAGATGGAAACTGGGGCCAAGAGATGCGATGCGCCCCACAGAGCTCTTTGCAGAGCTTTAGTCGCATGAAAACCGCCCGCGAGCGACAGTCGTTGTTTGGAGCTTACGCGCGACACTTGGAGCCCAGTTGATGCCAGTGTGTGCTTGTGCTGTGGTGTATGTTTGTAATACGCGATGTGGCCAGTCACCCGCGACGCTCGTGCACTGCCGCGATTTCTAGCGTTCGGTTCGCGCGCTTCCAACGTCCAGTAGTCGTCGTTGCTTCTATTTTTGCAGCTAACTTTCTCGACGCCCGTCAATCAACACGTGTGCCAGGCATTTTGTTGCTCCAGTACTTGGACAAAATCACCGAAGCATTTTTTCCGTCGACGCTGCAAAGTGCGACTCTACTTCATGAGTAAGTTTAGAAATTTTAAATTCTAAAAGACCAGTTAAAGCCGACGAGCCGTTTTTTCCGATCCTACTCGTTCGCATGTCCGTTTCAACCTCCAATGACTCTGTTTATCTCGAAAATTCACTCCAGTAGTGACTCGGAATTTCTGATTAGATATTTTCTTTTTGCGTAAAGCTACAAGTCCTTTCTCGGAGATCAGATCGAAGCTGTCAAAAGCTTCTCGTAAGATTCGCTGAAACGACGATGGAGTATTAATTGAATAAGATCGAGAAGAGAAAAAAGCGAGATAGAGACGAGAGATCGCAGTACTAAAACGTCCGTATAGGCACGAGTGCGATGCGCACCGTACACAATTCGCACATTGGAATAGGCTCTCGAGATAGGCGAATTGTCGCGGTCCGAAAATATCCCTCGGAAGAAATCTCGGCTCGCCGCCAGCATCGCGTCCTCGACTCAATATTCTGATACACGCGCGCGCGCGCGTGCAGTGAGATCACTCAGAAGCTCGAGTCGCTCAAGTTTCGCGATCGCAGGCGAAAAAGTCCTCGATTCCGCTCACTTGACTCAACTATAACTTATTTAGCCCATTCACCAACCGAAGATTCCATCGATCGCTCCGGTCAAGAATCAAAGAATCTAAAAATGGCTGCGAAAATAAGAGATAAAAGCGATCGTGATCACGAGTAATGTGGCCAATTTCGATCGTTTTTACCGGAGCTTGCAAGTTGCGAGCTTGTCAATGAAGTAGGTGAGGCGATGGTGACTTGTCGCAACTGAAACGCGACCCAAGCTAGTTATTCGTGAAAAGTTACTCAGTTTTTCAGCGATTGTTTCGACTAATGTAGCTTGCATAAACATTTCGACATTTTTGTCCAATGGTCGAAAAGCTCAAAATAGAAATATAAGTTGAGGGGAAAAATGTAACAAAAAACTATAGGTAGAGATGGGGTAAACATCGACACCGAAAATCGAACGAAGCCCAATTTTTTCCCCTCTTTCTTCGCGGCGCGTTTATAGCTTATGTACACGTACATAGCCAATGTTTCGAAAGCGGCAAAAAAAGCCAAGTTCCGATGCTGCAACATTGGCCATCTCCCACGATGGCTATCTAAGCTCCAGTATTTCTTTTGCGAGTGTCGCGCATTTATATTTATAATATATATATAAACACACATACAGACGCATGTTGTTATGTAGAAGGCAAGTACGACAATATAGTTGACAGCTGAGTGTAAATGTGTTCAAGCATATAGCACGAGTGAATATACACACGCATGCGGCCTATATATTATGTACACGCGGACAGACGTACGGGGACTATTTTGATTGATTTCTGCATGGCATTTGCAGCGGACGCGAGCCTGGAGAGTGACTTTATCTCTCGTTGTAACTGGCGTCGATCGATTTTCATGTCGCGCCAAGAGCGAGAGAGCACTTGTCCTCCTAGTTTGGTTTGCGCGCGTCAAAATGTTTTCAGGCGTATACGCTTTTACTCGCTATAATGCATGCACGCATGCGGGCTCGACCTATGCGTACGTGTACAATACATAGCCGTGTACATAGCCGTCTGCCTCGTCGAGCGATCCTTCATCTCGTGGCTTTTCCATTTATCGCCAAATGCATTGCAAACGAGACACGTGTGGAGCGGCCTACCTTGACTCCGATGCTGCAGCGATTATTATTTTCATTGCTAATGCTTCATCGAAACTAACGATAAATTTCGACCGAGTTTGTCCCCGCTTCATTTTACAACTGCTCGCAGCGAAAAGTTCTTATTTTATGCTACTGGACTTGTGCATAAATTTAAGTACGTTCATACTACTTTACGGACGTGGAGGAGCGCATATTCAATCAGCAACTTCCATCCTATAATTTGGCCAATTTTTCTCAAACTTTTAATCGTGAAGCGCTTAATTTTACGACTACCGCTATTTTTGTCGCGTAACGCAAACTTTTTCGATCCCGAATGAAAAACAAAGTTTAAATATTGCTATGGTCGAGATAATCAATCAAGAGCTGCTGAAGAAAATTTTTTCATTGTAATATTTGAGCGAGCAATTTGAGCAAATTATTGTCCAGAGATTTGCTGGCTTCATCTTCGACTTGGGTGCATTTTGCAACTCGTAAGATACACGTATCCACTGTCCTCAGTTTTTTCCCTATCTTTTCGAATCATATTTTATGCGGACTTGGCCTTTTTGTCTTTTCTCTCTCTTGCGACGTATAAAGTGTAGAACGGATTTGGAATTCGCACCGTTGCTTTTTCGAGCTGAGGTGAAATCCTGTTGCAAGGAAAAGCTCCGTTATCGGTTTTCAATTCTTCTCCTGTGCATAGTCGCGCGCGATGTCATTTTTTCCCCCTCGGTATTTTTCTCCATATACAATAATATTACACGGTTTTGCCATTTATCTTGTGGTATACGCTACTATTTCGCGTATCTCTTCATACGGAGTGCCAACAGACCATTGTCTGCATTAAAACCGTAAATTATAAAAAAAATTCATTTCTCCGATTTACACGAATGACAACACGATTTTAAAACTCTTGTCTGAAAATTGTTTTCAGATCAAATTTTCTTACGTACCGAAAAGAATTTATTGTATTATATGAAAAGCAGTTTGATCGATTTACATTTCAAAATCTCAAAAGCAGTTGTGCTATCAAAAAATGTATGAAAGGAACGTTATACTAGGCGTAAGAATGAAACGTTTCAAACACGTTTTCTGAGATTTTTATTGATTTTCAAATCTATATGAGTATCAAGATAACACTTATAAATTGAAGACTTTCACGTAGCTTCATAGCAAAAATTTTCGAAAAAACGGCTTACTTTTGCTATCATTCCTCATTGCCAGTTTAGAGAGTATAAAACATGTGTTACTTTGTTCATTATGTCAAATGAAAATACATGAAAATAGTAATTTATGCAATGGGTGCCGATGTGCTTTTTCTGCAAAACCAGTTTTGTTGAGAAAGCTTCTTCACACAAGTTCCATACAATATTTTAAAACTAGCAATACAGTTACGATTTTTCGGTAAGATTGCTATAAAGGATTTTTATATGCAAATAATGAACTTTTTCGAAGTAACGATAACGATAAAAATAAATTAAATTAGTATAGTGACTAAAAGTTAATGAGCCAAAATTATATACAGCGGATAAGATAATTTAAATGCACAAAATGGTGCACAATGAGAGTCTAGAAATGAAACATCAAGTTGTAGTTTTATGGTTATTATAATTGTTTCATCAATTCGAGAGTGCGTAGCCTCTGGAGTACACCTGTACAATATTATGCAATGCTTTTCCCGTCTAGCTAGCAATTTCAATCTACCCAGAGCAAGATCAATGTGCTTTTAAGCTAGAAAAACTGCTTTCGTCGCCAAGAGTCAAACGAGGACTGGCGCGTCACTTTGTGCCGTCTTGTGCTAGTTACAATGAGGGGAGCGACGCTTCTTCTTTTTCTTCTTCTTATTTTTTTCGGATATACGCCAACAGCCGTATCGATAGCAGGTAGTTGAGCTATTATGCAGCACATATAGTCCCTGTAATGACAATGGAGTCGCGTGCGCGCAGCTTGCAGCTAATACAGTGACGTATCGAGCGCCGTCTTCTCTCGTGGTATTTTTTTCGCACGAAAATTTCTATATCCCACGCAAAGAGACTGATTTCTGCTCGTGGAATTATCGATGTACTTTACGGGTCACGGGCTGTACATACGATTTTTCTGCGCGTAAAGCTGTTGCCGTGGCGCAAGCTCGATCGATACTCACAGAAAATTCCATTCACAACGAGTTTTTAAGAAAAGGAAAATTATCGACGAGATCTTTTACTCTGTACCTTGAGTTGGATCGGTGTGAGAGTCGAGCACCGAGGCTAACCCTAGGTCAAATTTATTCGTGAGCTTATGCTCAACGAACGATTTCAATTCTAATAATAGAAGTTTACTCTCGCATGAAATTCAAGTCATTCGATTTTAATTTTCAGATTCAAGCCTGTCGATCGGCCATCTATTGAAGCATCAGCGTCAATGAGAGGAACACGCAAAGCAAAGTGAAGGCAGCATCGAACGGCGACTGATACAAAGTCCGAGATAATGTTTGCGCTGTGACTGGAGGTCGCAACCGAGTTTCCGTAGTGCAAGCATGACAGCGTAAAGCAAGGAAAAGCAGACTGTTGCTGGCGTTGATCGTCCTGCTAAGTGGCTAACACTCGCTCGTGTGCTCGTTGGTCCAAGTGTAAATGTGAGCAGCTTGGCTGCAAGTGATCGTGCGAGGCCTCGAGTGCGCGCGGTGAGTGTCCGGTGCTGGCCTGCAGACTCCGATGAGTACTTCATCGCGTAAAGCTTCCTCGGGAGGGAGTCCCTAAATGTGCCAAAGCAAGCCTCGAAAACGATGCCGCTGCCGCCACCGCCTCCGATCAGGCGAACGCGACACGTGTCTGCAGCAGCGCCCCTTCAACCGCCGCATCAACTGCTGCTGTTGCTACTGCTGCTCGGTGAGCTTTTCATTTTTACACCTTATTCTGCTCGATATAGCTGCTGTCACTTACCCGACTTTAATACTTATTTATCGAGTAATTTCACTACTTGCCTTGGTATACAATCAAAGATCAACGACTTGATGCGTATTTCAGCTCTTAAATCATTTATCATAAAACCAAATATTTTAAAAACTTGTGTAAATTTTGTAACTTTTTCAGAATTTGAAATATGTTTGAAATTTAAAACGTTACATTTTATTACCTTTGTTTCAATCGGTCAACTGACAAAGAGACATTTTAAAAATAGTGTAGCAATTAAATCCTATACTAGTAATTCGATCTTGTCAAATTAAAGTTTTTGAGCTCAATAGTTTTAAATATTGGGAAACAAGTAAGCCGTATAGCTTTATCGACTATTACACTGAATTGAAAAAAAATCGACAAAGTTGAACATTTCTATGTGTTATTGACGTTATATCCATGTGTATTTCATACTTTATTTTGATTAATATTATTAGTTTTATGTTGAATTCATTAACGTCAACAAGACATACTTCTAACGCGATTTCTTCATCGTTGTTATTCGGTATTATGTTTATTAAAAGTTTGCTCGGTTAAATGCGAGTGAATTATGTCGGTAACATAAGATGAAAAACAAGTGCCTCATTGGTCCAACAGTAAGTTTGAGTAATTTTGTGCAAAGATGGTAGTGAAGCGAGTTGAATGCTCGTTTGAGTAAGTCAAAAAAATGAAAACCTGAATGAAAAGGAGAAAATTTGATCGCGAATTTTCGATCTTAACTCTCGCTCCCTCTGCATCGAGCCGCACCTTTTGCTCAGCACACACCGTCGGTACAGTTTAGCAGTGGCTAGCTTTTCGCTTCTCTCTCTCTCTCTCTCTCTCTCTCATTCGTATATAATCTGTCGTGGCCAGGTAAAGATGCTAATAAACATTCTGTCTGTTTTTGGAGAGCTGCACGCTCACCCAGCATAGAAGGCCCCGTGCGGCATAGGTATACCGTCTCGTATGCGACAACGCGTCGACCCACTTCCCAGTGGATTCCTGCCAGATTATCGAAATGGCCATTTTCGAGGACAGACTCTCGAATTTGATCTCACGCCACGCGTAGCAGCTCTTTATTATATGTATCTTAATGAACCGATAGCTCTGTCTACGATCTTCGCTCGGTTGCTTGTCATTTTCTGACTACGGGATGCTCCTTCGATCCAGTTCTCAGAGATTCGCACGGATTACGAGAGTCGAGATTCGAATACTAATCCTTAGAGCACCGATATTTTCCAATTCAATGGGAAATCTTACATTGCTTATAAAGAAATGATGAAAACTGAACTGTCAACATAATAATTTTTATATTTGATGATATAACATTTTTTTGAATTCATTACACGATATCATTAAATTGGATTGCATATCTTGGAGTAATTAGCACTCAGTTAGCTAGAAACATGCTAATTACGCATTCCCAAAGGTATTCGTAAAGGTACACGCGTAATTAAAAACACGCGCTACGTTTACTTGCTTTTACATATACTCAGCTAGTACGGCACTCGGCTAACTACCAGCTATACAGTCGCAGCTTGCAAGCACAAACTTGCCTCGAATCTTGTTCCCGTATGACCGAGTTCATGTGATGCACCCATTGCTTCTCTTAAAAGCTATTAAAAAAGCACCGACTGAATCACAAGACACGAGGGCACTCGTTTCAATTTTAACAGTAATCAAAACTCGACGCGCGTGGATTAATAATAATCTATTTTTCCTCTACCATGCATATTAAAACCCAACGATTTCAACGTTCTGCTCGATTCAACGTCCTCTGGCCACACCCGTGACTTCTTATATGCTCTGTCTAGCTTGTGTATTAATTATGTCTCCTGGAAGTACGTGTTGCACGAGATTAGACACCGAGGCGCAGTGCAGCTACGTTATAGGCGAGATGCATTAATCTGCGTGATGCTATCTCGGGACTTTATAATGAGCTTTCATGGTTGCGTATTGTTATATTGAAGCCACGTGCTCATCCTGAGAGTTCCATGATTAATCAAAAATGGAACGAGCCCTGGACTAAATGGTTCTTTGACAAAAAAATTTTAATTAAAAAGAAATTCGTAAAGTTGATTTTTGAATGAGTAAGTTTTAGGCGAGTGGAACGCGTTTAATGGGTCTATAGAATTTATTTCGATGCCTTTTCAATGGAAACGATTGATTCTTACTTTACGAAATTCTTTAAAATCGTTGACGGCTATTCAATATTACATTTTTTATAATACTTTGACTTAAAAATCGAAACTCTGAATCGAATATTGTATGCAACTTGTGTGGGTAAGCTTTTTTTAAATAAAAATTATTAGAGTAAGATGCATTCGGCTTTTGCTGTAATTATTTTGTAAAAAAAGCATAATATCCGTACCCGTTGCATAATGTACTGTAGCTGGTTTTATCATCAAATGAGTCAGAGAAACGATGATTTATGTTGAGAATGCTTCCAAAATTCTGGAAAATTTCTCTATTCTATTTAATGATTTCGCGAATGAAGAAATATTTTGTAAAATTTTTGCCGACCCCAAAATTTTCTAACAAAATCTCTAAAAGCCAAGCGAGCTGCAGTAAATGAGACATAGCGCTAGTTGATATTAAGAATCGTCATAGTATTGATATTTTGATTTAATAAATTAGAATTTAAAGTAATTTTATTGTTATTCAATACATTCCTTCATGTTGATCAATAATCAAAACTCAATCAGTTTCATAAATTGTTAAATTGTGATCTTATTTTAGTAGTAATAATAGAATCTGTGCAGGTTCATGATTTTCTTCTGTGATATATATATGTGTCTTTGATAGAACAGCTCAAACGTGATAATTTCCAAGTTTTGTGGTATCTTCTGATAACGCTACTCTTGTTGAATTTAAATATGGAGTTTTAGATATCTCAAAAGTAAAATTATAGTTGTATAAAGTATAAGTTACATTGATTTTTTTCGATAGGGTGTGAGCGAGGAGGAAAAAAGCATAGACTTTGATTCACAAAAGCAGATGGGTCGGTAATTTTGATGGAAAAGGAAATGAGATCAAGTCGCGTCTCTTAAGACTGCTGTCGACATCGCTGTCGTCACGTATAGAAAGTCACAAAGTGTGTAATCTTAGCCTCGTTACGCGAGTGTCAATGAGCTCTCAAGCCCTCTTCCTCCGTTCATTATTCGCTAGTTCGCTCTAAATCGATTACTCTATATCTTTTTTTCTTTTTTGCTTTTATACGTACGTTTTTTCTCCTATCGCTTTTATGGCTCGAGTTTTAAGATTATATAAATAAACTCTCACTTGCATAGGAAGCCGTGTGCAACGCCGACAACAATAAATGCGTTAGACGTATACAATCATGCGTGAGCGCACGATAGGTGTATGATTGCACGGAGCTCGAGTCAATTACAAAAGGTCGAAAGTCGGAGAAGAGCTTTCGGAAAGTAGCTGAAGCATGTCGGCTTGTACGCGTGGCCTGCTTACGCCTGCGGTCCGACATTTTCACCGAACCAACTCCCGACCCTACGGATTTTGGATCCGGAAATGAGAACAAGAGCTGTGCACGAGAACCGCGAATGTGAGCGAGGAAAAGTTTTAAAGTCATCTGGCCGCTAGCGTAGCCGTGGCCATAGCTCGTGCGGTCCGCGCCAAACCGAGAGCGAGCGAGAGAGAAAGAGAACGTGCCGGTCGTCGGACGCCGGATGTCTACCGGAGAATGCCGGGCGCCAGTAAGATCTGCATTACCCCTTTCGCAGTTTGCACGCATACTCACCCGTAGCTCTCGCTCCTGCACTAGTGTGCGCAGCCACCCACGTCTAGCGTATACGTTTATGCAAAGTCCAAGAGTTAAATCTTTCTCGCTTCTCCCATTCGGAGCTAGAAAAGCGTGCCAGTATCGCGATATTTCATTTCGGCAAAAAAGCTGCCACCCTCCATGGTGTATGTACTGCTGAGCGAGGAAATGAGTTGGCTTCGTTGTCATTGTTACTGATGATATCTGTCCCGTTCCCGCTTTGCGGCCCATATATATTTCTTCGAAATAAATGGCGCTACGTTATGCAATTATTCAAAACTTGTCTATCAATAATTTATTTTCGGATTTGAAAAAAATCCATTTAAAAACAACATTTTATTAAAAACGTCTCTAATTTTTCCGATTTTTTCGATGCATCAAAACTATAAACAAAATTATGGAAGAATTTTAAAATTTAATCAAAAGCTATCTTATTCGATTACCACTCCAGACATTTTTTCAACTGGTTAAAAAATGTCTGAACATTTTTTTCAAATTTGTACTCTAAAATATATCACTTCATATTTTTTCAGCAAAAATTCAATCACTTTTAGAAATAAAAACCAGTTTAATACTATATTAAGTCTCTTATTTTCTCTTATTTTCCAAGTTGCATAAATCACACGTATTGTTTTATTAATTCTACAATTTTTTTGTTCACTAGTTTTAGCAATTTTTATTTCGAAAAGAAATGACTGCAATTTTCCATTTTTGTACGCTTTTCAATACTCTCGGAATTTTTCCTGACCGTTAAACTCGAAGGCTCATGTCAAAAATTGAGGAGGTACCTGCTGATGTTTTGAGAATATTATTTCTGCGCCTTTTTTGGTAATGAAGATTTAAAACGAACTCGAATAGATTTTGAGTTTTATGTTTCTTCCTGTCGTAGCAAACTTTTCAAGTTGGCAGATCTCTCAAGATTTTTTTGAAGTTATTCTGTACCGAGATAAGAATTTTGAAATATTAATTGTCAGAGAATCCCTCATATATTTGATACACCATAAAATGCTTTAAGTACGAACTGAGATCAGTACATAATTAAAATAATGTTATTTTAAGATTGCACAGAGCAAGTACTTAACGAATCTCGATTCATTCGTTTTAAATGTTTTATTAATTAATTTTATTTAATTATTCTGTAGAAAATTTTAATTCAGCAGTGTGCTCTTGTAATAATTTTCAATTTTTCGAAAAATACTTTAAAAATCTTTTATCATCCTTGAATAATCATATTCAATGCGCTCCTATTAACGTTCTATTAGCACTTTCTTAAGAGCTTTATGTAATGATTCAAGTAAATGGGTCCTACATTTTGTTGTCTCCGGTTCAATATAAACCAATTCATCACAAAAATGTAGGAGATCAATTAGTAGACAATCTGAAGAAACTCTGAGAATTTTTTGGTCGCGAGATTCTGGATCAAGGATAAGGCTTGAGATTTCAGGCTATTTTCTGCTTTATGGACCTTTTCCTGACGTTTTTAGCACATTTTCGTCACTTATTGGCGTTTCTGAAAAAGAGTGATGCATGGTCCTGAAAATCTACCAAAATTCTAAATTTAACTAGGATTCTAAATTGAATAAGGAGGCCTCAATCGACAAAATTCAAGATAAAATAATTTTTTTATGCAATAGTATGACAAAAATACCTTTTTTTGCACATTTTTTAATGGGCAAAAAGCGTTTTTGGACACTGGTGTTAAATGTTTCATTTAAAATGAAAGTATTTTTTACTTACTACTGCATAAAATTTTTTTTTTAGTAATCGATTTTCCAAATTTTTTGGGGAGGCCAGAATTTTAGCGCGAGATTCATTCAACGCGAAATATATAGATCTATGATATAGGAAAGAGGAAGCCAAATTATATAAAAAGAGATTTTGAACGGTAGCAATGCCATTTAAAAAAAAGTTGTTAGCAGACTACAATGAACTGTTCTGTTAGGTATATAAATTGTTAAAAGTAGTTAAATGCAAAGTTTTTCACTTGGCATTAAAAGGAGTATCTGCAATTAAGCAGTACAGCTAGTAGTTAGTTAATTATCTGTTAACGCTGTTAGAGAATACTAACTATCAGTGGTAGAGTGATTTTATAAAAATACCTGTCAACAAATAAATTTGCTCTCAAAGTAATGAGTAATTATAGCAGATCTCGAATAATTATCATGTAAGTAACTAAATAATTACAGATTATCATCGATTATTTATCATTTTTTTATTTCACAATTCAACATGGTATAAAATCTACTTAATAATCGAAAAATTAAAGCAAGGTATAAGTGGCACATAAAAAAGAGGAAGACGCTCGTCGAGAGAACTTGGGAACAAACGATCCGGTCCTATAAAGACGATTTAGATTAGGACATTCTCTCTCTCTCTCTCTCTCTCGGTCTCTCTAACTCTCGTTGTAGTATAACAGCAGTGGTAAACGATTATCCGCAAGGGTATTGCCAAATTTATTGTGTGCAGAAACGAGAGAAGCAATTAAGAAACAAGTCGATAGAGAACTCCATGAGCGTATAATATACGCTGCTTACGAAAACTAGCACTTTCCTATGTTCATTTAAATGGAAAAGTGGTAGTTTTCGTAAGCAGCGTCGATATTTGGTAGGCACTTTTTACGCGTTTGAAATAAATATCCGATGAACGAAAACTATTTGATGAAAATTGCTTGTTAATTTTTAAATCTTTATGCTACTTTGCTAAAATCATGCTACGTTTTGTTTGACGAGCAAAGTAATTTCAATTATAAATACAGTTTAGTAATACATTCTTAAATTTGGATAATCAGTTCGGTCGTTTAATAAATTGTCTCGTAAACGAATTAATTGCAGAGATGAGAGATTAAAATTCATCAAATTTTCGCAAAATATGTACCAAACTTTAAAAAAACATTCTATTCAAAATAAATGAAAAGTGTTTCGAATAGAATGATTCTTGCCTTGATTAAATTCTATATTTTATTTTCGGTAGGTTCAGACTCAATAAAACATCTCATTATGAAAAACGCCTAGCACTTGCAGAGTTTAAGTTTCTCTTAAGGCCTGAATGTTGATAGCCAAAGAAACAAACGACTGAGGCATTAGGTTTCAAGTATGCAGCGTTGAATGATAAGAAAAGAAGGAAAAATGTCGAGAGGGAATAATTTGTGGCTAAAGTAAATTTTTCGTTGTTCCAGCAAGCACGAGCGACACGGCTAAATGGGGCTCTGGACCGGCCATTACCGGCAGTCATGGGCAACGCGAGGTGGTGTCCTTCATCGAGCCTGAGTCCAATGCGGCGTCGACGCTGGTGCGATCCACCCCCGAGACGAAAAGCACCTCGCTTCCTGATCGGGAACCACCACCGTTTCTCTTACAATTCGATAAATTTTACCAGCGTCATTCCGACGGCACATTCGAGGTAGTTGAACTTTTTTATAATTTAAATATTGGTACTAATAAATGTACGCGTTTGAACTCTTGCACAACACTTGCAGTAATCTTGTAGTCTTTATAACAAAACATGCTTATTATGAGCGTTGTATAGGTGCTACTATGACACATGTCCAAATTCATCGTGCACGTTTTTACAGAGCTTAATTATTGTTGCATTTTCAATGTATTTTATATTTATTTATGTCTTGCAGCTTTTTGCAGAGATTTATAACAAAATAATGAAAATTAAGTAATAAGTTTTTATAATATTTGATAAATTTTTGCAGACATCGTACACGGCGAAAAGTGATACTGATCCCGTTACTTGGAGTATCGCAAAAGCCCTGCGTCGCATGCGGAGAGAGGATCAAGGAGCTTGCTACAAATTCGAAGAAGGCGAACCACTGAAGCAGGAGTTTTACAGTCCCAACTACCCGGATGTTTACCCAAAAAATATGAGTTGCTTCAAAGTTTTAGAAGGTCAATATTCAAATAAAGGATGTGCCACGTAAAGTTGATTATCGGAAAAAAGCCCTGAAGCGCTCGCGATAACCTAATTCTCTGGTTAGGGCGTCATCGTGACTTAGTTAAATCAAATCGGTCGCGAGCAGATATCTTCGCAACGCGCGCGAGGACAAAAACAAACGGGTGGAAAGAGTAGAGGAGCGCGCGAAAGAGCAGAGAACGAAGCGTCAGCATCGGAAATTAATGGCTGGCCAGAAGTCGCTGGGAATCGAGGCAGAACACGTAGCTTGGGCGGGGTTTCTAGCCAACTTAGCCATTTCCCTCTTTATTTTTTCTCTCTGTCTCTCTCTTACTCGCATTCCTTTTTTTGCGATTCAACGTCAATGTACAGCATATTCGAGTCAGGGTCGAGTCGACGCACCGTGTGTCGTGGTATATTTTCAAGTTATTGCACAATTAATGCTTTTGTGAAGGTCCATTCGAAAATAGTTCTTGCAAGCCAAAATGCTTACAAATAAGGAAAGACTTATCTAAACATGAGCGTTGAAATTTTTATTTTTTTTAATAACACATTTTCTTACATATGTTTTTATTCGTCGTAGATAATTTCAAGGTAGAAAAGTCAAGTTGTGGTTTAAAAAAAAAAACCTATTGCTTTTGTAGCATATGCGTAATTTTTGCAAATTATATCCTTTTCATTTTGATTGAATTTTATAAGAAAAGAAAATGGATTGCAATATTTCAAGTTGGATTGTACTCACGCGAGTAAATAATATTGATTTGTACGTATAGTCAAAACAAATTGGGTAATTAAAAAAGGTTGATATTGATTATAGTTTTGGAGACAGCGACAGGGAATTAAATTTGGGGTAGTTTCCACGTTGCAGGAGGGTGCAAGCAAATTCACACTTGGAATTGACTACGCTATCGTGACCGTAGTTGCAAATTACTTGATAACTTGATTTTAGTGCTGTTACTTGTTAAAGCAGGAGTGAGAGAGAAGGAGAGGAAGAAGAACCACAGGGCGATATTTCCTTACTATACTTGCTGATCTGTTACACAATGCTCCGTTGCAATATTAGTATACTTTTGAAACAGCAACAACAGTACAGTTTTGGTTTCCTACGTTATTGAAGAGACTGGTGCGCAATCGGGATATAATGCGCGTTTGAATGTTGCCAGATAAAAAATTACAGTTAATGCCCGCGTTAATCACGAATAGAACAATTAGCTTCTTCGTTTATCGATCGAACTCCTGAATTGAAAAAGTTTAATATCCGCGAAAGCTCGGCAGTAATCACGGCAATCCGCGTTTAACATGCCAATTCCAAGATTACGCTGACACTCTGCTTAATCGAAATCCGATCGGTAGCGTAGAGCCCTGCGAAAATGTCAATGGCTGTACGCGTCGAATAAATTATTCGGTAGCAGCGTAAACGATTCGCGACCATAGTTGGCGACAGAATTGAATGTACATTAAGTCATCGAACTCGACGCTACGAGTCATACACGTATAAGCAGCATATACGGGAGTTGCGGCGCGCTCACGGCAGTTCTCGTAAGCGCGCGCGATAATGAGCAGAAGCGGCGCGTATTAGTCGCTGCAAGCTCGCAAGCTCGCAACAGCAGCAGCAGCAGCAGCAGCAGCAGCAGCACTGACGAGCTGAGCGTCCAACTTCATTTATGACTCGCTCAACTTGATAATTCCGATTCCTCGTGGACTTGAACTCGTTAAATGAGTCCGCTCGATTGCTCTAACGAAGGAAAATCCGATGAGTCGAGGCTAGCGCTGGCATGTCTGCAGCTTGCAAAACTCGATTTCCGATACGCATTTTAAGTGCTGACGCTGCTGCTACTGCACGCGGCCGCGGCTCCTTACGCTCCACGAAGTCACCGAAGCTTCGCCGACGACGCGCTCGCACGTACAAAAGACGCATCGGAGAAAATAATACAACAGCCTGAGCAGATGAGTCGAATTGGTACTATTTGCTGCGACTCGAGATCGAGGCTCGCGCAAGCTCGAGCTTGTACTAGCAAAAGTTGAGAAAACTGCAGGCGAGAACGACGCAGGAGGGGGGGAGTAGCGGCGGCCAAATCATCGCTGGCGGCTCGAATTTGCGGTTTTCTGCGAATGCCCCGACTTTGCAGCTTCAACGAGGCCACGCGCTGACTCGCTCGCGCGATATTGTTCACTCGAGACGACTCTTTCAGCTCGAGCTTTTCCCTCGCTCGCATTCAGTCTTCGCATCTGCGTCTGTACTCCGTACGGACTAAGTATATCGCTCTGCGCGCGTACGCCGCTCGATGCATCGGATCTCCGTCGGAGCGGAAATAACTTGACATTATACCCAGGACTTTGGTGATGTTGCAGCGGCGCCGCGAGCCTCGTGCAATGCTCGCTCTCCGACTCGCTTCATATCGGCTTTATTCGCCTTCACGGCCGACATAACATAACGTAAACATGGCGTATTTTTAACTAATTATTCGGCCTCATCTCGACAGCTCGAACTATTACCATTCGAAGCTTGAGTCAAATCTCGTTCTCATTTCGACGGGGCATCGCTGCAAGCTAAATCGACTATCATTATTGCACCGTACAATTCGCAAATATGTATGGTTTATGCAAACAGTTACGTACAGACAGAGGATCGGCACGAAGGAGCACTTGCATGCAGTTGAGCCGAGTACGACTGTATATCTGACAATCGATGGCGAGCATCCGTCGAGCTGTCGGGACTAACTTTCTCGGCCATCAACTTGTCTGTTTGCCGCATTGCAACAGCCCCGAGAGATTGTCCCTTGACTTCGCCAATTTCCAACGATCGTGCATCTTGCGATTGCGACTTCTCGAATCTTACCTGTGCGTCGAGCGAGCCCATAATGCTTCGAGCAAGTGATCATTTGTTTTACTGTCCATCCTAATTTATCTCCGAATAGGCGCTCTTTACTCCGTGATTGTGAGCCACTTTTTCATGATGTCAAAAGAACATTAAACGACAGCTGAATCATCTCAAAGTACCGTTAGTGTTTAATCGCTAATTTATTCCAATTATCGATATAACGATGTATATTGGGTAAACCGCCTAGTTTCCAGTGCTCAAGGAAATTTTTTTTTCATTGCTTGGGCCTGTTAACTTATCGTCCTTTCATTTAATTAATTAATAATTAATTTTAATTTTACTTACGAGGAGATATAATGAAAATGTAGAAGAGTTTCAATTTTTCGACACAAACGATTTTTCTCACAGTTTTGATGAAATATCCCAGAGCGTGAAAAAGCTTTAGTTACTCAACTTGTCTAGCATTCAAGAGAATAAGATGCCGTTTTGAGCCTTTATTTAAAAATGTCCAGATAAATCGAAATAATTTTTAAAAAATTTTTCGATAGTTAAATGTGTTCATACCATACCCGATTGACAAAAAAATTCTACCCAAGCTTTGAAATTCCAATTAAACTACTTTTTACATAATACATAATATTGACTGGCCACACGATTCTGACATTTTTTATCAAAATTTATCTATGCAAAGCAGAATTTTGAAAAAAAATGTCTCCACTTCCAAGAGCTTAAATATGACATTTAGCATTAATAAAATATATATTTTAAAAATTTGTCGTATTTTCCCGCGTACATTAAGCTATAGGACACACTTTTTCCAAATTCTGCTCTGCTCAGGTGGATTTTAAGAACCCATAGATCAATTTTGATAAAGAACGTCAGAATCGCGTGGCCAGTCAATATTATGTAATATGAAAAAAGTAGCTCAATTGAGATTTCAGAGCTTGGGTAGAATTTTTTTGTCAATCAGGTATGATATGAACACATTTTACTATCAAAAAAATTTTTTGTAATTATTTCGATTTATGAGGCCACTTTTAAATATGAGCTCAAAACGCCACTTGTCACCTCAAAGCTCTGTGCACTTTTTGATAAAAAGAAGAAAAAGTTATTAAGTTCAGAGTATGTATCCAAAAATTAAAAAAAGCCCGACAAGTATTTATTCTATATTAAAAGCGAGTATTGAACTAATAGCTCAAATCAGCGATACCTCCACATCGACTTCACGTCTACAATTATATAGCGTGATTTGAACCATGATGAAATGTTGAAACATATATTCGTAAATTTTGCTAGAAAGTAAATTTTCTAACAGAAAATTAAAATTCGACCAACTCAAGCTTCTCTCGGATGCGAGTCGATACTTTATTGGCTGTTTTTTCGGTTTCTTTGGGAATCTCGTGCATGGACAACCGCTCATAAGAAATATTTTAGCCAAGTTCTCAATTTTCTCAACGTTTTCAAAACCCTCCTCGTGCATTCAATATCATATATTGCTGTGGGTAGACGCCGAGAACGATAAAGTGAATAATAACGATCGATATGGGCCAGTGAGTTTATAATTCTTGCGGATAAGCCGAGCGCTTACGTGCCAAGAGAGCCAAGTATTCGGGTTACCTTCTATGCGTTACACTACATGGTAATACTCTCCTGGATGCCGGTAGGCTGGACGCAGATATCCACTTCTTGCTCCACTTCTCGGTCGCGTGCCAACATTTTTTCTCTGTCTCCGATGCTCTGGCTCGCGCGCGATTGTCTCAGGACATGCCGAGCTCGTCACCTGTGACCTTGCAATTAAATTTGTCTAGATCAAGGTTCAACCCTAGGAAAATATGAAAAAACAAGTTTTATTCATTTGAAGATGACTGCTGTTTTTTTGTTATAATTTAGTCAGACAAATTAACTGTCCGATCACTTTGAACTAATGAAATCTTAAGGGAAAATGAAGTTATCGACTAGTACTACCGTTAGCTCGTACAATATGCAGTTTATATTTTGCAGCTGATCCAGGGATGGTGCTCAGAGTCGAATTTCGAGACAACTTTGAGCTGGAGGATCAAGAAAAGTGCATTTACGACTTTTTGGAGGTACGCGACGGAAAGTACGGATACTCTAGGCTTATAGGGCGCTTCTGCAGGGCGTTCCCCTTTCCAGAAATCACCTCGAGTTCGAGGTATCTCTGGCTTCACTTTCGTAGCGATAACAGTATTCAAGGAGCTGGTTTCCGAGCGGTATGGAGCATGATACCAAGGCCCTCTGGTAAATAATGTCTTTGATGTCTTTTAATTCCAGTACGAAAATAAATATATATATATTTTAATGTAAAAAATTTCCAAGTAAAAACTCCCGAGTCCGAGGAATGCGTACTCAACGTAACGAATCAAATGGAGTACGAAATTAAGACGTCGGAAATCGCGGATCGAAAGAAAATCGCCGTTGAACAGGGAACGGAGCTGGATTGCATTTGGAACATAACCGTACCGGAAGGTTGGAAGGTAAATCGCATAAAATATTTGGCTTGGGCTTGGATAATTCCAATAGGTTTAATAAGCCGAGTCTGTACGTTTTCAGATTCAAATAACATTCCCTCAATTTCATCTGGATAAACCAAACGAGTGCGACATCAACTACGTGCAAGTGTACGACAAAGAGCCATCGATGATAAACAATCCATCGCTGATCAATAATTTTTGCGGCAGTATAGCCGATCTCGTGACGAGCAAAGGAAACGAAGCTTATCTTCGGTTTTTCGCCACCAAAGCTGCCATGAACAGCAGTTTTGAGGCTACCATGACTGCCATACGCGAAAAAGAAAACAAAGACAAAGGTAAATACTTTGACCGTTGATTCAGCCAACTCGATGCGCGATAGAAGGTACACATTCAATGCTTAAAATTTTGATGACTTTTAGCCTGCGCGGACGACGAGTTTGATTGTCAGGATGCTTGCATCGCGGATACTTTACGCTGCAACGGCCGACCCAATTGTCGTTACCGTTTTGACGAGGATGCCGATGTTTGCAGCGTGAGTCGTTTCAGTTAATTCTATACATTAGTTATATCCTCGTTAATAGTAATGATGATAATTGCTTTTTGACAAAACACATATTATTTACAAGTTACGTACTCTTACACTGATATGAAAAATTTCATTGCAATAAGAATTATTTTTACTTTAAATATGTCATAATGAATGAGTGTGACAATCGAAAACACCGGCATTATTTTAGAGTAAATTAGGAGCAATTAAATAAATCTTAGAACCAACGCCGATACTCCCAATCGTCACACTGATTCATTATGGCATATTTAAAGTAAAAATTTTTGTTGCAAACCCGAGTGAGTTTTTGGCAATGTGATTAAATTTTCTATCAGTGTATATTATGAGGGGGAGAAGCTTCGAAGCATAGTAAAGCGTACTCGGAATTTCATGAGCAAATTTTCGAGTGAAAAGCTGTACTTAGCTTCTCTTCAAAGTTCATCGCTACAAATTGGCGAACAATGTTTCAAGATCTTTATTGCTAGGAAAGAAAAAAGTTGCAGTGGAAAGGAAAAAATTAAGCGGTGAAAAATAAACGCGTTAAATCATTTGCTCGCGAGCAAGCATTACTCGTTCGCTCACTCGTAAATCATGAGTTCCGTACAGCCTCCTCTTTTTTGTATAATCCAGGCAAAAAGTTGACTCTTCACCGGGTGGTGTCGTCGCCACGAGATAAGACTTTTTTTCCCTCGTCGTTTGCGTTCTCAAGCACTCGGTCGACGTAGCCACAATAGCCTCCAAGAAAGCTCGCGCTCGACTGCCGCTTCATATGGTAAACTAATTCATGGCTCGACTCTGTGCAATGGAGTTTTTTTTCCACACGGAGCTCGCGGGGAAGCGCCTCACTCTCGACACGGTGGCTTTTATACGCTCTGCATTCCCGACGCTCACACGTTTAGCTGTACGTACTACGTACTACGTACTACGTACGCGGGGTATGTGCATATACTTGGCAAGATACCAGTAACGTACAAGAGGCACAGGAGCCCAGGCTTGCTCGTAACGAGCGGAAGGAGTATTAATCTAACGAGAAATAATGCTTTATCTGGCCGCTTCCACCTCTAGGCAGGCTTCGAGGGTGCATGTGCGCGCGAGCGGAGAATGTATGTACTCGCACGTGAAAACGCCCGTATTTATGGCGCGGCCCAACCGCTACGCCTTATGCATGTAAGCGGAGGCAGAGAAATGAGCAATGATAGGAGTCGCGAAAATAGTATGTTGTGATACTGCCGCCGCACGTGCACGTGACTGCATTTGCGTTTCTTAGCAGGCAAAGGCCGAGTCGCGTGGCAAGTGAGAACTCACCCAGCGTCTGTTCGACATTCTCGCTTCTCTCTCCTTACTTCTCAATTACGATGGATTATTACAATTTAAATTATACCTTAATTAGAGATAGCATACATTGATTAATTTCGCTTTTTATCCGTCCAGGGATTTACTATTTATTTTTCACAAAAACTTCAAAAAATATATTTTAAAAATAAATTCAAACTTGCATCGAATTTTCATGTACAAATATATTCTCGATATGTTTCGGTGTAGCTTATAATTATCAATTTTTTATTTTTTTGTTCTCCGCCGGTAATGGAAAGTCTTAACGAAGATTTAATTAGGTAGTTGGATTTAAGCTTGCAGCTTACGTCTCAGTTAATTTTGTTGTTGTTGCTGCTTCTCACCAGACTCCTTTGCAAGAGCTCAATTCCTGATTTATAGCGACATGCTGTGTTTTCAAGCTTTCAAGCTTGATGTTAGATTTTACGAGTTCATTGAATGATCACTTCTTGCCAGTAATTTGGAACTGTCACAGTTGAAATTTTACCCTAACTTCAGCAATTATTAGTATATTATATTTTAATAATTTTTTTTTATACTTTGTCGGTTAGGTGCTACCGCACCTTTTGATTACAATACAGAAACATGTATTTGTGGGCCCGAACTTTCCGGATCGATCCAGGATTATTCCATCTTAACTCGAACTTATTAAACAACGTAAATCAAAATTTCTTTAGCAGGTTTTTTGTCAATTGAACCAAATCTTATTTATACCACACTATAAACTTGAATTTTCTTTTGTCTAGCATAAATAAAAATGTACGAAAATCCATTTCAAAAACTAAAAATATAAACTTGAAAAAAATAATGTTTTAATTGTATTATTTTAGACAGAAAAAACTGGTTTCAACGTGAACTCGGAACACGTGATTATTATTCTTGTAGTCTTCTCGATACTAATGCTCGGATTATGCTGCACGTTTTGCTACAACTGCGTCAGAAAGCTTATTAAGGATCATAAAATCATAAAGGTGAGTTGGAAACATTACAATAAAATGTATATAAATGAAAATGATTCGCAGTTGAAATTGAGTTGGATGAAAACAATGAGAAGCGGAGCATTGTTTAAAAATAATTTTCTGGAGCCTGTACAGTATTATAAACAAACTAATGATTTGTTGCTGCGAGGATCATTGTAATATGGATTGGGTGCAATGTGCGCGGCGAAAGGAACGTTTAAATCATTGACACGTCAAGCGCCTTGGCTCGGCATTCACGCAGTGGGCACGTATAATGGAGCGTGAAAAGTCTGGCAAGAGCAAAAAATATAATACCCTGTATGCATCGCATGTACGCGTATAATATATGGCTGTTAATGTACGAGTTGAGTACATGCGCAGGAATGAAACACGCGATCGCACATAGACGCGATAAAAGTACAGCGAGAGGACTGCTTTGAACTCACGGTTATGGGAAAGGCCGCCGGCGTAGATGTGCGCCCGGACAGGCGCGGTCTCGCGGAATATATTTATGATGTGTCGTCCGCCGACAGTTGGCAGGTGTATCGTACGCAAAATATAGTACGCAGTTGGATGCTCGAGTCTCCACGGCACGCGCTCTGAATTTCAATAGAGCCGCGCTGCGTGCGGCAAACAGCCATCCATTTTCGCGCTACTCTCTGCACTTTTTAATCAGCCGAATGCTCGGTCCAATGCAATTAGTAGCGAATTCGGCGTCAGTTTTTGTCCAGTCCGATATTCGACTCGCTTTGCAGGCGAATCAGCCACTCGGCCTGTCAATTTACCAAAGCGAGTCCGTATTTTTTGCCATTACAGGAAACGATCAGGCAGTCGCGAGAGAACCGCTTGGACGAGTTGGGACGCAAGAGTACGCCTTGCTCGATGGTCGAGCCGTGCATGGAGGTGCACGGAGGCGAGCGGGCCCGCTCGAGCGAGACGCCGAGCCTCGACGGCCAAGCGGCCAATTCCAGGGACGGCCAGAGCCGAGCCTCGATGCCCCGCCAGCCGAGTCTCGGCCACTCGCTCGACCTCAGCGACATACATCAGAGCAACAACGTCAGCAATGCCACGCAGGAACGACGCACCAAGGTCGTAGGATCGCGCGAGACCCGCGACATGGAGTGCCAGACGCGCGAGAGCATCTTCGAGTCCGGCCTCGTTCTCAAGCCCATCGCCCATCCCGTCTTCACGACTTTTGGCTTTAACAACGTACGTAGACTAAAAATCCACAGCTCCTCTTAGCGGGCGGGCAGTTGAATAACGGACGATGTTCGATACAGTCGGCCGAGCCGCAGCGGTCGTCGATGGAACGAGGAGGCGATTCCACGAGTCGCCGCGACAGTCCAGAGCCCCCCCGGGCCTACAAGCTCGCGTCGCGAGAGCCGAGCCCGGTCGCGGCCGTGCCGCCGCCGCCGCCTCCGCCGACGAGCTACCAGTGCCCGGTGTGCAACCCCCCGACGGAGCTCTGCTTCCGACACAGCCTGACGCCGATCGTGCCCGCCCCCCACGGCTGGTCGGCTCACGAATCCAACTACAGCTCGGACGAGCTGGCGTCGCTGCAACGAGCCGCCACCGGCGCCGCGAGCGAGTCGCCCGGACCGGCGAGCAACAGCAGTGGCAGCGAGTCCGCCACGGCCGGGCCCCCCTCGAGCGTCTTTGGCCTCGTCCGACAACGGACTCTTGGCTCTGGCGAGCACTACGGCTTCATCTATGGCCGCGACGGCTCCACGGCCGAGCGAGGCTCTCTCAGCACCAGCGCCTCCGGATCTCATAGGTCTGGCCTGGTCAAGCCCGTCAAGTGTCCCCAGGTGACGGACTCGCAGTTCAAAACCGAGGCCGTCATCGAGATTGACCAGCGTCAGCAGCGGCCCTTTAGCATTGAGAGCACTAAAAGCGCCCCCGATGTTATAGCTACTCACTGACGCAGGCCCATTGGACAGTGGAATTCTGATTTTACGTAAGCTACTGCACTATTCTCTTTGTTTGTTTGTTTTCAAGTTTGCTCTGAACTTTAAAATGACAAAAATGACCATGCCATTTCAAGTTTTTTAAGATCGAGATTTATGATAAACGTTTTCCATGTAGTATAAACCAACTTTGTGATATAATTTTATTCATTTACCCGCAGAGATTTTCACCAGTCCTACGTACCTTTGAATACTTGTCACCATGTGAAATCCAAAGTAGCATCCGAGCTGATAAGACGTTCTATGGTTTCCTGATCAAAAGTACTTTCCACGTTAGAAGGAGATTCCGTGGTTTCAAATGAAGCTTTTCCACATGATATGTATAGAATGACAACAACTGGAATGCCCTGTCCAAAACATCCTTCGACTCCTTGTAAATTACACGATTATAATCGTTGTAAACGTCATTCTTTTCTGTACCGTACTTGGCCACGAAAAGTGACTATTGGTGATTCGAGTATGCTGACTAGGAATTTTGGTACCCAGTGTAATCTTAATGACTACAGGGCTGTTGATGGTTCTTCAAATACTGTTACTTATGTGAGGCACAAAAAAAATGATTAAAATGCTTATTTTTATGTACTATATTACATCAATGTTACGGTATATTCGAATTTTTCATTTACATTAAACAATTAACAAGACCAATTTTAATAAATTTTTGATACCGATTTCATAGAAAATTTTGGCCGCAATAAAAAATGGATTACTTTTTGTTCGTTAAACAACATTAAGAATTATTTATTGATATTTTTAAATTGATCTATAGATTGTACATAGTTGACTATCATATTATAAATAAATTTTCATACCATTGCAGCCGTCAAACTGTTATACTACGAAAATATCAAAATTATATGTGAATTAAATTCATTTCTCATTTCCATTATTGTGTACGAATGATGCTTCGAGAAATCCAAAAAAATTAAATTTGATAAAATTGAATATTTTATAGATTTATAATTTTTATGAAACAGTAAAAATATTTATTATTGTTATATATTAAAGTTGAATATAAACCGTGAAGATTTTATGTGTATCATACTAAAAACTATTGAATAAGATAAATTGAAAACAAATTAAATAATAATGTAAGATTTTATTAATTAAAACATCTTGTAAATATTTTTGGTAAAGCAATAGCCATTTGTTAAATGTATAAAAATAAATTGAAATTCATAACAATGTGAAAGTATCATGTTGACATGTTTAAAGTGTAGTTTTTTATGTATACCATTGTAGTATATTCTCATTATAAATATATGTGTTGCATAGAAAAATTGAGTGTAAAATATATTTTGAAAGGTTTGTCATGTCCACGTATTATAGATAAATTTATATGAGAATCATCATCAGATACATTCATTATCATACAAAGTACATGAGGTAAATGAATATAACGTTTCCTTTAGTTCTCAGTGCGTACGCTGAAGTCCAATTATTTTGAAAATATTTTAAATAAATTGTTTAATTTAGTTTTAATATAAAAGTTTTGCCAGGAAAATTAAAACTTTAATATAAGTCGTGTAAAGTAATTTAACTTTTATACTCGTCAAATTGCTGTAATCTCAATTAGATTACTTGATTCAAAAACCATTATTCACTTCAATGACGAAATTAATCATGTTATTTTCTATACTTTACATAGTAATGATGCGTAGATGATCAGATCAAAATGATTCCCAACTAGAAACTACCGCTCAAATATAGATGTGATACATTTTTTGGGCTCATTTTTAACTATTACTCGAATAATAATATAGTACATAAGCTTATGAAAGTAAAATTAAAAAATTTAATTTTAAAGTATAGAAAAACATCAGAAATGATTATTTGAACATTTGCAAATAACGTCATTAAAATAAAAAGTTATTTGAAATTTGCCAATTTCAACATATTTTTTTGAAATCGTAAAAATTTTACGCAATAAAGGTTAATAGAAAAAATATTATTAAAAGCGTGTCAAGTTTTACAAGCGATGAATAATATTTCATTTTATTGAACATAGCTATTGATTTTTCAACGAAGCAATTTTAATACTGAGTTATTCAAGACGTGAATTAATTATATTAATCCAAGGGCTTTTGATATGATTGACACATAAACGATCCACTTTCTATCTTTATCAAAATTCTAGCAGTAACGATTAATTTTACTTTAGCCCTTGAATATTATATCAATGAAATTTTTCGATGTTGTAGTTTAGTTAGCTGTTTAGAACTAAAAGTATAAATGTGTCCGACGAAAAATTATTTTGTCTAGTATAATGCAAAATACTTTGATTCATTTAAAAAATTTAATTTTTATAGTCCTCATGATACCAATTAATCGCTGCGATCAAAATATCACAAATTCATTTATCGTAGAATATTTTTTATATCGTGCTCCGTCAATGATAGTTGGATTTACCTGTAACCAATATGAAAGTATTGCCTTTATTTATAATCAACAATTACCAAAAAATGAAAATTTTTTGTTAACGATCAATTCCTGTTAATTATTTGAAGGTGATTTTGGGCTAATAAAACAATTTAGTAGAGCGAAATTAAAATCTATGTTTTGGAAATTAGAACAGGATGTTGAACTTGCTTCATTAACTAAAACAATTTACCATAAAATTGGAGTCTTCGTTGATTCTCGGTGTCAATCATCTGAAAATGTCAAATTGATTTTCGACGAAGTAAGCAACATTTTTTATTAAAAATTTTAATCATAAATAATATTTAATAAATTTGCTTTTAGGCTACAAATCATCAAATGTTCAGTGAATTGTATTATTGGCTGTTTTTGGGATCAGATTTAAACGAAAGTTTGTCTTTAATTAATGATAATTCATTTGGTTTGTCTACTGATTTTGTTCTAGCTATATTCGAAGATAATAAGTCAACTTTGTATGACATTTATAACCCGTGTAAACAAAAAGGAGGAAAATTAAAATTGAAGCAATTTGGAAACTGGGATAAAAGTCATGGATTAAATATAAAATTTGAATTAAATAAAGTACAAAGGTGGAATTTGGATGGAATAAAACTTAAAATGAGTGGAACCGTAAATTATTTTTACTAAGTATATAATTTTTATGTTCTGTACAATGGAACATTTTAATTTCTTGTTTTAGATAAAAAATAGACCACCCAACATGCCAGCATCTAATTATATGTACGATTTAAATTTTAAACAATTCGATCGAATGACAAGGCTAGGGTATATAATGTGGATGCATTTAGCTGATAAATTTAATTTTACGTGAGCTAAATATTATGTAAAATCATTTCATCAACGACATGTCGCATACATCGTTAAAAAATAAGAAATCATTTATCATACTGAAAGATTATTTCAATTTTTAGAATCGAATTTTATGAAAATACCATTGGGAATGATGATGATTCAGATGGTTCGGTTATGAACACATTGTTTAAAGGTAATATAGATGCCACTGGCACAGCAGATAGAATGAGTGTAGAGAGAATTGGTCGCGTAAGAGCAGTTTATGCTGTTTTTCCGTTTCGGTATGTAAAATTAATTTTCTATGCTTCAACACATTTTGAATAAATAAATTTAAACTATGGTTGGCACATTTCAGAACCTGTTTCATCTTCAGGAGTACTTCATCCGATTTGTTGAGCATCAGAGATATTTTTTTACCTTTTTCGTCGACAGTTTGGTATTTAACTCTTGGAATTATTATCCTATCAATCAATGCCTTGGCTTTTTTATCAATTTTCTCTAATCGAAACTTTTATGAAAATTATTTGCAATCAATCATAATTCATGTTGGTGCTTTTTGCCAACAAGGTAAAATGCAATTAATATCCAAAAATAATAATTATAATTTTTAATTTTTTGGATTGAATTTATTACATAGGAACCGAGTTTTCGTCGAATAGTTTATCTGGAAGGATTGCTATTCTTCATATTTTATTGTTCAACTTGCTACTATATAATTATTACTTAGCAAGTGCTGTTTCAAATCGCTTAAGCGAGCCATTAGTCATGATAAATGATTCTTTACATTCCTTGAAAAAAAAAAATTTTCAATACGCTTCCCAACCAATACCGCATTTTGACAACTTTATACAAGTAAGTATCGGTACATTTAACTTTTACACGAATACATATTAATCTAAAATATGAATATTTTAACAGAGTGATGATTGGGAAACTAAGTCATTTTACTCGAGTCGCTGGTCACACATTCCAATTTCACAAAGATTTATGCCTCCCGATGAAGGAATGGCAATGGTTTTAAAAGGAGGGTTTGCATATCATACAGAACCAGAAATAAGTTATCCTTATGTAAATCGTCATTTTGACGACAGAAAAATATGTGAACTACAAGAGGTGCATTTGGTTCGCCCCATACAATATGCTTTATTCGTGCACATAAACAGTTCCTTCTTAGAAATGTTCAAAGCAGGGTAATAATATTGTTATAGAAGCATACCGGAATTAGAATGAAAAATTTGCTTTAAGAAAAAATTGTCTACATAAGAGCATACGCACTTTTCACGAAATATATTAATTGTTTTTAAGATTTTAATACCGGTGCATACATAATTATTATTTTTAAGTAATCATCCTCAAAATAACTTATTGCATTACGGTATTTGTTGATTTTTTTTATATCACAGGTTTTTGCGATTAACAGAGGTAGGGATCAGGTATAAACAATTTCAACAATGGTCAGCTGATAAACCAAAATGTAGGTCAGATATTTTAACCGCAGACAGTATTACAATAAAAGAAGTAGCACCAGCAATAATATTTTTATTCATTAGTACCATTATTTCTGCAAGCATTCTCATATTAGAATTTATGTTTTCTTTTTATAATGCAAGGTAATATGCAAAATTATGTACTATTATTATCAAACTACTTTAACGTTGTACTATTATGATTTTTTCTTTTAGATCAATGAATTTTGTTACAAAATTTTTTTCAAGAGAAATTAAAATCAAAGATTCCGCTAAGTGTAGATAATAATGACTAAAATACATAATTAATTTACATGAGATATAAATATTCTTGCAAAACATGTAGTAAAACTGTTTCAAAAAATCGAGTGAATGTTAAACGTTTTTATTTACAACCTATTATCTCGACTTTTGATTATAATTTTTTAATAAAACTATGCTATATAGATTGTTAATGCATTCTTATGAGCGTTTAGGTAAATTTAAAATATATCGAACAAATTTTATGAATTTCTTTTTTTATCCTATGAATGAAGTACTTTTTAATTTTTTCGTGAATCAGTCTACACACTCATTTTCATACCAGTGGCCCAAAAGTGACTACTTCCCTGCCGTTGCACAAAGCGGGAAGAGCAATTTTCGGGCCACTGGGTATGAAAATGAGTGTGTAGACTGATTCACGAAAAAATTAAAAAGTACTTCTAGCATACAGACCTACGAAAAGAAAGTATTCATTATACTATTCTATTTTCAAGACGCAAAGATTTACTTAAAATCAATACTTCGAAATATCTAACATAATCATTTCAAAAAATCATTATGTCCCTCAACATTTACGAAAAAATAAAATATTTGAATGTATAAATCTGTGGTGGAAAGGGAGAACCGACCAACTCAATTTTTTCGAAATCGAGTTTATGACGTTAAACACCTACATTTAGTGTCAACTTTGATGTGCAAGTTTCTTAATGGAAGGAAATTGCGTCTATCGTTTGGTACAGCACATTGCAAAACCGACCAAGCCCCTTTCCACTAGTTAATTTTTTTCAGGTGGGTTATACAGCGACTTAGAAATTGAGCATGTGGACATGGGCGCAAGACGTTTCCCGGTCGAACCGACCAAGTCCACTTTTTTCGCTTTACATCTACTTTATCAATTTGATAGTTACATGAGCCAAAATATACATCATAGTAAGTTAAAATATCACGGGTGCAGAGTTATAGTTGTCCGCGTCTATCTACGCATTCATACGCAACTTCAAACACATTTTTCTCGAAAACACGAAAAATGGAGTTGGTCGGTTCTCCCTTTCTACCATAGAAATGTATCTTGAGTAAAATTGTATTTTTTTCAAATAAATAAAGTCAAGTGATTTTGAAAAAAAATTAATTAAAATTCTATTCAACAATCAGTAAATCAGATTATATAGATGATTGACTGTCGATAGTAATAAGAGTAAACAATCATAAATAAAGGTCACCGAATAAACTATATATCATTAGTGATTCTAATTTGTGTATTGTAATGTCAGCATACATATTTGAGTGAGGTTTTTAAAATATACACAATGCTAGTAAATAACCTTCAGTTTATTATTAATGAAATAATCATATAGCTGTTTCTCCAATTATTCTATGAACAGAAAATATTCAATATAATTATTTTTCGATATATGATTGTTCACAGTCGCAGTGTGGATTACGTACAAAAGTTTGTGTGTAGTGCAAAAGAGAATTTTTTAATTTTCTACTATGGTTTTTTTGTACTACAATTGTAAAATGATTTTCATTTATCAGATATTTAGAGTTTCAATGGCCTTGAAAGACAATACATTCATAGTTGATTACTTTGTTTATAAAAATTCACCTTTCGTCGTTGGATTTTCTTGTAATGATGCTTTAGGTTGTGAATGCACGATTTTCGTACATATTATTTCTTCACTGTAAATTATTTCATTTACTATTGGTAATTTGTTAGGTGACCGAGAGTTAGCGAAAAATTTAAGCGAGGCTGGAATTTATTCATCATTAGATACGTTATATTCAAATTACACCATTAAACCATTTCTATACACAGTATATTATAAACTAGGTGTTTTTTTGGATTTACGGTGCTATGATGCAATTGATACTCAATATATTTTAACGAAGGTAACGAATATTTATAAAAACTCACAATATTATTATCAAACTTCTAGTGTCCCTTTCTTAAAATTATTTTCACAGTCATCTTACGCTAGATTATATGGTGAGCAACATTATTGGCTTATTCTTGGTAAAGACTTGAATGAAAGTATCAAACTATTGAACGATACTGAATACAGCATTTCAACCGATTTAGTAGTGGCTATTGAAAATGGAAATGAATTTCAAATGTTCGACGCATTTAATCATTGCAAATATCGAGGAGGTGCCTTGAATATAACGTATTTTGGAAATTGGAACATCGATACTAGAATGAATGTTTCTTTGAAACAGGCCAAATTTAGAAGAAGATCAAATTATCATGGAATGATTTTAAGAATGGCAGGACTGGTAAGGGCTGTACATAAGTAATTATACGCGAGTAAAATTCAAATTCATAGTTCAATATAACTGTTTTCAATGAACGTAGGTGACTAATAGGCCAAAAGACGTATCTTTGGAAGACTATTTGCAAGATTATAGCACCAAACAGCAAGATAGTATGGCCAAATTTACCTACGCAATTTGGACGACAATGGCAGAACTGTTCAATTTCACGTAAGCTTTTTGTCAAAATTACATTTTAACGTGTTGATTACACAGAGTATAATGAAATTACTTATTTACTCAAAAGTATTGAAGCAAAAGAGTTGACAGTTTGGAAACCTACGAACAGAAATGGGCCAATTATAAAAATGTTGATTGAAAGAACTGCGGAGCTTGGAGGAAGTACAGGGATTCCTACTCCAGAGAGATTATCTGTCATTAATCCAATTCCGGTTTGGCCCTTGAGGTAAAATGATAACGTTTGGTATAATCAAAAAGAAAAACTAATCTAATACTCTCCTTTCAGGACATGTTTTATGTTTCGCACAACACAATCCAAACACATAAAAGTCAATCATTTTCTAAGACCTTTAGCTGCAGTCACTTGGTATTTAACGGTAGTTTTGATGATAACAGCCACTATCGTATTTGCATGGGTATTGGTGACTGAACAAATGAGCAACAAGTTCGAGCGATACTCAGCAGCATTTTTATTTACGATAGGCAGTGTTTGTCAGCAAGGTACACATAACATGTGAAAGCTGGTGTAAAATGAACGTAAACTTGATTTTTAATGATACCTCAGCCGAAACTAACCTTTTCATCACAGCGTGCGGGAAGTGCTATTTCCCGCACGCCACGCCGCGCGGGAAAATCTTAAAATCGACTTCCTGCACTCGATGATGAAAAAAACTATACGTAACTGAGGCCGTTGTCAATCTTACACTCGTGTCAATGCAACTCTCGCTACGCTCGGGCTGCAAACTGACACTCTTGCAAGATAAACAACCCCCCGTCTCAGTTACGTAATATACAATTAAAAATACCGCATGTGGGAAGTTCTATTTTATACGGCTGGCGATCTCAAAATCGACTTTCCGCACGCCAAGATGATGATATACACTACTCAACAAAATTATCGCAACAAAAAATGTTATCGAAATTTTGTCAATATTCAAATGCTTTTATCTTGGTCTATTTTCATCCAATCGGGACGAATTTTTACATTTCTTGGAAATTTTGTCTTCTTCAAATCCATATATATTATGTATGAGTTCGAGTCAATATCGAGTTACCAGTAGTGTTTGAGCGTAACACTAAAAGTTAATGAAAAAAATTGATTGTTTAAACGTGTCCATGGACTACAGTAATTTGTTTATCAAAATTTAACGTAAACAATCGCAAAATATTCTTTTCAACGAGTACTTTAAAAAAAAAATAGAGCTGGCTACGATTATTTTTGCGCCCTGTAGGTCGTTTTGCAGGTACCATTTAAAGTACGTAAAATCCCTCTTTTAGCTGAAATCAACACGGTTTTCTGAGCATTTTGCGTACACAAATCATACCTGCAAACGACCTACAGGGTGCAAAAATAATCGTAGAAAGCTCTATTTTTTTTAAATTACACGTTGAAAAGAGAACTTTGCGATGGCTTATGTTAGATTTTGATCAATTAATTACTGAACTAATGACTAAAATTTTTTATTTCAGTTCTCCCAGTTCTTCGATCCTTTGAGCGGATAACCCTGCAAAAAAGTTCTAAAAAAATTCCTACGTATTTTATGACTAAAATCAAAAAAATAATATTTTTTGCATTTTTTTCCGGAAATCGTTTTTTTTTGTGTCAGAAAATCGCAGATTAAAATCGTGCTTCCCTGAACTTGAATTTTTCGTTAAATATTTTCGATTACATTCTATTCTCTTATCCTTAACCTTTGCGATTTTCTAAGATTAAAACTAATGTCCTAAACAAAAATATTCGAAAAACGATTCGAATTTTTCAGAATTTTTAAAGATGACATGACACTTCAAAAAAGCGATTTTGAACAAAAAGATGAGTTTTTCAGTTTTTAAACTTGGAGCACTGCTTGAAAAAATGAGAAAAAAATGTTAGGTCAAGTGTTTTGATGTTAGAAAGAAGAAAAAATTTGTTCAAATTAGTACTATGTGTCGCTTGCCCTTAAAAACTTAAAAATCTGTTAAGAATATATTTTTTTGGCTCTGAAACGCCGAGTCCTATCGGAGAAAAATCTGAAAAAATTTAAGGTCATGTTTTTCAGTAATAACAATAAAAAAAAATATGCCAGTCATATTTTTCTAACCGTTTGACCGGAAACGAAACAATTCAATTCTTCAATGGTTTTCAAAAAGTTAGGCTGATCCGATGAATCTGTTAACGTATCTCCATGAATTTTTTCAGAATTTTAGCATTATTACGCTCTGATTCAAAAATTATGAAAATCGAACATTCACATAGATTCTAGGAGTATTTGTAACTTAAAAAATACTGATTTTGATCCAATATATTTCGATAGGTTCGGATCTTCAGATCACGGGCATATCAAGTCGCATAGCATTTTTGCAAACTATGCTTTTCAGCCTTCTCATTTACAATTATTATTCTGCAAGTGTAGTCTCGGCACGACTAAGCGAACCGTTGGAAAAAATTAATGATTCTCTTAACGAATTAGCAAAAACTAACTTAAAGTTTGGTGCTGAACCAAGCCTGTACTTTAATTTTTTTATAAAAGTAGGTAAAAATTCACTTGTCTTATAATTTAATTTTAAAAATAAAAAAACAATATTTTAGAGGTCCGATTGGGAGGCTCAGCAATTTTACTACAAACAGTGGGTCAAAGTGCCTGAAAATGAAAGGTTTATGGAGGCAATTGTAGGCATTAAACGAATATTGCAAGGAGATTTCGCTTATCATATCGATGTTAATGCAGCTTTTCCAGTAATTGAAAGATTGTTTGACAACCAGCAGATTTGTCAATTAACAATGGTTTATTTAGTTAGACCTACGGATTCTTCAATATTTATGGCTTCAAATGGTTCTTTCGTTGAATTAGTTAAAGTTGGGTAGGTAAATACCATTAATTTTCCGTAAAAAAAAATCAACCACGGATATACACATACGTTAATAAGAAATTCTAATTAAAATATCAAATTTTAGAATAGCCAAAATCAGAGAAATTGGTTTACGGACCAGGTTAGTAAAGAGATGGGCAGCAAGAGCACCAGAATGTCGAACAGATATTCTTGTCATTGACCCTGTAACTATTTATGAAGCAGCACCTGCATTTTTACTACTTATTTTTGGAATAATTTTTGGTGTTTTCTTATGTACTATTGAAAGAATAACCTACTGTAAAAAATACCATGATCATGGAGTCAAGAAGAAGCTTCATAAAATACTTTCACGTTTTTACGCAACAGAAAAAAAGAAATAAATTTCAAAACAATTTGAAATAGTATAATGCATCATTTCAGTAATTAATTCCATTAGAAGTTTTTTTTTCACCAATTATTTATTTATCGAGTGGTTTACCATCAATATATTAATTCTTGATTGCTGATGATTGATTACGCTCTCTTGTACTAAATATACATTTTTTGAATATTAAATTCATAGAATGCAAAGAAGAATAAATAACAACTTTTTTTCTTTTATTATAACATTCGACAAAAACTGTTCTAGTTAGTATAAAACTTGTCATATGCTTTAAAATATGTACTTTCGGAAAAAGTGTAAAATACAAATTTTATATCAACACAGAGCAAAATATATTTCAAACGGATTCCTGAGCTTTTCTATACTCGTACACGCTGCCTCGCTCGATAAAGGTTTTTGACGATTCCTTAGGTAACATAACTCGATTTGAGCTGTACCCATATCCACCACCTCCAGGAGTTTCCAGAAAAAAAATATCCTAGAAAGCAGAAATTATTCTATATTATTCATATAATAACCAAATTTTTCTAAGAAATTATTTTCATGAATGTTATTTTGTTACACTACATAGGAAATTCTTCAAAACTGCCCAGAGGTTTCGAATTTGAATGAGATATAGTTACTTTAAATTCATTAAATGTTTTTAAAATTATTATCACGCGAAAATAAGTTGTCAATAAATTGTTAGCAGTTTTTTTATATTAAAAGAGATAATCCACAGCAAATCTAAATGAGCTTGATTAAAAAGATAAATGATAAATGTAAGCTTACCCCAGCGACTACATTTACGGCTGCTTTCGAACTCAAGTTTATACATCGTTTGTCTTTTCGTATCAAAGTATTCTTGCCTCGTGCGCCAGGTTCCCCACCTTCAAGACCGCGAGGACTATGCACTCTTCTCTCAGTCAATACAGATAGAATCATAGAAGATCTATGATAAATCAAATATTGTAAAAAAATATCATATTTCAAAAAACTATTTAAATAATACACGATAAGTACTTAATTTTTATTACCTAAATAAAAATTCACGAATAACTCCATTACCACCATTAAAGGCTCCGCTTCCCCCACTATTTGGTCGCAGATGAAATTTTTTCAAAATCACAGGATATCGTACTTCTAAAATTTCTGGATCAGTAATTCTTGTGTTAGTCATATGAGTGTGTATCCCGCTTCTACCATCCCAAGAAGGACCCTATAATTATTATTATTTAATACCCTAATTTTAATAATTATTTATGCAGTTTATGTCGTGTGTCGACTTACTGCTCCTGCACCTCCGGCGACTGTTTCATAATACCCCCAATTTTCAGTACCAAGTGTGATATTATTCATGCAACCTTGTGATGCAGCACATGCTTGAAAAGCTGTGAGAATAACGTCAACAACTCGTTGAGACGTCAACACGTTACCTCCAACAACGGCAGCCGTATCCGATGGGTCCAATATCGATCCTTTAGGTATTATAACTTTCACTGGTTTTAAGCACCCCTACAAGATTTGAAATAAATGATTGAAAATGTTAAAATTTATAATAAAATTTATAAAATACATTTCAAAAGTTAGAATATTACTTGGTTGAGAGGTACGTCGCGTCCGACGATACTTCGAAGACAATAAATCAAAGCCGATAGAGTTATAGCTCTAGGAGCATTGCAATTTCCCCAAACTTCGTAACCAGTGCCCCTTTAAAAATATGCAGTTTTTCATAATACTTTAAATAAACAAAACTCGGAAAAATATTTTTACTTTTATACAAAGAATATCAGTTTGTTAACAATGCACAAACTTAAACTATATCGGTAAATCCGCCGACTTATTGTAACTTAAAATTTTTTTCAACTAAATCATGTTGAAGAACAGTCCTGTTAATATTGTATATAACTTTTTTTATCGAAAAGGGCACACTAAAAACTTAAATACAATCGATTTTATGGCAAAGACCCAATCTTAAAAAAATTAATCTCTCGAAAGAGGTGTTTCGGATCATGACCTGATTCTTTAGAAGAGGTAGGGTTTGCATCGTAGAATCAAATTTCGTGTGCGTACCCTATTTAGTAAATTACAGTAAAACTCCGATAATTCGAAATCTCAAATACAGGCTGTAATTTCGAATTAACGAGAATTTCGAATTAACGAAGTTTGAATCGATGAAGTAAACGAGAGGAATTGTAAAAATTTCGGATTATAGAAAAACACAGATAATAATTAAAATAAGTTATTTTAGGTTGAACGGAAAGCCTTTGTTGTTTTTATAAGAAAGGACTTTTTGCATAGCAAAAAATAAATCATCAGAAATTTTGTCATCACAGGACTCATTGAAATTTCTCTCTTCTTTAAACTTTTCGATTGCTCCACTGGGTGTAGGAATTATTTTACTGGTACTTTCTTATCCTTCTTCGTCATCATCATCAGATGATTCCTTATTTAATTTTCGTTTTTTTTTTAATATCAGCAACTGTTTCTTGCTCAGTTTTTTCTCCAATTAATGATACATCATCATCAACAGAAACATATTCTTCCCAATCATAATTTCTATCAACTTCTTTAACTATCTGTATAACTGGTTCAAATAAAATTGCGAAGCCAGCCTTTCCCAAACTTAACGTGCTTATTTAATATTGTTGTTATGCTCATGCACAATACGTACTTGCGTATGCATTGTAGTGTAATGTAAATAATTTTTCAGTCTTTCATTTCGAATTGTCGATGTAAATTTATATTACTTCTAAACCTTAAATGCAAAATTTCATTTCAAATTATCGAGAATTTCGAATTATCATAGTTTTACTGTATAAGATTTTATAGACAATCTCGAAAGTAGTAATTTTTTAAAAGTCATTACGAAATCTTAAATGCCTGAAACACCCCATTGGATATCGTATAATTTTTTTCATGTTTACGCCGTAGAATCAATTGTATTTTAGTTCTTAGTGTACTCACATAATAAAAAAAGTTATATACAATATTAACACGACTGTTTATCAACATGATTTAGTTGAATAATGGTAACGAGTGGGTCGATTTAGCCATATACATATATTTGGATTAGATTCCGAATTTTTTAAATAAACATGTAGACGAGGTCTAAGGATTTTCCTGAAATTTTGGTAAGTTATAGTACATTGAAAAATAGTTTCAAAACTGGGATTCTGGACTCCGATATCGCACGTAGCCTTCAGAATTCTTATGGACGTATTTTTACTATTTTTAATCTTTATGGAGCTGTTTTTTATTTAACATATCTGAAATAGATCTCATCCACTGGTTCATTTAAAAAATTCTGGATCTGACTCATATACAATTAACACATTGTAAAATTTATTTTTAAATGATCGTTTGTAAATTGGTTGAAAATAATTGAGTTCTGACCTGAAGTCGCAAACTGCTTGTCCTTTGTCAACATCGATGCTTAGTTTTAACATAATTTCAGTTCCATCGTCCATGAAGTCAGATGCAGTTATTGTGGGAAGTCCAAATTTATTGATGAGTTTATTACCTACCTCTTTCAACATATCTCTTACGGCTAATTCTGCATTGTCTTGAATGTGTTTCATGTACGCTTGTACAACATCCAAGCCGTAAGCCTGAACTAATTCATTTACTAATTGAGCACCCTTCGAAAACATATCAATATTTGTTATTAACTGCATTGATTATAGACAGTAATTACTAAAAAGACACAAATTACTTTCTGATTCGCAGCTATTTGAGCTTTGAGATCGCTAATGTTATCTGGTAAATTTCTTGTTCCAGAACTGCCAGGAATCTTTCCTGGTGCCATCAATTCTTCGGTTAATTCTTTTTCTCGAAATTTACCGTCACGAACAAGAATGAAACTTTTGAACGTTGCTCCTTCCTATTAAGCAATAAAATCATAATAATTTAATATTATAATACCATATGTAAAGTTTATAGAGTTAAACTAAATATTTGAGAACGAAATTTGAAAGATTCTTAATCAAATCATTTCTTTTTCATGTAACAATAATGTTATAACATACTTCAGCCAACATTTTGGAATGAGGAGGCATCGAGCCAGGTGTAATACCACCTATATCAGCATGGTGGCCTCTACTAGCCACGAAAAATACTGGTCTTTTCTCATCTCTATAAATTCAAGATGAAATAAATGTCAGTTTTTTCATTTAATGCAAAAAGGAAATTCGTAACGACCGAAATTTTCCAAGTCTAATTCAACTTACTGATAAAATACGGGTGTAATAACCGTAAGATCTGGTAAATGCGAACCTCCTGCTGAAGGATGGTTAGATAGTATTGAATCCCCAGGCACAAATTTGCCTTTACATGATTCTATTTGAAATTGTACCGTTTCTTGCATGGCTCCAAGATGTACAGGAATATGCGGAGCATTTGAAACCAATCCCCCGTCGGGTCCAAATACAGCACACGAAAAATCTAATCTTTCTTTTATGTTTGTTGATATCGATGTTCGCTGCAAAATTCTTTTATATGGAAAAATAAAAATTCAGTTCGGCGATGCAACTTTTCATAGTACATTATGACACGTGTACACTATACTTTTTTATAGCACTGTGCTAAGTTCACGTTTAGGCCCCCTTTGGCGAGATAAAAGGTACTCATAATAGCGCCGCGGTACAATAATGAGCAGCTGAAGTCACGGCAAAGCGTGCCTTAAATGTGAGCTTAAGCCACGTAGTGCTATAAAAAATCATTCGTTTTTAATTCCAAACTTACCTTCCCATTTGTTCGGCAATACTCATAAATCGATGAGAAAATATGCTTAGTTGTATTGCATCTAGATCTGTGGTAATTTTCAACTGCTGAACGTCGCCAATTGCTATTTTAATGTCACCTTTCGGAGTAATCAAAGCAGTACACCCAGGCTCAACTAATATCGTACTCAAACTGTCCATTATAATAGCTGGTCCAGTAATTGTGTGACCAGGATTTAAGGATTTCAATTCATATACATTTGTGTCCTGATATCCTCCTTCAAAGTACACTTTTGTAACCTGAAAATTTACATTAAAAATTTATGTATAAAAGTCATAGGGCACGAAATTGTTCTTGCTCTTTTGGAGGCAGTTGTAATTTAAATAGAAAACAAGTTCGAATTCATTGAATGAACTTACATTTTCCACTTTGGCCTTATCTTGATTTTTTGTTATGGGAATATCATCAGAAATTTCAGTTTTTCCAATTCCGCGTACTCTAATATCGCTGACTAGTATTTTTCTATCAGGCATAGTGAAACCAAATTCTTTTTTATACCTTTAAAAACATTTAAATATGAAATAATTTTGATCAATTTTATGACGTGTTTTTGATCCTTCTCAACTTATTTATGATTACCTGAGCAAAAATGAGGATGCAAAATCGCCATGTTTCAAACAGTTATGATTAGCAGTGACACTATTGTCAGCTGGGCACATTAATGAACAATCAGTTCCTTCATATCTCAAATGCAAAAAATATTCCATTTGTAATTGATTTTCCAAAAAACCTTGAGCTAAAAGTTTTTTTCTAGCCTTTTCTTCTAAAATATCCAATCTTTTATCCAAACGTTCGAATGACTCTGCAAATTTAAAAATTCATTTGAAATGAAATTTAATAAAAATGTTGTAAATCGTAGTACGGGAATACCTTGGTTGTAAACTTCTACGCTAGGCTCTTGTGCTTCTTCAACAACATCAGCTAATGCCATACCATAGGCTGACAAAATTCCCGCATATTTATGAATAAATACAGTTTTCATCCCAAGAGACCTTGCTATAGCACAGGCATGCTGTCCTCCAGCCCCACCAAAACAAGCCAGTACGTGGTGTGATGTATCATACCCTTTACCCTTTATATAAAAATAAGTAAAAAATGTGCTCTATGCAAAGTAGGCTATTCAAAGTATGCAAACAGTACCTGCGTTAAGGCTCGAATTGGTCGACACATAGTTTCATTAGCCACTCGTATAAAGCCCATAGCTATTTCCTCAATGCTCAATAGTTCATTTTTATTTTTTCCCTCTGCTTCATAAAAATCATTTACCTAAAATTTCAAGATTTACAGTAAATATAAATATTGCTGTGAGTATTTTTATCTTCAAATTCAAAATTAAATAAGCACACCTCTTTCGCCAATTTACAAAAAGCTTGATATGTGATATCTTTATCTAGAGGTTGATTTTCATTTGGTCCAAAAATTTTTGGAAAATATTCTGGTAATAATCGACCTAAAAGCAAGTTGGCATCAGTTACGGCCAGCGGTCCTCCTTTCATGTAACACGCTGGACCTGGATGAGCTCCAGCACTTTCTGGTCCTACTTGAAATAAACCGGATCGGAAAAAGAGCATAGATCCCCCACCCGCTGCAACGGTGTTTATATCTAGCTATTTTGACAATACACAAAGCGAAACTTTTCTGATCTTTTTAAATTTCCTCACAGAATTTAATTTTTTCAAATTATTAATAATTTTTCTATGTTAAATACGAATAGCAAACCTGGGGGGCTTGAATTGTCACTCCTGCAGTTGTGCTTTCGAAAACATGTTCATAATTTCCACCGTAACGGCTCACATCTGTAGAAGTACCGCCCATATCAAAACCAATTACAGGTAAATTAGTTTCTTTTTGATAAGCAGTCATGGCATAGCCTACAACACCACCAGCTGGTCCAGACAAAATAGCTCGAGACCCATTGAATCTGTTTCTCGTAAGTATTTTCAATAATGAAGATTAAAATTTTTGTCATAGTCATTTCGGAAATAGTTATTTAAGCAATAGTACAGCAAAAGTTCGTTTTTCGCAGTCAGTATAATGCTTCGAAAGTAACAGATCCCGGTGCTGTGGCTACAGCGTACGGAAAAACGAACTTTCCACAGCTGTATCAAAAAATAGTACACTCAACTCGTGCGGAGTAGGTGTTCCAACTCCGCACTCGTTGCGTAATCTGCTATTTGAACACTGGTGTGCGGTAAAATTTCTGGTATTCCGTGAAATATCAAGCTTGTTATTTTGTAAATGTTGTATGCAACACGTGTCCAGCTTTTTCCGCACAGTGTGTGCAAAACAAGCCACTCGTGACGGCACTCGTGTCTCTTACATTTTTCCATGCCAGCGTAGTCGACACTCATGTCTTATTTGACGCATCGACTGACAACAGTCCTCTTGCATAGGTACGCTGTGCGCAATAGTACATTACGTCACTCGTGCGCGAAGTGGGTGATTCTCGCACGAGTGACGTATACTATTTTTTATCACGAGTTACGGGAAGTTTTTATTTCCCGCACGGCTGAGCGTGCGGGAAGTATGTAATTTCGAGAAGTATCGTTATTACAATACTGCTCGGGAATTACGTACTTCCCGCATGGCTGAGCGTGCGGGAAATCAAACTTCCCGCACGCTGTGATAAAAAATGCATTTTGATCACAATGGGCAGAAAAAAGACACGAGTGCCGATTACACCGACACGAGTGGGTTGATTTTCCGCACACTGTGTGCAAAAAGCTGGGCCCGAGCTGCATACAAAATTTTATGCAATAGTAAGCAAAAAATACTTTCATAAAAGTATGATATTACATACGAAAACGAGTCATTTTACTGTACCACGAACTAGTGCCCAAAAACGATTTTTGCGTACTGAAAAGGATGGGGAAAATGGGAGTTTTCGTAATAAAATAGGTTCGCATAAAGTATCATTAAAAAACCATAAAAACTTACGAATTCATTGGTGTAAGTCCACCGTCACTCTGCATAAATAATACATTAACACCTTCGAGGTTATTTTTGAAACCTTTGGAAAAGCCCTGAAAATTACATGATTTGAAGTGATTATTTATGAAAAAATATTTATGTATTCATTTAAAAGATGATTACTTTTAAATATTTTTTAATATGAGGAGTAAGATAGGCATCAGCAGCCGTTGTGAAACCTCTTGGAACAATTTTTGCCATTGGCATAATTTGATGGGAAAGTGAAATTTGTTCAAATCCAATTTCCTCGGCTATTTTTCCAACTTGAATTTCTTGCTCATTATAACTATAGCATATTAAATCGTAAAAAACATGAAATAAGCAATCATAGACGTATCAACTAGTAACATCTTACGTGTAACTGTGCATCAAAACCACAGATAAACTCTCGATACCCTTTTCTTTTAATCTATAAAGATCTTTTCTCAATTTAAGTTCATCCAAATCAGATATGATGTAAAGCTCTTCTCCAGTTGAGCCCTTCACTTTCTTCCAAGACATTTTGTCCATTTCACATTTATTATCCAATGAAGGTATAACTCTGATGTCAACTCCAACTACCTCAGAATATAAAACTTCAGGGGTCTGTATTTCCTGAATAAGGTAGTATAAATGTAAAATTAAAAAAATGTAATCGTACTACAGGAACACATTAAAAATGTATGTAAAATATCTTACAAGATCAAAAATATTTGGTCGAGCTTGATTACCAATGTACAAAAGATCTTCGAAGCCATTATTTATTAATAAAGCCATTTTAGCTCCTTTTCTTTCTAGTAAAGCATTTGTTGCGACAGTCGTGCCCATTCTTATCCATTCTATTAGAGAGGTATCAATTTTTCCTGTTATACGATTTCCAGTTTCCTGTAAAATGCATGAGTTTTACTCATTATTTCCTTAGCTTGTAAAATGGTACTAACTTGTTCTAAAATACGTCGAATTCCTTCTCTTGGAGCATCTTCATAGTTGGATGGATCTTCTGATAGCAATTTCATAACTCTTATTTTTCCATTCGGACATTTTGCATAAACGTCAGTAAAAGTACCACCGCGATCGATAGCAAAACAAAATCCATTGCGAGACATATTCAAATAGTGGACAAAAGTAAAAAATGTGAAAACTATTACAATCAAAGAAAATTAACAAAGATATTAAAGTTGAAAGTCCGACCTGTAAAGAAAAAAAAACAAAATTCAAATATTAAATCAGTTATTTATATCTTTTACGTAAAAAAAGTATACAATTTTAATAATGAGTTATAAAATCTTAATAATAATATTTCGATTTTTTATTTATTGAATTACGAGTTCAAAAAATAATTTTGAGATATTTTATTTTTTATCTGATTAACTCTTTTTTGGTTTGTCGTTACGGAATGATTATATTTGTAATGAGTAACAAAACATTAATAAATATTTATCTAAGTAGCTTGTTCAATGATTTTGAAAATTCATACATGATTAAAACCCAATCAGAATTCAACAATCTGTAACGGTCTTTACATTTTTTCATCATCAACAAGCAATAAAAAGTCATCCAGATAGATAAGCCGTAAAAAATCGAATTCCGTGTACGATCGTGATCAATTCAAGTTAATAAAAAATATTCAATATCGTACATTTTTTTAAACTAAATTATATTAGTGAACAAAAAAAAGACATTAAAAAATATTAAGCTGTGGGGAGGAAGGACATTTACACGTCTAAATTAACAATTCTTTTTCTCATATACTTGTTTAGCTTTATAAGAGTAAAAATAATTTTTTTAATTTTTGAGACCTAGTGACGTCTGCTACAAATGAAAAACTAACTAATAAAAATCAAAGCATACATAATAACTGTTCTGAGAAAATTATGAAAATAATGAAATAAAATATAGGTATTAAATGAGCATGAAAGCGCCCTCCAAATGAACTAGAATGAAAGAAATTAAAAGAAAGTAAAGAGATGGTGGCGCTTTTTCAAAAATTAAAATTTTTTTTTTCAGAAAATTGTTTATAACTCAAAAATATTTTGTCAATTAAATTAGTTGTACTTCATTCTAACATGTGCAGATTATGATTTTGAAATTTTGAAATTGAAAATTTTAGAATTGAATCATGCATATAAATTTGAAAGACGTTGTTTTAGACAAACAATTTCAGCAGATGACACATCGAAAAAAATTAAAATTAATTTTTCAAGTAGTTCAAAATCAATTCAGTATATATAAAAAAGTTTTATTATGGTATGTCTTTTTGCTTCATTGACAATGAACCTTGAAAAAAAATTTTATTTTTCACTTTATATCATTATATTATAATTCAAAATGTTGAATTATATTTAGCTTTAAATTGTCTTTTACCAAAAAAGTTTGAGCTATCAAATCAAATTTTTAATAATGATTTATAGATAATATGAAATCTTATATAAATTTCATCCTCATAAATGCGTAATAAAATATTTTATGATTTTGTGTAACAAAAAATAATAATAATTTTAACTTACCAACAATCGACTTTCTGCAACAAGCAGAAGCTTTTTATATGAACGTAGCAGCTATAACACGTTCAGCAATACAACTAGAATCGAGTTCTGTTTGATAAGCTTATTATATTCAAATGACAAGTTGCATCTAAAGAGCTGTAAGTGAGATAAAATTGTAAACATGCAAACACTCATATGATTAGTGATCAAGCTACGTTATACTGACTTTATTATTATTGCCCAATCACCTCTCAGAAATGGAAAACTACCTGTAATCGTTTTTACCGGCAATAATTTTTATTACAAATAACTGCAACTGTTTTTTTAGCATACGTTCACAGGAGGCTTCGGTAAATGAATATTATATAGTAGAAAAAAATTTATTTCTTCCAATTACACTTGCCGAATAATCAATCAAAATAAAGCTGCTGTGTGTTGTGAATAAGTCGGTGTACAGTTATGTTTACAATACATAAATAGAAATTGCGTCATTCATAATCAGTCACTTCATGCAAACATAAAATCCGTATAAGTATTCATTTTATCATCTGATAAAACACTTATTTTCTTCTTTATCGATACTAGTAAAAAAAAGTAGAGAGTCACATGAAAAATTCAAAAAAATTATATTTTAAAAACGAAGAAAAAATAGTATAAGAATTTTAATAGTTTTGAAACTTGAAAAATTTGTTTGGTGTAATAAGATCTCTTTCAAAAACCATTATGATAAATTTATTATTCCAAGAAGGAAAAAGGCACCATACCAAGTAACAATTTAATAACATCCCTCATTTACAATATTACCTCAACTTTCATGCCATTAAATTTACATAAAATTACTTTATTATTTATACATTATTCAGACAATACGAAAATATCGCTGATTGTTGATTTAATCATAGTTTTTTCGTAAAATGGCTTTGCTTTGTCAGACTATTAAAAAAATATAGATTAATTGTAAAAAGTATATTACATCAATTATAAACGAATTTTTTCCTCAAGTATATCTCTATATACATCTTCAGTTACTCTTTTATATTTTCCTGTTTTTTCTAAAATATACACTGGGTCCTTGATCTGAAAATAACAAAAACAGACATAAATATGTTGGTTCCACTTGGTGAACAGTATTTTTTTTTATTACAAATTGTAGAAAAAAAACCTTATGAATGTTGATTCCTTCGTCTTGTAAATCTTTTTTCTTTAGTTTGAAAGTTCCTGAAAAATTATTAAAGTAATTGTAGTTGTTATTATTGTCAGTATAAGCGGTTAGAAAAGATATCACTATTAAACTCTCTTGAAATATTTTGAAGATATCATACATTTAAAAGTTTCCGGTGAAACTAAGAAAAAAAATTAAGTGAAACTCATGCTCATTATCATTTTTATTTGTGCTTCTTGGAAGCTTTCTCATAGGTGTGAAATTGAAGTGCGTATGCGTGAGTTTATTCATTACATTATTTTTGAGAGTAAGCTCACTGCCGTTAATTAAAATTCCGAAATAGTACTTTACGCCCAGCTACGAGTTACCCTCGCTGCGCTCGGGACCTAAACTACGCCATGCCAAAAAGTGTTACTTATGACACGAGTATTCGTACGACATTTTATAGTACTGGGCTGAGTACTGAGGAGGGCTGAGTACTGGCCCCCTTTTTTAGTGCATAAGTCACACTTTTTGGTACCACGAAGTGAGGTGAGCACGAGCGTATGCGAGTGTCATGCGAACGACGCGCTGCCTTAAAGTGCGACTTATGCTACAGAAAAGCCTCCCATAAATGTGAACTTATGCCACGCAGTGCTATACAATTTTTTTTAATTTTCATTCAAGACGGTGCCACAACCTCGTTTGTACCGTCCAAGTCCTGAGAATTTTTTTTGGGAACAATTTTTGAAAAACGACGTTGTGGAACTCTCTGTATTTTTACTATAAAAATGAATAAAAATGAAATGAGTAGATCGGAAAAAACAAACAGGATTATATTTTATAATATAGAGAGATAATCGACATCAGATTGGGAAAAACGAATAAGAACTAGAAATGAGAAAATTGGGAGAGCAAACGGGAACGGGAAACGGGAAACATTTCGGAAAAATGGCCTGCGGGCCATTCGAGAAAAAAAACCATTCAGAAAAATGGCCTTGCAGGAATACGAATACTGCCATTCGGGAAAACGAATGGAATCGAATTTGGCAACAACATTTTTATAACACACTTTTTAATAAAAAATAATAGTTACTTTTTTTGTACAAATAAACGACAACAATATACTAATAATACACGTTTACCATGGGGATTGGCACTGTCACGATTACGCGCGGAACGAGGACGAAAAACGCGTACTGATCGCAGAGCAAAGAGCTTCGGATACAACTCGAGAGGCTAGAATTATTCGCCGACAATATTAAAAATATTCTCTAGAAATTGCAGGTGAAGCTGAGGGATTATTATATGGACCCGGAATCGAAGATCTGATGTCAGTAGTTATAATATACAATTTAAATCATTCAAATCACGATGCAAAAACTTAAAACGCGTTTTCCTCGAAACTTTGTTTTCTAGTGCGGTAGGCATGATTTCTCGAAAATGAGTCGACCGATTGAGCTGAAGTTTTGCACAGATCCTCTCAAGGGCACTGACTCGTGATTGATCGAAGGGATTTTCGATCGGTCGACTCGTTGTTATTTTAAATAAAATTTAGTGGTGAAAAATGGTCAAAATTTGAAAAATGCTTAAAAATCAGGACAAAAATGCATTTAAACTCGAGCCAATTCATCAAATTTCATTTTTTTTTCTTTTCCTTCGATCAATCATTAGCCAAGGGTATAACCTTTAAGAAATATGTCGAATTTTCGGTTTCAGATGATCCTGTCAGGAAATATCCTGCCTTCCGCAGGACAACAGTATGACCGAGGAAAACTGATAGAAAATTAACAATTTTCAATATTTTTATCTGAAAATTTTTTTACAGTTTTTCTAATGGATAAACTTTAATGTGTAAAAATTTCAAATTGATTGAACTTTTTGTTTTTAAAATATGATTATTCAAAAAAAAAAAAAAATGTCCATCACACAAAGCTATGTAACCCCTTAAGAAAAGTAGGACGTTTCAAGTGTTGAAATTGAAAATTATGATGTATACTTGACAATAAGTTTATAAAAATCTTGCATTTTTAGTAATTGTAAATCAGAATGCTACCTTGCAATAGATAAAATAAAAAGTTAAATAAAAGTAAAATATATAAAGTAATATTCATAAAGATGCAGATAAATCTTTTGTTAAATCTAAAGATTTTTATTGAACTTATTGTTAACTCATTGTGAAAAAATCAGCGAAAATCGTATGCATTCTTACCTGTCATGGGAAGACTAGCAAGGACTCTGACAAATAATGGTCTTGCGTATGTTGGTAAAGCTTTTTTTACACCATCGGCTAAATTTTGCAAATTAACACTTTCATCAGGATCATAAATGGCTGCCATACCAGCCTTACCTTCATTTCCAGGTACCTATATTGTTAAGAGTTAGCTTATGTACTAAAGAAAGGATATACCGACAAAATTAAATATAATACCTCAACACCATAAACAACTGCATCTTTTAAGCCTATTACATTGCTAATAACAGCTTCTACTTCTGAAGTAGCTACGTTTTCTCCTCTCCATCTAAAACATAAAATTTGCTTATATTTAAATAAACTAGTTTCATAAAAATATTGAGATATCATGAGCGATTGAAGCTTGAAAATTGAAAATGATATGAAATTTTCACACATTCAAGTATAAATCAAAATCTTTCAAATGGTCAAAAAATTAATTTATATAAACGATCAAAATGTTTATATTGTATGTTGCCCTCGGGCCCTAAATCCCGCCATGACCAGAAGTGTTATTTATGGCTCCTGTATCATAAAATACTATGTGGTACTTATAAAGTATGTTATTAACTACGTTTAAAAATTTTTATGAACAAAAATACCGAATTATTTATTAGTTATATGCATTCGAAGATACTCATAAAAAAAGACATCTCCACGGGTGGCAAAGTTACGCATTCAAGTCAGAAACCAAAGAATCAAAGTTTATTATAAAATAGAAGACATTTGCTGGATCTGACTTCAATCAGTAATAAAAGTTAAACATTAACAAAATGACTTACCAAAATAAATGTTTGCACTTTTTTTGTTTCTAAAAAGTGCTTCAACAATAAAAATAATTATTGTAAATTTATAATTTTAGTCAAAAATCAAGCAAATTTAATTATCGTTGAAATAAAAAAAAATTCATATAGTAGTTTTTGAGATATCTTGCCACTCGTCTCAGAAAACGTGGTTTCGAGAAATACGCGTTTAAAGTTATAGTGAGCGAATTTTTAAATGCAAAATTCCATTTTTGCGTATAAAGACGACTTAGGTTTTTTGACTACAACTTAGAAAAAGAAAATGAATCCGGCAAAACGGATTTCAAGATCATATTCTACGAAATATTTGTCAACTTTTTTAGCAAAAAAATTCAATTTTATAGTCGTGCTCGATGAAAACCTCTCCTTAAGCATTCAAAATTTAAATTTAGTAAAAAATTTGACCATGAAAAGATATTTTCCAAACATTTTTCAATTAGAATGGTAAATAGTAAATTTAGCATTGTTTTAAAACGTTTTGATTGATTTATTTGATTATTTGATTTTTGTTATTACTCGATACGGCCCAGATTGAGACATGGTAATAGCTGGTAATAACTAGTAGTTGTATATTAAATTCACTTTTTCTGAGAGTTGATCAAAAATTTTTATTTTCGATCACTTTGCACGATAAATACAGGTATACGTTTGACTCCTTTATCGAGAGGCTGCGCGTTACCTCCATCTTTAACATACCTTGCAATTAAAACTGAGTTTTTAAAGGTTCAGTTTAGAAAAAACTTAATCTCTTGGTTCGCTTGTACCAACTTAAATTCACAAAATCTAATCGTTACCTGAATGTATCACCCGTTCTGTCTTTGAAATAAAAATATCCATATTCATCCATCACTAGTATATCTCCTGTAATATTTATCACCATGCAATAATTGTATACATTTTACAGTTCAGTTCTCTTCAATTCAATATTTAGAATATTAGTTTACCTGAATTAAAAACTTTATCGCCTTTTTTAAAAACATCACGAATGATTTTTTTTTCCGAGGCCTTTTTATCGATGTAGCCACTAAAATCGTTCACAGCTTTTTTGGGGTTAATTTTGCCAACGAAAACGCCTGGCTCACCTGGTTCGCAGATAATGCATAAACCATCAGGGCCTCGAATCGGCTCCCCTGTTACTTCGTTGACTTTAAGAAGAGCTACAGGATATAAGGATCCTGCATAACGTGGCACAAAGCCAACTGCGCCAATCATATTATCGATGTTTACTGCAAATAAATAATTTGATACATGTACTTTCTTTTAAGACTGAATAAAAATAGTTCTCTACTTCAATTTCAGACCATAAAGTATTCAAAAAATTGAATAGGCAACTTTTTTTATGTCAAATAGCGCCTGAGGCAGTTTGGGCAACCGTGTATTACTATAGCTGATACTTTGCCTACTTTTCCGGAAACGCACATATTTCGATGATATATTCATAAGCTAGATCGAATTTGTGACTGATGTCTGTACATATACTATGTGTGTGTGTGTGTGTGTGTGTGTGTGTGTGTGTGTGTGTGTGTGTGTGTGTTTTTCAACGATAAAGGATATCTATTTACTAATTCAATATGCGATATTGCGACGTCGCACTGATGCTTGTGTGCTGATGTTAAGTGGACTGATGTGTGCCACTCCTAATACCGACTAAAACCTATCATATTTTCTCCTGTCCCTGTTTTTTCCCCGCGGGACCACTGCTAGGCATTACTTCACAGGAGAGGCCATCGCTTTGTACGAGCTCATCCAGATTTTACTAGACTTCATGTTCCATCTTCTTCGTACTCATCTTCTTCTGGCTCTCTCTTCGCTTCTCAGTTGCGTTCAGCAACAAGCATAAAAAATAGGGGAGGGCAGACCGGGCACGAGTAACTCGCATCATTCTTGGCATGCCACAGATATGACTCGAAGCAACCGTGACCAGAAAGATGTTAGGTGAGGTGATAGTTCACTTCTCCATGTCTCCTTTCGATCCACGGATCTGCCATTTCTTCAGAGTTCTGTCATGTTGCTCCCTCGCGGCATCTTCGCGACGACGCTCGTAGAGTCTCGAGCGCTCGTCGACGAGAAGGGCCAGCGGAGGAGTGCTGGCGAGAATATACACGGCTTCGTGAAAAATACTGCGAATGAACCTGAAGTTTTCTTCCTCGAACTTCGACAAAAAGTTCCAAAAAATTGTTTTTTTTATTTAAATTTTATAATCGTAATCTACTGTCATATTTGTTTACAATTAAACCTCCAAACTAAATATGACAGTAGATCAAAATTTTTATATAAAATTTAAATAAAAAAACAATTCTTCGGAACTTTTTTTTTCCAATGTATTAGTAGCGGATTTTTCTTTAAAGTCGATAAAAAAAAAATTAAATTTGACAATTTTCGAGTTATTATTTTATTAGTATGAAAGGGAAGAATGTTAACTATTCAAAACTTTTTCCAGAATTTAAACCCATTCATTAAGTTAAAAGATATTAATGATGACCCAAATGAAAGAAATTGCATGGATTCCTACGTAGATTATCCACGCAGATTCCGTATGGAAAGTGCGTTCAAAAGGGATGAGAACGTGGAATTAAGTTTTCCGAAAAATCTTCCGAAAGATTTTTACAAAAATGATCCAAGCAGAAATGATTCCGCATGGAATCAACGCACTTTCCTCACGAAATTCGCGAGGATAATCCACATAGAAATCCACGCAATTTTTTTTAACTGGGGAAACGTAGCAAAAATTGATACGTTTGCAATAAGTATAAAATGCTTTCTAAATCGAAAACGAAGCCTCCACCGAAGGAAACCGCAAGAATAACTTTACATGTAGAATTGATGAAGGAACTCTATAGTAGTTTTAAATTTAAAAAAAATCGTTTTTTGATTGTTTATAACGAAAATTTGGACCACTCAAATTTACCTTGGATATTCGATTTCAGGGGGTCAATATGCATGTAAAAAACTTTATTCCATCCAATTACGTCCATCGGCTACGAGAAGAACCGTCTGGGCCCCAGGTAATGATATAATTTTGTAAGTTTAATTTCTCTAATAATACAAGTTTTTTTACCTAGATTAGAGTTGCCTTCAGTAGCTCCGTAAAACTCGCCTATTTGTTTAACTTTGAATCTTTCTACAAATGGCTTCCATATTTGAGGTCTCAACCCGTTTCCATACATAAGCCTCACTTTGTGAGAATTGTCTGCCGGATTTAGAGGTACAGCAAGAAGATAACGGCATATTTCACCTATATATTGGGCCACCTAATAAAATATTATGTTTTATTTTCATATAAGTATTGGTAATTTCATAAGAGAAAAATTAAAAAACGATTTTATTTTGTAAATTTAGCAAAACTTGATTATAAAATATCTAATGTAAAATAAAATACTTTCTGAACATACCGTGCATTCGTACTTTAGGCAATCTGGCCAAAAATTGGAAGCACTAAAGCGTCTGCGAAGAACAACTGTAACTCCACGCAAAAGAGCCTGTCCAGCTCCCACTATACCACCAGCTGTATGGTAAAGTGGTAAAGAGTCATAAATACGATCGGATGATTGAAGACCCAACATGGAGTATACTCCGCATGTCATGAGCATATACCTGAGGTATCAATAGTACTTTAAGTAACAAGTATGGAAGTGAATGATGTTCGGTTAAATTTGTTTTTAGCTAGCAGTTCACTATAGATAAGCTTTCATTACTTATAGAATGAATCGGTCACATAGACACAGGATAAATTGTATAAGTGAATACCTTAAATTATTGATAACAGCCGCTTTAGGCATTCCCGTAGTTCCAGATGTGTAAATGTAAATGAGTTTATCTCTCGGACGACTAAGAGCCATATCGGCATAAAGTGGTTGTGGTTCAAATTTATTCAAGCCACAACTGAGATCAGCCGCTCCTTCCAATAGTCTTGTATCGATATGTTCCGACCATTGATATAAGGTCAACTCTGGAATTCTGTTTTTGATTTCTGCAATGGCTGCAAAATAATTCCACATTAAAATTTCCATGTACATTGTTTTCTTAGTTGATAAATATTTCGATAATTGCAAGTAATACAGAATCATCGAATAACTATTTAGATACCAGAAGTATATCGACTACCTTATAAAACAAGTGTTACAACATTTTTAAACACGAATTTTGGTAAAAATAAAAAGTAGTTTTAAAGCACAAAAATGTTAATTCTATACACTTTCATATTATTTTAATCAAAATATTTCCATTCTGACTCGGTAGTTGAATATATTCCATAGGTTGTAGGATGAAAGAGCTTTTTATTCAAGTATTTGTTCAATAATTCATGTACACTGATTCGACTTCAATTTCAAAATGGCGCGAAAACGTAAACACAGCGAAGTAGGGGTCCCCCATGCGTACAAGTTACGCATCAATAATAATAATAGTATACAGACTAGCATATCCAATCCCCGATTTCGCTGTGTTTACGTTTTCTCGACAATTCAGAATTACAGTCGACTCGGTGAATGTTTGAAAAAAATAGAAGAGAGATCATATTTTTCCACTCATATAGAACTTTCTCAATTTGATTTTTTTTATGGACAATTTTATTAAAAAACTGTTGAAAAATAAACGTACCTTCAGCGTATTCGCCACTGAAAATGATGGCTTTACAATCAGCAACATTTATACTATGAACAAGCACGTCACCTCGCAAGTTTATGTTTACGAGTGCAGTTACAAAGCCAGCCTTACTCAAACCTAGCCAAGTGCCGACATACTCTACTCTGTTTTCCATTATTAGAGCAACACTATCACCTTTTGCAAGGGTTTGTGATTGAAAGTACCGTCCGATTCGATTACTGAATTCGTCTAGCTAATATTTACATTATTAAAAATGTCTCCATTGTTTATTTATTATTATGATTATTATTATTATTATTATTATTTAAATATAATTATTATTATTGATATACTTTTTGATTTTAGTAAATGTAGTAAATAGCTGATTTAATGATTTTACCTCTCGGTACGTCCATTTTTTATCTTCAAAAATATATGCAATTTTTTCCGGGTGAGATTGGACTAGTTTAGAAAAGATTCTTGCCACTGTCAAATTTCTTGTTTCCCACCACCACAGAAGAGTATTAACTTTTAAAAATCGAAAGGCTCCTCTGAAACAGAAATTTTAATTTTAATTTATGCAAGCTTTAATTTTGTGCCATCTAAAATTGAATTGGACTTCAGACAGATTGGTATTTCGAATTTATAAATGGTCATAAAAATCAATATAGTTGAAACTTTTTTCATGATATTCAAATACAGGCGAGCCTCGTTTTACGCGGTAGGTGCGTGCAGCAAAACGCCGCGTGAAAAAAACACGTAAAAAAATACCTTATCCTTATGGAGATCAGGGGGATGCGTACAAGAAAAATCGAGAGAATCTTGAAAAACTGTCATTGTGACATTATTTGTTGTTTTTTTTTAAGAAAAAAAGTCAGTGACTTGAGACTGTTTAGCACTCCATATTGAATCTTTGAACAATTTGAAACTGTAGGTTCATAAAGTGATCAAACTGCGTATAATTTAGGAAATAACCTTGTAAAATTGAAACCGTGTAAAACGTGTAAACCGTGTAAACTGTGTAAAACAATATCCAAAATAAAAAATCTTATCTAATCTCCAAAAACCCCAACTATATTACTTTTATAATAATAATTTTGGAACATATATTAATTCTCAGTGCTGTTTTTGAAAAATAAATGGGTAATTAACGTCATAAATTGAATATTTTTTCAATATCAAATTTTTCATATAGTATTTTTGAATATTCAATAATATACTCATAAGCTATAATCCCTTTTATTTTGATACTTATGATAGTTAGGGTGGTCTACTTTTTCAAAAATTTTTTGTATCTCGGGAAATTCATCGGAATCTGAAAGTTTGAGGTTTAAAACGAAGTTTCCTTCAAATTAGAATTGAAACAAATGATTTTAGACGGTGCCTAATGGATTTTTGAAGTTTACAAACGTGGTCCTAAAAAGGAGCAAAATCGGTCGACCATACATTATATTTCAAACTCTGTTCTGAGAGTAAAAATAATCTTAACAATACATTTTTTTACGCATTTTTGTCTGGAAAATCGAATGCCGTAGTCAGTTTTGACCTTGGAGTACGATTTCATTGAAAAAAATACACTTTTTTGATGTTTTTTTTTGGCAAATTTCGCAAAGTTCATTTTCGAGCGTGCGGCAAATGAAGAGAAAAAATCTAGAAAATATTTTGACACTACAAAAATTTAGGATTTTGTATGAAAAATCCAACGGTATCTATTATTATACACTTAAAAATTATTTTAATGCAGAAAAATATGACTTTATCCTAAGAAACGACATTAAAAAATTGAAAAATCGAAAAATATATTCGTTTCTTCAAGAAAATGGCTGACAAGGAGACCTTCTCACCTTCAGGTCATGGATTTGACCTAAACTTTTTCTGGTGATTCAGGACCGTTAGAAAATATGCCCTGTTATGTTAGGTTGTGTGAATATGCCCTAGAAGTGTTAGATAATAAATAAACGTTAAAATAATAAAAATAAGCATATGAAGCGCAATAAATATTCATTTACTATCCTCACACTATTTTGGTTACTCCTTTTAGACACCTGGTTCTTGAAAACATTACATTTCATTGTTAAGAAGTTGTTCGATCTCACTCGTGACCCAAAACATTGCAATATTGTTGAATTATGACATTGTGAAGCGTTTAATTTCAATACTTATGGCCTTAAACGCTTCAAATAATTATTATTTTAATACAAGCACTGGAGATCCGACAAGTTCCTATCAAAACACTTTTCACTGACTAATTTAACACTTTAAATACCTACTCAGAGTTGAATTTTATCAATGATTTGATAAGGTAAATAATATTTGCACATAAAACCACTATCTGCCATGATCTCAGGCCATGCCTTTGGGCAATATTGCAATTTTTTGGGTCACGAGTGACATCCAACAACTTCTTAAAAATGAAATGTAACGTTTTCAAGATCCAGGTATCTAAAATAAGTAACCAAAATAGTTTAAGGATAGGAAATGAATATTTATTGCGCTTAATATGCTTAATTTTATTATTTTAACGTTTATTTATTATCTAACACTTCTAGGGCATATTCACACAACCTAACATAACAGGGCATGTTTCCTAACTGTCCTGAATCACCAGAAAAAGTTTGGGCCAAATCCATGACCCGAAGGTGAGAAGGTCTCCTTGTGAGTATAATCACTTATGAAAAAAATTGCGTTCAACTATCTGATAGGTTTTTTTCACTTTTCCAACACCGTTTTTAGATTTTAATAATTCGCAAGTTTTGCTAAGATACAGCTTTTTTGTACGATGCACTTTTCTAGCTTTAAATTCTGCTTCGCTGGTTTTTTAATGAATAGAGCTAGCTCAGAATTATTGAATTTTAATTTTTTTCATGATCAGAGAACATGTCTCTAGTACCTATAATAATTCAAATTAATCCAGTGCGCACCCAAAACTGACTTATTATTCCAAAGACCTGTGCCGCATGAGTGTGAATGGAATCTTTGACCAATCTTAATCCGAAAGGTTTGAACATTTTTGGCATAACATTTTCCTCCCCTTAAGTGGTGCAGATTTTTGATAGTTTATTTATTCAATCTATCAGTCTCAAAAAGTAGTAATGAGCGTTGAAAAAAAACCATTTAAAATTTTTTTTTGTACTTCAGTATGAGAAAAAAATTCCTAGCTTTTTCTTGAAATTCTGTCTTTGATGTAAAGATGATTTTATGCAATAATATGACGAAAATAGTACATTATGATACAGTGGCATAAGCAGCAGATTATGGCACGACAGAGTAAAGCGCCCGAGCGCAGCGAGGGTGCTTCTGCTGTGCTCATAATGTGCTACTTATGACACGTGTACAATATACTTTTTATAGCACTGAGCTAAGTTCACATTTACGCCCCCTTTTCCGAGTTACAAGTCGTACATTACGCGAAGTGAGGTTAGCGCACGAGCGCAGCGAGTGTGATAAGCGCGATGCGGTGCCAGAATTTGCGACTTATACCACCGAAAAGCGTGCCTTAAATGTGAACTTCAGACACGCAGTGCTATAAATAACTATTACATCAAAAATAAAAAAATAAATTTTAATACATCATTTTCATGTTTTTTAATTCATAGGATAATACAAAATTTAACACAGGTGTGTCCCCTTAAGTTAAAACTTAAAATAATTAATAGGTGTAAATTAATGCATCAATCAAGTTTCAACAAATTCTTGAAATTATCCATGTTTTTTGCTTCATTTTGAATGCAAAAAACCACTCTGGACCCCTAGTAACAATGAAATTAAACCGTTTATTAAGGGGGGGTTATAGTTAATTTTTAGTTATTTTTGCTTATTTTTGAGATTAATTTTTTGAAATCTAGTAATGAAAATGTAGTAATATCGATTTGTACACTAAAAAGCATCACTTCAAGAGTACTCAGCTAAATTTTTGTTGAAAAATATTGAAAAATGAGCCTGGGGCATCGGTTTGAAGAAAACACGTCGAAAAATGCGGTGTACACGATAACTCCTCGCAGAATTATCAGAAACAAGCCTAATGACATTTTTTTATTAGTTTAGAGGAGTCTGAAGGTACTGACGTCGAGTTTTTTAAAATATTTTCATTTTTGAAAATTTGGCGTGATTTTGAAGTTGAAAAAATGGGAAAAAATCGAAAAAGTGCACTTTTTTTTTCGGAAAATTGTTGAAAACAATGAAAATTTTCGCCAAAATGAAAATATCTCGACGTCACTACCTAGTAAAATAGTTAATAAATAACGGTGTAAAATTTCAAAAAGATCGGTCAATAAGTTTTTGAGATATGATGTACACCGTCTTTGAAAATGCTATTGTTCAGGAAACGCGTTTAAAGATTTTGAGGTCCAGTCCTTCTTCCTTATTGCACGTGCGTTAAAATTGCAATATCTTGGTTAATTTTGCTCCGATTGGCTTAAAATTTTAACTGAATACTCTTGAATCTATATAGAATCGAATAAGACATTAAAAAAAGTATCGAAAATTTTTGCGAAAAATACTATACCCCCCCCTTAAGGACAGGAGAGCTNTAAAAAAAAAAAAAAAAAAGAGACAAATTTTTGAGCCTTTTTTTTTCAGCTTTCATAATTATTATTGAATTGCCATCTTTGTTACGAATCACGAGGGAGGGGTTCGAAAATCAGAAATTACTTTTAACCGAATGGTGGAAGCGTCCGATTCTATTGTTTTATAATCCTAATGGTTAAATAAGAATCCAATATTTCAGTTTCTAAAAAATTATAATCATCATGAAATTAAGAGTTCACATACAAAAACCTACATAATAATTTTAGTCAATTTCCACACTAGATTTATCGTAAAATCATACTGAATTGAAGATTTTTGAATTTAGTTCATTCACGGTTAGGATAAATGAATATTCAATCATATATAGGTTTTCATATGTGAACTCTTAGTTTCATGATGATTATAATATTTAAAAAACTGAAATATTGGATTCTTATTTAACCATTAGGATTATAAAACAATAGAATCGAACGCTTCACTTTCGATAAAAACTACTATTTGGCTAAAAGTAATTTCTGATTTTCGAACCCCCTCACAAATCAACCCTTATTATCTAAAATTATCGAAATAAAAAACACCTGCGGAGGTAGAGCAGCTAACTTTCATCATAATTCATCACCATTGGTTAAAATCAATAAAAAAAGTCAGTACTGCCTTAGGCCAAAGAAGGTTCAACGAAAATCGAGGTTGATACACAAAATGTTCACTGGGACTTTTTGTTTCCGCAATCAAGGCAGGTACACTATTTTTTGTAAGCTGTGGCCCGAAAGTGAATTTTTCTTCGATTTACTGCAAGTATATATTTGGTTCTGAAAACTCGTTAGTCTTTGTATAAAAAACATTTTTACATCCTTGATGAAAATGTGATTTTTTTAAACAAAAATTAGATGTAACGATATTTAGTATTCTCCAAGTAAATTATAGGATTTAAGATTTGCAATTTATTGCAAGTGAAATTTATGTACATCGCACGAGGAGGCGAGCCTTGCGATTACGTGTATCCGGCTAAATACATACGTAGCAGCAAGTTTTAACGAAAAAATTCGATAATATTAGGTAAAAACAGAAATCTAGAATTATTAAAGTAATGAGTTACGAAAATGAAATAATGATTTAAATTGGTATCATATTAAATATTGAAAGCTTATAATTTTTGAACCCGCATAATTTGTACGGTTCCACTTTATTCTCTTTTCTATCTTATACTTATATGCCAGAAATAATGATTTCATGCGCATGCTAGAATGCGTGTGTCAATTTGTTATATATAACAAAGAATATCTACTTGTTTGAGCACATTGAAAGAACAAGTTGTTACACGGGAATTGCACATAAGTAAATGTGTCACGATCAAATTTTTGTTACGTATTAACAAAACTAATGATGAAAATAAAAATTTAAAAACGATTCTTCAAATTCATCTAGTGATTTATATGTTATAAAATATATGGAGCTTTTTGAATATCCGTAGAAACAATATGATGTATACATTTTTATAAGCTAGGTTCGACGACCAGAGAAGTGATTCTGACGCGTGAATTTTGTAATCATACCGAGTACGACCTCGTCTAATTTCAGGGTCGTCTACGTACAGAAATTGTAACGATAGATTACGTGCATATGTATTTGCTATAAAGCCCCCACACACACGCACACACACATGTATATATAAATTTACCCAATTGCTTGAAAACTAGTCAATTGCGTAATATTTATTACTCATAATATGTCCAAGAGACATGTCAAATTATTAAACACGATTTTGCATTAAAAGCAGATAGTCTTGATAAAATAGAATGGATGTAAAACAAAATTTTTCAAGCTATCGATGAATCAAATCTCCACATGTACGGAAATATTTGTTGGATACTACAACTAGACCTTTTTTTATAAAAGGTTTATTTTTGGATTTATCAATATTCAATGTTCATTGAAAATTACCAGGGAAAAGTGGAAACTATTAAAAAATACAATCATAGATTAGAGCTTTTTTATGTTTGATAGGAAATAAACCAAAACCTTTGAAGTTATTAATAGAAAAGTAAAAAAAGATCATTCTATCGTGATTTTATTATCAAATTAAGAAAATTTGTTTAATACCGCAAGCTGAGAATCGTTTAAATAAAATTGCCGTGTTGTTTGCATTCTTCAATGTCAGCAAACAATTTTCGTAATACGCATAGTCGCGTTAACAATTAAGTTTTTGTACTACTTGATTTCTACATAAATTATATGAATTTGGAAACAAAACGTTAAATTCCAAGAAAGATATTTGATCGAATGATGATTTGCATTTTTACACATCGACGTTAAGAAAAGTGTCAGTTATGATTATAAGTGTTGTATTTATAAAGAGGATCAATTAAAAATAATGTCACTGCGTGATAATTTCATAATCTTATATCGAATGAACGATAAGGAATTTGGAACAAGTTCAATTACAAGCTTTTTTATAGTCTTATTTTTGGAGGTTTTTGGGGAAAAGTAAGTAAAAAAAGAAAAAAAGTTAACATCAAGTCGAGAATGTGAGTGCATTCACATGTTTGAGTGCATGCCCTCCGTCAACGCAATGATAATTATCGCATAAAGAAGTTGACGGTATAAAATCGGCTGGCCGAGAGTAGAAGTAAGTGCGATTCTAACCGACTAAAGAGTACGTAAGCTGGGCCTTCATTACTTCACACGACACTTACAAAATATCCCTGGGCAAGGTCTTGTACAAAATGAAAATGATCTTGCGTATTTTTTCCGAGAGTAACAGAGCTGTGACGAGGAGTAGCGCCGCGATGGAGGCCAGAATCGGTTGAAGTAGCGTCATCTCGCTCATGATGAATCGCACGCGTTCATACACTTAGACACTCGAGCGAGGTAACTCTGCTGTGGCCATCTAAGTCTCTCGTGGCTGCTGCGACTGAAAATTTCCAGCAACACTGCGGACGAGATAGCTGCCGGACGAGACAAAGCGAATGCTCCCCTCAAGCGCGACGCGCATTATTCTTTCGGAGCACTGGCAAGTATACGAACTGCGGCCGTGCTGCACTCGCTTCGATGATTGCTCGCTGGCATTTGTGGACCTTATATACCGTGGCAATTGTGCGCGACGGCAGTGGCGACTGAACCAATGCTTCAATGGACGGTGAAACATGTGGCTATTTATCGCGATATAGAAACGCTGGAGTACGACGTGATACCGCTATGCTCGCTAGCTTCGGGTCGAGTATCGTATGGGCGCGGAATACGACTGTCGCACGTCTCCGGTTCGAGTCTGTCTTATTCCGTTGACTCAATGCTACGGCAGCAAACCTTTGCAACGATTCCCGATGCAAGTTTATGCTTGATGCCTCTGACTAGTCGCTTCTCCGACACTGTTTTGTTTTACATCTCCATTAAGAAATATTACTGTGCGTGAACAATTTTTTCCTCCGCTTTAATGTCAACATCAATTTCTCCGAACTTATTTGTTCTTTTTATCAACTCTCAAACCAGAATTTGATTGTTTAGTAATCAAAATGATTGTAGATATTTAATTTTTACTTAAATAATTTTATATTTTTCAAGTACTCTTATTATACAAATTTACAATTTATAATATATCTTTTAACAATTTTTAGTTATAATTGTATAAATGCTATAATCAGTTGAACTTAAGCGCAACCATTTTGTTTTAACAATGAATTAATGTGTAATCAATTATGATAATAATCGTGCTCAATTACACTTACTTCTAATTATTTCAACGATCAATTATTTACATAAAAGTTATAATTCATACAATATTGTAAGAGTAATTGTTCAGTATAATTTATTTTTAAACTATACAACAACTTAAAATAAAAAGATTTTATTTTTATGAAAAAAATATAAATATATATTCTTGAAAAATCTTGAAAATATACTCATTTTCCAAAAAAGTATACATGTTACAAAACTTAATATAAAATATTAAACCATTTATAAACCTTTATAAACATCAATAGCAATAATATTATTTATGACTAATGACCTACATCACATTTGCTGCACAGCAACCAATAGAAGTTTCAAATAAAATGTCACGAATTGGAATTGTAGTGGCTGAAATAGAACTTTCACCCACGGGTCAAAAATACTTGATGATGATGGGAACTGCAAAAAAAAACAGATTAATTTTTGAATAATGATCTAAATTTTACTTAAGGAATAGGTCTTAATAGAAAGATAGCAACTAATTTTGTTTCAATTCAATCGAGGATCGGTATATTAAGGTATTACTATTAAAAATGTACTTCTGAATCATCTGATATGTATAAAATTCAATATATTAATCAACTGTCTCTACAAAGTCTATCTCGCGAACACAAGAAAATACCTCTTTCGAAAATGCAGTCTTAAAAATCTCCTATTCTTCAATTGCAGGGTGAAGAAATTGTATAAAAAAATTACGAACAAACAATCTGAAAAAATTTTTCTCTCCGCAATTTTTGGTAAGACTAATTATCGCTTAGCACGCATTTTGAAGTAATTTTTAAGATAATTATAATGTAATGTTTTTATTGATTTTAATAAATCAATTATAAATGGAGGTACGACATTTTTAAAATGCAAGTCACGGCATGTTCCTTGTTATAAATGCCATGCGTTTCCTAAGAGTGGATTAATCGAAAAATAATAAAATCCGTATCAAATGATTTTCAAATAAATTTACATTGTCGATCCAATAGATAATTTTATGCAGATAAGCGAACTGTATTTTTTTATTATCACATAGTAATATGATGCTTCTCTGCAGAGCAACGCAATGAAGAGCCGTTCCATCTCATATCAGCAAGAGGCCACTTCGGAGCTCAATGCAACACATTTTTTAGAAGAATTTTCTGGACGCATTATCGACAGATTTTCTAAACTGTATTACTATGTGTAATTGACTTCGAAGAGACGGTCATAATAATTTTTCAATATATAGTAAACATGTTATAAATCATAAATTACAAAAAAAAGACAAAAAATTTTTCAGGATAGCGTAAAAAACTGGCCTGGATAAACATAAAGAATTCGACCGGATTTGCTGCAAGAATTATCAGATTTTTTATCATTTCAGGCTTTTCAATCACTTTATCCATTGATATAATAAAATTAAATATTTTGTAATTGCTTCAGTTAAGTAAGAACATAACGTTTTCAAACGTCAAGAATTTAAAACTTATTAATGACTAAGTTCTTTATGAAGTACTATTAATTTTTTAATTTCCTCTACAAGAAATGTTTGTATTACATTTAAATAAATATGTCTCATTTCGTGAAAAAAATTGAAAATTCATGAAAGATATGAAAGAATTTTGGCTCGCGTTTTTACCCCATTATCGAATGAAAATTCCAATTGAACTTCATATAAAGTCACCTACCCAGTTAATGAAAGGTTTCAAAAAAGTTTGCTTAAATTTAGCTCAAATCGACGTTTTTAATAAATTAAAGACTATTATTCAGATGGATTATAATAGTAAATGTCTTTCTCTAATGAATAGAATTTTTGCAGAATTTTTACTTTTAACTTTCAAATAACATGTAAGGGAAATGATGCACTAATGAATGAAAGATTTTTACCAGTAAATGAAACCATTCTAATTAATGATAATATATTCGGAAAGTTGTTAAAAACTATTGAAATATTTAGTATTAATGCTCAATTATATTATAAAATTTGACTACTTATGAATTAGTTCAATATAATTAAATTATATTAATTTATAAATAAAGTTTCATTCACTGGTGCGTTTTCAATCACTGGGGAGGTGACTCTAATCTAAGAAAAAAATTATGCGATAAAAAAAAATTTTTTTATAAGAAATAAATTTTTAGTTTTCTTGTTGCACAAAATGTTGCTCTTTTAATGTGTTAGACAGATTTCATTTAGTGAACAGACGGCCAATTAACCATCAGTTTTAAATAGAATCATAAAAGATGTTTGTTAAAAAATCGAAATTTCAAAAAGACGAATTACTATAAAATTGTCTGAATTCTCTAGAATTTTCTTTAATATCAGGCTTATACAAGAGATTTAGAACCTAGACCTTCTGCAAATTTTTTTTTTGGACGCTAAAGGATGATCTGTAGTTATCGTTCATAACCTTTTAACGCCTTGTATACATTTAAAATTGTTTAACGCTTTGTATGCATTTAAAATTGTTTAACCTATTGAAGCCCAAGTGACGACATTTTTCGTTTATGATCGATGCAATTTTTTCCATGTTTTAGACCTTGAAAAGACTGTACGTATATAATTTTATGTAAAATTTAATGCCCTTTCAGAATCTAGGCTCAAATTTAAGATTCGATGCTTCGTTAAAAAGTTATAATTTTTTAAACAAAAATAAACGTAACAATTTTTGCGAACAATCAACTTTGAGAATTTTTTTCGAACTTTTGCAGTGAAAAACTCAAGATGTAAGTACGATCAGCGGTGATTATGGGTGTAGAAGTACCTTAGGGAATTTTCACAGATTATTGTAACCACTTTTTTTTAACACATTGGTGCCCATGGAGTAAAATGTTTATAAAAAACCATTGAATTTATGAAAAAATTATATAGAACAAAAAAGTTTTAGAATTAATCAAGGAACACTCTTCTTTCCATGTTGAAATTTGAGTTAAACGAGTTTTTTTCCTCGAAATTTCATGTTTTTTTTTTACAAAATTGTTAATAATTTTTAATTAATAACGTTTTCCAAAATTCTGACACCAGATTCGAAAATTACGAATAATTTCACGTAAGAAATGGCATCCTTAACTTTTTTTAAACAATTTTAAGTTGATGTAATACATCGCTGAAAAGGCTCAGAAATGGTCAATTCAAACGTTAAAGGGTTAAACATTTGCTTCCTTATAGAGGAAGCTTTGTGACGGACCGATTTTCGACTTAACTAATAATCGTAGAGTACTTTTACATATATTCTTAAACTAGACCGAATTGCTGATACATGTCTGTTTTTTTTTTATTAAAATGCAAAAAGCAAATAATTAAATAGTCAAAAAATAGGTGTGAATGTACCCTACTTTTAGAGGCCTCTAGAATCTGTTGGCCTCTGGAAAAAGGCCAACTTCAGACTTCTGAAAATTGTGTACAGATGGTCGTGAAAATTCTAAAAAATTTATACGTATTTTTTGACTGAATCTAAGATTTTTTAGTTTATTTTGCATTTTTTCACCTTAAGGGCTCTCTACACACACTCAATCGATAACAAATACGTAATTATTTTGTACCCATTTTTTTTTATTCTCTGGGCAACCATTAAACTTAAAATTTCGTGGGAATGATTATCAAACTTTTAAAAATGTGCCTATGTCGTCAGTTTTCAATTAAATGACCAGTACTTTCAAACAACTTGATTTCCTATTATCCCCCTTTTATACCCTAAAAAGCAACGTATTCTCCAACAATTATTTAAAATGATTTCATTAAACATTTTACTGAGATCTAACGACATAGGCACATTTTTATAAGTTTCATATTCCCTCTCACGAAATTTCAAGTTTAATGGTTGTCTAGAGAATAATAAAATGGGTTTTTTTGTTTTATTTGTCCCTAGCTGTATCGAGGAGCCTTAACTTGTTCTTTTTTAAGATAAAGAATAGTTACAGTTTTTTAATAAACAGACAATTATTTTTAAAATGATCCTGCTAGTACAATGGATCAAAAGACACATTTCAGGTTTTTTTCCGTTGAGGCCCCTAACGATTTTGGGGAACATCTAGATCTTGTGTATTCCGTTTGTATTTTTTTACCGAGGAAAGGTACTTGCACAGGGATGGCTATGTGAGATCCGGAATGCCGATGTTTTTAATCGTTTTGAGGGACTCTACACACTAAAAAAAAACTTTCTTTTTTTTTTATTCCGAGGGACTTTTTGAGGCTCATTTACAAAAATATTTAAAATTGTGTGTGAAAAATTCAACAAAATTCATGATTAAGCAAAGAATAAAGTATTTACTTAAAAAACAATGGTTGATAACGAATATGCGTTGACATATTAAGTCACCGAAAATTTACGGGCAACGAAAAAGTATTAGGTATTCAATGGTGATCTTTAAGTTTCGGAAAATATGATTCATTTCATACAGTGTAGTTACCTAAGCCGTTGCTCCTACTACAGAGATTGGCTACCTGACAACGAGGTAAAGCACCCAGATATCCAAAACTGAAAATTACATACACTCAAATACACCGGTGTTTGGACTTGAAGATACGTTTATTGAATGAATCAAAACAGGTAGGGAAGATGGTGCGAAAAAAAAGTTATACGATTCCGAATTTAAAGAATAAATTAATTACAATGCATAGCGAATATGTTGCATCAATTTTGAAAGGAATTATATAGTGATTGCTTATTTAATCGATTTACCATTAAGAGGTTAGATTAATCGTCACCATTGAAATTGATGATGAATCGAAATTGTTATAACATTGGTGGTAATAAAATACCTTATTCAATATTTGTGAAAAAATAATTGTAAGATACATCTCTTATTATTTATCTGTTATTACACATGAAAATGTAATATCCCATTTTTAAAGGAGTTAAAAATAATGCATGTTTGCTAGTGTTAATAGTGATATGAAATTGATAATGGTATATTGTTGAGCTCGCACCATCTTTCAATATATTTCTAAATGTGTCAATTCATTACTTACCTATAATACAAAGAATCGCTGTTATTGTAATAATTGCAATAATAATTCTTGTCCGCATGTGCTGCATCCATGCTCGGCGTTGGGCTCGTTTTGCAGCTTCGCGAAATTCGTCCCCAGCTGACGTTAGTCGATCACTAGCTAATTGTAAATCTTCTAGTCGATCTCCGCGTTCCATAACTCGTTGAACATTGTCTCTCATTACATCCGTAACTTCTTTGATTTGAATTCGAACACTATGATCGTATTATAAAAATAGCAATAAGTCATTTATTGATCGTGGTTACAACTTTGTATGTATTATTCTAAATATTTTCTCTCGTTCGACAAGGTGCTATTTTGGGATCTAAGTTAATGATAGAATTCGTTATGGCATCGTCAGTAAGCAAGTTTTTATCAACTGTTTTTATAATGTTTTGAGTCATTTGTAATTACGCGCTTCATTTCAACAAAAAAAGTTTATGATTATATCACAGTTAAAACACAACAAATTAATTAAGAATTCGACATTTTAATAATTAATCGATACCTTGTTAAAAATAATAGCATACGTCAAACATAAAAATATGAACGATATTTGCATGAATATTTTGTAATCAAAAAAATGTTTTCGTTTAGAAAATAAAGAATTGTTAAATATTTTCGAATTATTTTTCAATTTTATATTTCTAAGTGCAAAAATATTAAGAATGTTTCATCATTTCAAATAATTTACATCACTTTAGAAATTAAAAGTTTATTTATAAGCTTTAAATAAACTTACCTAGATATTTTACCATCGATGTGTAACTGTCCATCTGCAGAGGTTGGACGACTGAAAACGTTTATCTCAATTAATAGTGTGAAAATATCAAGGCAATTTTTCGAATGTGATAGATCTAGATCCCGCCAAAAGAAGCTTCTCAGTACCAACAAGTATTTTTCATATTATCTTCGAATTTAAAACAATTATTCCGATTAAAAGGAAAAGTATACTACAAAATAAAGGAAATATTTGAACTTACTCGAAAAGTGTGTCTTCTTCGGGTTCACTATCATTGTTCAACAGCATTTCCTGCAATACGTCACAAATGAGTATTATTCAACTTGTCAGAGATGAAAATGAACACAAACTTGAAGTACAGACAACATGCAAATACATACGTAAATCGATAGACCGGCTTTGGGTGTTATCAGAGCTGCTTGAATTATATACGCATATATTTTGTCAAAATACGATAATACTCACTTTCTCAGCATCGGCGGCACCCTGGAGATCTCCATTAGAGAGGTTACGTCCCGAGCGCGTCGCCATTTTTCACAGATCTGCGTTCGCGTTTGCATAAACAGATTAAATAAGTCTCGATTGACGACAAGCAGTGGCGAAGTCAACAAAAAATTCTTGCTGAACTAACGATGTGCAGAAGGCCACTACGGAGTTGGTCATTTCTATCGGTTTTTGCGTCTTCTTCGTTGACAATTCAGAGCTACCGCTATGGCTGTCGGTTCATTGGTTGCTGAGCGCCAACTAGTCCGGCCTGTTGATTCTAAAAGCGCGATATAAATATCAAGTGTGACGACGACGTGCTAAACACGTTACTTACTATAGCGCTCGTAAAGGCCTAACACTGAAGTAGCACCATTTGTTGCATGTTTGACGACGGTACGTATAGATGTTGCGATGATGAATTCATCAATTTACTGAGACAAGGTGTAAACATGACCTTGACTCTCTCGATTGCTATTCAATATTTATCAACTATCGGTAGGGCTACAATTCAATGTAAAGGTTTCGAGGTATGTTAAGTATTAATCATTTTTTTACTAGATACAAAACTTTGAGAATTCAAAATTATCTGCGTATATACTTTTGAAAATATTTCAATACTGAGTATTGTCGGTACGATCAAAAACCATCGCTTCGAACTTACCAGCATATGATTACGTAGATACTCAGAGATCTTACTGGTGTTTATTGGATTTACATGAGCCATTTTGAGAACAAAATGAAAAATAAAAAAATAATCGCACACGTGTACTGACCTGAATAATTTTTTTTTTATAATTTGAGAAAATATTGTTATTGAAACTTTGCAGAACTGCATATTATCGATTAGGTTTTTAACGTTAATTCATGCACTTAACTCTGAAACTATTGAAATTTTGTTTGTTAATTTCCACGACTTCAACTACCACAGTTCTGATGATTTTATTAAAATATACTTTTTATTTTAAAAATAATTATATTTTTACAACTTCTTGTGACATCGATCGGCGATCATTACTATACTAACATTGTATGGTTGTACAATAACTAAGATAATAAGTTTCTCAAAATTGGAAATAAGCGTATGCAAATGATACCCATATAATGTTAACTACGTTTGGTACTTTCCCTAGGCTTAGGTCGACCAATATCATTTTTTTTTAAATTTTACTACAAGCATTACACGAAATTTCTTGTATTTTGATGAACTTAATTTGTACAAACACAAACTCGCTATACTTGATATAAATTTGAATTTTTCCATACTAATGTATAAACAACATACAATAATGATATGAAAATACAACTTAAAACTTTGCGATTCGTACAAAATTTATCAAATAACAAAAGTTTAATCATAGAATAAATTCTAGAATTGTTTCAACAGTTCATTTCGGATTTGTAAATTGCATCAATATATGTGACAAATAGTCCATTTAAATTACTTCTATAATTATATAAATGTTTTTTCATTTCAATTTAAGATAATTAATCGTCTTTTCCTAAAGTTGTGAATACAATTTCTAGATTGTTTACTTATTTATCAAAAACAATTCTTAGAATAAATTTTTTGACACTATAATATATTATTTTTAATTGAATTATTCATCAGTTCCACAATGTTTTTTTAAACCATGTTAATATGTGAATTTATTGATTTTGGGTAAACAATCTGAAACCAAAAAATTGAGATGGAAATTACGTTCTTGATATTAGAAAGTCGGCTCAAAGAATTTGTATCGTATTTTTTTGAAACGTAAGTACCCAGAAATATTCTATACTAATGTTCCCAAAATTGAAGTATGCGAGCACTTATTATTTAGATCAATATTCACATTTCCTCGCTACAATTTATTCTTATGTCAACGGATACAATTTTATGAAATATTCTGATTGTTTTTGATGAATGCTTTTTGATGTCAAAAGAAATATAATATATTTCTTTTGTTAAAAAGTAGCGTATTTCATGAAAGCATTATCCGAAAAAAATATGCAAAATGTTCAGATTTTTTTTATTTATCGATGCGTGAGAGAGCAGAAAGACTACGAGAAACAGGGAAACAAGAAATAGAAACCACATGTAAATCATCAACGTAAGTGGATTATTCTAATAACAAAATTATTTTGTCACACCCCAATCAAAACTCTTAAAGTTTATAATTTTTTAAATATTATTGACAGCCAATTCTATATCGATAAATTCCTGATAAAAAAACGCAGATATGTGATGAGAATATACATCAGTAGATGCCAAGTATGAAGCACTTGATCATATGTTCGAAATGGGGGAAAAATAAAATTTTAAAATTGTCAAATATTGAGCAAAGGTATTTATTAAGTTTTTGGCGTGCATTCTAATAACACAAAATAATTGCATTACTTGCGAGAGATAGCAAAATTAAAACTCTCGATTGAATTTATGATTATAAATAAAAAATCGGCGATTTTATCTACAATTCTTCAAAAATTAATTATACTTACAAAATGTACACTTGAATAAGTTGAATCGACATTTATTAATTCCAAAAGTATGCAGTTTTTTAACTGTATTTCATAATCATGAAACATCACAAGCATCAATTTTTTAGTAGTATAAAAGTTCCTTTTATTATGAATGATGTATTTAGAGAAATTTCATCTATCTGAGCATACTTTTATATTCTAATAATTTTATTTTATTTTGATTTAGTACGTTATTTTGCTTGTTTGAAAAATTATAAACTTAGAGATATACATGGATTGATCAAGTTTTTGAAGTAATTGTTTAAGCGTATTGAAAGGCAGTTTTAGATTTATTATAAACTAATAGAATACTTTTAAATGAAAGTAATTTATTAATTTTATAAGACATGCAAATTCTCACAACTTTTGCTTTTACTATCCTTCATACACATCTTATTAAGTAATTCTCGAGCCAGATTCAGACTGAGAGCTGTTTTACTTCCTTGTAGCTTAGACGTGATCTTATTCTTGCTACCTTGTCGACGAAGTTTCCGATCTCTTGATTCGCGAAGTCGTATTTGCTTAAGAACTCCAACAAGAAGCTCATCGACGTTATGTTGAATACCACTTGATGTTTCGATAAACTTGCATTCACGAGATGCTGCCAATTGCTTACCTTCTGTGAAAATTTAAACTTATATTTATTAAATTAATGATATTACTGAGCTTTTGCTTGTAACACATCGTCATTGTTTTCACGTTAACAGAAAATAACACAATTTGATTAATATTTTTTCACTTGCCATTCGTAGAGATAGTACGACTTCTAGCTAAGTCTGATTTATTGCCAACCACAATGACAGTTTGTTCTTGAGTATAATGCTCTCGCCAAAGGTAATTTAACATTTCTTCAGCTACTTGAAAGCTTGGACGGGATACAATCGAATAAACCACAATACAAGCGTGTGGCTCGTACGTCGATAAAGAGTTTTCTAGCTGCAGAGAGTATTTTAAATTACTTTTAAGGCTGTTTTTCGCCACAATTTATTTAATGTGTAGCAATTATTCATAAATTAGCACGAACAAAATAAATCATTTCAAAGCTACTATTTTAAATTGTATTTTTAGAATAAATGTTTTAGTCGTTGAAATTACATTATTTTTTTTTCTTAATAAAAATAATTAAGATCCAACAAAACTTACACTCATTTCTATGTGAGGATGATCAATAAAGACCATTTCTGATTCTTCGCCGTCCAATAAAATAGAAACCGTTTTTTCGCCAAATTCGTCATCTGCAACGTAAAATAATTAAAGAGTAAAATTATTTTGTAGTACGACCTTATACGAGTAGATTTTTGAAAGACAACTGAACTCAAAATAAATATAACAATTTTTAAACACGTTTCTCTGACATTTCTGGAAATTTTTTTAAAAACCTAAGCATTTAGAGACAAGCAGGTGTCGACGTGACTTTATCAAATTTTTGTGCAGAAAACATATTGATAAATTTATAAATAATCCGAACTTAGTAATTATTTTCAAGAGAAATTTAGACAATGAAGTTTATTACATATTAAATAAGTTATGATTAGTATTTGAAACTCCATATAATCTTACCTAAACTAGCATCATAAGTATTCATATATTCGCTTGTCATGAATTGCGAAACAAGTGCTGTTTTACCTACACCAGAATCACCTAATAGTACAACTCTATGTTTTGTGACTTCCTCGACATCGCTATCCGTACTATCAACCTCGACTCCTTGGCCGCTACAGCAGCTGCCTTCAAAAGGAGACCGCTCACCTGATATGTTACTGTTCCTAAAATTATGAAAAACTAATTCAAACAATTCCATTGTCAATAGAATGGTAAAAAAGCCAAGATTAACAATGACGCAAATGACATTTTTCATAAATGTTAATAATAACTGCAAATGAAAAATATTATTTCTCACTTTAAGAGATTCTTAACTTATTGCGGAAAATAAAGTGATACAATATGCAACGGGCAAGAATTGTATGGCTGCGTGCAAAACTGATATATTCATTGCAAATTGGAAAATAATTTTCCATGAAAATTAAGCTTTACCCCTTAAAAAGTAAAATAAAAAATATTGTCTTGACCCAGGTATTTTTTTCATAATTTGGTTTTTACGTGGCAAGTCAAATCTAAACAGTTCAGTCGATTTCTTCTGCATTTAGCGGGTATTACATTAATTCCATGGTGATTATAAAGAAAATCCTTTTAAGAACTACTCATAAGATGTTTTTTGAAAGATTTGCATTACGAATTGAAAGAGTGATTTTTTAAGACACATTTAAAAAAGAATTTCCCCAGTACAGGATTTTGTCTTATATTTTACAAAAAGATAGTCTTCGCAAGCACTGGCAAATTAATAACTGTATTATAAACTAAACAAATTATACTTAAAAAAGAAATAAGAGATTTTTTGAAGAAAATACAAAAATACAAAATAGATAATGGAAATTTAAAAATAATTGATATAACTTTTTGTGACTGAATGATATATGATACAAATCCCCCAAAAATTTTATTCATAACATTTTCATAAAAAAATGTTTAAAAATTTCAAGACGTATTTTAATAACATATACAAGTTTCACGTTGTTATCGTGTTTTAAATTTAAGTAAACGAAAAGCGGAGTGACATTTTTAAATGTCTTACCACTTTAATTTACCAAAAATATGTTTAAATTAACAAATACTTCAATTCATTCTAAAAATTATTTTTTAATTACAAATTCATTACAATTATATGCATTGATTAATTTCATTATACTGCATGATTTATATATAGTAAAAAAGGTATAGTTTTGAAAGAATTAGTGCCGTAAAGTAATTACTTGTGAACAAAAATAAGGCCTTTACGCCAATTTTTGAACATTCGAGAAGTTAAATATAATGATGAAACCATAAGAATAATACTCAAACGAACATGTACATACTTGCTTGCGTCACATACCAGTAGGCTTAAAATACATCTCAAACGCTTTAACCGTTTGTTTATAAGACATTATATTTTGATCGATTTTAGTATTGTTCTACGTTTTAGAAATGTAAGTAGGAAACGAGGTCTTGTAGTTCATTTTTAACCATAAGCATAAATTTGCCATATCTATCGTTACCGAAGTTTCTCGTTAGTGTCTATGAGTCAGCTGTGAACAACTGTTTTTATAATAAACGCAGTGAATCATTTTGAGGCAAAAGCTTCACGATCATTGACTCTCGAGATGGAATGAGTCTAAAGCTTACGAGAATTTCGGAAACTATAGTTGGCTCATGGCCCACGTCCACGTTATATGTACGCATTTACTTTCTCACAGAGCTTGTCACTTCTCTCCCCTCTTAAAAGCTCTTTATTTCAACTATTAAACTGAGCTCGGCATCTCATCGAACCAAATAATACCGTCTGCTGATGAAAAATTCGCGCATTCTTCAAGCTTCATCGTAAGAGCAAGGTTGAACGAAAAAGTGCGTGTCTTTCACAATATTACTATAAAATCGCAAACAATTAGATTTCAGTGAAAATGGAATTGGCTAAAGGTACAGTAATCCAATTTATTGATTTTTTTGTTATTTACACAATTTTTTAAATTATTACAAAAATTCAGCGGCTGCAATTTTGATCAAACATTGTGAAAACAAATTTGAAGCAAATTATTCATTACTAAATATACTTTATTATTCATATTCTTTAAAATCATGCTTTTCAAACGTAAAGTCACTAGGTATGAAGATTTTAACGAAAAAAAACTCGAGTCAAGTTCCATAAGTATAGAATTCTTTTTTACATTTAGGGAATTTCTCAAATGCATTAAAAGAAAATAAAATGTAAGAATACTTTACAAGATATAGTTTTTTTATAAGATAATTTTTGCTTACAGTGGATTTAAATTTGAAGAGCTTGGTAGAACAAGCTGGAGAAAATGCAAATGTGACTTCTCTTTCACAGTCAGTTAAAACATCTAAATCAGTAAAGAGTGTAAAGTCAAAATCGGTCATTGAATCTGGTCAAACAATCAAATCCGTCACTTCATCGTCCACAAGATCTCAGCAATCTGTAGAAGTTGAAGAAAGTATAGAGTATGAAGAGTAATTTGAAAATGAATTTGATGATTTTTGACCTAAGTTAAATATTTTAGTGTTAAATATTTTAGTCTCGAAAGGTATAAAATTGTTTTCCTTGACGGTTCCTTGAAATTTTAATACAAGAAAAAAATTGCTTGCACAGTCTTTAAATTATCTAAAAAATTTACACTATGTTTGAATCATTCAATTTGTTTAAATTTGGCCTTCATCCAAACAATTTGAAACAAAACGTCAATAAGATTAGTGTACGACGTCTATTTAATCAAGGAAACGTGTTTAAAACATTCTAGAGAAATGGCTAATTCACATAAGCGGAGGCAAAGAAGTTTTTTTATTTCTCATAATTCAATGTTCTAATTTAAAATATGAGGAAATACTTTGACAATTGCATACATCGATCTATTTTTAGCGTAGTTAGCAGCTCTTGAACTTTATACAATGAGATTTCAAATGAGGTAAATGTACAAAACGTGTAAGTTTTGTTAAACAATAAATTTATAAAGAAATGTTTTTTGTAAATGATTATTGTTTAATAAATGATAAGACTTAAATATAATAAAAGTTATTTGTAATAGTTGTAAAAAAAATGTTTATAACATTAATAAAATATAAGAAATATTAAACTTGATTGATTTAATGCTTAACCGATAATATGCAAGAAACAAATTTATTAAAATGTTATTAATAATTTTTAAAAAAATTTACGTTGATAATTTTGAATTTATTTGAGATGATGCATACCACATACATGCTAACATGTGCTTCTTAACGTTTTTAAAATTAACTCGCTCTATTTTTGTGTAACTATCAATACTTATGTCAAAAAAAAGTAGTTCGTAAGTTTTGTAACAGTAAAAAGTATTTTTGCGCAATGATGTTTGACGAAAGATTCTTTCATGCAAAGAATTAAATAAATCAATAATTTTTAATTACAGAAAAAGTCAATTTATGAAAAGGATATTGATATAATCCTTGGCCACTAATATAAGATATTGCTCCATTCAAAATGAAAATCGCTTTTTCTTCTGAAAGTAATTGAAAGCCGATATACCGAACCAATTAGATGTGTTTAATGAAAAAATTTTTTTTCAACTCATGCAGTTTTGCTTTTTTCATACAGCGTATCATTTTTAATGTACTAATTTTTATAATGAAATTTTTTCCAAACTTAAATTTTCAGGAGTAAAATAACCGTCAACGACTTTGCTGAAGATGATTAATCTATATTTTTCCGGCTTGATAACGGTAACCCAAAAAATGAATCGATATGTACTATTTATAGCCATCCCAAAATGATCAAAACATGTAGAAATAATATAGATTCGTGATGAATTACTCTTATATAAACTTACTTTTCCCCAATGATTCATGGCTAATCAGTTTCCACTGTGAAAATCTTGTAGCCCAGATTAAATTCGTCTGGTCTTGAAAATAGTTTCATTGAGGATTATATAAAAATTTCACCACTTTCAAATTATTCACAATTTTAATATCAAAAATCTGAGTCTATGACGAAAGAACCTTTTGACTTTCAAGACTATTGTAGATGGGATGAGTTTGTAGTATGATATAGCCTTACTTAAAATAGCTAGAATAGTTGATTAGGCTCATGCTTTTCATAGGAGAAAAAACTTTGCAAAGAAAAAAATTATTTGCAATAAATTAAAAATTTAAATTAGAACGAAACGTGTCATAATTTTTTGAATGAGTGTTTTTTTTTCATAAATAAGAAAGAGAATTATATTAATTTTAATTCCGATTGATTCACTTTAAAACGATTAGTCTAATTTTTTAAATGCTCATATTGTACTGTTAGTAAATCGATTTACTTAAAATGATATGCTGAAGAAGTATCAATTAGGTGGCTTTGCACGAACATATAAGTAATGTTTTTTTCATGGCACGTTATTTTCGGTAATCTTAAGTATAAATATACTGATCGAGGGCAGTAATAATTTCGATCAATTTGCTGAGGTTGCAGCCGTAGCTATAGAAGTTCTGAAAAAGTGTTTATCACTATGTCTTTGTAATTCAAATGTTTTACGCTAGATATTACAATGAATGAGATACATTCGTGAAAAACTCATAGACCAGAAAAAACAAGAAAATATAAAAAAATTACACAGCAAGCGTAATAAAAAAATCGAAAACCCCATGTTTGACGACGTTTTCTGATGAAGAATCGGATGATGACCTTGAATTTGACCTTGAATTTGACCTTGAACTTAATCTAACAGTTACAGTGACTCAAAAATCGATTTTTCAAATGGGAACCTCCCACTTTTTTTGCAGATTTGAAAAGATTTTGTTTTTTTTTCTATGGTTATTTTGTGGGCACGAAAATAAACTCCTTGTTTGAGCTTAATTTTTGGTTAAATAGGGGTTTTATTTGAGTCTGTAGCACCCTTAAAATGACCTTGAAAAAGAAACTACGATCTTAACACATTTGAACGTAAAATTTTCCGCTCTTGTCAAATCTGCAATAATAGTCCACTCAATTTTTATTTTCCATCCTTCAGACCATACAGGTTTTACAGGCAGGTATAATGTTCAGATATTCGAATTGTGTTGGTTAGGAATTTGAATTTACAAAATTGTTTTCGGACCACACGCAAATCAATTTAAAAAATTTATAGTAATATATAAGTGTCCCCTCTGTGCGCAATGAATTTTCTGTTGGCCATTGGGTATTAAAAATGTAAACCACGTATAAAAGAACTATTTTTTCGGTGTATTATCAAGTCAATTTGTCCCTTCTATGCGTATCCTCTCCTTGCGTATTTTTTTTAAATATGCATGAAAAGCCTCAATTAAAATAGAGAGAAAAATTCTTCTAGCATTACCGCCTATTTTTTGACATCACTTTTATGTTAAATTAAGTTGCTAATATTATGTAAGTATTGCGGTAAAACTCTTTATTTTCTGATTTGATGATCAGAAAAATGTCAGTTATCTCATTTTCCATATATGACGTATTCCACGCTCGACCAGACAGCGCGCTCGAGTGGGCCATTTTTTAATGTATCGCAACTTTTCTAACTCACTGTGACTGGCGCAATTTAGTCTGAACAAATATTGCACTTATGCATTCCGATAGATTTTTGTCTGTTTTTTCCAATGGTGGTATCAGTTTTTCAAAAAAATTTAATCTTCATGGAGAAAATTGACTTTAAAGTTAACTGAATTTTTCGGCAAGTATACCCTCTTCGATTTTGTTCGAAGCTATCTCGATCGAAAGGTAATCTAATAACGAAGGTTTTAAAAAAAATTCAAGTTGGAGACTCAAACGATTCAAAAGTTATGAACAATCAAGTACCAAAAAACGTGATTTTACGAACGAATTCTGGCCGTACGCGGCTGCTTCTTGCTCCGCCGGTAGGAGAGGGGATAACAGGAGTCGACGAGAATAAACGCGCGCGGATAGAATTCGTCCGAAAACCACGTTTTTGGTACATTGTTCATAACTTTTGAACCGTTTGAGTCTCCAACTTGAATTTTTTTTTAAATTATTAGATTACTTTTCGATTGAGATAGCTTCGAACAAAATCGAAGAGGGTATACTTACCGAAAAATTGAGTTAATTTTAAAGTAATTTTTCTCCATGAAAATTAACTTTTTTTAAAAAATCGATACTTAGAAAGAACAGACAAAAATCTATCGGAATGCATGTGCGCAATATTTTTTCAGATCAAATTGCGTCGGTCACAGCGAGTTAGAAAAGTCGCGATACATTGAAAAATGCCCTGTGCGAGAGTACTGTCTGGTCGAGCGTGGAATACGTCACATATGGGTCAAAAAATACTTTTTTACAAATCCGTGCGCACGTATGTCACCGATCTGGACGCGCTTTTGGTATGTTATAGTGTATGGTAAAAAGGTCCCAAAACCAACATTTTAAACCCCCTCTCTCCTTCTCCCCCACCCCGCTAAAAACGTCTATTTTCTATTTACATTTATTCGGAAGCCCTGAAGCAATTAAAAAATCTGAAAAAATTCATGAAGGTACTTTTCAACAATCCAAACAACCTTGAAGTTTTTCAGATTTTTTATGTGCTTCAGGTCTTCACATAAAATCTTTGAAAATTTTAAATGTCCAGATGCAGCGATATGAACCGATACTAAACTTGAAATTTTTTTTCGTTTTTTATTGCATTGAAAAAGAGAACTTCAAATTTGTTCACTACAGCATTTACTTAACATACCAAAAGCGCGTCCAGATCGGTGACATACGTGCACGCATGGTTTTGTAAAATAGTATATTTTGCACCTAGGGAGTGAAAAACTGGAAAGTCTCAGAGCACGTGTAATTTATTATGAAGCCGAGCCGTCACATGCTCTGAGACTTTCATTTTTCGCTACATAGATGCAAATACAATTTTTTGTGAATCCCCCAGCCTAAAGTAACATTTTGGTTTTGCGCAGCGGAAGTAAAATGTTACTTTAGGTTGGGGTGGCACAAAAAAGTATTCTTTAAAATAAAAACAATTTTTTGGTTCTAAAATAAAAATAGTGCTTTTATCCAAAATGAGCAAAAAAAATTGGTAACAATTTGTTATGTCATTTTAATGAATAGATTAAGAGGGCAGACTGGTGTTTCAAGATGATATTTTAAAACCGCCAAATAAATCGAAATAACAAAAAAATTTTTTGTAGTAAAATATATTCATACTGCCCTGATTGATAAAAAGAAAATCGAAAATCCCAATTAAATTACTGTTTTCATAATATTAAATATTGTGATTAGATTGACTGGTCACCCTATTCTGGCGTAAGTTCTTCGTCTATATTGATCTATGAGGTCATAAAATCTTCAGAAAAAAACTCTATTCTACTAAAGTCAAGCAAAATTGTAAAAAAAAAAATTTCTCCTCTTCCAAGAGCTTAAATACAGCTCTTAGCGAAAATAAAATGTTAAATTTCTTAAAATTTGTCGTAGTTTGACGTGTACATTAAGTTGTAAACAATTTTTAAAAATTCTGCTCCACTGAGGTGGAAGAATAGTGAAAAATAGTATATTACTGCCCTAGACCGGGGAAAAAACAGAAAATTCCCAGGGCACGTAAAATAAGCGTCGAAGCGAAGCCTCACTCGCTCTCCTCTCGGCTTCTCCTCGGGTGACACTTACACATTTTCTCCTTTCTCTCATGCTGTGTATACGATTTTTCTCAGTGAAACATTTGCTTTTTTAAATAAAATGTTTATATAAATGTTAAGTACGATTACCTGCTACTATTGACAGAGGTATTGCTCTTGCTGCGACGAGAAATAATTGAGTCACCCCGATTTATAACTCCTTTGTGAGTTATACTAAACGCTCTCAATCTGTACAAGTCATCGCCAGCGCGTGGGTTGTATGCTTTCTCTGGCAAACTGTGAACTCTGGGTCTTATATGATCTGGAACTGAAAGTAGAATCAGAAATAGCTGTGTCATTGAGTATTTTTTGATAAATTTTCAAAAGTCTTAATTTAAAAACGAGACTAATTCTAAATATTTTTCGAGGGTTAAGGCCATACACAAGACTTTTAATCATTGGATCCATCGTCTGCTAATCTAAAATTTCAAACATTTACGTTATTTATATTATTTTATTGTCCTTCGATAAAATAAATCATGAATAAAATGTGGCTGTTAAAAAACCAAATAAAATTCTTTAGGACGAAACTAGATATTTTTTAGATTTGACTAAATTGAATACGAATTTTTGGGATTGGGTAATGATAAAATCGGTTTTGCAAAAAATTAAAATATTAATAATAAGGGTAGACATGTTTTTTTAATTATAATAAAATTAAATTTAGCATTACCTTATAATTAAGGACTTTTTCGATTTTTAAACTATTAAATGTGTAATTTAAAAAATTAATATGTAGCAGTAAAAGCATTCAAAAATTTATTATTTATTTTCAAACGCTATCGATTTCAGATCTTAAATGAAAAAACATTTTAATCGTCGACAACTAAAAGCAAAGGGCAAGCGAAAGTGCTATCAATTTCAAAAAAAATATTCGGTGTAGTATATAATTTGCAATCAACTGCTGGTTGCATACTGCTTTTAACTAATTGCGGTCCCTGCATTCTATAAACGAACCATCGATGCATCCGAGATGCGCAAGTTTACTTTTCCAACTTCCAATACTGGAAGTCTAATATTATTATTGTTTCTCTCCGGTACGTTCAACCTTGACTTGCCATGAAAAAAAAAAACTGAAATAAATCTATTTTCAAAATAAAGTTAAACAATAAATTCACGAAAAAATATTCGTTTAAGTTTTTCGTACCCTTATGAAAGTAATCTTTAATTAACTTTATATTTTAAACAATCTGAAGGATTCTGAGACAATGAAACATTTATAATAAAAATTTAATATAATGAATTGATGCAATAAGAAACTAAGTCTTTTAATTTTTCATACAAATTGCTTTTGAAATCATTGTCAATAGAAAGTCGCATATAATAATGTTTGTTTTTACCTACTGAATTAAAGTATTTTGAGTATGTAAAAATTTAAGCAATCTTATGATAGCAAAAATTTTCTGTTTGTTGGGTATTTATCGTGAAATATAATTTTGTTTTAAGTACCCGATTCAATAACTTCGTAAAAACTCTTGTATCAAAACTACAAGTGACTATTTTAATTATTGATGTGAATGTTTTTAAAATAATTGCGTTTTTAACGCCAATATTATACAGAAAGATTTTAATATATACAATATGTAGTTGATCATTACTTTTTCAAATAATATATTCTCAGCATGTACACCAACTTCCGCTCAGGGACATAGATCTGCCTGGGGCTTGTCATTACCTTCGTTCGTATTTCTTTTCTTTTTTACTTGATACTTAACTTATTCTTATTCCAAGATACAATATACCTGTTCAGTAAGAGGGAAAAATAACTAAAAGATAACACGATTCACAAACAAATTTGAAAATTGAATTACAGAATCGAAAAATTTATTAATTTCAATTTTATTCAAATTTTTTTATGACATAAGAGTCAAATACAGTGGTGGCAACTTATTGCTATACTGGTATGTGTAATAGTTTTCGTTTTTTTCTAGAAAAATAAGTAATTTATCATTTATTGCAGGGCTAACTAATACCGGAATACATTTCCAAAAAAAAACTTTTTTTTCGATTTGGTTATACTTTAAAAAATCACTCACAGAAATTTGGTATACAGAAATTTCAATTCGAAGGCAGTGCTTTTTTTGAAAATTTGAAACGGTCAAAATTTATTGAAATTTGACAAGGAATTCAAAAAAAATATTTTCAAATTTTTTTACCGAAACCATCGGGTTCTAGGAACCTTCTTTTATTAAAAATAGCATTTTTCAGATGTAGAAGTTATTGCCTTCAATTAAAAAATCTGGAAAAATTTGAGGTTATGTATTTTGATAAAAAGAAAACAAGAAAAAAGTTTTTCCAGATTTTTCGAGGCTTTGTATTGTCCTAAAAAAATTATTTTAGTCAAAAAAAGGGGGTTTTGGCTTCAAAAGGTGCGTTCACTTTTTTGAAAAAATTTGAGGTTACTTTATTTAATGAAATAAAAAAGGGAAAAAATTTAATCACCGTATCTGGGCTTTTGAAATTTTCAATAATTGTTTCTGAAGGCCCGAAGCACTCAAAAAATCTGAAGAAATTCAAGGTTGTTTGAATTGTTGAAAAGTACCTTCATGAATTTTTTCAGATGTTTTAATTGCTTCAGGGCTTCAGAATAGATAGAAAATGGACGTTTATAGGGGAGGAGGGGGACAGGAGGGGGGGGGGGGG